AGTTTACAGGACGGGGTTTCGCGATCGGGACGTGCTGGATGGACGAGGTGTTGTGGTCGGCGTGGGATCTAGCGGAATTGCAACAGAGGTGTGTCGGTATGACTAGCTAGGTAGGGAGGTAAGCTGTTGTTAGGTCGGACATGGAGGGGCGCATGCGCATATGCAGGTCGACGTGGAGAGGGCGACGGCAAGCAGGGGAAGCCCCAATGGGAGAGGAGGGCACGGAGACGAGGTATTAGTGTAGGTTGACGAAGTCAAGTCGAGTATCTGAGTAAGAGCGTCGACTTTGTGGAGGAGGGCTTCGGTGGTGGTGGTGGTGGTGTTTTGCTGCCAGGTCGGCACAGATGATATAGAGAAAGGATGAAGGAAGCTCTGGCTGGCGGTGCTGGTGGTGCTCGAGATTGAATTGGACAGCACAGGCAATTTGGAGATGGGGGAGCTGGCAATGACGGTCCAAATTTCTTTGAATGGGGGGGGGGACCCTGGCCTCTCGCTCCACGGCTGCCACAGGCCCTGGTCCGTCTGTCTCCCCCGATGCACGCATACAGAGAGAGGTACCTCCTTACACTTAGTAATAGGTACTCTACGGAGTATCTACCTAGGTACCGACACAGTCGAGAGGTAACTGCCTAGGTACACGAGGGTGTTAGGTAGCACTGCTGCGTGCTGAAGCATGTGGTCTGGTTACCGTACTGTACTTGGAACGATAGTAATTGAATGACATTGCGACTGTATTCGCACTTGGGTTTTTCTGTCGGGCTAGGTGCCCTGGACAATCCTGGAGCTATTATTCTTATTCTACCTAGTCCATCTCAGCAAAAAGTGCAGCAGCAGTATCCGTACTCTGTAAGCATCTGGTGTACGTGGCCTACTCTGTAAGGGAGTGAGTTGTTTCTTGTGGTTGACAGTCTTATGTCAGCAATTCGAGGTGGATACTCGGTCGAGTCCAGCTCAGCACAGACCAAGGGGGAACGAACAGTCAAGGTGGATGCCAGATTGACTGCCTGGATGAGGTAAGCGGTCACGTGCATCAATACCAGCGAACCAATGACTGGCGCATCGCGATGGAAAGCGAGACTTTTACTCGCAAAAAGGTGAGACCCACTTCTCACTCAACAATGCCCGAGATGCCATTGGCCAAGATTCCCCCCGTTTGGTCCCTTGTTTTCCCGGGCTATTCCCACTTTCAAGTCCGAAAAGTTCCTGAGGCCAGTAAGTCTTACCTAGTCGCGGAACCCGGTTGGTTGGCTGGCGTAGGCGTTTTTTTTTTTTTGCTGTCGGCGTTAAGCACCTGGCGCAACCGGCCAGCCACTGGCCACAATCTATCGGCGCCAGTAGGTAGTCAATCAGTCACCACCCACTGACGCTTCAGCGCAGTAAATAACGGCTCTCCCTGTGCAGGCCATTTTGTAGGGACACGCTAATTCCCGATCCGGACTAGCGCCCCAAGCTCCATCCAGCGACGGAGCTCAACGCAAAAAACTCCAGCCCCAAGGAAAGATTCCCGTCCGACAATCTCGAGCATCAAACCTCGTCGTCCCAAAAAAATAATCCCGCGTCGTCGCCTCTGCTCTGCTTCCTCTTCTCTTTTCTCTCCCCCCCCCCCGCCTCGACCCGACCCGACCCTTCTTCTTTCTTGTCTTGTCCCAATTCCGTCATCCCGACACGCCCATAGGCTTCAATTGTTCGACGTCGACGGTCCATCGTCTTGATCCATAGTCCGGTCCTCTCCGCCAACTACACTCTTCTCCCTGCTTTCGTGCGTCGCTTGCCGGAGCTTTCTATTCACCATGATCTCCACCGTCTTGAGACGGACTGTCCGTCCGAATGCCCTCCTCCGCAGCAACCTCTCCTCCCAGATCCTGAGATGCTACGCCTCCTACCCCCCGCACACCGTCATCAAGATGCCTGCCCTGTCGCCCACCATGACGGCGGGAAACATCGGAGCTTGGCAGAAGAAGGCCGGCGACAGCATCGCCCCCGGTGATGTCCTCGTCGAGATCGAGACCGACAAGGCTCAGATGGACTTTGAGTTCCAGGAGGAGGGTGTTATCGCCAAGCTCCTCAAGGAGTCTGGTGAGAAGGACGTCCCCGTCGGTAACGTGCGTGCAGCCTTTTTTTTTTTTCTTTTTTTTTCCTTCCCTCAATATGTCCGTAGTCGCGATAAGCCGCTGAGAACCGTCTTCTCCCTCACCTGCCCACACCTCGCATGCCACTGATGAGTCCGCTCATACTGACAATGCTTCTGTAGCCCATCGCCGTCCTCGTCGAGGATGGTGCCGATATCAGCGCCTTCGAGAACTTCTCCGCCGCCGACGCCGGTGGTGAGGCCGCTAAGCCCGCTCCCAAGGAGCAGCCCAAGGACGAGGCCAAGCCGGCCTCTGCCCCTACCCCCGAACCCGAGAACTCCTCCGACGACTTCAACAAGCCCGCCGGCAAGCTCGAGAACGCCCTGGACCGTGAGCCCAACGCTACCATCGGTGCCGTGCGCCTTGCCAAGGAGAAGGGTGTCAACATCCGCACCGTCAAGGGATCCGGCCAGGGCGGCAAGATTACCGAGGACGACGTCAAGAAGGCCGCCTCTGCCCCCGCCGCCGCTGCCGGCCCCGGTGCCAGCTACGAGGACATCCCCATCAGCGGCATGCGCAAGACCATCGCCTCCCGCCTCCAGGAGTCCACCCAGAACAACCCCCACTTCTACGTCTCCTCCAGCATCTCCGTCAGCAAGCTGCTCAAGCTTCGCCAGGCCCTCAACGCCTCCTCCGAAGGCAAGTACAAGCTGTCCGTCAACGACTTCCTCATCAAGGCCATTGGCGTTGCCTCCAAGAAGGTTCCCCAGGCCAACTCCAGCTGGCGCGGTGATGTCATCCGCCAGCACAACACCGTCGACGTCTCCGTCGCCGTCTCCACCCCCACCGGCCTCATCACACCCATCGTCACCGGTGTCGAGGCCCGCGGCCTCGAGGCCATCTCCACCGAGGTCAAGAAGCTCGCCAAGCTCGCCCGCGACGGCAAGCTCAAGCCTGAGCAGTACCAGGGCGGCTCCATCTCCATCTCCAACATGGGCATGAACGACGCCGTCGACAACTTCACCGCCGTCATCAACCCTCCCCAGTCCACCATCCTCGCCATCGGCACCACCAAGAAGGTCGCCGTCCCCGCCCAGTCCGAGGACGGTACCACCGGTGTCGCCTGGGATGACCAGATCACCATCACCGGCAGCTTCGACCACAAGGTCGTCGACGGCGCCGTCGGTGCCGAGTTCCTCAAGCAGCTGAAGAAGGTCCTCGAGAACCCTCTTGAGCTCCTCCTGTAAGGGGGGCAAGTCGGTGTTGAGTGTGTGACGCATTGCCGTGCGACGGCGGCGGAGGAAGAGGAGGCATGATGAGTTTCGAAGGCGTATCCGGCGTACGATATAGAACGTTCAGGCCGGAAGACACGTCCTGTGGTTTTTGCGAAGGGAGGAGGGCGGAGGGCAGTGAAAGACGGGTCGAAGCATACACCATCTGCTCGGCGCCGGACGACGAACCTACCACAACCTACTTCCCGTGTACAATGATCTCCTGACTAATGCTGCATCTCGGGTGCGGAAGAGGTTCCTGTCTTGTACATTTGGTCTCCTTTTCCCCCATTTTACCTAGAAATCGAGCAGTTACCTTTTGCGCTGAAACCAAACCGGGTATTCCCTTTGTGTCTGTGTGTCTATCTATTCAAGTCCGCATGCATGTGACGAGCCCAGCCGTCGGCGGGAATGCGCCCCTTGGCTCGCGCTAACTAAAGACGGCCCTCCCGGCAAAGTCGGATCGGATGATGAGCCATGGATTCAAGGTAAACCAGCACGTAGGCCACGCCCATCCAGAGAGACGTGGTGATCAAGCTACCAAGCAGCGTCGGGTCGGGAAATTGATTTGTTCGAGATGGAGAATACGCTCTCCTGGCCTTTTTGTTAATACCCATTGAAAGGGCATGTGAGAAGATTTGGCCCTCATATTCCGTGCAAGTCAACCTACCAATGGTGGCTTTTTACAGCGTACACATACACATACATGCTTCTTTGAAGGATTTTGCTTCTATCCAAACATTGACATGGGTCCTGTGTACATGTAATTAGCGGTACTTTACTCTCTCATGATTTCAATTCTGCATGTTGCCATAACTGTAGCGGGCTTTTTTTTTCTTTTCGAAACGACTACTGCTTGGTTTTCGTAAAACTACATTGTTTTATATGGTACACACTCTCCCATCACCAGAAATCAACCATCATCAATGTTTGGCATTGTTGCGCCCTTTCGAACAGTACTACTTGATGGCCGTTTGTGCTTCAAAGACACTCGCAGCTGTCCCCCGGAACCCGACGCTGTCGCTGTCGCTGGATATGTAACGCTCATTGTCCCTCTTACCAAGCAAGTCCTTGATCGAGTTATTCAATGGCAAACCCCGATGTAGAAGTTGCAAATGCGTAGTGCCGCAATCAAAGAATGCAGCATTCCTTTCGTGCTGATGCACAATCTGATTTCCCTAGACAATACTTAATCATTATCCCGCAGAAGACTTACAGCCCATCCGGGATATTCCTATCAAACGACGGTACAAGCGTGGTTATTTATAACATCATCGCCACTATTCCACCCTTTCTCGGCTTATTCACATACAGCTCGGTGTTTTGCATTTCGGACCATTTGAACCAATCAGCTGTCCATAATTCTCGGGGTATTGCAGGCGAGCCGGTCCTTAGGTGCGCGAATCCTGACGGCATCTCGGGGATAAGCGCCTCTTTCTACTATTACATCGCTCCCAGTACGGCTGAATCAGATCAATCTGATAAAAACACATTCGGATTTCTGTGCTTTACGATCTCTCTGGGCCTAGGTATTGGCACGTCGTGAATCAGGACTTAAGCATCAGAGGACACGCATGCAATGACAGAATAAGCCGAGTCACCCTCCGTCCGACAACCCCATCCACATTCTCCCCGAATCTCTCAAACTAACACCCCCAAAATGGACCCTTCGAGAAGCCCGGACCAGTCCTCGACGACGCGGAAGAAACGGCGGAGGCCCGCTCTCGCATGCGAACGATGCCGCCACCGCAAAGTCCGCTGTGATAGAAACCTCCCCTGCAACACCTGCGTCCGCACTGGTCACACCCTCTGCACGTACGTCTCACAGACCAAGCCGGCGGCACGTCCGCTCAGGAGCCCCGGCGCCAATGGGTCCACTGGTCATATGGCTCCGGCCCGTGACAGTCTGTCCGACCCGGCTCACTCGGCTTTCAGGTCCCTGCCGCCACCGAGATACTCTGCCCCGTCCATGATGATGACCCAGAACGATCTCGCTGTGCGGAGGAAACCTGGCGGGCCCAAGAGCCCCGTACATGGGTCCGCCGAGCCCGAAGCGGGCTTTGGGATCCCCGATCCCATCCTGCCGACGGCCCAGGCCCTGCGGGGTCTGAAGGATCCCGAGTCGTCCGCGCTGAGGCTAGATCTCGAGACCTCTGAGGGAGCCCCGCTCTTTGCGCCGACGCCCATCCCCGTTGAGCAGCCGGGGCCAGCGGACCATGGGAAGTACCGGTCCGACAACCCCGTGAGGGCCTCTGCTTCCGTCAGTGTCCTTGCGGATACCGCGTCGACACCCGGCAGTTGTCCCAGCTCCTCCTCGACTGTCAATGCTCTCACGGAGAGGGTGAAGCAGCTCGAGCAGCAGTTGTCAGACCTGACCGTGAGTGGCGGGAGTAGAAGCGACGGGCCGTCACGGTCTGCCCCGGTTCTGCGCGAAGGTCTGAAGTACAGTCGAGGTTGTGTTAGTAAGACTCGCTACTTTGGACAGAGTCACTGGATGGCCTCGACCGAGATGGTAAGTCCCATGTCTCTTCACAAGGTCTACACGTCTGGGTTCACTGTTTTACTTCATTTCTTCCCCTTACTTTGTGCCTTCTGGCTTCTCAATCTCCACGTCCGCTCAGCATCGGCGACATCGTCGGCAGAGCAACCCAGTCTCCCACTGTATCAGTTTGTTCAAACCAGGCTTGGCTGCCTCGCTTACACGTGCGACAGCTCTATCGCATGGGCAACATCACCAGGAAGTTTGGGGGTGAAACGACTTCTCAACTCTACTCCGACCTCGAGGCGTGCAAAAAGCTGGCCCGCGTCGTCAAGGCTCGCCGCACTCCCGCCTTCAGCTCCATATCCATCGGGAAGAGCATGCCGTCTCGGGAGCTGGCCGACATCCTCATCGGCAACTACCTCCGCACATTTGAGACGGTCCACCGCATCGTCCACGTCCCAACGTTCAAGGCCGACTACGAGCAGTATTGGGAGAACCCTTCCGAAGCGAGCGAACCCTTCGTCGTCCTCATGCAGCTTTGCATGGGCATCGGCGCCACCGTTTACGACGAGCGGTTCACCCTCCGTATCCTCGCGACTCAGTGGTTCTGGGAAGGCATGTTCTGGCTCATCACGCCGTGCGAGAAGTCCAAGATGACCATCACCGGCATCCAGATCCGCTGTCTGATGCACTTCCTGCGGCACACCGCCAACATCGGCTGCGACCTATCCTGGATCGGCGCCGGCGCGCTCGTCAGAACGGCCATGTACATGGGGTTCCACCGCGAACCCAAGGCGATCGTCAAGATGACGCCCTACCGCGCCGAGATGCGCCGCAGGCTCTGGGTCACCGTGCTGGAGATGGCGCTGCAGACGAGCATCGACTCGGGCGGGCCGCCGCTCATCTCGATGCATGATTACGACACGGAGCCGCCGGCCAACATTGACGACGAGCAGCTCGTCGAGGACGCGGACTCGGCCTACCCCGTGCCGAAGGACGCAAAGACCTACACTCAGATGACGGTGCCCATCGCCTTGTTCGGGACGTTCGCGGCCCGTCTCGCCACCGCCAAGCGCGTCAACGACTTCCGGTCCGACACCGTGTACGAGGAGACGCTGCGGTACAGCAACGGGCTGAGCAGCTCGCTGCAGCGGATGATGCGGCAGCTCCAGTCGCACGCGTCCGTGACGGCCTTCCAGCTCCGCCACGTGGAGGTCGTGTCGTACCGCTTCTTCTTCGCCCTGCACCAACCCATCATCCCGCTGGCTCTGCGGAACCCGATGTATTACTTCTCCAGGATGGTCATGTTCGACACGGCCCTGCGGCTGTGCGAATCTGCTTTTCTGTGCCCCGACGAATCGGGCTCCGGCGCGGCCAAGCCCGCCACCCCGTCAGAGGTGGACTTCCAGCGGTTGACGATCAACGGCGCCGGGACGTACCGCTCCGTCACGCTGCAGAGCATAATGGTCATCGGGCTCGAGCTGTGCAACCTCAAAGAGGAGGAGCTGACGAACGGGCCGGCGATGCCCTTCGTCGGGTCCGAGGCCCAGCTCCGCGGCATCATCAACACGTTCCACGACTGGTTCCGCAGGCGGATCCTGTCCGGCGAGACCAACGTAAAGGGCCACCTCTTCAGCGCCCTCCTCACCTCGCACATCAGCAGCATGGAGAACGGCTTCGATGACGAACGCTTCGGGGAGTACTTCAGGGCGACCTGTCAGGAGCGGGTGGCTGAGTGTTCCGAAATGCTTCGCGAGCTGGCCGGGGACAGCGCGCCGGACGTACCCAGCGTCCACGACCTGGACATGGACTTTGACGGGGTCGACCTCCTGGGGGATTGGGACTGGGAGTCCATGGTAATGGCGGCATCTCTCTTGCCCTCGAGTTTGCGTGTTGGGAAAAGCATCTAACTTTTTCTTTTGCAGGAAGACGACGGCGGCATCGGGTACATGAATTTCGGCGCTGTCCCCGACATGCTGTTCCCCTAGGTCACGAAAGGCGAAGAAGGAGATCCCCGCGAGAAGCACATGTTGGAGCGTCTCCCAACGAAGTCGCGCCGCGTTTTGGCCGGTGTGCGATGCTCATTGTTTGGCCAAAGACCCAAGGCTTATGTTGTATCAAAAGTTTTATTCGGCCACGATTCACGATATCCACGTCACTAGATTGTTTTTCCGCTCACAAAAAGCCCGTTGTCTATGGCCGATAGTGCAGCTCATTTGGTCAAATTCCCATATGCTCAGAGATTGATGTATACCATGATGAGAAGATTTCTTCGGGGCTGAATAATACAGCCTGACTGTTTCCTGTCCACCAGACTAAAGTTCCGCACCGGAAAGAGAGCTTTTCTTGAGCGAGTGCGAGAGGGAATGCTCTGAATGGCAGGTGGTTCATAAGAGATGTCTGCAGTCACTTCAAAGTATTTCGATAAAACCTCGCCTATAACGGGTTTTAACAAGCTGCGTGTCCCACTTCTTACTGTTGCGGACTCCCTCGCGAAAAATAGAACTGCTCTGGCTCAGTATTCAGCAAGATTGTACCGGTACCGGCCGAGGCGTCGGAACGGTCCATCTGGATTCCTGTATGACCTTGGGATACAAAACTTGCTCTCCTTCCAATTTAGAATCGTTGGGCATAACTCTTAGATGAAGTTGTCCAACTTCAGATGGAAACAGCTCTGTTTCACACCTCTTCGCTTGGGGATAGCTTCATAAACCTGTGGGTCAAAGGTGAAGTCGATCTGAATCACTGCACCCAGCCCTCACAAACTACCAGACGAACGTAGAGTCGCGTCTAAAATTCACTTGAACAACCTTGAGAAGTCAATTTCTCTCAATTCCAGCTATTACAGCCCCCCCCCCCCCCCCCCCCCTTTCACCTCCTCAAAGCCTTCTAATCTTCGACTTTAAACCACCTCCTTGATTCTCGTCGTTCTAACTTAATTCCCGACTTTTGCTTTCCCACCGACATTATTATTTATACACAATGGATTCACTGTTACTCCAGGAGTTGGAGCTCACGCTCGACGAGCAACAAGCGGTGCCATTGTTCTACGCGGATCTCGAGGTCCTGGATGACCCGGCGGTGCCTTATGAGACCAAGAAGTGGATGTTCGACACAATTTTGAGTATGTTGACCCCTGAATATATCCATCAATACTACGGGTCTCGTCTAGAGAACGTGAGAACGTGAGACTGACTGAGCTTCGCAGAAGACATGGTGCCCTACCGGTACCACGATGGGCCGCGGATGTTTCCCGATATCAACTTCTACGTAACCCTTTTGCACAACCGGCCCAATAACGAAGGGGTCTGGGGCCTAGTCTGCCGATTTCACGAATGGATTTCCATGATGGCGACGTTTCACCCAGAGGAGGCAGACCAGGCCATCGCGGCCTTAGAGCTCCGCGCCATGTCCTACGGCTGGCCCAGCACCCAGACTCAAGAAACGTCGCTGGCGACTTTGCAGATCGGGCAGGCCTCGACATCACCTGGGCAGACAATCGCGCCATCACCGCTGGTTTCGTCGACGCCGGCTTCTTCCCTGCAGGCGAAGAGAGCAAAGCCGAGCAACGTGTATGAAACAGAGCACCAGCACCCGATTCTCACAGCAGAGCTCGTTGCTCCTCCCACCTTCCGCTACAAAGGCGTCGTTCAGAACATGGATCATTTCGAGGAGCTCGACGATGCTTACGAACGGCACGTCAAGCGCGCAGCGGGCAAGGCGCCCCACGAAGACGCTTCCTGGCCATCGTCGGCCGAACAGCAACGCGCCTATGTCAAAAGCCTCTTCGACCACGTTACAGACCTGGGAAACTTTTACGAGTTGAGAAAGGCACGCGAGCGCCTCGCCAAGCTTGAAAGTCAATACGGTCGCGGATCATCCGAGGCTGCCGAGACCACCTCCAGGAAGCGAAGAAGAGGTGCGGAGGGACAGGATGCCGGTTTCGACGTCGCTGCTCGGCCGAAGGGCATTAGCAAGACGGACTGGGCCCTGACGGACACCGAGAGCACACCCGTGGAGCTCCTCGAAGCAGTGATTCACTATCACATCTCCGACGTTGAGATTGAGCTTCTTTGCTGGAGACTGCTGGTAAGAGATGATCCCCGTCCTTTAATGAAGCTGGAACATGGCTAACAGGCCTGATTTTCAGCGGGCTGCGATGGAGATGCAGCTCGGATTCACCATGAGGCCACTTTGGTCTGGATCCAAGACGACTGCCATGTGGGAGCACTTTGACACATTTTCCGAGAGATGGCAGGCTATAAGTGAGAACGCGCTTGTAGGTTGCTGTGTCCCCTAATCATTTGACAAAAGCAAGCCTCTAATTAACCTTCGACCCCAACAGGACTGCAAGATTCTTATCCACTCTCTCACCCGAGCAGACTGGATCTGCAAATACGCCGGCGCTCCCTCCAAGGAGCGAGGTGTAAGTTCGTTTCTTGTTTCTTTGTTACTTGTGTTAAGAATGCCCTCCTAACGTCACCTACAGGGAAAGCTGAACAACGACTTGCTCAACGGGCGCCGTGATATCCAGAACCAGGTGGGCCGCGACGTCATCAAACAAAAGACGTTGCGCCAGGACTGGACGACCTCGGAAGACTTTGAGATCCGTAACAAAGAGGGCGAACTGGTTCTGAAGGCAGGTCACTTGGGCGACAGGAAGCGTCGACAGCTCGCAGTCAGGAGCCGAAAGGATGGGGAAAGCTAATCGAGGCACATTGCGCACTTGCTCCTCTCTCAGCTGCAGGTGGCCCCTTTATGCTCCGAGTTTAATGTTCTTGTGCAATGGCTTGACAACAAAGCTAATTTAGAATAGCTTTCAATTCCTAGCCAACTCGATGGCACATGCGCTGTTGAGATAGATTGTGGCTCACAGTCCATGGACATGTGAGTGAACCCATATTTCCCGGAGAATAATTCACAAAGACATGATTGGTTTGAAAGGCTTCAGAAAAATCATGTGAATGATAAGCATGATGTTGTATATCTATCTATGATGCTCTCTCCCTTTCGTTCTGTGATGACTATGCTTCCGGCCCCTTAACACCGCTCCGTTTCCGCAAATTAAACCAGACTGAGGACGACGTTCCAGAAAAACAGGAGAGAGAGAGAGAAAAAAAAAGAAAGCTTGTGTGATGTTTTCCCCGGATGACGAAGAAATTTGCAAGAGGCCCCTTATTAAAGCTTCAAATACCAGAGTCGGACTGCTTGTACGGCGCATTCTTCGCGTACGAGTTCCACTGCGAGCACATGTCGTCAATGGCGTCGATCTTGAAGGTGTTGGCGATGTCCTGCGTGCGCTCGAGGAACTGGACGCTCAAGCCCTGGCTGAGATGCCACGCGATGTGGCAGTGGAACAGCCAGGCGCCGGGGTTGTCCGTCTTGAACGCTACGACGAGCCAGCCTCTGCCGGGCAACGTGGTGACGTCGCGCCTCGTCGGGTTCTTGAAGTTGAGCTTGGAAGTGTCAGTCTGCGGGTTGAACCTTTGACCGTTGCCCCGTCCGCCGTTCGTGGGATCCGAGTGGCCGAGAACGTAGAAGTCGTGGCCGTGAAGATGCATGGGATGCTGTTGCTTTTTGTCAGTATGGTGCGGGTCGGGGAAGTTCCTGGCTGGGGAGCACTTACAGGAGCAGGGAAGAGGTTCTCGACGACCCAGAATGCCCACTGCGAACGGTTAGTACGGGTTCAATAACAAAAAAAAAAAAGGATTGGTCCAGGGCATGTATACTTACGTTATTCTCGTTCGGCACCTCAAAGACGTTGAACTGGGCAGGGTAGTCGGAGTCATTCTTGGCAAGGTAAGACAGCGTCGGCTCATCCCAGTCGACGTCCATGTCCTGGCCGTTGACCTTCCAGTACACGCGCTGCTGGTTGGTCGTCCTGCTGGTGTCGACAGTGACGTCCAAGGAGTTGTCCTGAGTCTTGGAGAAGGCCGTGGAGTCGACGTTGACGCTGTAAATGGGCTCGTAATCCGTCTTGTCCTGGCACTGGGAATCCGTGACCGCCTGGCCCGCGTCCTTGGGCACTATGTTGCTGGACGCGCCCTCGTACTGGAAGATGGCGGCGGGCTTGTTGATGTTGGACGTGCCGCAGAGCCTGTTGGAGGCGAACGTGACGTTGAACCAGTAGGCCTTGCTGGAGTCCTGGTCGGCGTTGATGAGGACATCGTAGCGCTGGCCGACGGAGAGGTACAGCGAGTCCGTCTGGAAAGGCTTGACGGGCACAAAGTCGGTTCCCGTGACCGTCATCTTGTGGTTGACGAGGTTGACGGAGAAGGTGTTGTCGACCGACATGTTGATGAGGCGAATCTTGTGGACCTTGCCCTTCTTGAGCGTCACGCGGGAGTAGGCTCCGCCGCCGTTCTTGTTCACGTGGGTGCCGTTGAAGAGGATGTTGTCGCTGGCGGGGACGGCCGCGGGTGCAGTGAAGGTTGACCGGATCTCGTCGGCCGACTTGTAGTACCAGTCCGAAATAGAGTAGACGCCGAGGTCCTCGTCGTAGTTCTTGGAGGTCGGTCCATCAATCTGGATGGTGCCCGCAATGCCGTTGGCATACTGGTCAGAGAAATGAGAATGGTACCTGGGGGAGTCAGATTTTGCCCACGTTGAGAAGTCGAGAATCACGGAGCTCACCATGAGGAGCCATACTGCTCGGCGCGCCACTCGTACGTCTTGCTGGAGCCCGGTGGGATGGGGCACTCGGTGATACCATTGACTCCGTCGTTGATGTTATTGTTCAGCTGTCTGACTCCGTGCCAGTGAATGGACGTGCTGCGTCATGTCAGCTCGAATGCCCGCTGTCGGTATGTCATCTGCGCCTCTGTACATACCCGTTCGTTCTGAGGTTGTTGACGACTCTCACGCGGATCTTGTCACCCCAGTTTGCCTTGATGTTTGGGCCCGGGAAGCCGCCTGCAGCACATCCTGAATTAGCATAGAACCGCCAATAGCCTCGGCTGCCATTCCCTACCATTAATGAGCATGGCGGTATTCTTGTCCATGCCATCTCCAGCCTTGTACGTCGGGTGTTCAGTAAGAACCAGGTCATACTGTGACATGTCAGCGCGCTGGTCCATCGCTTTGACAGCTACAAACCTACCTCCCTAGTCACCCCAGTGTCAGGAGTCTTCTCCTCGTAAGCGGTGTTGATGTCGAATCCGTCGACCCAACATTGTCTGTTGCTGGGTGTGTTGCATGACTTGGGACTCTGGTCATCGTCGGGGTTCGCTGCCGGTGCATCCTGCCTCTTCACGACGCCCGAGTTGGGCGGGGCCGCTATAGCGAGGCCGTAGAGCAGAAAGAGCACGCTCTGCGAAAGTGTCGACCTCATATTGGATATCGTTGTCCAAGAGACGTGGCCGGGAATAAACAATGATGCGTATGCAGCTATGAACACCTTTGTGAGTCGGCTATTGAGTATAAGAAGACATGGATGGAGTTCTCCACCACTAGAAATACTCACCTCGAAAGCAACCAATACTACCGTCCTATCACAAACTTCGCGCAATCGTCGTTATAACGAAAGAAGAGAGAGGAGAGAGAGAATGAGAAAGCTGAGCCTCAAGAGCTTCCAGAACCCCAAACCTCAAACGGTCGAACCAACCTCTAGATAAGGTGGAAGTCCAGAGCTATAAAGTGTGGTCACCGCGTAGATTAACCTCGGAAGCACGGTGCTGTCGTTCGGGGATGGGTTGTGGTCCTAGCCTCTTCGGTCAAACAGTTGCGAGGAACTGATGGAGTTTGCGTCGCGCGGAGAGAGGCCCCGTTTCGACACCCCACGTACCAGTTAGAGGCCTTTATACCAAGAGGGCGGGTTGGTTTCAACAGTTCGGGCCAGGGCGAGAGACGGGACGGTGTTCCAAACAGTCTGAGTGGGAGTGAGCGGCGCGGTCCTGACAGTCGGTTCGGGTACCAAGCGTCGAGCTCGCCGCCTTGATGGCGGCTATCTAAATTTCCAGTCGAGCCCGAGTGGGCGAGTCTGCGTCTTCTTTTTTTTCTTGCAGTCTGCCCATACCTCTGCCCATACCCGACCGGGACAGTGAACCGGTGCGGCGAGCATGCGAGGTAGTTCAGACCAACATGTATTACTACATGGGCGCGAGGATGGAAATCTTGGAGCAAAGCAGTATGAAGACGGACGGCCGCCGCCATGCAACTCTCGGGCGGCTTTCGGGTTCGCATAACTTCCCGTGGCGATGATGGGTATATCGGCATACCACATGCGCGCACTGCTATAGAAGAATTGTGCTCAGCATGCGCGGTGATTCATCATGGACCTGCTTTTTATTCCTTTCTCAATTGGTTCTCATAAGCGCATTCGGATGTTGTGTACTGCCCAAAGCTTGTTTGCTTTTGCTGCTGGTTGGGGGAGGGGGCGGACATGGTAAAGCTGGATATTCTCTATCCCTTCCGCATCTTTCTCGCAGGGCCATGGTCCCAATCACCACAGTAGCGTGGCAATATCTCGCTACCCACGATTTTGGCTCCCGCTGTTACCCCAGTGTTAGTTCATTTGAGGCGGCCGTCACCCTCGGTCCCGTCTTGGCTCTGCGCAACTAAAGCCTATCTTGCGTTTGGCGGCAATGGTCTGAGCAATGTGGCTGTACCTGTGTCAAGAACGGCCAGTCCGCAGGGCGCTCAGGCACGGCAAGCGGCGACATCCCACCTGGCGTCCGCTATGTCCCTTTTGTTTCTTCGTGACAGACACATGAGCGGCAAGGGCACAGCGCCTCTTCGGCCGGCACATGTGGCGGCTGACGGCGCAAAACGGCCGTGCGGTCGTATGAGGGACTGCCGAGGGAGGAAACGTAAACTCAAGAGGATTTCATCTTCTGCCCGAGGATCGAACCAAAACGACCCCAAACAATTCACCCCCCTCTCCCTCCATCCAATTCGCCGCAAGCCATTGTTTACTCGCCACTCCCTCCGAGCAGCCGGTTGAAAGACGTGCGGATGTCAAGTTTGACATGGCCCATGTTTTTGGTTCAGGTTGGATGAGCGTTACAAGCCTTCCGAGATCCACTCGTCGGTCAAGTGGGAGTCGACCTGGTAAAGATGCGCGCGGCTATGGCGATAATCTGGCAGAGTGGGCGGTGGCGAGGGGGGCAAACTGGCTGGGTTGATAGGGTCATGGACGTGGGAAGGCTATTCCAGATAACTCACGCATGCAGCTCTAGGAGGTCAGTGAACGGCTACTCCACGACTCCGAGAGGATCGTGCCTGTTGGGAGATGTCCATAGGGTTGCTCAAAGCGGCGCATCTGACCACATCGGACGGGCTGATGAGGGCGAAGCATTGGTGGCACCTTGAGCCAAAACCCTCAATTTCATTGTTTTCTCCGGCGATGAAAGATATGATAAGTGCTTGATACTGAGATAATCGTGTGCTTTAAGTACCAAGAGGCGGAGCACTCGACCTCTCAGTATCGAATTTACCATCGTCGGCGCTCAGCACATGACGGTTATAAACAAACTGAGCTCAAATTGAGGGAAGACCCCTCGATGCTGAGGCGGATGTGACCGATCTCTCGTGGTGTGGCCTGACATGGGCGGCCGTTCCAACGGCGCAAAGCCAAACCAAACTTAAAAGTTACTTCAGAACACGTCTAGCAGGAAACTAATCAGCAGCATCACGTTATGATGGGCGCTTGGGTGACTGTAAATGATTCCACATTGAGTTCCCCTGCCGTGCCGGGGAGTTCGCCACGAGGAGGGAAAAAAAGAAAGGGAGGTTAGGTTTGAGTAAGAAAAAAAGCAAAAGATGAGATAGCACAACCTGGTTTCGATCCAGGGACCTCTGGGTTATGAGCCCAGCGCTCTACCCCTGAGCTATTGTGCTTGATATGAGGTACTCGTTGTTGAAGAGGATGAGACACAGGATGACTATTAGGGTTTTGCCATTTGTGGACCGTTTTGACATTCGCCGGTCCATCCGCCTCTGCTGGCTATTCGGACTTTGTGCGAGTGGGTCTTTCTTGGTGCAGGATTTTCACCTTCAAGGTTCCGGCAGATTGGCCTCACCTGTTCTTGAACAAGGGCAGCAAAAGAGAAGGCCCGGAAGGCCATGAGGAACAACCCTAACTCGAAGAGGATGATCAGGAAAGAACCAAGGCAATGAGTGTGTGCCTGTCAAAACATGTATTCCCTCCCAAGCAGTGGCAATTTCGCAACCTCCGGTGGCAAAAAGAACCACGGCCGGCTGAAGGGTGGGGCCGTACCCGGCATAAGTGGGACCATTATATCCGGCTCGGCTTGGAGCCGAAATTACTCGGCACCTTGTGCTGACTAACCAACATAGGCGCGTGGCATTTACCCTCCATTTGCTGCCAGGACCAAGACTGCTGAAGACTACCTACCCGCCTCGGTCTACCGAGTAATTTCAACCCATGTCAATGTGGAAACTTGAACGGCGTCGAGAAGCTCACAAGGAAGCGTGGCAATTCTTTTACTCTTCCCGAGTGGTCAGCCGTCTCTTGACATCCTTGTAATTTCCTGTCTACTGTCTCTTCTATTGTCATGTGTGTGTAGGTTTATACTATTTCAACATTCACATTTGTTGAAGGCCGACGTTGCGTGTCTTCCTTTCAATCGTTTCTGGACATGTCTCATCTATCTGTCGAAAAGGTTCAGACTTCCTCTACCCGAGTACGTTTGAGTCGATTTGTAGCGGCCTCTTTCTCTTGGCCGGCATAACATTTGAGAGCCATTTCGCAAAAAAAGAACAACCGATAACCCGGTGGATGTATTCATCACCACCCGCCCATTCTATGAAAACGCCGTGCCTCCGACGGAAACAGGGAAGAAAACGCTGTTGGAGGGCTTATATATCAAAAAGAAAAAGAAAAAACCCATCTCATGTCGCTCTAGTCATAACGGGACAAACTCGGAAAACAAACAGTGGTATCTCTACCACTTGATGACCTTATTGGGGAAGTACTCGTCAATGAGCTCCATGTAGTAGGGCTAGTACTTGCGTTAGTGACTGGCTGTCCTTGCAGGGGTCGCGAGCAAACAGCGGGGGAGACAGAACATACCTTGAGCTCCTCGACGGTAGGGGCATCGTCGGACTTGCTGTACAGGTCGTAGGGGTTGAAGGCCAGGACGGCCTTGAGAAGGTCCTCGTCGCCCTCCTTCATGAACTCGCGGTAGGCGCCCTCGCGGTGCCAGGGGTAGAAGGAGTGGTAGCGGATCATGGCGAGGGCCTCGCGGGGCAGGGTGGACTGCTCCTTGCAGACGGTGTACATGTACTCGTCGTGGCCCCAGGAGATCATGAGGTTCTCGATGCCGCAGCCGGGCTCGTAGATGCCGTGCTTGGTGCTGTAGACTGGGTGGTTGTTGTCCGGGTTGGCCTCGAAGGTGGAAGGCAGGACGATGCGGGGGTCGAAGGCGCAGCCGACGGGGAAGGTGTCGCCGACGACGTCCCACTGGCCCTCGGCGCCGTAGAAGTAGAGGAGCTTGCCGAGGTCGTGGACGAGGCCGGTGAGCTGCATCCAGCGGGGCTTGCCGTCGCGGCGCATGGCCTCGGCGGTCTGGAGCAGATGCTGGATCTGGGAAAGCTCAGTGTCGGGGTCCGAGTTGTCGATGAGCGTGTTGAGCTTCTCCATGGCCTCCCAGATGGTCATCTCGTCGCGGCACGCCTTCTGGCCGGTGACGTCGATGGCGAACTTTTCGCGCGCCGAGAGGTTGTACTCGACCGTCTGCTTCTCGTGCTGCTCCTTGTAGAAGCTCTTGACGCGGTCGCAGGCGTCCTCGTACTGGCGGAAGGCGGTCTTGTCCTTCTCCTGGTCGAACTTGGACTCCCCGTAGAAGTCTTCCTGCTGCTGCTGCTTGTTGACCTGGTCCTTGAGAATGTTGACCTCCTCGACAAAGTCGGTGGTCTGCTCCAGGGCGTGACCGTCGGTCCGGACGTAGGGGACGGCGACAGCAGCAGCGGCCATTGTGACGGCTGGGAGATTCGGAATTCGGGATTTACAAGAAGTCAAAAATACACAAGATGGAAAGACGAGAAACCGTTGGGTATGAAGGAAGAAATGCGATGCTTCTAATGGTATTCGCTCAAGATGACGGATGATGATGACAAGTGTAATGTCTAAGGACGTGAGCCTCAGGGAGACAGTATATAAATATGTTTGTTGCTTAGGAAGATAAGACCAAGTAGAACATGGAATTTGCTATTCCTGGTAGACGCCGAGATGGACGAGGAAAACTCTGACATGGCGAGGTAACTGATATTCGCGCCACACGCGGTGCTTGGCCAAGGTACAGTTCGTCATGGAGGGCTGGACCTACTTGGACGAGATAGGAAAAAGGAAAAAAAAGCCATCTTGGTCACGCAGCCATAATCGATATGCTCCATACTGAACAAAAGACCCCGCGCGAAGATCAGGCCGGGGTGTGATGTAAATTGGAACAAGAAAGACGGGGCGCGGTCCAGCTCTGTGGAGAGAGATGCGAGGAGATGCAACCGGGTGCGAGGGGATTCCAGGTTTTGGATTCCAGTTGTTTAAATGAGGATAAAACCGCCGACGACCCTTGTGGAGCGCCCGTCCCTCTTCTCTTCGCTGTTCGGGGAAAATGAACAGTTTTGGCCATCACGTGACATATCTCTCGCAGATTTTCCAAGCTAGTCCCAATCGAGTCTAATAGGGACTTTGTGCGAAAGTATTAAAATCCCGACGACTTCACTTACAGATAAAATCCGCGAAACCATCCCTGCATCTTCAACGGTTCCAACGCTTATTCCACACATTTACCTCCCGCCTTTCCCATCTCCCGCCTCGAAAATCGCATCCTAGGCACCTAGGGTGGGATGGCCAAGAGAAAGATGTAACCTGATGGCACCCTGCTCTGCATCTCTCATTCCTTGTGGTAAAGCTTAATTGTGGTCCCCGCCGCCTCGTCATGGGATTTGCAAACCAGTCTCAATTATTCCCTCTTTCGGCGGCGCGGCCTCTCGTACTAGTCAGTTTCTACGTGCCCGTCTTTTCAACGTCACTTTTTCAGGGTCCGCCCCATGCGGAGCGTGTTGATCCCCCACGAGCTTTCCCCTACTCTTTTCAGTAATGGCTTTGCATTGATTGGATCCGGCTAGGCAAGCTGCCTGGTTCGCCTGCCCGAGGGTGCTTCGCCCAGACCCTGCTACCCCTCGTTGTCTCGGCCTTCCCCCCGAGCTTCTAACCTAGGCACGCGTTGAAGCGTTCCTGGCCCGGCATCAGCATTGGTCACAAAGCGGCTCATTTGTAGGAAAGTGTCTGACGCTAATTCAGCGGGATCTGTTCCGTACCTGGGCGGGCTAGGTTGACATGACTTACACAGCGTCACGCGGACGGTATTGTGCATGCGGGGAGAAGCATAGACACGGCAAATAGCCACCAAACAGACGCCAGCCACACACGCGCAAATACGAGGTTGAAATCATGTAGGTGGGTGGAACTGCGAAATGTGTCATATCGTTCTTGACCATGCGTCGCCTGCCACTACCTCAGCCATCCCGGCTAAGCCGGCCAGATATTTTCCATCACAGACACGGAATCTACACCATGCCGGGTATCAAGAGATGCTAGAACCATGAGAAATCTAAATCTGGGGGGGACGCATGCCGTCCAACCCAACCCACCAACCTATCGTGATGCGGAATCAGTCCCGAGCGGGAGGCGACCCCTCATCGGGGGCGGCCGCCAAAAGGAAAAAAGAAAAGAAAAAGTCCCATCCCCATGACCCAATCGAAGAGGCTGTAGTCAAGCATTCCCCAGACGGCTGACCCACCACCCCCGGGTTCCACCGGCCATCATCCCTCGCCTATGGCGTCCACATCTACCCACCCCCATGCACTCATTAGCTGCTCGCGCACCGCCGTCGTGGGCCGCGCGTGGGCCTGTTCGGTAATGCTCAGCATCTTCAGCAGCGCCTCTTGGTCGTGTCTGTTGTCGAACCGGTCACCGGCTGTGAAAAGGGCCAAGTTAGCGTGTGAGGCAAGAATACGGAGCCACGTTCAAGAAAGGGACGGAGGAAATCTCAGACAGCAGAGGAAAGAGAAAAGGAAAATAAAAAAGAGAGAAAGACAGATCTTACCGATGGCTATGCCCATACAAGCCGTGAACATGGCTGGCGGTGACCACTGGTTGCACATGCCGATTCCGCACAGACTCCGTAGCAGTTCCTGGATCTGCTCCGTGAGCCGCTTTTCTGCAGCCTTGCGGCCGCCGCCGACCCGCGGTATGCTCGGGTTGAATAGTGCGAGGTACATTTCGGCGAGGATGTGATGTTGGACGGCGATGACTGGCGAGCTTTAGTTTGGCGTTCTGATTCGGCCTCGTCGCGGACACCGCCCATGCTGAAAAGTCCATCGGCTGTTGCGAAGAGCTGAGGCAGATAGGAGCTCACTTACTGTGACACGCCTTCTGATACCACACCTCAGGGAAGGCCTCGTCTCTCGTTCTCTCACGGAAAAAGATGGGCGTGTACGAGGGCGGCAGCGCGTTCTTCCATTCCCTGTTTGCCATCTCGAGCTGGCCCCATTGTAGGACGGACCCCGCCTCGGATCCGAAGCAGAAGTTGAGGACGTCGGCACAGTGCACGATGGCGCGGTTCGCCCAGACAAAGTCGTCTCCCGGGGCCGTCGAGCGATCGACGATGGCGTGGCCGAGGTTCATGCGGACGACCTGTTGATTGATGACGGCGCTGTAGATCTCCTGCCTCAGGCCGGCCCAGAAGCAGGCGGCGGTCAGGGAGCCCGGGGCCAGGAAGCGGTCTCCGACGTTGACGAAGGCGTGGATGCCGAGGAGGTGGCCGTGCGTGTCCTGGCCAAGGGTGTTGACGTCAATCTCCTCAAGAACCCGGAGGATGATGGTGGCGGCGAACAGGTTCTCGTCTGACACGGTGCTGGCGTGGTCGAGCAATGGGATAAGGTAGTTGAGGCACTGCTCGTGATAACGGTTCGAGGCCAGCGAGTCGTAGGCGCTTGTCAGGCTGAGATGCCGTGCCGCCAGCGCGAAGATGGCGTTCAGGAGGATGGGGCACGAGCCGGACCGCTGCGGCACTTCGGTCTCGAAGTGCCTGATGGGGTCACATAGATCGAGCTGCGTCGTCAGTTAGTGGTCTCCCCCCTTCCCGCTTGATAAAGAAGGCAGGGCGTCGGCCTTTGACATACCCAGAATCCTAGCTTCTCAACGTAGTGGCGGAACAGAGTGGCTTCTTGGCGGCCGATGAGCGGCCATGCGGGACGATCGGTATATATGCCTTCAAAGGGCGGCAGCACGGACTGCATAGGAGGTAGAGTCACGGCCGAGTCGGACTGGGACGGCTCTCGTCGATCGTCATGGGGGCTGAGGTGGTCGGCGCCGGGCGTGGTCGGCGATGCCCGTGGCGGCGATTGGGCAGGCTCGTTAATGACTTCGCGGCCGTGACGGCCTTCGGGTGGGCTTCCGTGACTGTTGCCATGACCGTTCTCATGATGGCTCTCATGGGGGCTCTCGTGATGCCTCCCACCATGGTTCTCATTTTGGCTCCCGTTGGGGAGAGGCCAACTCGCCGCCTTGGCCGCCTGCAGCGGCGGGCGGTCAGCCGAGATCACGGCGGTCGTGGTGCCCGGCGAGGTGTCAGTCGATTCGAGGTCTGCGGAAGTGGAGCCGACTACGGACTCTGCGCTGTCGATGTCATCGCTGACTCCAAGCTCAAGCCCCCGCGTCTCGTCAACGAACTTGAGCTTCTTGGGCGTCGGAGGCCATTTGTAGCTCTCTTTGAAGACGGCGTGTTTGGGCGCGCGGAACTTGTACCCCTTCTGGCACTCCCTGCCTGTCATCAGACACCGTCCACAGACGGGGAGGACGCGATCACACCGCAGGTGCTGTTCGCGGCACTGTTCGCTGTAGGCAGAGTTTGCTGTCAGCCAAGTTGCCTTCCAAAATAATAAAGATGAACCGAACATGAGGAAATTCTCCCTCAGTCAGGCCTTTCGTTGGCACCAACAGGCAGCGTCACCACCGCCGGAGTCCATCGAGTCATCTTTTCTTGCCGGGAGCCACGAGCTGAAGGCATCTCACGAGATATTTCGCTACAGCTCGTCCCTCGTCTCTCGTTCTCACGGCCGTCTGTCCGGATTCGAATGGCCTCGTCGACTCCGAAAGAGGCGTTTTTTTCCGAGGCGACCCCTGCCCCTCTCACGGCGGTGGATCATCCCCCCTTTCAAAGTCTCACTCACCAAGTGGTGGCACTCAACGAATCAGGCGCTTCGGGAGATGGCATGGCGCCCTGAAGCCACTTGAAAGGTGCAATTCTTTCCGATGAAAACGTCGAATGAATTGAAACCTGGGGAAGATGGAGCAAAATCTGGGGAGCCCCTCGATTTTTGAACAGATCTGTGCGGGATTTGAGTTGAGGCTCTCGAGTCCGGGGCTGCCAGTGACGTGTGCGGGGGCACTTTTCCCGTACAGTCAGTAGGGTCGTCCACCCCCAGGTCGTGATTTGGTCAGCAGACGCCCGACGACACATGCCTCTCCACCTGAGAAAATTGTTCCCTTCCGCGCATATGGCGGCCACTGTACTGTATTCGTGCCTGCCTGCTCTCTATGCTGTGCATGCACAACTTGTACGTACCTTCTTCTCCTTGTTACTTCAGGTACCTACCTACCTTAGGTAAGTAGGTAGGTACCTACCTAGGTACGGATACTCATTCTGTGCCATCTGGCAGGCAGGAAAGTTCGGCAAGCACCCGAGCACCTTCCCCTTCCCGCGCATCGCTTGCCTACCTCTGTTGTCGCGACGAGAAGGGACGGAACGAGGAAGGAAGAAGGGGAAACAACGAACAGTTAAATCAATCAATCAATCAATCGATCGCTGTGGGCTGTGGCTATGACCGTGGCTGGGCATGTGGCTGTGGCATTCTTCATCGAGATCGAGATCGAGAACCATCTATCTCCACGCCTCTCTCTTTCAACTTCTCTGAACCTCTATCTCTCTCTCTCTCTTTCTCTGTATCTGCCACTACCCCACTTCTCGTCTCCCATCACCATTATCAAGCCAACGTTACCGACACCACCACCACCACCACCACCAACATACACCATGGACTTCTTCCCGGTGGCTTGGATCTCAGACCAAACGAGGAACGACATACATGGTATTTGACAGCTCAGCTGACCATCCATCCTTGACATACACACACTTTCATCTCCCCTGCACGCTAGACGACTCCAGACAAACTCAATGGCAGCAAACGAGTCGCCTGTCCCAGTCCATCGGATGCGGGGTTCCCTCTCAACCTGACTCTTTACCTTGTCTCGGCGCGCAAGTCGAACCCCGATGCTGGCATTCATTGAAGAGGGGGGGGAAGTGTCGATCGCTGGGAAGAGCACAGTCCCTCCTCCAATGCATCCATGACCCCTCGCCGTATTGCTCCGTGGTTTGCGACGACTTGGGCATCGCTGTCCCCAGTCCATGTTCCTTGACCTTCCGGCGCCCGGTGGGGGTACTCGACGCGACGACGTTGATTAGCGGATGAACCCGAAAGGTTACGCTTGACCGCTGTGCCAATTTGCGAATGGATGCGATAGATACCAGCCCGTCAATTCAGTTCCATCCCGAGTCTCTCCTCTTCTATCCCCCTCATATCGGGGGCCCCAGTCTTTCGTCGCACTTCGTCAAACTTCGAGCCCTTTCTTTTGTGGGCTTTCACCCAACCTAGCGTCCCGGCAAGCGGGCATTTCTTTTCTTTCATAAGCTCGCCGTTATCCCTTCTCCGCACAAAACATCCCACGATCTCTCCAACGGCGTCTTTTCCTTTTTTTCCCCATCCCATCTACTAGCTACCTCGGGGCCAAAGCTTCCCTCGCTCCCTCATCGACCGACTCTGCGCAAACCATAGCCAACTGCGACAGAGCCGCACGCAAGCACACACGCGCGCGACACCTGCGCATCGCAGCACCGCCAGTCCCACATTTTTGTCGCTTTGCGTCCCGTCACGATGGCGTCCAAGACGGCCCCCGAGGAGGACAATGTGGTCGCCCCCGTCGACTCTGTCATCGACATTGGCGACCACTCGGCCAAGCTGGCCAGCACCTTTGTGCAGAATGCAAAGTCCGCCACGGACAAGGAGCACGCCATGACTCTGACCCAAGGCATCAAGCTGTACCCCAAGGCCATCGCCTGGAGCATCCTCATCTCCACCTGTATCGCCATGGAGGGCTACGACATCAGCCTCGTCAGCAACTTCTACGCCTTTCCCCAGTTCAACCAAAAGTACGGAGTCCTCACCGCCGACGGCACCTACCAGGTCCCCGCCCCTTGGCAGGCCGGCCTCAGCAACGGTGCTACCGTCGGTGAGATCATCGGTCTCTTCATCAACGGCTGGGTCTCGGAGCGCTTCGGCTACCGCTGGACCGTCATTCTCTGCCTTCTACTCGTCGCCGCCTTCACCTCAATCTTCTTCACCGCCCAGAACGTCCAGACCCTGCTCGTGGCCGAGATTCTCTGTGGTATCCCCTGGGGCGTGTTCCAGACCCTCTGCATCACCTACGCCTCCGAGGTCTGCCCCGTCGCCCTGCGCGGCTACCTGACCACCTATGTCAACTTCTGCTGGGGTCTCGGCCAGGAGATCGGTATCGGCGTCATCGTCTCCATGCTCGATCGCCAGGACGAGTGGGCCTACCGCATCCCTTATGGCCTGCAGTGGATGTGGCCGGTGCCGTTGGCCCTCGGCATCTACTTCGCCCCCGAGTCGCCCTGGTGGCTGGTGCGCAAGGGCAGGATCGATGACGCCAAGAAGTCGCTGCTTCGCCTGACGAGCAAGGGCAAGGACTCTGACTTTGACGCCGACGAGACCGTCGCCATGATGGTTCATACCAATGCCCTCGAGGAGAAGATCACCGAGGGCGCCTCCTACCTCGACTGCTTCAAGGGGGTCGACCTGCGCCGTACCGAGATCGTCTGCATGGTCTGGGCCATCCAGAACCTCAGCGGTAACTCCTTTTCCAACTACTCTACGTAGGTTCTTTTCTTTTTCCTTTTTCCACACAACGCGGTCTACGTGACGCGACGACACGACATGGGTACTGATATGCAAATCTAGTTACTTCCTCAAGCAAGCCGGTCTCTCGACGAGAAACTCGTACAACTTCGCCCTCGGACAGTACGGCATCAACATGGTGGGCGTCTTTGGCGCCTGGTTCCTGATGTCGTGGGGCATTGGCCGCCGCACGCTGTACCTGTACGGCCTTGTGGGCCTCTGCAGCATGCTCATGGTCCTCGGGTTCCTGGGCCTCGTGCCGGAGGAGCACCGTGAGCAGGGTGCGCTGGCGACGGGCAGCATCATGATAGTCTGGGCCCTCTTCTACCAACTGACTGTGGGCACCGTGTGCTACTCGCTGGTCAGTGAGCTGCCGTCGCGCCGCCTGCAGATCAAGACGGTCGTCCTGGGACGTAACCTTTAGTAAGCCAACCTCATCCCTCCCCGGCTGACGGTCACCCCAATTTAGTCAACAGCAAGCTAACACTGTTACCCCTCAGCAACGTTGTCGGCATCATTAACAATGTCCTTACGCCCTACATGCTGAACCCCAGCGCGTGGAACTGGCACAACTACACGGGCTTCTTCTGGGGCGGCATCTGCTTCCTCTGCTGCGTCTACACGTACTTCCGCGTGCCGGAGCCGCGCGGGCGCACATACGCCGAGCTGGATAAGCTGTTTGAGCAAAAGATCAGCGCGCGCCGGTTTGAGAACACCAAGGTCAACGTGTTTGAAGAGGACATTGACGAGAAGGCCATGAGCAACTACCACCATCAGATCCGCGTGTCACACTCGGAGAAGGACGTGCCGGTGTAAAGGGACCCAGACGAGTGAGGGGGGGGGGATCAGATAATTGCAAGAGGAGGGATTTCGTCTTCACTGGCGCAACACAAGATATGTGCAGTGGTAAAAGACTGGACACCAACTACCACCATGGCCTGGCCCATGACGGATGGACGACAAGGTAATGCTGTAATGCATGTATGTAATTCTGACGATGTATATGAAATCTACCAATACTGTATAATGACCCGATTCACTGGCCTGTGAGACACACGAACACAACAAACAAGACATGCCACGGGCGGCACGAAGTCGGTCCGCCCCATGCCCTCCCCACATTCTCCCCCGCACGCCACTTTGGGCCGCGGTAAGAGGAGGGAATGTGGATGTGCACACAGCTACCGGCGGCGGGAGAAAGCGGGAGGATTGATTTTCTAGTTTTGTCAGGGGAGGGGTCTTTGGGATATTTGTCGTGTTTGGCTGCTGTTCCTCGGTGTTCCAACTACCTTACCGAATGCTTCCCAGAGGCGGCGGTGGCACCTATTAGCCATAGACATGGAGAGATCCGTCTTCCCTGTCGGACCTCCTCTCATCTCCTCCCACCCCGACCGTCAAATAAGCAACGACCTTCCGTCAGATCATCATGGCTCGCTCCCCTCTTCTGCAGACTGCGGGGAGGGGGATGCAGATATTCCTCTATGCGACTTGTAGGTATGATCCGCGTTGCTAGGTACTCGAGCTTTTCCCCTCATGCTCCAATCCATGCTTCCCCAGACGAATCCCCTTCTTTTTCCGTCGTTTTCCTGTTGCGTCCCACAGAAGCTCTTCTTCTTTTTCCGACTTCCTAACCTGCTGTCACCGGCCTCTTTCCGACAGTGGCCATGGATGTCTCGGAGGTTCGCCGCCCGGTAACTTACCATGCACGCCACTCTTCCTCGACTGCCTCGGCCGCGAGCCCCCGCGGTGAGTCGAGGAAAAGGAGATTCAGCTCCGCAGATCTGCAGTCTCCGGACTCGGACGAGCTCACCGGCCCCTCGGCCAACCGCCGCAAGTTGCACAAGGTCAGCCGGGCCTGCGACTTCTGCAAGCAGCGCAAGGCCAAGTGCAGCGGTACAATTCCCTGCGATAAGTGCACCCGCAAGGGCCGCACCTGCGTCTACGACGCCAAGTATTCCCGCGGGAGACCCCCGACCCCGCCGCCGTCTTCGGCCGTCTGGTCTACCGGGTCCAATACGGGAGCCTCTCATCGCGGTTCCGTGTCCGTTGCCGGGCAGGAAGAGTCTGCCGTCCTGTACCAGACCACCGAAACGGCCGAGCGCAATGCCATCCCCCCATCATCGCAGCTGCTGCTTAGCCAGGTCCGCGACAGGCAAGGGCCGGCATCGCGGGCGTCGCCCGAGCTGGGCATGGCGGAGATCCAAGGCCAGATCTTCGACCCGACCTCGGGCGTGACGTTCCTGCACAGGGCGTGGAAGCGGCTGTCGAGACGCGACAGCAGCATCGTCTCGGCCGAGCTCAACGCTTCGACCGAGAGCCAGCCACTCATGCTGGCCGGCGACAAGCCCCTGCCTTCCATCACGGACGAAGACATGGCCAGTCTCACGCTCCCCGACTCCAAAGAACTGCAGACCCTGCTGGGCCTGTACTTTGACGTGTGCATAGCGACGTATCGCGTCCTCCACCGCCCGTCCGTTGAGGCCTGGCTCGGCGTCATGGTAGACAACCTCCGCCGAGGCAAGCCCGTCTGGCAGGAAATTGGCCGGAGCAAGGCGTCCATCGTCCTCACGGCGCTCGCCGTGTCCGCTGCGCACCAAGAAAAGTCCAACGGGCTCAATTCGCAAGAGAACGAGACCATGTCCCTGGCCAAGAGCGACCGGCTCTTCTGCGTCGCCCTCCAGCTGTCGGAGCGGGAGACCGGGCTTCCCCGGCTCGAGTCAGCGCAGTCCCGCCTGATCCAGGTTTTATACCTGCTCACCACATCGCGGATGAATCGCGCCTGGTACACGTTCGGGAACGCCCTACAGATCATCTCCGCTCTGGGGATGCACCGCAAGACGGCGAAGAAGCGGCACCTGACCGCGGGGAGCGCCGACTTTATTCAGGCGCAGTGCCGCATGCGGACGTTTTGGACGGCGTACGTGCTGGACAAGTATCTGGGCGTGATCCTCGGCCGGCCGCGGCATTTCCACGACGACGATATCGACCAGGAGTACCCCGACAGGATCGAAGACGAGGACATGACTGCGCAGGGACCTGTTGAACGGTCAGAGGAGCATCCGGACTGCCACATTGAGGCCCTGATATTCCACGTCAAGTGAGTACTATTTTCGGGGTCACCCTCCTTTAGTAGATGCTGACGCGTGAAACCAGGATCGCACGAATCATCGGCAACACGTCGAGGGAAGTCTACTCGATCAAGCCCATCTCCGAACGGGAGCGCGTGGCCGCCGCCCACCGCCTGAGCGAGGAGATACACGATTGGCGAGCCAGCCTGCCCCCCCATCTCGGCTCGATCCGGCCGTCGATGCTCATCCCGAGCTTCCGCCGCCAGGCGACGGTGCTGAGGCTGGCCTACTCGCACGCCATAATGCACGCGAACCGGCTGTTCCTCCTCGGGAACCTGAGCTCCGGCAGCGAGGCGCAGGTGATCGAGTGCATCGAAGCCGCGAGGACGGTGCTCGAGACGGTCGACGGCATGGCGGCCGAGGGCCCCATCTTCCACGCCTTCTGGTGGACGCAGTACGTGACCTTCTGCGCGCTGCTGGTGACGTACGTCCGGGACATCCAGCAGAAGCGGCGGGGCCTCCCGGTCCAAGGCGCGGGCCGGGAGAGGCACGCGAAGCTCATGGACCTGGCCGAGCGCTGCCAGACGCACCTCGCGCACGCCACGGCCTCCAACTCGCCGAGCCGCCGATACGCCATCGTCCTCGAGGAGTTCCGGACTGAAGGCCTCGGCCACGTGGCGCGCAAGAGCCAGGCGCCGGCCGCGCAGCCACAACTACCCCCCCAGCAGGCGCCGCCGTCCAGGCAGCAAAGTCACGAAAACCAAAGGGTGTTAACGATGGCTGCTGCCGACGGGCTCGGCTTCGATCCCGCCTACGCTGCCGACGGGTCTGGGCCGGCAGAGCTCATGGGCCAGGGAGACTCGGGGCTGTCGGGGTTCAGTTTGCTGGACGAGTGGCAGACGACGGACTGGTTGGAGCTCGACTCGTCCGCCTTTGGTCCGTACATGGACACTGACGCGGACCCGCTCGCTTGGATGCCGGATCTCGGCGGGTGAGATTCTCATGAGAAAGAAAAGGTCGATTCTATATATATTTTTAAAAATGAAAATAATAATAAAACCGTGAATAAAAACCAATGATTTCAATGTGACTAAACAGTGAACTTTTTCAAGTTCTCGGGCCCCGTCTCTTGCGCGACGCGCTTGACCTCCTCCTCCCCGAGCTCCTGGAAGATGTCAAAGCCCCATCTCGTCTGCCTTTCCACGCCGGACTCGACGTCTTCGGGCGCGTGCTTGGTGTTCCACAGCTTCCCGGTGATGAAGATGTCGGACCGCGGCACGCCGCTTTTGCGGATGCCCTCGCCGACCTCCGTCTCGTTGCGGTAGACGGCGGCGCAGTCGATGTGGCGGTAGCCGGAGCGCAGGGCGGTCTCGACGGCGCGTCCGACCTCGTGTGGCCCGGCCTACCAGGTGCCGAATCCCACGGCGGGGATTCTCGCTCCCGTGTTCAGGGTGAAGTGCGTGGCGAGAGACATACTGAGTGACAGGAGGGGGGAGAGGGGTGTTATCTTCCGTAATTGGAGTTCGTGAGAGACATGGGGGGAGAAGTAGATGACTTGATAATAATAATGAGCAGCAGGAAAGCGAGATAATAAACCAGACCAAGTCACTTGGCCGGTTTGCTGCCGTCGATGATGCTTCATCATCGCGGAGTCTCTCATCTCATCGCGGGGTCTCTCATCGCGGATGACGGATTCTTATCCTTGAGTCCAGCCACACCCCTGCTTGGTTCGTGTCCGAATCCGTGCAAAATCCGTCGCCCAAACTCGAAAACGCGGGGAATCACGGATTTCGCCCTCCCCACTAACGGAGACTTTACCCTAGATCCTGTCGCGTCACCGCCAACCAAAACCGCCCGCTCAGTTGGTTACCACGGATCTGTGAATCAGAAGGGCGGAGAACGGATCGCCGGCAACGGAATGATGGCTACCGACCTAAGACGCGGAAGCCCGCCGTCGGTCTGTCAAAAGGGGTGGAGGAGGTGGTTGTCGATAAGAACCCACAGTGCCTCTCTCGCCCACACTTTGGAGGAAACCAAGTGCATCGCCAGCCGCCATGAGTCCTCCGCCTGTCTACGGTCCCGCGAGCGCGACGCTCCCGAGCAGCTCCGGCTTGGATGCGAACCCCCTCGCCCACTCGCCCGTAGTGGCCGCCCAATACTCGGATAACGATGACAGCACCATCCAGACGGTCGACGAGCTGGTACGCCGACGGGCCCGGGCCTATCCGGACCGCGTCATTGTCTCGTACCCCTCATCGGGCATCAATTATGTCGACTACACGATGAGGCAGCTCGACGTCTTCGCATACCGCGTCGCCAAGGTGTATGAGCAGCGCATCCCGAGCAGACTCACGTCCGATGAGAAGCCGACGACTGTGGCCGTCATTGGCCCCTCCAACTTTGACTACCTCATCACCATGCTCGCCTTGACCAAGCTCGGCCACACAACGCTGTTCCTGTCGACGAGAATTTCACAAGAGGCGATCGAGTCTCTCATCACCGTCACTGGCGCGCAGTACCTCCTGGCCGACAAGAGGTATCTTGAGACGGCCGAGGCGGCCAAGCTGACGTTGCCGCATCTGGATGTCTTTGAGATCGCCGGCCAGTCGACGTTCGATTTCCCCATCGAGGTGCACGCCGACACTCGTCTGGACTACGGGCGTGCTCTCTCGGTCGAGACCAACAACCTGGTCTACATCATCCACTCCAGCGGTGAGTTTCAACATGCCGCGTTCTTGCGTCCGAGCCGTGCTAAAGTGACCCTCCCAGGCTCAACCGGTCTGCCGAAGCCCATATACCAGACCCAAAAGTCGGCCATTCACAACTACTCGAGCAGTATGAAGATGAAAGCCTTCATCACCCTGCCTCTGTACCACAACCACGGCATCTGTAACTTGTACCGGGCCGTCTACTCCGGGAAGCCCATCCACCTGTACAACGCTGACCTCCCTTTGACGCAGGAGCACCTCAGCAGCATCATGCGGAAGCACAACTTTGAGATATTCTACGGTGTGCCCTATGCGCTGAAGCTCCTTGCCGAGACGGAGGAGGGAATGGACCTGCTGCGCCAGCTCAAGATCGTCATGTACGGCGGCTCGGCCTGCCCCGATGGCCTCGGCGACGCGCTCGTTAATAACGGCGTCAACCTAGTCGGCCACTACGGAGCGTGAGTCGTAGCAACTCTCCCGGGAAGGGGAGGCCTTTGTGTACTCATATCTAACGTCTCTTGCAGAACCGAAGTCGGTCAGCTCATGACGTCCTTCCGCCCGCCCGACGACAAGGCGTGGAATTACGTCCGCGAGCACGACAAGCTCGCGCCGTACCTGAAATGGATACCGCGCGGCCCGATCCTGTTCGAGTGCTGCGTTCTGCCCGGCTGGCCCGCCAAGGTCGCCACGAACCAGGACGACGGGTCCTACTGCACAAAGGACCTCTTCGAGCCGCACCCGACGATCCCCAAGGCGTGGAAGTACATCGCTCGGCTCGACGACACCATCGCCCTCGTCAACGGCGAGAAGTTCAACCCCGTGCACATGGAGGGCATGATCCGCTCCAGCAAGAACGTCACTGAGTGCGTCATCTTCGGCGTCGGCAGGCCGTCCCTCGGCGCCCTCATCGTCCCAGCCGCGGCACTCGCCGGCAAGACGGAAGACGAGATCCTCGAGGCCATCTGGCCTGTCGTTGAGAGCGCGGGCCGGTCCGTCGAGGCGTACGCCCACATCTCCAAGAACATGATCAAGCTGCTCCCGCACGACTGCGCCTACCCGAGGACAGACAAGGGCAGCGTCATCCGCCAGGCCTTCTACAAGACGTACGCCAAGGACATCGACGAGGTCTACGACAACGCCGACGCCAGCAGCGGCGACCTGCAGAAGCTGGGACTCCCCGAGCTGAGGAACTTTATCCGCGAGGGACTCGTCCAGACGCTCTCCAAGAAGGTCCAGCTTGACGACGACACCGACTTCTTCTCCCTTGGCCTTGACTCCCTCCAGGCGATTCAGATGCGCTCCGACATTCTGAAGACCGTCGACATTGGCGACAACAAGCTCGGTCAGACCGTAGTCTTTGACCACCCGTCTGTCAACAAGTTGAGCGCATACCTGTACGGTCTCGGCACTGGCGAGGGTGTTGAGGCCGAAGTCTCCATCGAGAGCGAAATGCGGGAGCTGATTGAGAAATACGGCGACTTTTCTCCCATAGAATCAGCACCCAGGTCTTCCATTGTAGGTCCCAAACCATGCTCTGTTTGTCCCTTTATTATATCTGACTTTCTCTGATAGGTCGTCACCGGCGCAACCGGCTCGCTCGGTGCTCACATCGTCACCAAGCTCGCCGCCGACCCTACCATCAAGACCATCTACTGCTTCACTCGCGCCAGCTCCGACGCCGAAGCAGCCCGCCGCGTGAAGAGCTCGCTCATCCAGCGCCGCCTGTACCACGCCCTGACGGCCTCCTCCCGCAGGAAGCTCGTCGCGCTGGCCACCGACTTGGCCGATCCCAAGCTCGGCCTTGCCGAGGAGGCCTACGCCCGGGTCAAGCGGGACCTCCGCCTCGTCATCCACGCCGCCTGGCCGGTCAACTTCAACATGCGCCTGTCTAGTTTCGAAAAGAGCAGCATTGCGGGCGTCAACCACCTCATCGCCCTCTGCAAGCAAGCCGGCGACGCCGCGACGGTCGGCTCGTCGCCCGTGTCGTTCAACTTCTGCTCGTCTGTCAGCACCGTCGTCCGCGCCACGACGACGCCCGTCCCCGAGGCCGCCCCCGAGCTCGAGTGGGCGCAGGGCATGGGCTACGCGCAGTCCAAGGTCGTCGCGGAGCACCTCTGCGCGCGCGCCGCCAAGGCCGGCATCAGGGCCCGCGTCCTGCGCATCGGCCAGGTCGTCGCCGACACCCGGCACGGCGTCTGGAACGCGACGGAGGCCATCCCCCTGATGCTCCAGTCGGCCATCACCATCGGCGCCCTGCCCAGGCTCCGGGAGACCCCCTTGTGGCTGCCGGTCGACACCGTCGCCCAGGGCGTCGTGGACATCTCCCTCTCCGACGCCGGCGGTGTCTTCGCCAACGTGACCAACGCCAGGACGTTCAGCTGGACCGACGACCTCCTCCCCGCCCTCAGGGCCGCCGGCCTGGAGTTCGACGAGGTCGAGCCCAGAGAATGGATCCGCCGCCTCCGCGCCTCGAACCCGGACCCGGTCGCCAACCCGCCCATCAAGCTCGTCGACTTCTTCGCGTCAAAGTATGACAAGGACGAGTTCTCGCCGTCAAAGACGTACGCGACGGACAACGCGCGCTCGCTCTCGCCCGCGCTTGCACAGGCTCCCGTGCTGGACCAGCAGCTGGTCGACAACTTTGTCGGGTACTTCAAGGCCAACCGCTGGGTCGAAAAAGGCCAAGGCGCCGCCAAGACGGTCGTTGTGGTCACCGGCCCCTGCGGCAGCGGGAAGTCGACGCTCGCCGCCTCGCTGGCCTCTTGGCTCGGGGCCCCCTTTGTCGAGGGCGACTCGCTGCACTCGAAGGACGCTGTCGAGAAGATGGGTAGCAACGTCGCCTTGACGGATGATGACCGCTCGGCGTGGCTGAGCCGCGTCGGCCGGAGAGCGGTCGAGGCCGTCGAGGAACTCGGCTACGATTCCGTCGTCGTCAGCTGCTCGGCTCTGCGGAAGTCGTACCGCGACGCGCTGAGGGGTGCGGTCGAGAAGCGGGACGGCGTGAGGATCGTGTTCCTCGATCTCCAGTGCGGTCCGGACACGTTGGTCGAGCGGATCAGCGGGAGGAACTACCACTACATGCTGGCGAACATGGTCGAGGGGCAGGTTGAGGTGTACGAGGGCGCTAGTGTCAGCGAGTTGGACGTTCTCCCCGTCGAAGCGGAGGGCAGGCCGGACGAGGTCTTCGAGGAGGCCAAGTGGCTGTTAGGTCAGATCGGAGTCAATTAAACCTCTAGAATTCAAAGCACTGTGGCGTGGAATCGGCGTTTGGGGTATTATGGAAACTATGCTAGCCGTGATAATCGCTTTCTACATCAGCGAAACAGATACAAGTATGCATTTACTATAGATTACACCACGAGACCCTCATGCAGACATAGCGTTCGTCCCCCGGGACGGCGATTTCCCACAGCAAGAGCAGAACCCCCCGCGCTCCCGGTGCATGACCCATCTCGAGAAATCTCCGCCGGCCTCTACCCCTTTGAACGTGTAGGTGAAGTAGGATCGATACGTAATGCACGCGTGCTGCTGATCGCCTGCGTGCTTGGAACGCCCCAGTTCGACTCCTATGCCAGGGCAAGCCGCACACTGGCCAAGGCCCCCGTGGGGACACCTCCAGCGATGTAGTTTTGAGCAATGGTGGCAGAGATACGTGCAGTCTCGGGTCTGTTGTAGGTCTTTGAGAAGTAAGTAGAGAAACCCGGCGATCTGTCTCTCGTTGCTCATGAGATTCCGGAGCGTGCTCGAGAAGAGAAGGCCGTAGAGTGGTTTGCACGTCAGAGCCAAGCACATGGCGGACTCCGTGGGGAGGTGTGAGGCAATCTCCAATACGATATCTGGAATCTGACGGAGAAAGAGAGGCAGCTGGAGCAGCGAGGGTGCCTCAGACCTGAGGAAGGCCGTCCCTGGTGAGAAGACGTCTGTTATCGTTGCAGAACCCATTTGGGCCGGTGAAGGGGTTATGATGGTTGATGGGGACTCCGAAGCCAATTGCTTGTGACGTTTCTGGGGGGTTGACGGCCGGTGTGTCTCTTTGCGCACGGCCGGTCGCCCGGAGATGTTTCGATCGATTGCGTCTGTGTTGTTTCTTTTGACGGTTTGACACGGAGAAGGATGCTCTCACACGCATAATGATCTTAGATCGGAACGTGCGTATGGAAGTCCACGGTCGGTGGTTACAGTACCAACGGAACAGGTTGCAAAGCTCTCGGAAACATGCACTTGACTCTTCTTCAATTCCCTGGTTCCCTTCAACTTACACTTGTGTTCTGAGACATCAAGGGCCCTGGCGGATTATTGTGTTTTCAGTCACAGGTTCGTTCTAATCGACCAAATTGGGAGATAAGCTAGTCGTTCTGTTACCTTTCAGTTCGAAGTAGATGGTGGACATATATTAGCCTACACGAATTTCTGTTTTCATCCAGGCCCGAGCTATGGTCGAACCTATTGAACCTTGACTGTGAACTCCGAACACCGGCGGCCAAAACTGTGTGTATCGTAACCAGGGTTACATGCAACTTCCGCAACTTGGTGCAACCTTGAGATATTAGATACTTCTTTCTTCCAGTACCTCCTGATCGCGCGACTTACCCCAATCCCCGTCACTGATGGGCTGGCTGACAGCATACTTTTTCACATATTTTCCACCACGTCGGCAGTGTCGCCCCATCCTTTTCTATGACGCGAACGCGGGTTGTCTAATAGGGTCTGACCATTGTAAAAGGAAGGAAGGCCGTTATTGCTCTGCGATTAATATTAAATCCACCGAGGATGGCATCCAACAAGGCTTTATATTCTCAATTCTGTTGTTCATTACGGGGCCCTATTCTACCAGAGCGGGCCGTACGTAGTGTTACTACCTAAGTGTTCGCATTAGAAAATCCAGCTTTTGTTAGAGAGGCGCAACTGCCTGTGCAGAAGGCTCAAGCTGGATAATGGATGGGGCGTCTTATAATCTTTGAATAATCAGAGTAAAGATAAGATACAACTACACACAAGGGTACCTATTGTAGATGTGCAGGGGGGAGAGGGGGAGAGGGACATTGTCAGGTTGTCAGATCGTCTGATCACACCTTCGGACGCACACCAGAAACGCACGGTAGTCCCGGGCAGGTTTAACAGGGGGGTCATTGCAGTCTTTGTGATCGCTCTCTTAAAGGAGTCAAGATGGATGACTGTTCGTCGTGGGCATGTCATACACGACCACGGGCGTCTCCTCGCTGAGTACCTTGTATTTGAGAATGGTGAGATGATTCCAGAGTCTTGGTAAGCCCCACAGTGTAAGGCATAACTTGAGTATCAACATCCAGACGTAAACCATAAGTAGAGCGTTATACTAATCGGTACGACTGTGCTCGATGGCTTCGTATTTGATGGGACGTCACGATATTACATTCAGTTGGGGCCTTGTTGCTACGAGACACTGAAAGAGGATCGATCAAATCGACGCAGAACAAAATTGGCATTATGGTAGAGTGGATGGCCAATCGCCACATCTTTTTTCTCATTTTTCACATGAGGGCATCAACGAAACCCTTGCGCACGCTAGTTAAACAACTTTATACAGGCTTATGGATCATGTCAAGGTCCGAACATCCGAACATTCTTTGGTTTGCCTTGACTTGTGAACCAAGTCGCCTTTTTTTGAGACATCCCCAAAACTTGCCGATCAGTGATGGCGAAATCCGAAATGAGAGGACTGATGATAGGTCTGTTGCTTTGTGCTCTGTCTGAACTCTATTGACCCTCCATGGTATGCTGCCTGTTGCAGGAACCCAGGATGTATCTGAGGCGCAGATAGTCATAGTCCTTGGCAACAGGAGCTACTTGTTGCGGACGGCAAAAGATGCCGCAGTGAGCACGTCATTGAAGCGCGTTGATGATCATAGAAGTTCATATTACGTAGTTGTTCTCCGCTAGCTTGGAACCCTTTGAAGCCTCTCGGGATGTCTATTGAAGTCATCTTGAGGAATTCTGGCCATTAAAAGTCTCCCAATGTTATAAACCCACCCATCTGCACTCTAGGTTCCCCATCTCGCCTTTCACTATCTAACAGCATTCAGTCCACGCCATATATATCCGCTTCAAAAAGCTGGAGAATTTCTCTTCCTTACATTTCTTTTTTTACTGTTAAACTATCCATATCAATCAGGCCAGCAACCCCGTGATATACTTCAAAACCTGCTCAGTTGGTTTCTCTTTGCTGCTAAACCACTCAAACGAGTAATCTCGCCATCGTCTCTCTTCTTAAACCATCCATTGCGTTTTGACTCAAAAGGTGCCAGTTGGTTCAGCACCTCCCCCCTTCTTTCTCTTCTCTTCTCCTTGTCCTTCTCCTGTAAGCCATGAATTTTAACTGGACTGGACTGGCACAATTATGCAATTTACGACTACTTTTGCTTTCTTTTGTTATTCTGCTGTCTCTGTTGCGGCCAGTATAGGGAAATGCCGCAACTTGCATTGTGATGACCCGGCAATTTGTTAATGTAAAAAGAATAACGACGACAGCACCTGTGTAGAAGGGGTTTAAAAAGTTGGGTTCTGTCTTTTGAGCGCGATTGTACCTGTCCCGATGGGGTTCACGTTGTATGCAGTACCTTTTGTACCGACTAGTATAACACAGGGCTAGACTGAAACCTCGGAATACATACACAGTATAATACATTCATCCCTTGGTGTTTTATAATCTACCTTCCTGTTGGGAGGACTGTAGATAGGTCGATGCATCAACAAAAGGGGCTGTAACTGTGTTCTGATTGTCTGGTTCTTGTCTAAGTCTAGTTGGTCTAGCTAGCTAGAAAGTGTCCGGTTATATAGACTACTGTGGTCATTGAATCATACGTAAGAATCGGTTGAAATGCTGTTCCAACACCTCATATATGTAGCATCATTCTACGCTGGACCTATCCTTCAACCCCATACGATGCTACGATGCCCGGACGCATGGCGGATGTCGGTCCCGAGAGGCACACTCTACCATTAATAGCGATTATCGGGTAGTTTTAAGGGCCATGTAAAACAGGACAATGTTATGGGTTGCCTTTAGCCTTACTCTGGACTGCTCCCTCTATGGCTGGGCGGCAGTGTTTGGGCCGTAAGTATTTATCAGTGCCATCTACAACATTCTCTGAGCGCTCACTTCCTCTTTTCCTTTGTAGTACTACTCTTCATAATGCGCTATATGTATTTTTGCATGACAGATATCATAATAGTTACTCGAAGAGATATAGGCGTGCTGTCAACACTTGAGAACCAAATAGAATGGAAAAAGTACCATTGTCGCCGCTTACTCGCCTGGTCGCGAAGTTGCCCGACCTTCGAGGTGGATTCGACAGAGACATCACCGTTGATACGCCAGTCATATCCTCGTCGTGTGTTTCGCCGCAAACATGCTTGACCTTGTTCAACAGTATCGTCATCGTCGGTACATCAAAGCACAGCCCAGTATCAACTCTGTTGTCTCCAACGTTCTAGTGCCCATAGGTCGTTCGCGCCATAGTTGAAGTGAAATCCGATTCGGCAGTTGCTCTGCATTATCAGGTATTACATGCCGCACTAAGTGATTGAAACATAGCATAGATTACAGGTGCTGCGTATCAGCTTTTTACGTATTGTGGTATTACGCACGCACCGAGTGAAATGCACTAGACCGCTCATGGTGGTCCAGAGCGACTATATCCATCAATAAGATGGAAAACAGAAGAAAACAGGTAGAATTTTCAATTCTGGAACCGCAATATTGAAACAAGGATTATAATTAGTGGCCTGGAAGCGTGAATCTGTTGATGCAGTTGATGAAAGACCATCGTGGTAGTTGATTTCGAGTATTGCTTCACTTTTTCTTGAGCCATCTTTCCTAATGCCCAATCTATTAACCAGATTTCTGTTTCGCTTACTCAATAAACCGGAGTAGGGGCACGGAGCAACTCAGAAAAACGGTCATGGCTACTACCAGCACGTCAAAGACCAGCTAGAGAACGACAATCCCGCAAGCCAGTTGCAACTATTTCAGCAACTCTTCTAGTTACGGCAGCCAGAGCCCCAGCTTCCGGAACGTATTTCGAGCCAGCCAGATTCGGCCTTACAGCAGCAGTCGTCAAATCGACTTTCCGAGTCTGGCGGTACCATCCGGCCAATAAGCACGATTAAACGGGAAAACTCCAAAGATATTAGAGTTACCCTTTGAGTGTGACATCACGACTCTCTATGACAGCGCAGCCATCACGAATACCACGAATGGGCAAGGCCTCGGGTGCTTCCAGCCCTAGCATTGTTGCATAGACAACGTGATCTACTCCTAGGGTGGCCCCTGACTGCGGGACGAGTGCTATACCAGCGTGCTGTATGCAACCGAGACATTGGAGAAACTCCCGATGGCAGAAATATTGTGACCTTCTGCGGGATCTCTACAGGCCTGCACGGATATCCGGCTCAAGACGCCGCGGCTGTTACGGTCAACGCGGTCGCGGATGGGCTCAAGCACAACGAGGATACACAAATCACCAATGTAGTGTAACTTTCAACGGCTTCACCGACGCACATCACATCATCTACCAGGAGGCCCTGGCCTCCACCCCGCGTGCATGGATATGTCCGGCAGCGGCTCCGCCCGTAGGGGCACAAAGCCCACCGCTGATCCAATGCGGCTCGCTGGAAAAGACAAGAGATTGGCCGAGAACCTCGACAACAACCATTACCAACGCCGGTGCCGCGCTATCGGCTTCTGACGGGCTGAGTTACACTTCATCCGACCTGTTCGTCAAGCGCTTCCCGGGATTCCCCAAGTATGGGGAGTAAACCTTGTTCAGTGTTTCTCAGCTTCAATGGCTGGCGTGACGGAGCAGGTTCTCCAGAGCTGCTTCTTCACGCAGCTGGGTAGGGTCAGATCACATCAGAGGTCCAAAACGTATGACACTCCTATCGCGTGGGTTGAGAGGTTTGGGGCGAACGCAAACGTCGGAACTTCCAACACCGACGGCCTGTTCGTCGCCAACGGGCTGCCTCCGGACAAGCTCCCAATGCCCCGAGGCTCATACTCCGTTTTCCAGTGCCAGGTCAGTTCCTGCCTCAAAGCCATGATCTTCTCCGTGCCCTTATTGGAGGATGAGCAGGCGTTTCTAGTTCTGGTATCTGAAGATCTGGTAGATAAGAGCAAGGTGCCCTAGTGCAGGATTTGCGGTGGCAAGACGAGCATCTACGTTGGAGCGGGTCACTGGTACAATGAAGCGCTATTCCATAATGGAGAGAAGAGACGAATGGAGTTCCGTCGGAACGTACTAACCGACGCGACCAAGACGACGATGATCTTAACGTTGGGGGTCGGGATGTCGATACCGAGCGTCTCAAGACGGCCGAACGAGGATCTCGTCGAGAGGCGAAGACAGAGTGAAGTTGGTGAGGACGGGCTTGGGAACTGAAACGGCCGTCCCATGGAACTTTGAAGAAGATGGGCTGGCGACAAGCATTGAGAGCAGCATCTCAACGATGGTGATGAAATTGCCGGGACTGGGCGAGAGTTGCGACGGCGCAAGCCAACAGAACGATATGCCCTTTCGAAATAAACCATCGGTTAAGCGAATCCAGCGTCTCATCATGAGTGTCAGATGATGTGATGAATGTATGCGATAGCATTCCACACATACTGTCTATCTGATAATGGTTTTGACTCAGGAGCAGCTCCTAGATGACTGGTTCAATAATCTCAACTGTCAAATGTCGAAAACAAGCTTCAAGAGATACTCTCTTATTGCAGGTGACTGAGGAGTAGCCGTAGCCTTGTACCGCCACCATTCGAAAATGACGGGAGGTTCATAGCGAGGCAAGCTTGATTCATCCCTTTCCGGGTGCATAGAACCCACGGTCTAGAGCCACTCGGAGCGGCTCGGAAACAGATTGCTCCCACCCACACACTCTAGCTTCTCCATGTGTGATTCGGCAGTCCGTCCATGACCAGCCCTACTTCGCTCTGCCCTTCCATATTGGTAGCAAAGTCATGCAACTCTAAAGGGCGACGGCAAACTGTACGCAGTCCGCAATTCCTGTGTGTGATGGCGTTGCTGCCCACACCACCTCTCCCTTTTTGGGGCTCTGTTTGAGAAACGGAATCGAGGCTCTGGGTAGCGCGGTTTTGGGTTTCCTTGGCATATTCTTGGCAGCGCACATCAAACTTGCTTGCAGCGTCCTAGCTTCAAGGGCGCCGCAGGTCCTTTGCAGCTTTCCGGCCTGGCGACTCGCGCGTGGCTTATTGAGCGCGGGCGGACCCTTCACCCTTGACACTGGAAGTTCGAGAGAGCTTTGTCTTGATTGGTTTGGAGAGGGCGGTTGATCTCTAGCAAGCATCGTGGTCGCGGAAATGCAAATCATTGTGTCTCAAGGCCTGGCAGGCGAATCTTGGTGGTGACGGTTGCCCACGCCACACCACATCACACAACATTACATCACAATATACAATACCCTACCCAGCTGGGTTTCACGGAACTCTGCCCGGCGGGATCGGCCGGGGAGGGAGGGGGGAAGGGCCGTCGGTTCCCGGCCTCGAAGCGGAAGCAAACTCACAGAAAGTAGGAAACGGAGGCCTTGGCGGCGTGGTAAGCCTGCACAAGCGCTCTGCTATTTGCCATCATGCCGGGTCGAGACTTGGCCAGAGTCAGTGTCAAAGGTGCTTGTGCTGACGACTACTAGGCAAGATGATAACAATAGTCTCCTGAGCCGTATGATGGCCGGATATCATAGGCTACGCAACACTAGGCCATTCGAGGACTCGGATAGCCTAGGCTTCATTGCATATGTAGAGGCGAGCTCACACGAACCAGGATAGCCAATGGGCGCCTTCTGTTGTCCTGTGCTCTCCTATGCGAACATCCTTGGGCAGAGATCCCCCCGCTATTACACTCGTCTTCCCAACACTAACGAACACACACCCACACACATAAGCTTAATCTATCTTCGCGCTTCCACTCGGGTGGAGTCAAGCCCGTCGCGGAGGATTCGGATTTCGCTCAACGAGTCAAATGTCGCCCCCTTCACCAAGGAACGGCTGCAGCTGCGTCGTTTGGTCATCTCCCCCAGGGTCCAAGCGTAACCCTCCCCCCCCCCCCCCTCTTCCGCACTTTGTCAGTCCGTCTAAAACTGCCATGTCTTATCGGGACAGCAGCCAACCGACGGTCCCTGTTCAGGTTTCTCGGTCCTCAGTCTCCAGGTCGCTGAGTACCAGAACGGAACCAGCGACATGGCACATCCTGCCCGGTGTTGCTTCATGCCGGGGGTCGTCAGACAGTGGTCCGCAACACCAAGAAACGCCTGGTGGCGCATCGAGGCACCTGAAGACCACCAGCAGCTCATGCATTTGCCCCAGGGATCATGCCCAGAGATAGATGACGGGATCCGCGAAACGATGCGCAAACCCTATACGAGGTGGTCTGCGATGCTAGGCGGCCAAGACACCCCCAGGCGGAACCAGCCTCTCCTGCCTTGGAACATGGACTTGATGTTTGCTCTTGGTCCCCTGTTCCTCCACCCCTTCTACCCTCGGATCCCGGCTGCTACCTCCTCGCCTCCCTCCACTATATTACCTGGGTTGTCCAGTCACGCTTTTCTACCGGTCCAATGGGAAGAAAATGGTCGCCGCCAGCGACAAGGAGGAGGAGGGAGTGTCGAAGCCTGCCCTGGAGCGCCTGGCACTAAGCGCTAGCTTCCGTCAGGTGTAAGGGATGCTTGGCTTGCCATGGCTGCATGCCGCAAGGAGTCAGCCTCTTCAGCGGCCGTGGTCTGCCCACGTCCAGATCGGGTATCCTCATTCGCAAAACATAAACATACAGGTGCTGAGCCGCAGCCGCGGCGACCGTAAAACTGCACAGACTGAACAACATGACATCTCAACTTGCTACTAGGCGTATTCACTGCCGTTGGCCGTCGAAGAATGTAACAATTCAAAGGGCTTCCTGGTTTCAGGATTGAGATGATGGCCAATATGAAGCCCTCTGCATCTCACTTAACCCCCGGTCTCTCAGCCCATCGCCCACTCAAGAGCCTTTCCAAAGGACGAACGTGCAGAAACAGCCGAGCGCCAATTGTTAAACAGCGGCGATGCAGGGGACTGACTGACTGCTGTCATATCACACCACCCCGGGTCATTCTTCCCTAGGTCCCCTCGCATGGCCTCCCATTTCATCGATCCAACGAAGGGGAGAGGAAGGGTGTTTGGTCTGTGGGTGGGCTTTGTTGCATGCTCTCATCTCGAGAGGTGGGTACCAGATACGGACGTGGCGCAGAACTTGGAACATCTTCAACTCCCAGGATGCGACACCAAAACGTTTCCCGATCTGCGACTGTGTTTTCCAAACCCTTAACCCTTTCTTCCATCGAGTGGGAAAGAGAGGGTTGGGCGGCCGGGATGCGATTGGTTCTGAGGCAAGGCTCGCTACCCCTGCTTCCTTCTTGGACGATTCCTCGTGGGTTAAGGCACAGTTTCGAACCAGTCTCCCTCACGACATGCGGTTGTACTCGCCCGTGTTTGGCCTCATCTTTTCTGGCCTAGATTCCAAACGAATATGCTTGGGGTTGAGCTACTTCTTACGAGCTTGAATGAAATTGAGCTGGAGGCTGGGGAGGTGTACCGGACGGTGGAACGTGTCTGCAATGCTTGATGCGGCTATCCTGGTTGCCGTCATGATTGCCCGAGTATGGCTTTTGCGCAGTTGAAGGGCTTCGAAATGGCGAAAGTCTCGAGTACAAAAGCGGCCGATAGTCCCCAACCTATTCTCATCTCTTCTCATCATCAGCAACAACAGCTCCAGCTTCCAACAGTCTCTTCTCTCTTTGAGTTTACCTTCTTTCCTCCGGCAGGATACTACTCGTTACAACTCCTCTGGTTAGGAGCCCTATCATTTATACAACAGTCAAGATGTCTCTCAGAACCGTTGCTGCCGCTACCATCATCGCCGCCGCCAACCTGGTGGCTGGACACGGTGCCATCATTGGCGCTGTCGGCCCCGCCGGCGGCTCCGGCATGGCCCTTGGTGTCGATCCCAGCACTCCCCGTGACGGCACTCGCGCCAGGCCCTTCCAGACTGATTCCACTCGCTTCAAGGGCCCCAACGCCGACACCTTCGGCCAGACCACCGGCGGCGGCGAGAACGATCTCGAGGCCGGCACCAAGTCCATCATGGCCATGACTGGCGACATGCTTCCCCAGGTCACCCCCGGCAGCACCCTCGAGATGACTGTCCACCAGGTCAACGCCGACGGTGGTGGCCCCTACGACTGCATGATCAACTCCGACGCCACCGGTGCTAGCTGGACCAACGTCGACGTTCCCGTCACTGTCCCCGGCCAGAACTCGCGCAACCGCGTAAGTGTCTTTCTTTGCTTCTCAAACATGACAGAAAAACGTGCTAACATGGAACAGGCTGGTGCCATGACCGACTTCCCCCTCAAGGCCCAGATCCCCGCGGACCAGACTTGCACTGGTACCGTCGCCGGCCAGTCCAACGTTTGCTTGGTCCGTTGCCAGAACGCTGCCCGCGCCGGCCCCTTCGGTGGCATTGTCCCCGTCCAGATGGCCCAGGCTGGCAACACAGCAGCCGCCGCTCGCCGCAACTTGGCCCGCGCCATCAGCGAGACTGAGCGCCAGTTCAAGCGCATGGTGAAGCGCGCTGCCGAGGACACCGAGATGGCCGATGAGGAGGAAGATGAGGAGTAAACCGCTTAAATCGTTTGCACATATTCTAAGGTTTTGGGCGGAATGGGTCTTTCAAGGATTGATATGTAACAGTACCGGACTACTGATAATGAGACACGACTGCCTGCTCTGCTGGAGTGTGGACTTTCTTTACATTTTTTTTTTCCCCTCTTGAAATGCTTAGAAATTCTTGTTCATTGTTTGCACACTCACCATGCTAGTTAACCTTGCCATGAAGAAATCTAGATCTGAATCCAGATCTCCCATTGAGTCGGCTCAAGGAACAACTCCTTCACCTCGAGAGTCGTCAACTCTCCCACTTTCATGTACGTCACACGATCTGTCGTTATGTCCGAGTGCGAATCCGAATATGCACCGAAAGCAATCACACACTAGTCCGATTCCTGGTCCTCTGAATATGAAACGAAACTGCAGCTGCGCTGCCACGGACCAGACTGAAACATTGTATACAGTTGAGATGGGATACACAGACATAAGGTTCATTGGTTCCTGCAGTAGAAGGTCCACAATCCGGAGCCCATCTTGTCATATCGGGTAATTTTTTCAATGACATCCTAGTTCTAATCCTTGGATGGAAAAGACCGTAAGCTATTGGTTGCCTAGGAGGATTTGAATAAGGTTTGGCCTCTACGGATGTTTCGGTACCAGACACTCACTCCGCACTGAGCCCGCATGACAGGGGTGTCGGCTATCGATCGGGAGGGCGCAGAATTCCGAGCCCTTCTATGAAGCTGTCTGATCTCTTAATTGCCCCCCCCCCCCCCCCCCCCAAAAAAACTTGACGTCTTTTGATGCTTAGGGCCTGATCGGCATCGCCAATATCACTTGACACCGCCAATATGGACCGATATCGCAGACGAAGCACCAGCCACAAGTACTAAAAAACTCAAATCGTGCCGCACTGGGCTAAAAACAGGAGGGTATATTATGATTTTAGATCTATATTATAGAACTCTAATTATGTCAGTATAGGCGACGTACTGCTAGGAAATATAACTTTCTTATTAGTAGATGTACAAAAAACCCTCATTTCCCTATATAAATTATTACTAGCCTCTAGACTTAGGTCAAACTTTATAAAAGGAGTTGAGGACCTATATAGCTACCTGCTACCTTCTGTTACCTTCTGTTACCTACTGTTACCTACTGTTACCTACTGCTACGTACTGTTACTAGCGCCTGCCTACCTATAGTTGCCTATTACAAGTAGGTAGGCGCTAGTAATAACAGGCAACAGTAGGCAGGCGTTAGCAACAGTAGATAGCAGTAGGCAACAGTAGGGTACAGCTGTCGCCGGCTATAGCAGGGGTCCTAGCAGTACATTCATCAAATTAACCCTTGACCTTGCATTAAACTCTTGTTAACCCTGACCCTATGTATTTTGGAGTACAGGCGATATCGCCCTGATATCGGCGCAGCCGATCAGGCCCGCCTAAAGGCCGACTAGATTTCTTTTTGTGGAGCTGCGTCTGAGGTAATTCTATACAACAAGACAAAGCATCACCGTGGGCTGTGTTGTGTTTTGTTGAATCAACAGACAAACCATGCCATCGGACTTGCTAGCGGTGCTACCTTTACGGTGAGAGGGGTGAGTGGGGGACCTGAGGCGAGAGATAACATTCTCGTGCTTTGAAAAGCCGCTAGGGTGATCATGTCAGGCCCCCGGCAAGGGCAAAGTCTCTCAGAGATAATGATAACACAGAACAGGTTTACAATGCAGTCGTCTAGCGAGTCACTGCCCTGAAAAGCTTACAAAGTATTAATCGCTGGCCTATCATGAAGCGAATGTCACGTTCAAGTAGATTTAGTCACCTACCTTTTGCACAGCGCGACGCTGACGCCGTGAGGTCGCATAGCGCCATCAGAAAGCCGGGGACTCAGTCTGGTTTACGTCTCTCACTGGCAGTTGGCAGATGGACTTTGAGAGTTCACTTGATGATATGCACTCTCGATATGATTATCAGCGTAGCCTCGGCAAAAATTCGATGAGCGGCCAGCCGCACAGTTGCGTGCTGCCATGGTATATCTGGTTAATATCCCAATCAACAGAATTAGCAAGATGGTGGGGCGCTGCACTAGAAAGCCGTTGCAAATCACTGTCATTTGTCCTATGCATAATACAGCGGCTAAATCGACAAAGTGTCGATCTGATGATGCAAAAGCTGCGACTAAGAACTAAGGGTATTGGGGGTGAATAAACAGCCATAAGCGAGTACCCGAGTTTGTAAAAAAAAAAAATGTATGTTTCCCTAATAATGGTTTATATGAAGTGAAAGCCCACCAAAGTCGGGAGGCGGCTGGCCCCGAAAAACATGTATACTCCTGGCGATTTCATGACATAGCAGGGGCTTGGAGTCGTAACATTAACATGTTTATTGTCGCTCGTTGAACCTACCACGCAACTAGACTTGCGAGCAGAAAGCCGACCATGAAGGCCGCCCTCGAGTTGCCTCCCCGTTGCGACGCAGCGTTTACGCCCGTCTGGGCGGCACCAGCCCCCGTTTTGGTGCTGGTCTTGCTTCTGGTCGCGGTCGGCGTGTAGTCGGCCGCAATGCCGTCGATGGGGTGCGCGTAAGCCTGCGCAGGTGTCGTCGAGGCCGCCCACGCGATCGTCGTCGACAGCATGTGGTTGTTGTAGACGGTGACAGTGGCCGTCTTGCCGAGCTCAAAGTTGCTGTAACACGTGCCGCCATAGGCGGGGCGGTCGGTGTCAATAGCCGAGGAGGGCCCAGCGAAAGTGAAGCCTCTGTTTCCCTGTCGTGTTAGTATACCGGCCTCATCATCGATCGAGATGTTGGACGAGAGGCATAACATACGATGCGCAGCAAGCAATGTAGCCGTCCGTCCAGGTACTGGTCTCGGTGTTCCAACCGTCCGGGCACACCAACGGGCTCATGTAGGGGGCGACGGAGCTGGAACTCGATATGACGGACGCGTACCCGTCAAGCCATTCCGTCGGGTAGCATGATGAGATGGTGTGGTTGGGTAGGGGAACCGGCTCATTGATCCAGATCTTCTCGAAGGCGCCGACCAGCATGGTCAAATGGTTCTCGGTGCATTGTGCGGGTGCCGTGAAAGTGGTCGTCAAGGGCACGGCCGGAATGGTGGAAGTCGCGTGGGGGCTCTCTGCAAGTCTAACAGGCATCTTGGCGTTTTCAAGTCCACGATAACCGCGTGCGATGAGTTGAAAAGAGCGGGCTGGGTGAGAGATGGTCGTTCGTCGACCTAAAGAGCGTGAGTTGGTTGATCAAAAGAACGACAGGCCGGCCGGGATCGCACAGGAAAACCGTAGATCTTGGGACCGGAAAGGAAAAGAGAGATCCAGTGGCCGGGGGCGCATGGCGAACAAGCAGGTGTTTTATTGAAATGTTCCTGGTTGATGGATGTAACCCTCTTCCCAGTTTGGCCTGTGTAATTACCGTCCCCGTTCCGTTTCACCGTTCGGTGGGTCCCGATCCCTGTTGTCGTCTTGCCGGACAACTCCCGTAAGCTTCTTGGCCTTGTCATTGAAGTTGGTTCATCGCGATCTTCCCGAGATTGCCAGAGTTTGCGCCACCCAGAGAACCATTCACATGGCTGCATTCTAAGCCCAACTTGCTTATTCACCTGACAGCAGCAAGAATGCTAGCGGCTGTGATTAGGTCGTCATGCCTCGTATAGGTATGTCTACTGTGTGCAGCCGTGATGCATTTTGACTTTTCGCGACTTGCTGGGTCCTACTCGTCAACCAATCTGCTGTGCCACATGACCGACCCTCTTTAAAAGCGGCTTCAGGTACCACTAGTGACGGTATTATCCCAGGGCCGAAACGCGCCACTACCATTAAGCCTCTCTCTCCTGGCTCGACTACCCCAACAGGGGTCTGGGATCGGGCTACAACCCTGCTAGGGAAGCTAAGATTGCGTAGCAGGCTCACCATTGTTAAGCAACAAACGTGAAGTTAGAATCAGAGCTTGGAGGCGGCAACGCCAAAAGCAGGAATTGGGAAGGTTCCCCGGTTTTTAACCATTCAGAGCGGCAAATCGAGAGCTGCGGCTTCTGGTCGCGATTATAACGATGTCCCGTTTGGACATACCCTGATGATGCCTATGCATTTGGCATTAGTGTCCCCAACTGGACTTTATGAGAGAACTCTGTTTAACCAGATCCAAAAAAGAGTTGTACAAATTTATACATCTAGTATTATGCCCAAAACCACATCATCCTATGACCAACCTTGCAGCAGGCTAGGCGCGAATTGTAAACCCAATCACGATCGGCACGGGAGTTCCTGCTTGATGTCGATTTACGCCTTTCAGATTGGCTCAGCAAACTAAGACTGGACGTGGCTCCCAGACTGTTTTAGAAAACTGATTGGCAAACCCCTGTGAGCTCCCCGCCTATTTGCGACGATTGAGATCACGATACAGTGCTCCTAGCAATATGGTAGTCTAATTAAAGTGTTTAGTTCCCCCCCCCCCCCCCCTGGTCAAGCATGGCATGAACTGCGACATAACAGCGGAGAAAGGGGGGCGCCTACGGGCTAATACCTAAACTACACTAGTATCCGTACTTGCACACGAATCAAAAACACTCATACCTCTAGAGAGAGGCGGTGCCCGAGTGGCCTATGATGACGGCGCTTAATATGTGTAGTCTCCTTGAGCAGCATGAGCAGCGTACGAAGGCCTGGAAAATGTTCGACTCTGCTATTCTTTCTTTTGTACTATCATAGGTATCCCTTCCTTGGCAGAACTAGGTCAAGAATGTATTGGCATGTCCCCCTTCCCCCCAGTATCTCGGCATGGATCCAACAAGGCTTGACGGACCGTGCGGAACAACATAGGTACCTACCTGAAAGGACCTAGAAAACCAGATTACCTAGCGTCGCTTTCGGCTGCGACCTCGCATGGCTCGGGAGCCCACAAACATGGCCCGGTGTCACCCACCTGGTGCTGGTGCATGGCCGTGTCTCATTCTTTGTTGGTTCTCGCGCTATTGCTGTCGCGTGTAAACGAATACAGCTCAGACATTGAAAATGGACGACGACCTTTGCTTACTTTCCGACTTCCAAGACTTTTTGGGTGCTGGAGCATAACCCAGCTTTGGGTTTAGGGCCATGTATATCATTGCCCAGAGGGAGACCTGAGGAGTTATCCAAGGCGGTCCTTCTTCAGGTCGCACAGGTATACACAGTCGGAAAAACACAGTATGAGTAGGTATTGTGCGTGACATGGAATGGTTTTAATTCCATCTCGCGCATTGTTGTTGTTATCGTTGTCGATCCTCCTAAATTGGATCTACACGGGGCGAAAAAGTCATTGGAGCTGGCACAGGGCCAAGTTTCAGAGAAATATACGGATAGATAGCTCCTTTTAAACCTGCACGGAGAAGTTCCAGATAAGAAATGAAGAAAAAGAAGGAACCCCGCATTGCTTTTTCCTCAAATTCGGGCTTGCCTTTTCATATTATCGTTTTTTCTCAGCTTCTTGTTCAACAGAGTGGTCCACGCAAAGTCTAAATCCGATGACGTGTCGATAAAAATCCCTCGAATTCTCTCCACAGACATGGCGACGTATCTCGGTATGTGGGAGGCAAGTTAAATACATTTCCCAGGTTCCCACTTTCTTTCGCTTGTATTGCCCAATGGCTATCAGTGGATTGCGCTATCTAGAGAAATCGCCATGGCGTCTCTCTTCCAGACTACAGCAAGAAAGTTATTTAGTGGAAGTTTCTAGGCGCGCAACTGCGAAAGAACGCATCAAGCTCTTTCTTTCACTTCATCAGTGCGGTTGCTGCGAAGAACTGCGCGGTTTTGAAGGCGTTTGGTGGCAATACCTGGATGAAGTATTTCGCCCTGTTGTGAAAGCATTGTTGACCGACAATGCATTGTCAAGCCTCTGGCGCACAATTGCCAAATATGCAGACAAACTATCTCTGGCCAAGAGAACTGGACTTGTTGTACCCTGATTTCTTTCCTTGGAGAAGGCTTGACACAATTAAGCCGCGCGCCACGGTTACCAAGCCTGGATTCCCGGCCAGCGAAGAAACAATCGCGATATGGCTTCAATAACCCGTAAAACCGAGAAAAGGCTCAAGGCATCCGTTGAGTAGTTTCCACTTTGTGGCGCCAAAAAGTACTTCGGGGGCTAGAGGCTTTCAAGATATTAGTAAACGCTTTTGACCTGCCTAATAGGGCCTCTGGTTATGCCTCCGTTTTTTTTTCTTTCTATTTTTCAGAGTCACACTGCGCTGGAGCAAATGCCTTATGCCCAATTAGTTCATTTTCGCCTTTCTTTGGACATTCATTGTTTGTCAAAACAAGATGGCAACCTCTATACAGTTTCGCAGGATGCTACTGAAGGCCTGTGATAAAGATTCTGAAAGGGATACCCGATAGTCTATTTTCTGGTGCCGTGTTATCCGTGGTTCCGATACTGAGGCAATAATAAGACTAGGAACATGCGCCGTCCACCGCCCACCCCCCGCCAAGGCATCGACGATAAGGCTCGACGTGAAGTGAGGACTTTGAACCCCAGATAATGGCATCTGCGCGGTTAGCATCTCCGCATTGCTAGCGGCCTCCGCCCTCGTCAGGTCAAAAGTCCGCGTTCTAATAGCAGTGGCAGCGGAGTGGAGGGTCTTGTTAATAAACGACTGCCTAATAACGAAACCTCGACAAAATTGCGACCTCGGGGTCGCCTCCTAGGAAGATCGTCATATCCACCAAGGTGCTTGTCGAAAGCTTCACTTGACTGAGCTTTGTGAAAGAATCAATCCCACCGGTTTCGAGTAGCGCACCTGGCAATCGGTATAAAACAGGAGAAAACATCCAAGCCGACTTCATCGTTATCGTCTCAATTATCCCTTCTTGCTGTCTCCGTAACAAGCTCGAGAGTCAACATGGCGAACTGTTTTGCCCCTTGCGGTCAAAGTCTCCATGCAAAATAGAACTCGTTTCTCGAAACACCTAATAGATCATCTTATGCTTCATGGCTGCGGCCGGACTGACATCCGCAGTATCCGTCAGATCTGCTACCCATCTTATACCATCAATGGAACTAACTCCGGACTCATGCTAACTTCTTACACCCCTCATGCGGACGCGGTAGTCTGCTGTTCAATGCCTCCGAGGAGTACATCGCTTACGTCCAGCGAGCTATGATAAATCGACGGGGTGTAGACGGTAACTACGGGAGCCATTTCTGGGGGAATGATGAACACCACGCCGGTGCTTTTGCCGCTCCCATCGCTTCTCGGCACCAGTTGGACTTGCGGGATTTCTGGCAATGGGGGTTCAGAACCGTCTTGATTGGTGAGCACACTAGCTTCACCCACTCTTGAGTCTTCAGTGCTCTTGAGAGCTCGACTTATGGCATGATGCAGAAGTTTCTTGATCTCGTCCTTATCGATGAAGCTAAGCATCTTACTCGTACTCGGATGTCAAGATGGATCAGCCTCTAATTAGAAGAAGTAAAAGTGACCTGTCCAAGTACAATAAACCACTGCTTAAAGCTTTACAGACAGATAATTGATGACCGTGTACGGGTGTTCGCGATATAAATAGGTCCAAGGATCGGAAATCACATCCAAAGTAATGATGATACCAACTATATGAGAGATTAAGTTGATGTCCAAATTAATACATCAACCATTTTTTCTGCAGGTTCACGGCCATGCCTCTGCTAGCCCCTAGGATGTGAGGACTCATTACGCAGTAAATCATTTTTGGACATATAAATCTGACATAAAAGCATCAATGCCTATGGCTTTTTCTTCAAAGCTCCTTGTTTCTCAAAAGTTTTGTATAACTTGCGCGTACAAAGCTGTCACATCTTTTGACAAATCAATTTATCAAGTTCCCTAACCCTCTATAGACGACCAACACGAGGGGAAGAGCTTTCATATCCCCATTGTTTGCACCAGTGAACCATCAATTCAGGGGTAGTAGACTTGACCGAGCGCAGTGCGGGACTGCAAGAAAGTGTTCTCCGAGTTTCGTAAACTTTCGAATTCGTGACTTTATCGTCAGGAGCTGCATTACGCCGATAAAAGTCAATAAGTTTCAACCCAGGGTTGCGACCGGCACCAAGTGCGTCCTTAGAAGTGCCGCTCGCTTCAAGCCTATCGACCCAATCTTTGAAGCTGATGAGCTCGGGGATGCGGGTCTTTCCGTAATACTGCTGAATCGAAGGGGCTAGCTTGTCGAAAGTTGTGACGGATGGATTGCAGCCGTTGAAATACCCCTCATGATAGTCTCTCGACTCTTCTGTGAGGCCGGCAATGTCCAAGACCATTTTCGACATCGTCTCAACGGGAACCCACGCGGTCGAATTCATATATGAAAGGTTCTTGGGCAATGCTTTCAAGACGAGGCTGCTCGCAACGATGGACGGAAGCCATTCCTGGCGACTCCAAGCGCCAGCCCGCCCAAGCGGCCCCGCAATCTGTCCCACGCGCACGATGGCGAGAGGGAAGTCTCCAACCTTGGCAGCATCCTCAAGAATTAAGCTCGAGACCAGCTTGCTTTGGCCATAGGCTACATGTGCGCCCGCCAGGGAAAGGTCACGCAAGGAGGTCTCGGGAACTGGGCCCTGGCGTGGATCCCACATGGCAGTCGAGCCGACGGAGGACACAAACACCATGACGACACGCTTATCAGCCGTGGCAGCGAAGTCCGCAAGGTTGCGAACTCCTTTGACGTGGGGTTCGAAGGCTTCGAGAGGCATATTGAAGTTCACCGCCCACGCGTTGTGAACGATGCGATCGGCCTCCTTGAGCAAGCGGGAGTACACTTCCTGAGAGAGTCCCATTCGTGGCTGAGACAGGCTGGTGCGGAAGAATTCGACTTTGCCGCTCTTCTCTGGTTGTTGCAGGCCGCGTTCATCCATCGCCTTTGCCTGCTTCCCCGCGCCGCCGTCGTTGGATCTATTGAAGCAGATGACCTTCTTGATGGAAGGGTTGCGAATCATTTCATCAAGCAGGTAGCAGCCCATGTTGCCTGTCGAGCCAGTGAGAATGACAGTCTGCTGATCCTTGGCTGGCTCGGGACGAGCTGGTGTGGCATGAACCAAATCCTTCGTCATCTTTCTGTAAAGCTCTTCCATCGCCGCCTGGGTCCGGATTTTAGCATCTGCGAGGTCATTTGCATTTCCACTGCCAACAGTTTGAAGGATGTGGCTGGCAAGCTGATTGGGGCTAGCATTGTTGTAGATGTCGCGAGCTTCGATTGTCACGCCACTGTAAGTATTGTTCGTCGCACGGAGACTGGCCGTGATGAACCGCGCAGCGGAGATAATCTGCAAGGAATCCATTCCTGCGGCAAAGAAATCGGTGTCGGGCTCCAAGTGAGGCACGCCAAGATGTTTCCGAAGCAGTTCCTCAATGGACTTACTGAGGGCGGCCTGAGAACTGACATTGAGGCGCGGAGCCTTGGCAAGAGGAACACCCCTGGGGTTGGCATAGAGATCTTCGATCTCCTCGGCATAGAGCTGTATAGTCGCCGACCTCTTGAGGGTTCCCTTGTCGGCCATGAGGAACGGCTTTCCTGGCTTGGATACAGCGATCAAGTGCCTTACAATTCGGGCGTGAGTTGCTTTTGTGTACTCTGTCAGCTTGTATCCTTGGGATCAACGGAGAAAATCTTTTGTGAAAACATGATGGCGCTTCATTCCGGTTAACATGTACTTACCAGCAACTGCGTTTGCCTCTGCAACTTGTGGCATGATACGTTCAATGAGATCATCAATCTCCTCCTCGGACCTGGGGTAGACAGACGGCTCAATAATCAAGGCTGGCTGGAATTTCTGAGTTCCTACAATTACAGCGGCTTTGACCGCCGGATTTCTACAAATGATGTCTTCCATCGTGATAGGATTGAGCTTCTCGCCGTTTGATAGGTTGATGATATTGTCCGAGCGGCCGTGAAACTTCCAGTGATGAGGCAGTGTCGGGTGTGGTTGATACAAATCGCTAGTATTGTACTCTTCCTTGTGCGGGAACGTGTAGAACACACCCTGGACAGGCAACTGCCTTGACTTCCTAGTTATGACCATTTCGTAAACATCATCGTCTGTAGTTGCCTTGCGGAACTCAACTCCAGACAGCTCTTCGTTGTAAATGAAGTATTGCCAAAGCTCCAGGTTCTTCTGATGATAAAGGCATATGGGCGCAGTTCTGCGACTATTAGCCTCGCGATTTCCTGGCCATAGTTACAAGGGTAAACAAACTCTGTGGCACCGATAATGTTGACCAGCTGTACACCTTGTTTATATAGAATGTCGCCAGCCTCCTTATTCAGAGGACCTTCAACAAGATCAGTATCCATGTCTGTTTATAGATGCAGTTTATAAACTCAAAATCATCAAGTTTCTTACCTCCCCCAAACGCAAGGAAGCTGAGTTGTTTCAATACTGCGATATGCTCAGGACGCCGGCTCATTTCTTCTAAGATTGACGGAGGCAACATAGCACTGTTTGAGCCGGTCGCTTGAATGACTTCAATGGAGAGGTCGGCTGTCAATGGGCGATCTGGAAGGGAGAACACAGCCTCTTTGCCACCAATGGCCATTGTGCCTATGAATCCGAGAACACCGCCAGCGTGGAACATGGGTTCTAGAATGATCAGCCACAAGAGCTAGACTTTCTTGCCAGAATCTTTGCTACTCACGCGGGATAAAATGTTTTGTTGTGAGGGCATGAGTTACCTGGACCAGAGGCAACGTTCCGTTCCACTCCGGCAGTGAATGAACGCGGTCCGATAGAGCAACAGACCCGTGTTTGATTACAATAGGTTTCGGAAGTCCCGTGCTGCCGCTGGTATGAAGGACAACAAAGGGATCCCATTCGGCCTGGGCTGCATTCTTTGTAAAAGGGACGTTGGTGACCTGTGGTTTTGACAAGATATCATGCAGGGGCTCTATCTCAAGCTGCTTCATGTTCCAATGCTGCACCCAAGACGCGACGATTGATCGGTGTGACGCGGGCCGTGCCACCAGTCGGCAGTCAGACATTTTGAATAGATTCATTTGAGCCTCGAATGGATTTCTCGGAGACACAAATAGGGCCTGCGATTGCGTCAACTCGTGTATCACACGTCGCATGCACTCATGGCGTTCACCTTATACCCTGCCTTGACAGCGGCAACGATCATGATCTATTGACGAGTTAGTATAGCCTCAACATAATAGACATCCGGATGAATAACGCACAAAATATCTCACGTCATTGGGTCCAACGTAAGCGATTGTTGGAAACGTGCCGGGGGCCGGGGTGCCGCAGGCCTCAAGAATCACATGGGCAAGATAATTGATAGAATTGGCAAACTCCTTGTTCGTCACTTTTCTCCAACCATCTCGAATCTCTGAAGTATAAGGTGTTGAGAAACATGTCCGGTCAGGCACGTGAGCAGCTCTTTCATCGATCATGGCGGGCAGAGTGCGTTGCCCACGAACAGCCCGGGCACCAGGCCCTGAAAGTTCAATAGTGGTTGTAGCCATAATAGCTCTAGCAGGTAACATAAGGACGAATGTGTGATGGTCGTGACGACTGACTCGTCACTATCGGAGTGGTTGAGGGGAAAAGAACACTTCATATACCGAAACCGACTCCTCGGTCTTTGAACCCAAAGCAAAGATGGCATGTGATATATCGTCGTATTTCTAATCATCATGAGAGGAAATAAGGAAATGGTTCTAAAACCCGTGAAACTTTATGCTAATGATGGGCTTATATACGGTACATGTTACAGAGTTCTACCTTTAGTTACCTCGGTTGGGGTTGAGAATTCTTTTTACTTTCCGTGTCTGATACCAGATGTACCGCCTCGGATCTTCCCACCTGTGAGTTTTAGGTTTTGGGCACCGCCTATCAGAATCCTTCAATCTCTGATAAGATTGCCACTTGGCCAGCACAGAGAGTGAGCACTGATTAGAACGGTAGGGTCATGGACCAACTAAACAAGTCATCTATTCGGAACAATTCAGATACCGGACTCATCGTGCGGGGAGTTTGCGGAGAGTTTGCGGGGAAACTCGCAAAATTCGACTGCAGCTTGGTGTGAAAGATCAAAACGCATTCAGGATGATGCATGGGTCGATAATGAGTTCAATAGCAAGACTTTGCTGCACTGGGTGACCACCCTGTAGTTGTAGCTCAAACTTAGAGCAAGGACAGCGGGTTATGGTTCTCTGAACTTAAACCAGGAGCAATATAGTGGGCGAAACCCGCTCAGTACCCATCCCATATTGTTCGTATTGTCCTAATTAGAGCTTTGCTCGTTCAAAGTAGAACTATCTGTGCTCTGATTAGGATAATCTATACACTAATCAGTGAGGAATCTTGTGTTGCTTATGTAGGTTGTGGTGTTTCTCCTCTTAGATCACCGCACCGTATAAGTCCTGAACTACCCTACACTCTTCTAATAGTAATAGTTTTGTATGACCTCTTTTCTATGTACCAAGGTGCTTTACAATTGTGTTTCTAACGCTCCCAGTTTCTTGCTAGGGGCCTTATTCCTTGAGCCTCTGGCAAGTGGGAACCAGGTAGTTGCCTGTAAACCGCCGCACGAAGCTTATTGATAGGAACGTTCGGACGGACCTTGATTGGGTATTGCCTATTGGAATATTTAAGGGGACAAAAAGGGAGGGGATGGGAAGGATAGGTGTGTGATCGTACATGCCACTGGTGATTCATTCATACTGTGAAGTAGAAAAAAGATCGTTGCTCTATCTGGTATTGTGTATTTTAGCATCAGAACGCTCAGAGTTCAACCCCATTCTATCAGTGACAACCTTAACCGAGACCATACGAGCCAGCTCATCGCTATTTAATCAAAGACATCCGTAACGTAACGAATGTTCCTCAAATCTTCGAACCATTTCTTGGCGCTGTCCTCGTCCATGTCCTCGCCCTTGGCCTTTTCCATCTCGATCTTGATCTTGATGATGGTGTCCTTGGCGGACTCGGCGACACCCCGAGAGCCGCAGACGTAACCCTTAGCGCCTTGCTCCCAAAGCTCAAGGACCTCCTTGCGGTCGTGCCACATGCGGTCCTGCACGTGTTTGCAGCCCTCGCTCTTGTCGCAATCGCGGCTGTAGGCGCGGCGCACTGAAACGGCGCCGAGAGCTTCCCATTTATCGAGCTCGTCACGGTACAGGTCATCGTGCTCAGGGGAGCGACAGCCGAAGAAAAGCAGGGCGGGCGCGAGAGTGCGGCCTGCTTCAATCATGGTGGCGCGCTCCTGAATGAAGCCCCGGAAGGGTGCAAGCCCGGTGCCGGCGGCGACACAGATCATGGGCGTTCTCTCGGCGTCAGTGGGGAGGCTGAAGGCGGCGTGGGACGGACGGACGGCTACGTGGAGGGAATCGCCTTCAGCAAGAGAATCGAGATAGGAGGAGGCTACGCCGATGTAAGGGCCCTGTCCCGAGAGCGAAGGCTCGTTGAGAACAGAAAAGGTAAGGGTGACGCGGTTGGGAGTGGCCATTGGCGAGGAGGAGATGGAGCTGAACCATGTTAGTCATTACACGCTTTGCTCCGCGAGATACGGCTACACGGAAAGCGACTCACTATTGTCTGACACGCATCGGCGGCAACATTGACAAAAAGACCCCGATGGGCAAATCGATCGAGGGGTGGCGTTCGAGCAAGTCAAGAATGGACACCCGCTTGCTGCTGATCTCATTGGCGTAGTCATCGCCCGCAAGTCGACTCAGCTCAGCCTTGGTATCCTCGTCCTTGGCGTATTCGCAAAGAGCGAGGATGTTCTGTGGAGAATGTCAGTCAAGACTGTGATTTTGAGTGGTTATAGTCTGAAAGTCTTTTGCTTACTCTTCTTGTGGCAGGCTGCGAGAGCTCGACATATGAGCTCAGAATGTCGTGGGCAGGGACCGAGCTATCGACCGGAAGGGACGTGGGACCATCGGTCTTGATACTGAGGTGTGCATCGCGGGCCAGGTGGAATCTTCGCATCGCGCGGTGCACGCTCTCCTTCGGGTTGATGGGAAGAACGGCGAGGTAGTCTCCCGCGGTGTATACCATATCATCCGGGATCTTGATCTCAATGTGCTTCTTGATGCCCTTTGCGTCACCGCCCTTGGTGAGCGTCCCAGTCTTGATGACTGTGGCCTCCTTGACATCCTGACGAAGAGCCGATGTTCTGGGGTTGCTGATAACGACATCCATACTCTTGATCTTGCTGTCTTGGACGGTGGTCGTCTTGTACTTGCTCGTCAGCGCGGGCCAGAGTACGTCGTCCTCCCAGGACTCGAAGTTCGTAAACACTTCGCCAGTCGACGTGTCCGTGAGGCCAACATCGGCAAGACGTTTCGCTCCGAGCTGCTCCAGGGTAGCATCGACTAGCTTGGGGACGCGATGGAAAGTCTGAACCCAGTCCTTGTGACCGCAACCGAAGACGGCATATGACACGTCTTTGAGCGGCGCCTTGTCTTTATCCTGGCCCTCGATCCATGCCACAAAGTGCCCGGCATTGTCAGGAGGCTGGCCCTCGTAGGACGCCGTGATGATGACGACAGGTTGGTCAGTTGGCAGGTTGCCGTTGGCACTGTCCAGACAGTCGATCTTGGTCGCATGGAAGCCATGAGACACGGCATCTGATGCTACGCGCTGGGCCAGAGATTCGCAGGTGCCGCTGTTGGAGCCGTAAAGGATCGTCAATGGCATTCCACCTTCACCTCCGGTTGCTGCGTTGTTCTTGACTTGCTCGGGGGCCTTTTCAGGCTCGGCGAGACCAGCGAGGCGGCGCTCGAGGGTCGTGGGCGTTAGGCCATCGCGAAGAATGGCACGCATGTACATGTCCTTGGGCTTGATTGTGAGTGTCTGCTTGATGCCGAAGCTGTAGTTGGGGTCCAGGACAAAGTTGAAGTTCTGGAGAAGCATGGTCATGGTTAGAAGGGCCTCTTGCCACGCAAACGGACGGCCGATGCAGGCTCTCATGCCATTGCCAAAGGGCTTCCAGCAGTTGGGGAACTCCTTGGTGATGCGGTTGAAGTTCTCGTCCATCATTCGTTCGGGTTTAAACTCGTTGGCGTCCTCACCAAAGACGGTGGGATCGAGGTGAGATTTGGCGAGCAGGTTGAGGATGGTCTCGCCCCCCTTCACAGGGTACTTGCCTGCCAGTAGAGTATCTTCGAAGGCCTCAACCGAGAAGAGCGGGATCGTCGCGTTGACACGAAGAGTCTCGCGGAGTACACCGTTCAAATAAGGCAGCTTCGAGAGATGATCGACCTTGATCTGCCCCTTTCCGACAGCGTTGTCTACCTCCTGTTGCGCCTTCTGGTACGCTTCCGGGTGCTTGAGAAGCTGGTAAAACGCAAAGGACAGCAGGCCAGATGTCGTCTCGTGTCCAGCGATAAGGAACGTGATCAAGTTGTCCATGATGCTCTCGTCCGTCATCTTCTTTCCCGTTTTCGAGTCGACGCCTTCAAGCATAGCCGTGAGAAGGTCACGACGATCACTCTTGCCTGCTTTTCTCGACTCCAGAACCTCTTTCGCCGTGGTTCTCAGTATTTCGATATCACTGGCGAACTTCTGGTCCTTGGAGCCGTAGAAGACTGAAGGTAGCGGTAAACGTCGTGTCCTGTTACCGGCCTCGACCAGGAAGTCACCCATAGCCTCGATGAATGGATGGAGAACAGGCGAGTAGTAGCTGTTGAACCGGAAGCCCATGGAGCATAGGGCCAGCGTGTCGAGCGCTAGGCGTGTGAAGTCGTCGGTCACGGTGATTGGCGATTGCGGCCCGTAACGCGCCCACTTCATTGCCAGTTGGCCTGCAACGTCGTGCATCTCATCGAACATGTTACGAATGGAGAGAGGGCCGAAGGCGGGCATGAGCACGCGGTGAGCGATGCCCCAGTTCTCCTCGCCCATTTTCGCCTGCATTCGCGATCAGCGTCCGAGTCCAGTGCTTCACTGCGTCATCAAAACCTACTGTGAAAAGTCCATCGTGCACGCCGTTTCGGATTTCCTGATGGGAGGTCAGACATTACGAACAACAAGTTCTACATGGAGAGCGACTTACATTAAGAGCCTGGTTTACAGACTTTTTGAATCGCTTCTCATCGCATGTCTCATTCACCAGTGCCTGGGTCGAGACCAAAACGACGGAACGGCCAGGAAATCTCAATCGGTAGATCTCACCTTGATTCAACATTAGCTACGTCTCGTCGATAAAGGGGCCCAGTAAGGTGTAAAGTTACCATATTGGTCAGCGAGAGATAGCATGGACCCTAGAGGGAATTCGGAGTTGATCTCATTGATGTTGCCAAGGATCGGCAGCCCAGGGGGCTCAGGAATGGGCACCGTTTCTGACATGCTTGTTGTGGGTGATGTGCGAGTGAGTGGGCGTATGCGTGTGTTGGGGTGGTATCGTATTATGTATGTGGTGTTGGACCACTGGCAAGATGATCTGGATACGATTCTACTCCAGAAAATATGGCAAGAGAAAGGAGGGGGTAGAGGCCTGATAATGTTCAGAATTGAAAACCGGCCGAGTCACCTTGCGTGGTGGCTAATCTCTGCGCCCTATTTGGCCTTATATTACCTCGGCCCCCATTATGTGCGTGGAGTACCAGGATGAAGTATTATGCCATAAGAAAAGAGTACCTAGTGTACACATTCCCACTTTTCCATAGGCGAACAATCGTGAGGTGGGCCTATTCCGACGTCGTTAATGGTCGAGATGAACATGAATGATGGTGAGGCCATCCACTAGGTTCGGCCATCCCGTCGGTCCTATCTGCCAGTGAGTAAGGCATCCGGAGCCAGCCCAAACCCCGCCCCGATGTGTCTACCATGTACGGATAGTTAGTGCTTATCTGCTACAGTGCTGCGTCCCTTTGGTAGCTGCTCTGCCCTCGTCCATCGTAATACTCCGTAGACTGACTGACATGTGGAACATGCAATGCCTGCAGGCGGTGAGTCAGTAGTCCTGCTGTGCTACCATGGCAAACCGAGAATTCCCCGCTATTCAAGTCACAAAAGCGGCATTTAGTGAGAATTTGTGCTGAGCCCCCAGGAACCAAAAGGTTTGTTCAAGGTCTGCCAGGGGGGGTATGGTTCCAAGGTCGTCTAGCGCAATCATGACAGACGAATGCCGAGTTCGCCGCGAACTAGATCGAGTACTGACGCCGAGGTAGGCGTACCGCTCCGTTCCGTCGGGCAAACAGAACTCGACACCCTCCCGTTTCCGTCTAATCCATGGGTTCCGGCCGTCTCACCCATCTTTTCAATCTCCGGCGGGGCTTCGGCAAAATACCGAAATCCATTGTCGGAGTCGCGAATGGCAGTGTGGGAGACCGACCACCAGCGCTCCTCTCAACACTCTCAATCTGCCAACAACGACCCCGGCCGCTAGGCCCCAACTCCGAACTTTAATCTGATTCCTGTAGGTATCTGGGTCGTCTGCGGGGAACAGAGACATAATGATGCAACACAGCAAACCGGCGCTTTTTAGTGCCTTTTTCAGCGAGTCAAGGTTTGGGTCTGCAGCCACGCAAATCAACACTGGATCCGACACTGACGCGTACACCGAAGCGAGCAATCAACCAGTCTCTGCAGATGCGGGTTGTTAATAAATTCCATTCAGTACATGTTTTATCTTGTTTGTCACGCGGTAGAATGGATGGTTCTCCGTCCATTTCGGGCGCAACAGACTTGGCAGAGATGCGCAGCTTTAGCGGGCGTAATGGTCGGTGGGTTTGTTGTTGGATATTTTATCCGCATAGGGCATGGGAATGCATCAGCTCATTGCCTATAACTTGACGCGTTATAATATATATATATATATATATGCATATTCCAAACCTAACGATCGGCGCCTTGTGACAGAATTGACCCATTGCTTGGCTTCCGCTATGGTACTAACTTTCATTGAACATGGATACTGCATGGACGCTTTGTGGGACCCTGGGAGTTGTTATCCAACGCCAAGCAACGGCTTTTCGCGTGAAACCTATGTACCAGTAGCGTTCCGTGATCCATCGCAACGGTCGGGACTAATACTATCCACATCTCGCATCAGATACGCAGTTACTCTCTCGGTTGGTCAACATAAAGTTGAGCCTAAATAATCTAATACAGGAGACTAATCTTGTCGTGATATGTCTAGGACTGTAAAACACTATTACGTCTTGGCTTCGCGTGTGTTGTGGCCGCACTCAGGCGGAGGCAAGCACGTTGCCAAAATTAACTAACCAGCAGCTTTCGGAGGCTGGGGTAGTCTAAAGGAACACTCCATGTTGGGTGGCGGATGATGATATATGGGGGATATGACTGCATAAAGCATTGGTAAGCTTTTGTTGGACGGTTCTTCCACGGAAGAGGGGAGACTTGATTGCCGGAAATAATGAAGGGTTTCTGGGCAGCGGCCATTTCAATTTCCAGTGAAAGACACCTCAGCACAACGTCTCTTATACCAGATCGTTCAAGTCCATATGAAGTCAAGGTTATTACCTCTGTGAAGGCAACGTTCGAAACGCAACGTCTTCTTCGTAGGCAATATCCACACTTCACAAGGTTCACAAGGGCTCGGATTAAAGCAATATCTCACATTGAACAGTAGTGAGTCTTTACCCCCTTGGAAGTCTAGAATTTCCAATATCGGTGTACATCTTGCAATAGATTTGTTTGAATCCTAGGGCAGCCGACATGGTAGAGACAAGCCCCAAACGAAGTAGACTCTATACACGTTATTTTATAGAGTCTTACTAGAGTCACAAGGTATCATTCCGCCGCGCCCTTATTCTTGCGAAAGTGGTTGCCGTGTGACTAGTCAAATTGGCCCAGGCTGCATGCCGCCTTGCGTGAGATTATTATTATCTTAGAGGCTTTAATCTTTTAGTCAGGATGCTTATATCAGAGTTACCAGATGCCTGCTTTTGGCTTGTGTTCCTGGAAGACTTGTACATGCAGCCAGGCTGCAGAAGAGGAAATTAAACAGCAGGATACTGTTTTTGAGCTTTGCTTCCTAATGGTCCGCATCTAGGTGTATTCGCGTGTATTCAATTTTTTCATCCCGAATCCGCACCAAAATACGGATCTTGTCCGATACTTGGGCTCCAATTGTCCAATCCTGATTACACGAAGACCAAAGGTCCAACTACGGTCATGCCATGTCATGGTGACTACGTTCAAACCCCGTCGCATGTGCTAGTGGATCGATGCCGAGGCACCTCGGTTCGCCGCCCGCCCCCGGGCAAAATGTGGGAACACGGCGCTCAGGGGCAAGAAATTTCTGGGTTGACCGGGACTGCTCGAAGGCCGGCTCGGTCGAATGAATCCCAACGGAATGATTATGAATGCAGCCAAGAATCACAAGACACTTACTCTCTGTCGTCGGGCCGATATAGGTCCTGAGGGCGCACCAGGGCATGTTGGGTGCTTGTCGACGTGAACAAAGTATGATGTCAGCTTTCGTGGCCATGAGGTTGCTGGACTTCCTCAAAATTATAGGAACATGTCGTATCTTTCACTTTTCTTTGCCAGGCTTGTTCATGGAAATTTGAGAATGTCAAGTACCTACACTCTTTTTCTGGTTTGGATGTCAAACGACGAGTTGGTAATGTAGATGACAGTTATCAGTCTCTCTCCACAACAGTCAGCGGAATCTACACCCGAGATTAGTTATCCCTGTGGTCTGCAAGCCGTAGCCGCCGGGCCGGCCCGCAAGTGCTCTGTTGTCCGTTCCAGCGTCACAAACGGCTGATGTTCCAAGCACCATGGTCCATTCTATGAAAGGTTCGAGGACAACGTCCAGCTGCCGACTGCGATACCGGCCTAGCAGGGAAACGTTAGAACATGTTTATTTGTTCACTAAAGGAGGAGTCAAATAAAGTCAAAACCCAAACGCAAGCCATTATTCCATTATCCTCTGTTACAAGTCCAACGCCGTACCCGTGACCCATTATTTCGTAACATCATGTACCTTGGTAGGCTCTACGCCCAATGCACCGACTTTCTTTGCCTCTTCCTCGTCTTCTGCTTCTTCATGCTAGAGTAGTGGTAGTAGTTGCTGTGGTTGCCCTGTCCCCCATGTGCGCGCTTGCGGGCGTCGGCAAGAATCTCACCCAACGTCAAGCTCGATGCATTAGAGTGCATAGACACGGCGGATGCACCGCCAAGCTCCCATTCCCATCGACTCCTCTCAACCGTGTCCCCGGCCTTCTGAAGCTTGCGCCGCCACCCCTCGACGAACAACCATGCCAGACGAAAGACGCTCTCGCTAGAGGGCTCTTCGGGGCCGCCCACCTCGGTCTGGTCCGCAGCAACCGATACCCGCAGGCCGCTGGCGTCTCTCTGGTATTTCCGTCTCGGACGCTCGTCCAACTCGTCGTAGTCGGCATCCCGCTTCACCCTCATGACATTGAGCCCCGCTCCGCCCGAGCGTGGTCAATTCTCATCCAGCCCGCCCGCAGAGCTGCGCAGCAGCGCGCTCTGCTCGTCTATTTCGTCTTCGACTTCGTTGAGGAACCCTGCCTTGCGCTCGTACCCGGGGCTGTTGCCCCCGCTGCCGGTCTTGGTCCGCTGTACGGGGTGGAAGACCCCGGACACGGGCCGTGATCGGGCCGGGCTCGCCGGCTCTTGCTTGGTCTGCGAGTTCTCAAAGATGCCGCGCATCCTGCTAATCAGGCCCCCAGGCGAGCTGCCTGATACCGAGTTCCGATGAGGGCTGTCTGTCGCGGACCCCACGGAACCCGATGGCCCACGCGTCGCCTTGACGCCGCCTTCGTACTTGAAGGGGTCGTAGTCGTCGCGGTCCGTCAGTGTAGAGTCGTTGCGTGGCCTCGTCAGATTGTGCATAGAGGCCGGCCATGAGTCCCGGATGACAGGCTCGTGCTTGTCGACATGCAGCGCCGAGTGCACCGGCGAAGACGCCATGGAGTCAATGGTACTTTGGCTTTGCACCGAGTACGGGACCGAGTCGGCCCTGTCACGCCATGGCACGTTTGTCACGTCGCGCGGGACGATCAGCTCGGGATCAATACTCTCTTCCACGGCTGTCTGATTAGGCGGTGTCTGCGGCCGTTCAGGATTGTGTCTGCTGAATGCGAGGCCGCGAGAAGGGGTCCCCTGCGATGACGGCGCCTCAGGCGATTCCTGGTGCAACGCCATGGGGCTGACGTCTGGGTGTTGCTCACTCTGCTGTGGCGCCAGATGCGGAGTTCTCTGCTCGTCATCCTCTTCCGCTTGGACGCCTGATGTCTCTACTCGAACTTCAGGTTGCGACGCTGTCGGTTGGGCAGACTGCGCTTGGGGTTGCTCCCAGGAGCCTCCGGTCATCCCGAGCAATTGCGTTTCGAGAGGCGTTTGGCCGCATGAATGATCTTCAGAACCCTGTGGGGCATCTAGGTTTTGCCCGTGCAATTGTGATTGTCGATCACGCACTTCTTGGTCGTGAAATTGAGGTTGCTGTGGCACGTACGCTCCCTGAGCCAGAAGTTCCGGCTGGTGTGCGGATTGAGGGGAAGATAGATGGCTAGCATCGGCTTCGTCATGAAGAGACTGCTGGACATCTTCTCTAAAGGAACCCGAGCGGCTGGTTCTTGTAGCACCGAACAGACTGGGCGATCTAAGCTCGTCACGCCATGATGTTGCCCCAAAGTGAGCAGATGCGTGCTGCGCTGGGTGCTCGTCAGGGGTGATTACTGCGGTCTTGGGGCCGTCATCTTCATCGGTGCAAGATGTGGTGACAACCTGCTCCACAATAGACTCGTTGGAGTGCTGTTGCTGCTGCTGCTGGGAGGCGAAGCCTTGGGTGAGGAACGCAGGTGCTTTTGTGTAGTCGTACTCGCTGACGTCCGAGTCCGAGTCATGGTCTTGGGCAAGCTCTTCGGCAAGCGATGATTTTCGGTCAAATGACACGTCTTGGCCGTACGAGGGACTTATGACCCCTCGGTTGTAACTTTGGTCGTAAGTGTTCTTGAGGCCGGCCGATTCCGGATGTCGTGGCGAGTCCATGACCCCTTGTGCGTACTGCGAAGACGCGCTGAACCCAGCCGAAGGCAACGGGGTGACGTACTCCTGAGATTCAGTATCTGTGAAGTCCCCTGGTCCGGATTGTTGGAGATAAGTTGACGTTGTGGAAATACCGTCATTGCTCGCGTTTGACCACTGTTGTTTGTAGTCATCGGCGTGCAGCTGGGACGTGGGAAGCGCGGGGGATGTCGGGTCTGCCGAGCCAACTGCATGTGTCTCACCGCGCTGCCCAATGTTCTCCCAAGAATCATCGCTTTCTTCCCCTTCTTCTTCTCTTTGATGACTTTGTAGGTCCTGGCTGCTTATTGCTGGTACCGACTCCCTGGATACTGGCTCCGTCGCATTGGTCTGCGCCATCTGGTTGCTTGCTCCCATCAAGTTCGTTGTCTGACCATATTGATTAGCTTCCCATGCCTCCTCATTCTCCTCTCTGTCCGATTCTTCGAGTTCTTGACGGTAGTGGCCCTGTGCACTGGTTGTATGCGCAGGCGGAGGTGATGGCGGGGCTGCCATGTGTTGCGGCGTCGACAGACTTGGAGTCTGGCCGGGCAAGGTGGCTTTCGAATCCCATTCATCCTCTTCGTCATATGAATCCTCGAGATCCTGGCGGTATTGTCCGTGAGAGCTTGGGGCTCCCAGAAGCGGGGACGGAGCGGCCCTAGACTGAGATGATGATGAAAAGGGGAACTGACCAGGTCGAGCTTGGTCCTCACTTGAGTCCTGATGCTCTTGATTATCGAGACCCTGAGAGCTAGGGGAACGCGGTGGTGGTGATAGTGGTGGTGAAGGGGTCGCCTGGTTCTCTGACAATGCCAGTGCACTAGGGATGTTAGGCTGGGTAATGCTCGCGGGCAAGACAACTTGATCTTCCTCATCTGAGTTCTCGACCTGCAGGTGGGTTTGAGAGAGGGAACTGGGGGCGAGGGGAGGCAGTGGGCCAGACGCCGGGTCTGAGTCTTCCGGTTTCGGTTGCTGACTGTAGTGTCCCTGAGAGCTGGACGCGCGGAGAGAAGGAGAGAGGGGCGTTTCGCTATCCTGGGATGATGAGAGAGTGCTTGTCTGTACGGGATGAGCAGGATGAGCGCTTGGGATATCACCGTCGTCTTCGGACGAGTTGTTCACCTCTTCAGAGTTGAGGTTGTGGGAGTTCAGAGAACGTGAGGGGGATTGAAGGGGAGGGGAGCTTGGTCTGTACTCGGGAGATGTCAACACATTATCCATACGGTCGCTCTGAGGGTCGCGAGATTCCAAGTCTTGTTCCTCGTCAGAGTCTTCAAATTCTTGAAAGGAGCGCTCAGCGATGCTCGGCATAGGGGGGATGGCGTGGTGCTGCGAAGCTGGCAGTTGCTGAGAGGCTGAGAGGCTCTCTGGCTCTTCCGAGTCAGATTCCATATCCTCCAACTCGCTGTTGTAGCGTTCCTGGATGCTGTCCAGAGATGACGACGCACGATGCCTGGCGAAAAGCGGGCTGCTCTCCTGGGCGAACTGCTGAGCGCTCGGGTTCATAGACCCGTCAGCACCAGCAAACGAGTACTCGATCTCGCCAGTCGGGGATGAGAAGCCCTGTTGGGGCCGCGTTTCAGCAAAGCCCGCACCAACAGGACTGCTTGTTGTAGCAAAGGGATTGCTGTATGCCGACTCGGGAACTGGCGGGGTAGGTTGTCGGTGCTCGATGTTCTGCGCTGCAGATGCTAGGCCCTCGTTGGCAATGGGTGAGCTGCGCCGCACCGGGAACAAGGTCTTGTATGCTGATTCGGCTGCCGCGAGTGCTTCCTCGTCGTCAGAATCGGTATCATCTACCTCGTAGTGGCCTTGCGCGGTGGTTGGCCGGTCAAAGGGTTCGTTCGGGGAGTGCTCAACATCTTGCTGTCCAAGAGGGGTCATGCTTCTGGCAAACGGGTTGGTAGAGCTAACGCTGTCGCGGTGTCCTTGCGCACTACCAGACCGAGCGAAACTCTGCTCGGGCGAAGATGGCTGGCTATGACTGAGAGCGCTAGCCGATCGGAGGAAGTTTTCGGCAGCACTGGTCATGTTGCGAGAAAGAGGGTTATTGGAAGCTTCCGACGCGTCATCTGTCATCTGGCTGGCGAAAGGGTTGCGCGGCGGTTCCTCCTCGACAACGGTTTCCAGTGCAAACGGGTTATACGGGATATCCGACGACTGGTATGCTGGTTGCTCGTAGCTTGCAGCATTCGCTCTCGCAAAGGGGTTATAGGAGGCTTCCGATGACTTGATGATGTCGTCATCTTCCTTCACACTCTGGACAGAAGAGGAGGTGTTGTCTTCTTCCTCGTCAATGTGGGCTCTATCCGAGAAAGCAAAGCCATTGTCGTTGTGCTCAAGAGCGCCGACGGCCGGCAAAAGGTTCCTGTGTTGCTGGTCCTGCTCGTAGCTCTGATCTGCAGCCATGCTCGTAGTCTCAGTCATGGAGGAACTGTCAAGCGTGGCATCAGGGGCCACAGAGACGTTGCGGCTCACGGACTCGGAAAGGAAGTATTCTTCGGATTTTGCAGCTAGCTCAGAGGTGTCGCCAACAGCAGATGCGGCGGGCTCGGTGTGCTCAGTGATGACGGAAAGGTCGGCCTCATGCGAACGATCGACATCATCGAGGCTGACATCGTCGCGAGACGGATCCAAGACTTCAGCTTCAGCATGGGGAGAGTCAATCTTCTTGGACTCGGGCTCCAGCGCCACGCTGCTTCCTTGAGAATCGTGCTGTTGGGCATCATTCAAGTGGCTCTTGTCGTGAGCTTCCTCTTCCTTGTCTGACATCTCAGCATCATGCTCCCGTTCCTTGTCGTAAATAACAGCCCCAGCCGTCTCTCGAGAGTCTGGAGCATCCTCATGCTGTTCTGAAGCTGACGGTTGAGCCTTCTCAACTTCAACATGGGTCTCAGGAGAGTCGGATTTATCAGCCTTGTCGGTCTGGTCTTCTTTGGCAAAGGCAGCGGAAGCCTTTTCCCGGACGTCTTGGTCATCTTCAAGCTTATTGTCCTCAGCTGGGCCCTCGTGCACCAGATTGTGCGCTTTTCCCTCGGCCTCGACGTCTTCCGTCAATTCAACATCGGTAGGGGCGTTGGTGGTGGCGTCAAGAGGTCCAGCAGCGGAATCGTCCTCAGCTGCGTCAGGGACACTACCAGCGAATTGTTCTTCTGGCGTATGTGAAGTGTCCCCGTGTTTGGGATTTCCATCTTCAAGATCTTTGCTGGCAGCGGTTGGTAGATGTTCTTCCTCCTCTTGGGTTGTCTGGGGCAATTCACTGACTTCCACTGGGGTTTCCTGAGACTCAAGCTGGGGTTGCACCTCGCCGCTCATTGCCGAACTCTCTTGCTCAGAAACTTCCTTGAAATGGGCCAGGTCTAGTTGGCTAATGTGAGTTTCTGGTCGGTCCTGGGTCGGGGATGCTTCAGAAGATGATGGCTCGGCGGCCTTATCCTTTGCCTCGGTGGGCTCGACTTCCTCTGAATCGTCGGCAGCCTCGGAACCATCTGACTTCGTGCTCTTCCCTAGAACGGGTTGCGCTTCGGACAAAGACTCATCATCCATTGGATTTGACCTCTCCTCGTTGGAAGCTACTTCTTTGACGGATGTCTCTTCCGCTGCGGTAATCTGTTCTCCAGCGGGTTCGTCATCCATGGTCTTATCGCCGGCAGCTGGAAACTCCTTGTGCTTGTCTTCGTCCATCATAGAAGCCCTTTCTTCCACTAGTGAATCATCTACGACACGGTCGTTTTCCTCTTCCTTGAAATGCTCTTTTCTGTCAGGCTCCTCAGAAGAATCATCCTCGACATTCATAGAGACACTCTTGGAAGTTTGGATGATGGGAGAAGCAGTGTCATCCTGGGGAGCGTCGTCGTGCACGGTTGCCGTTCCCATGGTGGGAGATTCGGGCTCCTTGGCGCTCTCAGTTCGAGCGGTCTCTTCCAGAGGGGCAACTTCCCGATCTTCAGCCTCTTCGTGCTGAGGAGTATCCAACTCCTTGGTAACGCTTCCGGATGCAGGCGCCGCATCCTCAGCTGGTGCATGCTCGAGAGCTAAAGACCTCGAAGGGATTCCAGTGTCCTGGACGGTGTCTTCTCGTGCAGGCTCAGCGTGTTCGGTGGCGGCAGTATCAGACTCCTTGGAGGTCTCCTTTAGCGTAGCATCACTCTCTTCCGTAAGGGCACCGGTGGATTCCTCAGGTTCAGCTGATGTCGCTGCGAGAGTGGTCTTGTTTTCCTCGTACTTGGTTTCTTCTCCGGAAGCGGCTTCGTTCAGGTGTGAGGGGCCATCAACAGCCGCGTCGTCTCCTTGACTTGGCTCTCCTTCGACTGCCTTCGAATGAGGCTCGGAGACGTCGCGGGCTTCATCTGAGTCCTTTTCCTGATGCTCCTTGGTATCGCCGGTCTCCAGACTTGCCTCCTCCACCACTTGCTCGGTGCTTTCCGCAGCGTGATCCTCCTCAGAGGCACGCTCGTCAACCACGGCCTTCATGGAAAACTCAAGCACGGACCTTTCTTTTGTGGTCTCGTCAACATCTTCACCAGCAGCCTTCTCTTCTTTGGCTTTCGGGGTATCTCCATGCTCATCCGCTAGGCTGGAGACAGGTTCAGCATCTTCACTAGCGCTCGCAGGCTGCTCCCTTGCTGGTTTGTCGTCCGAAGTTGTTGAATCTTCCTGCTGCTCTTCAACTTCAGTGGATGGCTTGGGAGCACTTGTGTGCTCTTCAGCCAGACCTTCTGCCTCGGCAGCTTCGGAAATGGCGCTCTTATCGGATAACGTTGCCTCTTTGTCCTGGGATACATCTTGAACAGGGTCCTTGCCGACAGCGGGGTCGTTGTGAGCCTCTATTGTCGCTACGTCCGTAGCAGGGGCTTCCTCGGCAATCTTGGATTCTGCAGGAGCAGATTCTTGTGGTACTGGCTTTTCGATGGATGGCTCCTCGACAATGGAAGGCGCCTCATCCCGTGCGTTCTCGGACGTCTCCTCAGGCTTCTCAGCCTTGCCCTTCTCCTCTGCAGGAACAGAACTTTGGGACTCAACAGGGGTGTCTTCAGTTTCAGCCGGAGCATTCCGTTGGGAGTTTTCAACGGTGGCAGCGGCTGCGTTGCTTGAGGGCTCTTCTGAAACTGATTCTCCGACGTCTTTCGCCGACTCAGCTTCTGATTCGCGCTCGGCCTTGGGAGCGTCCGCCGAGAGAGCCGCCTTAACGGCTGTCTCCTCGGAACTCGCCTTCTCCTCGGAAGCCTCCTTGGACTCCGAGGTGACTGCCTCAGCTGGAGGCGTCACCTCTCTGCCCTTTGTCTCTTGGTTGCCAATGTCCTCCTCCACGCTTCTTTCAGCCACGGGTTCTTTGGGTTGTGGCTGGGAGTCGTCACCTTTGGGACCATTATCTTCTTCGGCCGGCGCATTGACCTGTGCCTCATCAGACGGTTTGGGGGCCTCCTCTTTTACGCTTTTGTCTTTTGGAGCGGACTCGGCGGGAGCTTCGGCTGTTGGCGGAGGAGGCTGTTCGGCTGGTGCAGCAGCACCGGAGTTTCGTACTGTTCTCGCGCGCTTCCGCGTGGGAACGGGAGGCACCGCCGCCTTCATTTGCTCCTCAATCAATCGGTTGAGTTCCTGAATGGATGATTAGATGAAGCCGCATGAGCCAAGCAGCGGTCGAACTTACTTTTCTCTTCTCCTCAAGCTGAGCCAACTTCGCTTCGCCTTCGGCAAGCTTCTTGGCTGTCTCTTCCTCAATGTTGTCCATGAGGTTATCCATCTCGTCCTCGACATTACGGGTAGTGGTATTAAATGTGCCTTGCTTCTCCTCGTCCTCTTTTGCTTTGAGGGCCGCACGCTCCTCGTCTTCTCGGCGGCGACGGGCTTCTCGCTCTTCGTCTTCTCTACGCCTCTGCTCTGCGATTTCTTCCAGCTCTTTCTGGCGTGCGGCCGCGAGCTCTTCTTGTTCTTTTTCGTATGCGGCCTTCAGTTCCGCGAGCGTCATGTCACGCTTCTGCTCGAGCTCGTCGAGTTTTGTGTCGCTCTCGGCGGCAGATGTCGACAGGCCCTCGATCGTAGAGTGAATCGAAGCGAGGGCATCGTTCATCTGCGCCACGAGCGTGGCAACGTCTATTCTGGTTGTCATCGGGTGGGTATGGGGAGAGTCGGAGCTCTCGACGACAGAGTGTGAGATAGGGGACTTGTGATTAATCGGTGTGAGATTTGGACAATACCAGACACGTTGCGGGAGAGGCAGGTATTGTGAGTTTTATGGTTTGATTTTGTTAGGCGTTGATCAAATTCCAAAGATAAACATCAACATAGTTGCGGGGTGGCTCGTCATTTTACAATATATACCACGGTATATGTGCCCCTCGCCACGAAATAACAACCAAAGGTACGCGTTCCGGCAGCCAAGTAACACACAGGAGAACCCGGCCCTACGTGATGTCCCTACAACTATCATGCATGTCCTCGGCCAGGGCTAGGTCTGCTACTGTTACCAGCCAAAACCCCGAGATCCAGAGGAAGGGACTGTGCTTTCGTTCCATGATTGGCGAGCAACACGGCGGACTCTCATCCGATGTCTGTGTTCTAACCGCGGTGGACCCTGTCCGCTCTGCAATGCATGACATGCAAATAAAGACGATCAAGTTGACAAGGGGACGCCGCGGCGCGGGAATCCCAGGCGTTGCTCAACGCACGTCTAACCACAACCATGGCCATCGCGAGATGGCGCCGCCATCGACGGGGCATTGAGCATCAGTAATGTCCTGGCTGAACCGCCTTGTCGCTGAGCAACCCAGTGCCAGCTGTCAAATCTCGGCAGCATCCTCCTTGCCTCGGGCGCGGGTTCTCAGGGCTGCCGTCCAAGGGTCTCCGTGGTGTTCCTGCACATCTGATGTCGTGCCACGACAGCTCGGCCCCATCTATGTAGTATCTAGCGGAGCGCCCATCTGCGTCGCCGGCGGGTGTCGATTTGTGCTGCGTTGGCAAGGTAGGGCATGGACGGGGTGGCCCTGTCAGAAACGAGCATCATTCATGCGCCCGGCATCGAGAGTTTTGAGAGCACGGCAAGGTCACACACCTCACGTGGAACCGGTGTCGAGCAACCGTCTGTCTGGCCGCATGAATTTGGAAGAAAAAAAAGGTGACCAGTATTGCGTCGCATCCGGAGAGTTTCAGGACTCACCCTGCTTCGGATGAGGATGATGACACTTGTTCAAACTAAAAAGTCGGATCGGACAGCCACAGTTGCACCCTCAACCCACATGGTTGAGACGAGGGATAGCAAGGATTCAAGCCACAACATGGCTCTCCGCGATCCGGGGGCTCAATTATCGAATACCACAGCTTAAGGAGAATGACATCATGGATCACTTGCTGGAACGGCTCAAATGATGGCTCGGATGTTTCCTCCGTGCCTGATTTGTTATTGGAGCCCCCCTCGTGTTTATTTTTGTAACTGTTTTGCCGCCTTGTCGGTTCCGAACAGCAACATGTTCGAAAGGAGAGAATAAACAGAGCTAATAGCTTCTGCTCTGAGAACTCGCAGCTGCGTTGTTCTACAATTTCGAAGATTGAGACGAAAGATGGTGTTACATCGCACTATCACCTAGACTGCGGCTGCACGTCCATAGCCTCTAGGTACGGCGCTGTCGTCTGATGCTATGGAAGTGTGTCCATTTCATCATGTCTGATATTTATATCCGCTAAAGCATGATATAATATGCATAAAACGTAAATAAAGGAGCAGCGCCACTAGAATTCTCTCCGTGATCGTCGCCTTTCTCAATCTTTACGAGTGCTCGACAACGCTACTGTGCGAGGCTCCAGCTCATAACACACAAGCGGCGTAGATAACTACGCATCAGAGCAATTCTGAGATTATTGATCGACCAAAGTTTTGGCAGCTATCGGTGTCCTCGGGATAATCTACCTATTTTCTATCATTTCTTTCATACGGCGGTACACCGCCACGAGTGTTGATGCTCGAAAGCAGTATACTTGAAGACGTAAATAGGTAAAATTAGCCTTGAGCCGAGGAGAGAATATCAAGCACGATGGAATGTGGCATCCCATTGAGAACGAAACCCAGCTCGGATATCCCAAGTAGCAGTCTCATGCTTCTTCAAATAGCTTGCTCCATCTTCTGCTATATACGCCAGAGCCTCAACCCACAGCTCCTCCGGACCGACGCCCTGTCCGTCCTGGCGACTTGGAAGGCGTCATGTGGACACGATAATTGAATCCCATCTTCCCCTTTGCCCTCGGGCACCAGGTCCTCGCCGTCGTGGAACTTGAGAAAATAGACCTCTTCGGGCGTCTGCTCGCCAATGTAACACCGTGATGGATCGTTACCCGCTGCATTGTGGCTGACACCCCCCGATTCAAATCCGGAATCCCTTCTCTCCGGCCATCGCTGCCGGATCAGCGCGTTCTGGCTTCAGTAGAAAGGCACGCACCCCGGGCGGTCCCACCAACGGGGCGTACTCGATCTTCCGCAACACAGGACGGCTCATGTCCATAACGGCCAACGAATCTTGATAGACCGTCTCCCAGGCGCGCCAGATGCTGAAGGACGCGCTGTGCGGGCCGTCGGAGTCGGCGCCATTCCTAGCCTCATTGGCCGGCCCTGTGAAGCAAGCTAGGGTCGGTCACCGCCAGCCAATACTTGTTGTCTGTCGAGGCCCCCTCTGTGATGGTCAGGTCATTCAGAGCGGGAGCACTCCAACCATTGTGATTGTTGAAGGAGGCCAGCACTTGCTTCTGGTGCTGGAAAGTGGTTACATATCGGCTTTCCGCCGTAAGTTGAAGAAGCATCGTTTGAGACTATTGTTGAAAACTGTCAGTTCTGTCTATCAAAGACTGAGAAGAGGTGGCCGCCTGGATCCATAGTAAAGGTCTAGAAAGACAACACTCAGTCCAGTTATACCTACTCACGGGTTGAAGATCCGCCGAGGGACTGATGGCACCGTCATCGCATCCCGTTTCAAGCACAGAAGTCTCGGATGCCAGCCCAAGTCTAATCTAACCAACATTGTTGCAATTCATCAGCAACTCAAGATTCGGACAAGAGACAGAGCGAATCTGGTGAGAACTGGCAGCGGTTCAGCAGCTGGGATACGCACGATCAGATTGTGTACCGGTGGATGTATTTGGCAAGGTGGTTTAGAGGCAAGCTCTACCGCTCTCACCATAGCTCTCTCTGCACATATCAGAAATTTTGACTCTGGGTCGTGTCAACATCCTCTTGCGCCGCTTGTTCTTCATACCTGTAAAACCGCTAGTATAGCTACTAAGGTGTATACTCTCAGTGGAATGGGGGATTAAAGTTGAATGAGTGTGAAAAGAAAGTCTGAACATACCACTCAGAAGTGGATTTGGCTGAGTGGCTCTGGTATGGGAAGAAATCTTAACATTGCTATATTCCAGCTTTATAAATTCCACCTTATGGACGTATGGGATTTATCACACTTGGCGTTCTATAACGGTCTCATACTAATGTGATTTGTGATCGAGATGTCCTTGAGGGAACAAAGGCCTGCTCTATTATTGTCAAGAGCTTTTGCCTTAAGGGTTCTGACTCTCGCCGAGGCCAAATACAGTTGCTGGCTCAACAACTGCTGGTTTTGCCCTAAAACAACCCTCTCATGTTCCGGCATTCAAAGTGATTGAGTGATCCAGTTCTTTCCTTTTGCGTGCTTCGCTGCAGACCATACTTGAAGACTTGGCTATATCCCATTGAACTGAAATACTGCCGACCTTATTGTTTAGACGTAGACATGATAGCATCTGCTTCATTCACGTCAGAAGGTTTCTGGCCCGGACGTAGATTTATCAGGAAAGGAAACCGTGACGCGAACCTCTATGCTCTATTGCGAGAACGTTCAAGGGTGCTCCGATGTCATGTCAAGCTGTGTTGTTGCATACGTATACGCCGCCGCTCTCCTTCTTACATGTACATTCAGGTTCTGGAAAGACAACAGCCCTCGATAATTGCGGACCATGCCAGCCCAAGTTATTCCGTGGTTTCTTGCAGTGTTCTTGTGCTATTGTGTAGCTGCGTGACTCTACGAGGGTTCACCTTGGATGCGTATCTCAGTGCTCGGTCTAAGGTTGGTCTCATTAGTCGTTACCAAGCTCTGGGCACGCACGTAATACGGCACAGCACGTTAACCTTCAATCTTTGCCTGAATCGTCGGAGCGGTCGGCCCGAAAGCGGTCGACGCCCCGGGGGCAGGTGTTTAGGAGCTTGGGGTAAGCTTACCAATGCTGCAAGGATGGACACATGTACAAAATCTCCCCGCTATGGGAGTTGATCTTCCCCTGAGGCTTTACCGTAAACGAGACAGTAACATGCAACAGACTCAATTTCCGTACGTTTCGTACGGTTTACCAGTCATAACTCCACGGTAACGAGCCAGAGTGACTGCTTGTCGCCCTGGAGCGGTTTCGTCTTGATATTCAGGCCACACGGGATAATTGACGGGGGACAAGATCTGCGCCGTGTCTTGGTGGCATGTAGGGATGTAGCTTTGGGAGGTGCATCTTTCTCCTAGTCAGCCTGTTCCAGTCGTTGTAAACTCAACATTGGATCTCAACACTAACATAGAAATGCGAATAACTTACCACGGAACCAAGTCTTGGCTGCCGAGGGCAACATGACTGTTGACAAGCCTAACTCGACTTCTATGACTTTTGCAATAACGAGCACACAAAGTACAAAAAAAGAGATTTAGCCTAGTTGCATAAAAAGATTCACATTATGTCCTTGACATCCACGACCCATTGTCTTGCGCTTATCTGGCATGGTGCCATTAGGCCAGCTTGTTGACGTGAAAGACACGATGCGCATAGAAAGTCTAAACCAGGACGATCTGCAAAAGAGGAGTGACTAGATTCAGTAAACTCGTGATTGATTCTCGTTTTGCAGTTCGAGGTTTCGCCTCGGACTAACACATATATGAAGCGCTTAGATGGTCCTAAATGTTCCCAGACTCACACGAGAGCAAGCTCAGGGATTGGAATCTTGGAATCCAGCAAGCACACACCAGGTTCAGTTTCCCAACTCGTTATCATCAGTCTGATAAACCCTCAAACGGTAGTTGTGTAAGCCACTTTGAGACCACAAACCACATAAACTCCACGAGTAGCATTTTCGATAAAACATGAGTTTTGGAAGCCTCTTGAGGGATCATTAGAAACAAAATCTTGGTGAGCAATAAACCCGCGGGATTGATGTTCATCAGTGTCACCATACGCCCTTGCTGGGTTGCCCTTACCAGCAATTCCATCTTATGAGAACGGAAGATTCGGCATCTAGGAGAGTTACGTCGCTCCGAAAGCCCGCCTCTGCAAGCCTAATAGCCGGATGCAGCCTCCATCCGCACGGACGAGTCCTATATAGCTGCCGTTCAACCAACTTGGACAGACCCTAAGCCCCCTGTAAAGCCGCTCCTGGTTCCGGGCCTTGGCGACGGGAGGAGAGTCACCGATGGACGGGAGCAACCCATGAAGGGGGGGGAGAGATCCGCCGTTCAAGAAACGTCGGGTGAAGAAAGAGAAGTCGAGGGGCAGACACAAAGGCCCCCCAATGAGAAGAAGTGAACCGAGACCCTCGGGAAGTCCGCCACCCATCCGCGGAACGCAGCCCGACCCCGATCACCGTCTCCTCACACTCACCCCGACGAGCGAAGGGCAAGAGACCCGGTGTAAGCTTCTGCGATTCTGCCACAAACCGGCCGGCCTCGACGCAGGGGAGAAGCCAACCGTCCCGTTCTGACCAAGCCTCGGGCGGCAGGCTGCCGACCCTGTTTGCACACACACACACACACACACACACACACACGTCACCCACCACCTGCCCGGCTACGTCGGTTCGCAAACCGTACAAGAGGTTATAATGGCCAATGAAGTGGGATGTGCCGGAGGTAGGGGGTGATCCACACCGCCGCTTAACGTTTGTCAGAACAAGCCTGCTTGCAGCAACTGCCGAAAGCATATGTACTGCTTTTGGGGAAAGTCATTGGTGCTTGGGACGAGACGGCAGGGAGTGTCCGGCCAATTCAACTTCAACGGACATTCCCCAACTTCAAGTCTTCCGTATCTCGTCAAGTCCCCCATACGGCCAGTCTCGCGTAGGTGGCTTGGCAGCTCCTATTAAAAGGTTGTACAACTTGCGACTCCATTTGATGATATCGTCAACATGAACCCGGCAGGGCCAGATACCTTGACTAGAATTCCCACTACACACATGGTGATGCGATGCAACAATACAAGATTTCGCAAGAAGAAATCAGAATATCGGACAAGGAATAGGGATGGATTATCTTGGCATTCGATAGCCAATCAGTAGGGGAGAAAAAAGGGCCAACCCACGTGGCTCAAGGGATGCCCCATGAAGGTAGGCTTACAGCCACATTATCGGATCGACCGTGACGTGATATTCCCCATTATCCAAGCTGAAACTATTCCTAAACAATGACATGTCGCACAACCGCAGTACAACCGTTCTTGGTGGCTACCTAGTACGATTTGCTCCACCTGGAATGAGGGCCGAGTATTATGCAGGCAAAACACGGCCTTGAACTGAGTTGTTAATATTCAATCTAGAGAGGGAAGAAGAGAAACAGAGCAAAGTGATGTATGCAAATATTAGCAGTGAATAGGAGGCTCCCCTAGCCGCAGAGTTCCAAGTAAAGTAGCCAGAAAATAGAAAATAAATATATGTAAATATATGTATATAGATCACGCTGTTGCTTGATGCTTATGCTTCCGCCGCTGGCGGCAGAAAAGGTGACCCAGTCCCACAAGGCCCTACATGGCTCGTCCAACTGCTCTCCTAGGAGAGAAATTCCCTGCAAACTTTCGTCGGAAGTGTTGCGTGTTATCGTTGGTTTAGAAGCGCTTGGTAGTGTTGCCTGCGACGGCCCGCCTCCTCCTGTAGTTCTCGGCGTGATTGAACCTCTCGTACGTGCCCAAGCCGTAGAAGGACAGTCCGATGAAGAGCCAGGTGCTGGTGACGACGAGGCCGACGGGGAAAATCAAAATTTGCACGCCGGGAAGAACGAAAGCCACGGTGCCGTTATGGAGCGAGGCGACGATCTGATCGACGGCGGCCTGGGCAACGGCGAGATCGGACTTGACCACTTCCTTTGAGAAGACACCGGTGATGAAAGCGGCTTCGTTCGAAGAGACATTGGTGCTAACAGTTTGGCCGGCAACGTTAACACCAGTGAGCGTCAGAGTCGGCATCACGAGCGCTTCCAGTTGTGACCTGAGCTTGGTTAGCAATCCGTGGCGCAGAGATGAAAAGGGAGACGGGGAATTCGTACATGGACATGGACGCCGTCATCCTGGCCGGGTCGATCTGTCCAACAAAGAGATATGTCTGCAACAGTTGAGGGGCGACCGCACGCTTCTGCAGTGTGGACCAGGGAGCCTCGAAGCCCACGTCGCGGCGAGCAGTTGTGCCAGTACTGCCGCCAGAGTTGTTGGCGCTGATTGGGGAGACGGAAGCACCGTTGAACGAGAGTCCAACCTGAATGTTCTGGGGCGGGATGCCAGAAAAGGCGCCGTTGGCGTCCGAGACCTTGTAGAGGCGCAAGTCGGCCTCAAAGACGCCGCTTTTGGCGTCGAGGCTCGGGAGGTTGTAGCAGATGCAAGTTCCCGAAGGGTTCGATGCCTGGTCGAGATGTGAAAGCGCGTCGGTACATTTCTGGGATGTTTCCTCCTCCCAAGCCGTCATGTTGATGGAACCGTCGGGGTTGAGGGTGACCTCGGATTTCGGGATCCATACGCCATCCACGGCGGCGGTCTGGCGCTTCTCGATATATCGGTTTGCAACGTCCTCGTAGTTTCGTTCTAGCACGTCGACGGCCCTGACCTCGATGGTTTGGTCCATGGACAGCGGGCGGATCTCGGCGCCAACACTCGAGGCTAGCACGGCCGTAGTCACGGCCACCTTCCAAAACATGGTGGGCGATGAAGATGGAAAGCAAGTTTCGACTAGGTGAGTTGTTGGTGATGATGGTTTGGCGTCGCCAAGGTCTAATTACAAAGTCGGGTTCCGGCCGGCGGCGAAGCGAAGCGAATTGGAATAAGACGAAGCCTAGGAAAGAGCGAAAATGGAGTCCACCTCGTCGCCTGTGCGCAGAATGGCGGATCTTGAAGGGCCGATCGAGGGTTGTCGGGTATGGCGTGAGATCGTTAACGACGGGATCGAACCCGGGGGGGATTCGAGATCGGATGGGGTTAAGAGGTTCGGCGGCAACGCAAGGGAAGAATAGAAGTAGATGAAAGAAAAATAGGGACCTGCCCGTCAGTGGGAAGGTTAGTGGTGGTTAATTGCTGGCTTGGCTGTACTCGGGTCGAGTTGGTTGCGCGAGTCCAGGTCGACTCGACTCGGGATGGCGCAGAACGAGAGAAGGCCAGGAGGAAGTACGAAGTTGGATGGGGTGGCGAGGATTCAATAAGGGCGGAGATTAGCGTCGGTGGAGCAGGCGGCAGGGGAGGGCCACTGCAGGGCTGGGCCTTTGACAGACAGCAGGAGATGTGTGGGAAGAATTGTGTCATGCAGCGACCATCGTGTGCCTGACGAGACAAGCGGTGGCCTGACACCCTTATGATCCACAGCAGGGTTGAAGGGGTGAGGTTTGAGCCGTCCCCAGGTAGGTATGATGGGTGGGTTTGGCGTGACGGGGGGGGGGGGGGGGGGTCGTAGAATTGCTGGAAGGTGAAAAAGGGACTTCGTTGCCAGTGGGAGACAGAGTCCTGTACGGTTGTGAGCGAGCGTGGATGTCGGTGTCAATGTCTACTAGGTAGTGTAGGATGTATCCGTATACCTAGGTATGCAGTACGACGTAAGAAGAAACTCGAGGGCGGGGGTGGTTGCCAGACAAGAATGACGGGGGTCCCGGTATGTAGTCCAAGGGACCAAAAGAGGGCCAAATCCAGGGAGGATGTCGTTACAAGACAAGAGCGGCAGGACGACTATGTTGTGGTAGACGGTGGTAGACTGGCGTGTGGTCCGAGTTAAGATTTCGTGAGACGGCAAATGCAACGAGAGGCGCTCAGGGACTGGAAAACGTGGAAACGGAGGATCCAGTTGGAAAAGAAAAAGACAAGGAATGAGTGGGGAGGACGAGTTTGAGCATGTCCGTAACGGTGGTCGAGATGGGAATGCGACGAATGCGGTAGGCGAGCTGCTGAACTGGAGACGCATGAGAAGAGAAGAGGAAGAGGGAAAAGGGGGAGGGCCTTACGTTAGCGGGGCCGAGCTTGAAACTTGTCGTGATGATTGACTGGTTGATTGGTTGGATGGGTTTAGGAAGATGGATGATGGTAGTGGTGGAGGGGCGGGAAGGGATGCGTTAGAGGCTGATGAGAGGGGCGAGGTAAGGTTAGCCGGGGTCCAAGACGTGACTAGTCCAGAATGGGCATGACGTAGCGGTTCCCGAGGAAAGATTAAGCATGAGGTCACGTGGACGCTTATACGGATACAGTAGTACGGATAGATCGAACATAGGTACCCGAGTGGGTACTAGGTACACGTGACATAGGAAAGGGCACGTTCCTACGCTACGCATCAAGCCCTACCCAGCACGGTACGTACCGTACCGCACAAATGCATAGTCGGCGGTACGTACATGGAATATTCCCTTTTCCGAGTCAGGCCTTCCCTTCCTGTTTCTTCCTTTCCCCTCGTCCTCCCTCTCTACAGCCTGCAAATGATGCACTCCATTCGTGCAAAGCAGAGTGTACAACTCCTTACTCGCCCTGCAACCAATCTTCCCTCTTTATTTTTATTTTATTCTATTCTCTCTCTGTTTGCCGTCTTTCTTCCTCCTGCATACCTAGCTTCGAATACGGAGCTTGGCAGCTTCGAATACGGAGCTTGGCAGCCTCGGTAGGGGGTACGGTGGCGCATCCATGCACCAACCACATGATGGCTATACAAGTATACTTAAAGCCTGAAAAGAGGAGACGGAAGTCCGAAACCGTCACACAGTCGTAGCGGTCTCAACCATTGGTCAGATTCGTTCTCCCGATGCTCGATTGTCAAAACGGAGGCTTGTGGATGGGCTCGTCCCAGACGATGCGCACTCCGTCTTTATCGCTAGGACCACGAAGCTTCGCCCCTCCGTCCCAGGCTTGCAAGACACGGTGCCTGAGCATCGTCAGCATATCCCTGTCCGATAGCCCGAGGCCACTACTGGACCAGCTCATGGCATTGTCGGATCAACTGGAAATGGAACAAGCGTCGTTCGAGGAATGGTCGGGGGCTGAGGCAGCTCTGGCTAGGGGGCTGACAACGTATTTCATTGGCTCAAGTCGACCAAGGCTGGAGACACCCGGGGGCCGCGAGTCTCAGGGGGGCAGCGGTCAGGGGTGCGTCGTGCTGAGAAACTCCTGTTTCCCTGCGCAAACAGCAAAGCGGCCAAGGTATCGCCTCCTCTCTCTTATCCATCCACCATGGGCTGGAACCGCCAGCAACCAAGTATCGGTAGGGTTGGCGCAAGGGAGAGAGGCTTGGAGCCACACTCAACATTCCTTCCCTACTTGTACGGACACACACGTACGGAATACGGAGTACTCTGTTCAAAGTATCCGTATACGCATAGAGTATTGCGCTACGCGACTTGTGGCTGCACCATCCGATATAGCCAGGCCGGACCTACGCAGCAGCGGACGGGCCTTTGCGCCCCGTGCTCGGATTTCCATGGGCATGCGCTGCGATACAGTCTCGATCCTCTCCCTCCAGAAATCGAGAGCGGGGGGCCAAACCAAAACACGAAGAATTGCCTTCAACTTGACAGTGGGCGGAGCTAGGGAAAAAAAAAAGAGAAGAAGAAGGAAAAAAAGGAAAAACAGGACGAGACGCCGGCGCCATCGACTCACTCATTTCACAAATGGCCGCATCATCACGCCTCTCACCGTACACTAAAGACGATTAACCTCCCCATCTCAAATGACTACCCCGCCACCATCGTGAGGTAGGCAATTAGCAGCAGCAGCTCCAACAGCAGTAGGTAGCACAGGTCCTCGCCGACAGGACCTACATTACCGCCCGCGGCGCCTGCAGTCACCAGCGGCCCTTGTCTCGGATGAAACGCGTGGACCAGAGCGAGCGCTGGGCACTCCCTCACTTCCATGGCATCCATGCAAGCAGGCTTCGCCTAATTCGTGGGCCAACGTTGAAATCTGGGAGGAGTAGCCGGCCACCGCTCTGGAATCAACCAGGGGGAGCTCCCTATTTGGAGATGCTAGTCCAGAGGAGCCTCTGCGAGTTTGGCAGCGGCACGCACCACTCTCTCCCATCTGGCATCTCGAACCGGCCTCTTCAGAAGACACCTTATCCGCCTACGCATGTATACCTATACCTACCTGTATACGGAACATCACCAGCCACGGCGACATAATCCGACTCTGTGGCATGGCCACCCAGTTGTCTTTTGCGTCCAGGTTATAATTTCACTTCGACTCTCGCTGCGTTTCATCCTCCTGCTGCCATCCCTGCGAAAGATTAACCTCTTGTCACCAAAAAAGCTTGGCCTCCCTCCGTCTGAACCTGGATTACTTTCCGCTTTTATTGATCAATCGATTAGGCCGGCCTGTTTGAGCATTTCATTGCCGAAAGTGCTCTACTGAATGGGCACTCGATCGAGAGAAGCCTGTCTCGTCGTCACTGGTAGCCCGAATATCGAGCACGGCGAGTCGGAAAACGGCCGCGCCGCCATCGAAATGACTTTCGTGTCTGATGTACCGCAATCTTATCGGCAACCGCCCCATCTCTCATCCGGCCCATGGTGCCGGGGAAAGGAGACAGCCACTGCTTCTCCGTCACCGAACCGCCGTCACCCACATTGTAGCCGACACGTCCGAAACACGCCTCCTGGTGCCTCCTGGCGCGACCGGTTTTGGGATCCCGGTGGGACTGTATTACGAGGCCAATACCATTTCGCCGTGCTCCCACCGTTACACCGTCCATATTCCACAACCCGCCGCATTCTTCATGAGCCAACAGCTGCTGTATTAAGTGGCACACGGCCGCCATGTTCCGCAACAAAAGCTGCTAGCTCGGCGTCCCACGGGCCGAGAATGACGCGGCCATGACACTTAAGTCGGCTGTCACGGCAAGCACTGTTGGTCTTCATGATACTACCCGTATGCTTAAGGCGAATTACTGAGCCTCTTTAATGATCTTCATTATCCAAATGTCGCTGGCCCTCAACGGGGGGGAGGGGGGGCCTCTTGCGTAACCAATCTTGTCACCCATGCATGTTATCATAATCCTCGTGAAACGCCAATGTAAAGCCACCGTCCATCTTGCGATTCTCACCCACCCGCCTCCACCCGCTCCTTTCGTCCTCCCTCTAGAACTCAGACGGAAGAAGCGGCGAGGTCACCAGGGAAGAGGTTAGAAGGACCAAACGGGTGTGACAGGCTGAATGATATCATCTTGGTATACCCTAACGCCCGTGAACCGAACTTGAAACACGCCGCCGCGCACTCATACCACAACTCGTTTGCTCCAGAGTCGTGATAGCTTCTCCTTGAACCAGAGTGCTGCCTCGGTAAACGCCAGGTATAGCCCGGTGAAGAACCAGAAGGTCATGACGACCCCGAACCCGCCAACCAGCTTGGCTTCCACGATCCTGCCCACGACGACGTCACGTATGGCGTTGCTCATGAGCAACCAGTTGTATACAGGGACTAGTTGGCTGGCCGGCATCGCGATGAACGACCTCTGGTGAACAATCTGCGCCTTCTCCCGTTCCCTCTCCTCGATGGTATCGGCCATCCTCCACGCGACCTGGTTGTTGATCTTTTCCCAGGTAGCCTCGCAGGCCATCCTTCGGGCCTCGGCGGCCATCTTTGACCGGCAGTCTCGGTCTTTGGATAGGTACATGACCTTTTCGACGAAGCCGTCGAGGTCGTCGGGCGGGATAAGGTACCCGCAGCGTCCGTCGTCGATGATGTCGCTTGGCCCGCCCTCGTCGCGGGCCACCACCGGCACTCCGCTCGCCATAGACTCGAGGACGACGAGCCCGAACGTCTCGGTGACGGAGCAGTGAAGGAAGATGTCACCGGACGCATAGGCCGTTGCGAGGTCCTCCCCGGTCTTGAACCCGGCGAATATGACTTTGCCCTGCTCCCTCAGGGGGTCAAACATCTCATGCACCTCCCGCTCGACGTCAGCGTTCCTGTTTCCACCCACGACGTAAATTTTGAAGCGGAGGCCCCTCGCGTCCAGCTCCTTGGCGGCTTTGGCCAGGAAGTCGAACCCCTTCTCGCCCGCTATCCTCGACACACACACCAGGATGATGTCCCCGTCCGGGGCAATCTCCTTCCTCAGGGCATCGCTGCGCATATCCGGGCGGAACATGTCCGTCTCGACGCCGCGCCGCAGGACCTCGAGCTTCGAGCTTTGCACGCTCTGGGCCTCGAGGTACTTGCGCACGAAGCGCGATGGGTAGAAGACCGTCTTCACGGAACTGTGCCGGAACAGAAAGCTCTGGACCATGGCGAAGGCGAAGACGGCCATGGTACTGAAGGGGTGCGGGAACAGGATGGCGCAGTAGCCGGCGAGGTCGGTCTGGAAGTTGCAGATCACCGGCACCCGCTTCTGCCTCGGCTGTTGCTGCAGCTGGAGCATGACCTGGAAGCCCAGGGACGCCGGCGAGGCGAGGTAGATGAGGTCGGGCGGGGTGTCGCAGCCAAACGTCCGCGCGAAGAGGGCCGATACGCGCACAGGGTAGACGACTGAGAGCTCGGGGTTGAAGGGCAGAGGGTAGCCCTGCAGGCGTACCTCGACTTGGCTATCGTCGGCTGCAGAGGGGGCGAAGGTATTGTGCTGGGTATGATTGTGAGGGGCAACGACGGCGACGAGCGCGCCGTGGGAGCGGAGGTGCTCAACAAGCATCAGGGTCGTCCGGCTGACGCCGTTGACGGGCCCGAAGGACTCTGTGCAAAGGAGGATGCGTTTTCCGCGCAGAGAAGGAGGGAAGATGGCATTATCATGAGTCGGATACCGTGGCAAGGTGCCGTAGCTCTTGGGCAATAGAGGCTGGTCCATGTTGGCTGAACTTCAAACCCGTCAGCCGCGAGTGTCGCTGATGCTAGTCCTCACCCGGGAGTCTCTTACGGGGGAGTATCTGGCCTCGTCGAGGAAGAGTATGGGACTGGGCAAACAACAATTGCTAGAGTTGCGCAATACCCCCGGGGTTGAGGCGTAAGTTAAACATGTCAACAGCCGAAGGCCCAAGGACCGGCGCGGGAGGCGCGCTTGGCTTCTTGATATGGGACTTCGCGCAGGGCGAGCATGTTCCAGGTCGCACAAGAGGCATGCATATGCTCACGGTATGAGATTGGCTGGATGCAAGACAGAGAGACAAAGAAAGGTCATGCAGCAGAGAGTCATGGACGGGACAACCACCGGGAACCTGTCGATACATCCTGCTGGGCCACATGGGAAGCTTGGATGGCTAACCGCGGCTGTGTTGGGGGAGAGGCAGACCAGGGACATGAATTCCCTAGTCTCGCATATCGCTGCAGGGTCCAGAAGTCAAATTTCGGGTGCATACCAAGAAGATTCGCCTTCCAGTACCACGCCTTATACCGCAGCCGCCTCTGGCACATGTGGTGATGACCTCTCTTTGTTGGAGGCCCAGACCGTGGATTTCAGTCTATCGGATTAGTGTTTAGTACTCAAGCTCCCGTACTTACATCTCTGTTGGACCTGGATAACTCGCTCTTCGTCCACTAATATCAATATTAACAGTCCAGCTGCTCGCAGTCTCTGGTTCGGGTGATGGCGGGTGGTACTGTGCCCATGACCAGAGTACGTTATGTATCTTGTTGTATGCCGATGGGCGGAATGGGGGAGTCAGGCCCACCATCCACGAAAACTCCCTTAAGCAAAACATTCTCAGGTGAACCTTTCGCAACCGTCTTGTCTGCATACATAATACGACCGGCTGCCCACGAGACAATCTCCGTGCTCCGAGCCAGCGTGCCCAATCAGAGGCGCGGACGGGGGCACATTTCGGCTTCGGTGGACGAGAGCCAATCAGCAAGACAACGAGAGTCGAAGCAGCACCTCATGGGCGACCGGCCGCATGACTGTTGCTCCGAGAGTTCAACGAAACCTCTCCCTCTTCCGCAGAAGGGCATGAAGGCGAATGACGAGGTGTCTTCGGATCCTCGTGGGCATCACGGTTGGGCGCCAGATCTTGCGGAATTGTTCTCATCCCCTCCTCCCAACGGGCCAGCCCCTGCTCAAGTTTGGCGAGTGGCATCTGCTTGCTATGCTATTGGACTTTTCAAAGAACATGATTCGCTCTTGCGTCCTCCTTACCGTGGGGGGGCACCCTGATGAGATGGGCTAGATCTGGTATCGACAAACACTTTGCCCACGCGCCGAATCGCCATGGGCCGGAATAAGCCTGGCGACGGGACGGCTACAGAGCATGCCTCCTCAAGTAGTCCAGCCTCCCGCGACGCAGGAGTCAATAGTCCAAGAGCCTTTTTTTGCATAATTTTGGACCGTTAATCATATCTCGGCAGACGTCGCTGGCATCTCCCCTTTATCACAGCGACTCTCGGATCTCGGCATAATCGATCCTTGCCGTAGGTTGCCGGCATCCCAACAGCCAGGTTGACCGACGCGCGTCAAGCCCTCGAAGCTATTCAAGATCCTCTCGTGTTCCCGCAGAGATACCGTCATCAGACGACGCTAGTGAGTTCAAGCGTTCGTGAGCCACAAGAGCCGCGTCAGGTCTCATCAAGCCGTCCGTTCCGCACGGCCGCCACCAGCCCAACCATACCCAATCCAAGATAGTGAAACGAACGCGTCCCTCATCGGACGAAGCCTCCCACGGTGAGCCAGGGTCCTATCGCAAAGAAACAGCTGCCCGCCTCTGCTTTATACAGCTCCCGAAGCCCTGGTTCTGACTCGGCCGCGCGACACGTGAATAATCAAGAGGCTCTTTGCATCGACAAAAAGCCGACCATGTACAACTTGGGCGGGACCGCTCCGCCGGCCTCGACCGACGACGCCGAGGAGGCCAGCTTCCATCCGCCCTCTACAGTGCCCACGACGCCCGAGGGAAGCATTACCTTCAGTCCCGTCGTCCGAGCAGAAAGTAACCTCACCGAGGACGGAGACTCCATAAGCGACGACGCCTTTGGGGAACTCCTTTCAGACCGAGGGGGCCATGCCGCCTCCACGGCCAGCACAAGAAGCACACCGGTCACGAACATTTGCTGCGTGGGCGCAGGCTACGTCGGTGAGATATGAATTGAAACCCCCCCAGTCTAGAGAAAGCCTTTTCCCCCTTCCCCTTCCCGCCCCATTCTGATCCCATCTCCCAGGCGGCCCGACTGCCGCGGTCATCGCCTTCCAAAACCCGCACATCCGCGTCACCGTCGTGGACAGAGACGAGCGGCGCATCCGGCGGTGGAACTCGAAGCATCCAACGATATACGAGCCCGGCCTCCGCGACATCGTGAGGGTCGCCAGAGACGGCGCAAACGCATGCTCGTTCCAGAACGAGCCCGCCAAGCTGGGAGGCTCAGACGTCCCATCTTCGTCCTCGTCGTCCGCGTCGTCCGATTGTGGAAGTCAGTGCGGCCCAGACGGCAGCAGCAGTAGCAGCAGCAGTAGCTCCAGCAGGAGGAGCATCACCGCAGCCGCGAGGAAACCGAACCTCTTCTTCTCTACCGAGGTTTCCGGGTGCATCGCGGAAGCGGACATCGTCCTAGTCGCGGTGAACACGCCGACGAAGACGCGGGGGCATGGCGCCGGCAGCGCCACTGACATGGCGGCGTTTGAGGCTGTCACCGCCGAGGTCGCAAGGCACGCGAGGCCGGGGGCCATCATTGTCGAAAAGTCCACCGTCCCTTGCATGACGGCGGAGCTTGTGCGTGAGACTGTGAGTCCTAATTCGCATCCCCCCCCCTTTTTTCTTTTCTTCTTCTTATTATTTTCGGCCTCGCGCGGCGGACTAACCCGGGTGTCATACGATACAGCTTGCCGCGCACCGGCCCGGGGTTCACTTTGAGATCGTCTCGAACCCCGAATTCCTGGCGGCCGGCACGGCAGTGAACGACCTGCTTCACCCAGACCGCGTGCTCATCGGATCGGACACGACGAGCTCGGGGAGGCGGGCGGCCGAGGCGCTCGCGGGGGTCTACGCGGCCTGGGTGCCTCGCGCGCGCATCCTCACGACCAACGTGTGGTCTTCGGAGCTCGCGAAGCTGGTGGCCAACTCGATGCTGGCGCAGCGCATCAGCAGCATCAACTCGATCAGCGCAATCTGCGAGCGCACGGGAGCGGACGTCGACGAGGTCGCCGCCTCGGTGGGCCGCGACCCCCGGATCGGCGACAGGTTCCTCAAGGCCGGCATCGGCTTCGGCGGCAGCTGCTTCAAGAAGGACATCCTCAGCCTCGTCTACCTGGCCGAGTCGCTCGACCTGGACGAGGTCGGCGAGTACTGGAGGCAGGTGGTCAAGATGAACGAGTACCAGCGGGACCGCTTCACCAGGCGGGTCGTCAAGTGCCTCAACAACACGTTGACCGGCAAGAAGGTGACGATGCTCGGGTACGCCTTCAAGAAGAACACCTCGGACACCAGGGAGTCGCCGGCGCTCGAGATCATCCGGACCCTGCTGGACGAGGAGCCGCGGGAGATGGCCGTCTTCGACCCCTGCTGCAACCCGCTCGTCATCCGCGACGAGATCCGGCGCCTCTGCGGCGGGAAGAGCCCCCTGAAGGAAGACGGCGGGCCCCTGACGGTGTGCGGCAACGTCTACGACGCCTGCCGCGGCAGCAACGCGGTGCTCATCACCACCGAGTTCGACGAGTTCCGCAACACAAAGGCACCGCCGCTGTCTCAACGAACCCCCCGCCCAAGCACGGCATCACCGAGGGCGGACGTCGACCCCCGCCCGTTCAGGAGCGTGGAGGTCCGTCAGGCAGATGTCTTGGCGCTTCAGTGGTTTCTGGCGGCGCGGCAAGACGGGCCAGCGGGGCCGGGGGGTCCTTTGGACGACCCGCTCGGGCGGTACGTCGCGGAGCCCGGATGCGCCGACGACTGCCCCGACTGCAGGGCGGAGCTGGATAGCAAGGTTTCCGGGTTTGCCACCGGGTTGGGCACCGAGGAGTACAAGCCCAAGGAGAGGGTGGACTGGGCCAGGGTGGCGGGCGATATGCAAGTCCCCCGGTGGGTTTTTGACGGAAGAGGGGTCGTCGACGCCAAAAGCATGGCAAAGTTGGGGGTTCGGGTCGAGAGCATTGGGGGACGTGGGCGCAGCTGAGAGAGAGGGAGAGAGAGAGAGAGAGAGAGAGAGAGAGAGAGAGAGAGTTGCGGGGTGAGGGATGGAGGTACGGTTTACCAAACCAAACACTCAAATTTAGATAAAGGCTTCTATCTCTTGGCGAGGCTATTTCCGTCATTCGTCTTTGGGGAGTTCGATGAGCATGATTGCTTCATGGCCGAGTTGAGCATTATCAGACGGACGCATTCAGATGACTTTTTAATGACAAATTCACAAATCCTCTATCCACGACGACGACGATGAAGAAGCAACAACACCAACACTGAGAAGAACAGAATGACTCTTTTTACCATCGTCCAAAAATAAGAAAAAAATGAAGAATACCCCTAAAAAAGGCAACTCTCCCGGGGCCCATCCGAGTGCGGCTCGCAATCGCAAAGAGTCAGAACGGGAGGGGAGGGGGACGCCGGGATGGGCTTTGAACCTCGAGAAGGGTGAGGCGACTGAACTCTAGACCACCGGTTCCCTCTCGCCACCGCAACTCGGCATCCGATGCATGTATGGACCAGGCTCGTCCTTCCAACTTTCTCGCTCTCTTTCTGTCTCTTTCCCTCTCTCCCCATCTCTCTCTCTCTCTCTCTCTCTCTCTCCTCTCACCCACGAGCCGTGTTTCACAAACGATTTGAGGGATTTCTTGCTTAAAAAGTCGGAACCCGGCGGACAGACCCGATTCAGGTCCGGGTCTTGCAAAGTTCGTCTGAGGATGGCGCGGGGCTGGTTCTAGGCCTTCTGAACCGCAGGATTTGGGGAAACAACGGAGACCACCTACGGTTCGAGGTAGGGTTGATCTGTCCAGCAGATAAAGTGCCTGATGCATGTGGCGTGTGTGGTCGTCCGGTGGTCGTTGACCGGCGGAAAGGAAAAGGGGGTTAAATGACGTCGAGAGGCTCTCACGATAACCGGATTCCCGATGCCCCTTGGTTCGGGGACCTCATAGCATATTCAAGCTTTAGCCTTACGGGTTACACATTGCAAATCATCGTCATCACAGGCGGAGATACACTGCTGCAAGCCGCAAGCCGAACGTACCAACCCTACTTTGCGGGTTGCGTTCGCCTCTCCCCGGCAGATCACACCACCGCCGAGCCAGCCGGCCCCCCCCCTCCTATTGATCATAACCGTCTTGTTTCTGATGACTAACTATCCCCTGTTTTCTCTGGGGTGCCGCGAGCCACCGGATTAGCTGGCAGAGAGAATGGACGGTTTCTGAGTTGCAACGCGTCGCCCATAGACAGTGTCGGTTCGGGCAGTCTGTTCGCCGTTTCACGTCGTGGCTCCTTCGCCCACACCCCGCCATGCGATGCTTTTGTTTCCGGGTCAGGTGAGACGATTCGTTCGAACCCAGATTACCGATACAGGTAGGCAATCTTGTACGATCGTGGCCGTTGCCCTGCCCAGACGGGTTTCACGCCCCCGATGCCTTGACTCTGCGTTCGAGGAGTGTGTGGGGGGGCGTGTTAGCTGATAGGTCAAGAGGCGGCGATCTGCGTTGGCCGGCCTTCGTCACTCTCCCGGTCTGATCAGTGTATTTAGTCTAGATTGGGTGCGACAGCCGTTTGGCTTTTCCCACCCGTCCGACCTTTCCATTTTGCCTTTCTTGGGGGGCGCGCCGTTTCATCCACTCATGCTGTTGTGGCGGGATGAGGTGCGGGATACTGCTGCTGCCGCAGCAGCGGGCTGGGCGGGATGATATGAGGATCCGAGGGTCAGAATGGGCGATGAGAGCTGTCTGATATAGGCGACGTCCTGGGGCAAACGTCGTCCTTTCCTGACGGGAATTCTTTTTGGATGATGTGCGCATGATCTTCCTTCCAACAATCAGTCCGCGCTGTCCTCTCGACGCCGGTCGACGCTCACGATCCCGCTCAGCCTGGTTACACGTCTACCTAGAGGCTCTCGATACCCAGACACGCCCCTCCCCCCGGGATCTGATATACGAAAGGAACTGCGTCCGGGTATAACAGCAGCTCGAAAGGGGCGGATAGCATGAGGGGGGCGAACACATCGGTGCTGGTCCTCTCGGGCCTCACCGCGCTGACGAAGGCGAGGGAGGTGAAGGTCGACGAAGTGCCCGTCGAGTGCGCGACGATATGCGGGCCCATCGTCGAGTTGACGTACAAATGCGACATCGATGGCAGCTTCAACGAGCTGAAGAGGCGGAAGCTCGACGGTCCGCCCGCGAACCCGCCTCCTCCGGAAAGGAGGCAAGCAAGGAAGCATGATTCAAGGGGAAGCCATCACGGGGTGGCGCGCCGCCATCACCACCGCCGTCCGTCGCAGGACGACGACGGCGGAGGAGATATATCCACGTCGTCGTCCCGGAGACAAAAAGCTGTGCCTACAGCCGTCGACGTGCAGCCGGCCGCCGACACCACGCCGGTCTTCATCGCCACGCTTCCCTTTGCTGCCCCGGATCCGGACACGACGACGAGCACGTCAAGTACTCAGAACACGCCCACATCTACTCCTTCTCCGCCGAGCACATCGACGTCCTCGACAAGTACATCCACAAAGTCCTCAACTACGAGCTCTACGACAACGAGAACGCCCACGAGAACGACCACCTCCACGACGAGTTCCACGACGAGTTCCACGACGAGCTCAACGACATCAAGAACACTTACGAGTGCCGCCCCCCCGCCAACTTCACTGCCTCCGCCACCTCCGGCACTCCCACCTCCCCCGCCAGTATTAATCACCTCGACCGTCTTCCTGACGGTGCCGCCGCCGGTGGCAACCGTACCGATACAGGCTCCGCCACCGGTACAGTCTACTCCGGCAGTATCCGCTCCGCAACCGGCAATACCACCGCCTTTACCGCGGCCATCGTCAATATCACAATCGCAACAACAGCCCCCTGTACTCCCCACGCCACCTCCCCAAACCTCTACATCCTCTTCATCCTCCTCCTCTTCCTCCTCCTCCTCCTCCTCCTCCTCCTCCTCCTCCTCTTCATCCTCCTTTTCCTCCTCATCGTCGTCGTCTCCCTTGCCGCCCTCATCCTCAGCACAGACAACGCCGCCGCAGCAACAGCCCACGCCACCACAACAATCCCCGTCACAGTCGCCCCCGAGCGATCCCGTTCCGCAACCCATCGTGGGCGGCGATCCCAAGAAGGAGCCGAGCCCAGACGATATTCGCGAGAACGCAGAAAGGGACTGCACCTGCACCAACAGAAGCTTCGACGTGCAGTTGCTCGCGGGTCTGTGTCAAAGTTGTATAAGAAAGTCCGGGAACTGGGTGGAAAGTAAGTCCACGGAGCTTCATCCTTTCCATGTCTCGAACGGGCTTTCCTCGACTGGAACCAGCCACTGACAGTTTCTAGACCTAGACATCATCATGATTCAGTGCAACTTTACCGGGGCGGATTACACGCCCAAGGACGATAGGCTCGTCGACGGGATCCGCGTTGAGGCGCAGAAGCCCTTTCTGTCCTCCAGCGGGAATTTCCTGGCCGGCAAAGGCAAACTCAGACCCGGAATCGCCGCGGCGGCCGCAGCTCTCGTCAGCCTTTTCATAGGCATGGCGTTGTTTGTGTAGGCGGTTCAAGGGGGGGGGGGGGGGGGTTGAGTTTCTCCTCCCAGGAACCGGTAATGCTCGATGTCGTAAGAACATTAGATTAATGTTTAATCAAAGCGGGCCACTAGATGGTGACTTAGTGAAGTTTTCACGATAGTTGAAGACGTCGAACCTGCGAAAACCAGAGGGCATCGCTTTCCTGCAGTGTGAAACGTCTAGATTATCATCATCTCTAATCTAGTATAATCCATGTAAAGTCCCCCTCCCCCCGTCATGCCGCTGGCGTTTGCCACATGGCGAGGATTCGTGACAGTGTGCATTACATGTGAAGAAAGAAAAGCAATTAAAAACTCGTAAACTCATTATCGGGTTGGGTATCACGTCTTTCGTTGCCTCCTAAACACTCTCGACCCACGTGTCGGTCTTTTTCTTCTCGCCTCCGTCGATGACCATGTCTTTCGTCTCGGTCTCGACGGCGGGCTTCTCGGCCTCCTTGACGCGCATGATGTTGCGGCCGTGGCGCAACCAGTGGAAGGCGGCGTAGCCCACGACGTAGGTGAAACCGACGAGGGGCACAATGTACGAGATCCTGATGTTCGCGGCATCGGCAATGGCGCCCTGGATCGGCACGAAGACGGCAGCACCCGCGACAGCCTGCACCATGATGCCGGCGCCGCGGCGGGTGTGACGACCAAGGTTGGCGGTTCCGAGGGTGAAGAGAATGGGGTACATGGGCGCCTCGAAGAAGAAGATGGTCATGAGGACGCCCACGGAAGCCGTCCCGCTGCCGACGGTGCAGTAGGCGGTCAGGGCGATGGCGGCGGCGGCGTAGATCATGAGGAGGAAGTCGGACTGGAAGACGGTGGCGAGGGCGGTGGCGACGAAGCGGCCGACGGTGAAAGTCATGAGGGAAAAGGAGAGGAAGTTGGCGCCCTGGGAGTCGGACAGGCCGCCGTTCTCGTGGGCGTAGTTGATGAACCAGGTGGCGACGGTGACCTGGGAGCCGACGTAGCAGAACTGCGCGATGAAGGCGAAGATGAGGTTGAACTGCTTGTAGAGGGGCCCCTGGCCGACGGGACGGCCGAGGGCGTCGGCGCCGGGACTGGCCTCCTCGAGGGCCTGCTCGCTGACCTCGGGGAGGCGGGCGAAGAAGAAGAGCACGGCGACGGCGACGCCAGCGCAGGACACTGCGAGGTAGACGTACTGGACGTTGGTGAGGGAGTTGGCGTTGGCGCCCTCGAAGAAGAACTTGGAGGCGATCAGGGGGCCGATGAAGGAGGCGACGCCGTTCCACGACTGGCAGAACTGCAGACGGGCCGAGGCGGTCTCGGGCTTGCCTATGACGACGGCGTACGAGTTGGCGGACGTCTCCAGGGTCGCGAGGCCGCAAGCGATGACGAGGGTGCAGACGCAGAAGCCGCCAAAGATGGCGCGCTTGTTGTCCGTGAAGAGGGACGCGTGGGCGACGGGCCAGAACAGGATGGCGCCGAGGGAGTAGAGGGACAGGCCCATGAGGATGGTGAACTTGTAGCCGCGGCGCTTCAGGGCCTCTGCGGCGACGGGGGAGAAGAGGAGGTAACCGCCGCCAAAGTACATGACCTGGAGGCCGGTCGACTCGAGCTTGCTAATGCCGAGGACGGTCTGGAAGTGCTTGTTGAGGACGTCAAGCAGGCCGTAGGAGAAGCCCCAGAGGAAAAAGAGGGAGATGACGAGGGACAGGGGGAAGATGAGGGCTCGGCCGGTGAGATAGCCGCCGGACACGGCCGGAGCCACAACGGGAGCGCCGCCAGCCATTGTGATGAAGGTGTCGTCTATTTGATAATGAAGGCGGGAGAGTAGCGGGAGTGTGAAGGTGGAAAAGGAGGAAGATGATCAAGTGTAAGTGCTTCCTGAGGTATAAGAGACTGCCGAGTTGACTGTGAAGGGGGCTGCCTGGGCTGTGAGCTATGATGAGAACCAAAGCCTCGAGTCTGGGGAAGTAACCACCTTTTATCCTAACATGTTTGCGACGTGACCCGTGATATCCCCATGGGCGGGCTGTTAGTCCGTTGAGCCCCAGCAATCCACCCCCAGGCCTATTCCCCATGGGCGAGCGGTTTTTCGCATGGATCACATCTTGGTCCGGTGTATGCATTAGCTTCCAATGTTTGACATGGTCGACACGACGAGGGGGCCATATCCGTACTGCTCGGTCTTCTGCCGGAGGGAAACGGGGGAAACAACTCTGACGGCGCGAACCAGACCGACGGAACAAACCACCCAAAAGACGCTAGGCTCGCCCGTGCTGTTGGGCTTTCGAGCCGCCAAGAGACGGCCAAGACCTGGCTGCCCGGTATGGAAGGGGGAGGGGGGGGGGGGGGGACAAGAAAGCAGTACGGCCGGGGTTCTAGCCAGGCGAAGCAAAAGACGGCCGGCTCGCCACGAGGACGGGCAGAAGACCGTCTCACGAACACTCCGCAATACGGCCGGCCGCACATTCTCTCGCTGATTCTCGCGGCGGCAGCCAAGCAAACCAAGAACACCAACCCCCGGGCGAGGGTGTTACCTAGTTCAGGCGGGGGGCAGTAGACGGGCTTGGCATCGTGTCTGTTCAAAAGCGTGATAGTGTTCCGCCAAGCCTCAGACTGGCCAATGGCGAGGAGTGGCCGGAGTGAAAGCCGGCGCCGAAACTGCAATCGTTTTGGCAGACGGCTAGAAGCTCGCTGGAATGCCGCCAGACGACTGCCGTGAAGCAGGTCATCTCAGCTCCTCAACTTCCTTAGCGCGCCCGGTAGTTTGACCGAGCTGACCTCCTTGCGTTCCGCGCGCTGGGACATGAAGCGAAGGCTAGGCGAGATCGGTATTAGCGCGATGAGAAAGAATCGAGGGTGGTCGAGAAAGAGAAGCTGGCGATAGAGGCTTTTTCGAACGACGTTGTTTGGTACATTGCGACGATGCCGGTGGGCGTATTGGCCAAGGTCACCGTCGACTGGACCCCATGTGCCTCCCAAAGGACTGGGAAGAGGCCGTCAGATGGAGTCAAGTGAACCGGCCCAACCCTGGAGCCTCAATAGACCCCCAGACGTGTCTGGAGCCGTCTAGATGGCGCTCCCCTCGGGGAAAAGGTCGCGGTTTTTCCCCAGCCGCCACATTATAAGGTTGACGGTAGACTCAGTGCGGCAGGTCACCCCCCACTCGCATTGACGGGACCCAAGGGAGACAGGACGGCGTCGAGGGGTGTGTGTGTCCAGATCACCAGTCGTCGTTGGCGCTACAGACTTGATCCACTCGATCGGGCCGTTGTTAGACGCCAAAGCAGGCAGGGCTTGGCTTCGGCTGCATCTGACTCGATAGTGGCGTTCGTCTTCCCAGCCGGCCATCGGCGGGTGCAAAATTTCCTTCTGTCGAGCGTGTTGCCCGGAATCACATCATCGTCTTTGCATGTCACAGGTATAGACACGTCTCCTGGTGTTCTCCTCGAGCACTGCGGTAATTTGGTATGACTGTATATCTGTACATGCCTCGGTAGATGCGCCTCCGAGGGAAAACCGCTCCGACTGAGGGCTGATGGGCCAAGGAGAGCTACAGCTAGAGCGTAGAACCCCTATAGTATGTATCTTGATCGATCACGCAGTAGGGCCTGGGGTAGATTCAGGGCCGGATGAACGCTTAGAGCCTCACGAGACCACCACCGCTTACAGCTACAGTAACATGCAGGAAGTCTGAAGCCATGTGGGTAGGGGGATTGGTGATTGACTTCAGACTTTCTGCATGTCACTGTACCCAAAGGCGTGGTAGGGCACGTGGCTCCCGGTACATAGGGGTTTTATGGGTGACCCTTGTTTACATTAATGTTCAAGGTCGCGGCGAATGCTCAGTTGATGGCGACAATGAGAGACTCTGGCGGGGTTTGTCCCAGCAGCATGTCCTTGCCTTAGATAACCATCAACTGGGGGCTCCCTGCAGGGAACGCACGTGTCTCTCTTTCATCAGGTCTTTGTGGGCAGCTCCCAGACATGCATGCCATGTATATCCGGCCTTGATCGATTATGAATCCGAGAAGAAGTGGCTCAACAACAGCCAACACTTGCTCGTCTTCCTCGACTCGACTCTGGATCTTGGCAGATGCGTCTTCGCGCGGGAGAAAAGAGGAAGTCCGAGCGATTTGGCTTATCCAGCGCCCCCCCCCCCCCGTTCATGCTCTCCTGGCTCTCGGGCTCCGCGTCAGTTTTCTGATGGACAAAGAGCCAAATCACCCCAAAGTTGTGCCCAATCCTCGTGTGGGATGACAGCCACGGAATCAGATGATGGGCATGCCATTTTCGATCAAAGAAAGCAGCGCGGTCCAAGTGCTGCAGTCAAGATACTCGTAAGATGCAGCGGTTCGCATGTCGGTTCATGAATCGGGAGCGGGCGACGCGCTGCAGGCTTCGCCCGTCCATCGTCACAGCCAATGCCGTCCGCATCGCCGCCATTCGACAGCTGTCTCGTCAGACGCATAAAGATACTCAAGCTCACTGCGATGGCTGCTTCTCCAAGAGAAACAGCACAAATTGCGACGAGCCGGAAGCCCTGGAGTAGGAGAGCACCCGGCGCAAGGCGTTTGTCGGGCTTGACAGCAGACGTGTTTCAGAGGCTCAGCGCAGCCGAGTTTCTGGTCTTGGTTGACGAAAGCTCTCGTTGGCATCTAGCCTGAACACGCTTGCACTGCAGCATCCATTGGAACTGAATAGACGTCATCCCTCTTGTGACTTTGGCAAAGCAAGCGAAGCAACTTCTGCTCCGGCCGCATTGTATAATGCGGAGCTGACGCCCAGATTGCATGTACGAAGCGAGTGGCCACAGCTTCAGCTTTACATGCACCACATGATTTTCCCTGTGGTGATAGTGCTAACTCCGGTACAGTTTCCGTTGCGTCTTACTCGGTAACTAAGGCTTACCTCCGATATCAGTGGAGATTCCCAGTCCGCTCGCGGGCGGGCGACGATGCGGCCGCGTCGTCCGCACCGCCCACGCGTCCTGCGCGGCCTGATTCGGAGACCATGTCCCGTGAATAAATAAAAGGTCGTCTTTGCTGCTGACAGCAACGTTGGTTATCCCTTCTTGTCCCTCTTGGCTATATCTATATCCCTTGGTTTTGCGCGTCTTCCAGCACAGCACTGCACTCTGCCACACTTCCAACCTAAACGACTCGATAAACATCTCTCTCCCAACATGCATCTCATCCTCACCGGCGCCACTGGCCTGGTCGGCTCAGGCGCCCTCGACGCCATGATCAAGATGAAGGACATAACGAAAATCTCCGTCCTCAGCAGGAGGCCAGTTCCCATGGCCGAGGACGCCAAGGACCCCCGCGTCAACGTCATCATCCACAAGGATTTTGAACAGTACGACGCGGAACTGCTGGACAAGCTCAAGGGCGCAAACGGTGCCGTGTGGGCCCTGGGCATCAGCCAGAACCAGGTCAGCAAAGAGTAAGCAATTTCTTCTCACCGGCGCGCTGCATGCACGCACCCTGCTCACCCCACGTGCGGCCAGGGCCTACGTCAAAATCACCAAAGACTACGCCCTCGCGGCGGCAAAGGCCTTCGCCGACCTCGCGCCGGCGGACGAGCCCTTCCGCTTCGTCTACGTCTCGGGAGAGGGCGCGACCCAGACGCCGGGCCGCTTCAGCGCCATCTTCGCCCGCGTCAAGGGCGAGACCGAGACGGCCCTGTCCGAGATGCGCGCCGAGCACCCGCGCCTGCGGACCGAGTCCATCCGCCCGTGCTATGTCGACAACGCGGACCACGACGCCACCAAGCCCTATGTGCCGACCCCGAATCTCACGTACAAAGTACTGGCCACTGTGCTGGGCACTCCGATACGGGCGTTTGCTCCGTCGTATCACAGCCCGACCGAGGCGCTGGGGAAATTCATGGCGGAGATGGCCATGGGAAAGGTTGACTCTGGGCTGGCTGCTGGCGGCAAGGACATTGTCACGCTGAATGGCGGGCTGAGGATCGTGACCAATGGTGCGTTTCGGAGGTTGGCCGGTTTGGCCTGAGGCATGAAACACCAGGAGGAGGGAAGACTGCATGCATCAAGCAGAGAGATGAGAGCGGTCTATGTAAACAATCTGTACAACATTGCAGCGAGTTGTGAATTATGATTCTATTTGTCACGAGTTGGGGCGCACAGCAGGGCGCGCACATTACTTGGATACATGGGACAAGAGTGAAAGTTGTTTTGATTCCAGAGAAATGCACCGAGATTGCACCCTCGATTGAGAGGGAGGCGCCAGGCACGCGATGGAATGCGGTAAAGACATTACATTGTTACGTTCCCGCGTAGGAGCGAGCCTCTGGGCAAGGTTCTCATCTCCGCAAAAGGCGTTGTTCTCATCGTACGAAGCGCAAATGACGAAGAGTTATGCTACCATTTGTTGCACTTTGGTGCAGAAAAATAATATGTAAATTGCCATGTTCGTGGTCTGTGGAAGGATTGAAGTGAGTGAGGTTTGGGACCATCTAAAATCGCATGATGGGAATGACGGGGATGTGAGAGGAAATGAGAGGTGAATGACCGGCGATTTCGTGATGATATACACGAATTAGCCGGCCGAACGTGGATGAAAGAAAGTGAGGTTTGATTCGCAATGAAAATGAGATGGTTCTGCCGGGTATTGCACGGGTCATACCATGCTTAGTGCTACATGATCTCGAAGTTGCTCTGCAATTGCCACCAATCACCACTCATTCGGTTCCGTAGGAACTGACCGGCTCAATGGTCTAGAGGTATGATTCGCCCTTCGGGTTCCACAACCCTTAAGCACAGCTTGATTGGGCGAGGCCCCGGGTTCGAATCCCGGTTGAGCCCTTTACTTTTGCTCCGTTTTGCTTGGCCTCTAGGAGTTTTGATATAACAGACAGAACGTACAAGCTTTCATGCTCACTCACCCACTACTTGCTACGTACAACCAACAACTGCTTACTCCTGGTCCAAAATGAGCGGCTTGGCCGAGGTTCCTAGGAAGAAATCGCTCTGGCCGACATTCTTCCCCAGCCGACCGCCAGGCGTACGACGGTTGTGGCCTTTGGCCACCGAGGGCTTCTTGTAATTAGATGGAGCAAGTCCATCTCCGTCCGAGTCATCATCGTCATCGCCCGAATCGTCCGACATGTTTCCTGCGCCCTTGTGGGAGCAGCGCGCCCCATGGCTCTGCCAGAGACGTCAAATCGTCATCATTAGCGAAGGACCTGCTAACGAAGACAAACAGCTTAGCTGAAGTGAGGTCTAAAGGAATAAAGTTAAAGACTGCAGTTAAGTAAATCCATCTGCCACTCCAGTCGGCGGTTCAGATTCTTAATGGCTTCTTCATCAGGCTCTTTATGTTAAGCAGCAGTGGACAAACTATAGCAAGCTTCAGGCTGGCAGACGGAGGCGATGTACGCGCCGCGTGCTTGTTGCTGGACGAAATCTTGGTGAGCTGTAGGCGAGCTTGCGTCAATCAACTGAAGCTTCGTTCCTTGGCCCTTCTGGCGAAGCGTGACAGAGGTGTCAGTGGTAGATGTGACGGTGATAATTCCTCCGTTGAATGTGAGCGGCTGATCAACAGCGAGAAATGACTTATCCTTAGCCGCAAATTTGGCCTTTGCCAGTTCCTCGTTTTCCCAGTCAGAAAAGGAAAGGTCCATGGGGCCAATTATGCCGTCAGTCTGCATAGCAACAAGAGCAAAGTGTAGATTTTCGTCAGATGATAGAAGAAGGCACGGATCGTAGGTGGTAGTGACCATAGACCTGCTGACTGGCCTCAGTCGTGGGGACGGGGTCGCTTGCCGGTGTCGCCCGTGTCACCGGTTGGGGCATCTGTGGCGGCGCGCTCACGAGTGTTGGCGACGTCTAGACCTTTGTTGCTGGTGAGGCTTTGCGAAGCGGTGCGAGCGGCGCTCTGCTGGTGAATCGCTGGTAACCTGATCCTAGACGCTCTTGAATTCTCTTATAGACAGGACCTTATAACGAAATGGGTTCGGCAAGGCAGTTATATAACATTTCCCCTCTTTTTAGGTGGCAGAAAGTGAATTCTAGGTATCCAGGTACGTGGTGAAATAGCAAGGTTTCTCATGGGCGAACTTTTGATAGTGCTAATGTGATTACTGTGTGTAGTAGCTATAGTCGCTCCAGCCTCATTGAGTGCGTTGGTCAGGGTGGCTTTGCTGTAGGCGCTTTCTTCAGAGGACTCGTTGTATTCGTTGAGTTTCATGGCTAGGTCGGTGATTCGATCCTCCATCTGGTTCAGCATGCTGGACTAGCTCTCCGTTCAATGGGTGTATCTGATCTCTGGGACCGAGATGTGGTCGAGGCGCTGGGTCAGCAAGGTGCCCATGACCTTCGAGTTGCTCTGGCCTGGCTGATGAAGAAAGGTCGAGCCAATCAACGCGGCTTGGCTGGGTAGATCCTTTGACCAAGGCTCTCTCCCTTCTTGTATTTGGTCAAGACCGCGTCCATTGGCGTGGTGATTTTGCGTCTGAAGTCAGACAGCAATGTGAGGACGCATAGTGCAAAGCACTATCCGTATGTATGTACTTATGCCTGACAGTTGCCAGGCCCTTTTCAGAAAAGAAGCGTCCTCGCTTCAGAAAAACCCTGGATATCTGCCACCCTCCGTTCTTTGCTGTGCCATAATAATTCTGGGGATTCTTTTTTGACATCCATCACCAACTCATGCTTGACCGTGTTGTCGGTGGTTGTATTGACGTACTGGAGTAGGTACCTTCTTCGTCGTGGGCGGTCCCACGCCTGGGTCGACCAAGGTCACGACCCCTGGGAGCCCAAAGATGTAAATGTAAGCAAACGCATGTGAATCTGTTGCAAATCGTCCCTCGATGTAGTTGCTGAGAGATTGCCATGATTCACGCCCTTCTCGCCCCTGTATTTCGTAATGTTCTGTCCGAGCCTGTGGGCCGGTGTCGGCAGCGCTGTGCTTGTTGAATTCGTCTTGCTCGGCACGGCCAACGTCAGGCTCCTCGTCCATGGGCGCTCGTCCTTGACCCGGCCAATATCGGGCTCCTTGGCGCCACCGCGAGCGGCTGCGACAGCCTTGTCAATCGTCTCCTGGTCCTCGGTGCTCGGGAACTGGCTCAATGACTCGTATCTATTGAGAGCGCTGTAAGAAGCTGCTCGGATGTCATGTCGGCGTCCCAGGTGGAATATTTCCTCGAGTTCTCAGTCTTCCCGACGATACTTGGATTGGCCTGCTCGATGACCGAGGCAGCATGGTTCATTGCATCTCGGACGTGTATGAAAGCTTTGGGGAGGATTTGTATGACGACGTCGAGGCTCATGTTTCCGTTGGGGGATTGGCCAGCGAGCTCCTCCCGGGTAGCCTTGTCTCCCTCTTCCTTGGGCCACCAGAGGCAGACCTTGACTTTACGCGTAAAGCAGGAGTCCTTGAAGTTGCCCGACATCTTCAGTAGCACCTGCATGTGGTAGGCCGGGATCACCTAGATGCCCGGCTTGTACACTCTTCTGCTGTTGTTGGTGTCCTTCACGCCCTTGAGGTAGTCGACCCAGGCGTTCATCGCCAGGTCGAAGACACAGCTGATCTCGTAGTAGGTGACCTTTGATGGACCGGGGCACATGAGCCGCGAAGTTCCGCTCGTACATGTCGACGTCGCGGTTTGTAACCCGCGTATACGGGTCGGCATTCTCCAGCTTTTTTTTCGTAGACTCTCGCAGAGTCTGTCGATTTTGCCACTGCTGACGAGCAGCGTCAAGTTCGTGTTTATTTTGGTTACTGAGCGAGTGCGCGCGTTACAGATGGCACAATAAAAGTCGAGGTGAATACGACCAGCAATGTCCTTAGAGCCTCCGTGAGGGCGATGGACCTTATCCTGCAGGGCCTTGAACGGCCCCTTCTTAAACTCATTAAGAGCGTCGAGGCACTTGTTTCACCGCGCCCTGTTGTGAGTGTTTGGATTCCCCTATTGATGAGGGCAGCGTCGAGGACTGTTCGATCGCCGCCAGCTGTTGCTTGCTTGGTGTCGGGATTCTCCGTCCTCCAGACATTAGGAAGCAAGGTTCGGGAAGAGGCGCGCTACGGTGGCCTTCTCCACCTACACCTTGTCGCAGCAGACGTGCTTAGGGCACTTCTTGATGTGTGCCTTATTCGAGCTGTTTCTTGTTCTCGGCTTCGTCCGTCTTGGCTATATCCAAGTCGCTCTGCACGGCCATGTCCCCTGGCAGTCTGTCCTGTGACAAGTGCCCCTCCTTAAGAGAGGCACTCGCCTGAGTGCCGCAGTTGTTACAGATCCGCTTACTTCTCTCTGTATCGTCGGTCAATAACCCGTGCCTCTGACTGGTTATCCTGGCCATAACCATTGCTCGAGCCAGCTCCGACGTTGGCGATGGCCATTGAAAGGCTATCAACGTGGCCAACCTTTGGCTCCGCTCTCGCCTTTGCCCAGACACGTTGGAGGCGTGCCGCTTGCATCTCTGACTGTGCGCCGTCGTCTGGGCCGTCGACGAGGCCAAGCTGAGCGTCGGTCTTCTTGCTCCTCTGCTCTACCGTCGTCGAGAAAGTCAACTCGCTCACATCTGTACGATTGGACGTATATCGACAGGATTAAAAAGCCTTGGCCATGTCGTGAATTCGATTCTAAAGCGGCGTTGCTGATACGAGGCGCAGTTACTTTGCTTTCTCCTTCAAGAGAAATCGTATAGTTTGACTGCTGTATTTCTTTTCCAAGTGTGCTTCATCCAGTATGATGCGGTCTCGGACACGCAGAATCCTTGGCAGCTGCCGTGAAGGATCCCTTGAGCTGTCTTTTGCGAGCTACAGCATCGAATGGTACTTCCTGTAGGCTGTCTGGAGGGCTGTATTCTCTTCCAGATGTATCGCCCCAGCCCGGTTTCTAGTGTGACGACAAGCAGATAATGGTGACATGGTCGTTGGATCGCAGAGACTAGATTGTCTCGTTGGAACTTTGGACGAAGGTCAACAAGGCATCGTTGGTGGGCTGTAGGTACGCTCTGTAGTTTCTGCGGGCGGAACTTATGGAAACTTTCTGCAGCTCGGGGATGATAATTCGCTGCATTTCCGGCTTGTAACTTGGTTTTCGTAGTCGCATAGTCTTCGTTATGGGTTGGGAGACCTGGCACGAGACGGTATGCCGTAGTATAGAGTAGATAGATACTGCGTGAGGTTTGTTGATAGCAGGGACGGGGTCTCCGGAAGTCAAGAATGCGGATAAGTCTGGGCCTTCATGGCCACGGAGCTGGTCCATGATAGGGGGTTTTGTGGCGAGGCCTGGAGGTTGGCGAACCGGGCGGGATGATATCGTCATCATCAGATAAGGAGCTGGCCGGGGTGCTAGCCCAAATACCGGCCTGGGTCAGTGTGAATTCGGGCTGATATATCGAGGTCGTGAAGTCCGGGATCCGAGACAGAGGAACGTTCTCGGCGTCGTAATCCCCTTCGCGCGCCGCGCGGGAGTTTCGGTCCAACGTTGAGAATCAGACTGTCGTTCAATCGGTGTTGGTGGATGCTGAGACTGTCGGTTCGTCGCCTACGTGGTCGCGCCGAGTCTTCGTCAATCGGGATCTCGCGGGTCAGTTTGGTGCTTTCTTCTGGAAACTATTCCTACACACGCCCGCTGTGAACTCCCTCCTGACCCAGGCATACGGAGTCCGAAATACCTTGCCCTGCGATTGTTGCGCTCGAGGATTCCAGAAGTTCGTTGGTTCCCGATCGGAGGATGCCGCCCGGAATGGCTTGGCTTTTCGGACGGCGCGATTTCATGAACCTGTCGAGGTTCTTCAGGGCAGTTCGTTCCCTCCCCTTTGGGGCCTGACTCAGCATCGAACAGGTCATGATGAGTGGTGTTGTATGCTAGGAACTTGTAAGAGAAGAAGGGATATGTATAGGGGATGATGACTTACCAGTACTGCTCAGCTATCCTGATGGGGCCTGTCCTTCTGGACTGCTGGCTTTCCTAGATCACCTCTTGAAAGCCGTTGTAGCTTCAAGCTTCTCCCCGGCGGAGGATTATGGTGATGGTTTGTTCTGCCTTCTCTCTCGACTTCATCCATGCTGTGAAGTCGACAGCGGGTTTTTGGCAGTATTGGGCTTGGCAAGGTAATCCCTTGGAGCCACCCGCTTCTCTCCTGCGCCAGAGCGAATTGGGGATGTTATCCCAATTGAACTCTTCCTTGATGACATGAAGAGGATAGAGGGTTGATTTCATAAGGGAAAGGCTTTGGAAGTCTTATTGGCGGTGCCAAAAGTAACAATATCGCAGGGTGTAATATAGGCAAAACCCATCTGCCAGGCTTGCGCTGGATAGATGGGCCCATCTGGGCCCCCATCAGGTAAAGTCGAGCAGAAGGGTGAGATAATGAATGATAGAACGAAGATGGATGGAAAAGAGCAGCCTACCCAGACTGAGCGGGAGTATTTAACAATAACCATGGCCGTAGGTGTTTATTGCCTAGCACCCACGAAACCTTGGCTAGGATGAGGCCGGCCGGGGTTTCTGAGCTCGTGATGCTATACAGACTCATTTATCTGCACGATCCCGCGATTTTCTGTAACGGAATACACGAGGCTTTGACGGCAAACGCTTGTCTGCAAAACACAACGGCTCAGAATGCGGTCATAGAATGATGATGATCATGATGAAACTTGTTTGATTGATAAATGCCGATGGCAATGGATGACAGAATGTGTCTTACTTGCTTCCTTGAATGCAAACAGCCATCGATGACCGTGTGCCTTGTTTGTGAAAGCACATAGTCATGGCAGGCGGCAGCTAGCCGGTTCTCATGCATGTCCCCCTTAGACCATGTACACCACATCATCCGGCATGTGTGCTTCAAAAGTTTGGACCTCCTGATCCACATAAGGCGGCGGCATACCAGCGGTCAAACCAGCGGTATCGTCGTTTGTTCGGCTCCCATCCCGCATCCGCTCCTCGATAGAAGGCGACCGCTCGATGAAAATCGTGTCGTACGCGGGCGGCGACGACTGGGCACCCGCATCAGGGTCCAAAAGTCTCCATTGCATGGGGTCTTCCTCAATGTAGACAGGCAGAGGCTCGGCCCTGAGCAGCCTCCGTTGTTCTGCCCTGCGGGCACGGCGCTGCTGTGCTGTCAAGCCGTTTGGGCCGCGGTGGCTCTCGAGACACAAACCGGCGATGTGGACAAAGAGAACAACTATGAGGCAGGAGTAAAAACCGACTAGCAGAGTGAATGCGAGGCCCTGCGGCCAGGGAATAAAGGTGTCGTCGAAATCCTGCGTCGTCTTTATGGTGGTTTTAGAAACGGCGGCCTCAAGTATATTGGACATCTTGGCAGCTTGCAGATACATAGCTGCAGACCTTCTTTCGAATATAGACTTGAGAGCTTACAGGAGGAGGGAGGGAGGTGCTGATCTTGGAATTAAGTGCCGATGGTTCGTTTCGGTCTGTGTTGTTGAGGTGCTTCTGATCCGCCCGAAGAATGGAACGGTCCGTTTCCTCTTCATTAAGGTAGCAGAATGCACTTTAGAAGAGAGACAAGAGGCATTCTATTGGGAAAATGGCGGTATTCCCCATAGAAACCGAAGACTATCTCCGACATGCATTTTTTTAACTTTCCTGTCAGAAGGGAAAACCGTGTTCAAAGTTGATGGATGTAGCTACCACGGCCCGTATAAACTATGTTATCACCTGGAAGGTCGGCAAAGTCCGTATCAAGAAACTGCTTTCAGTATGAAGCACGTATTCATTCAGGCATACATGTAGACTCATCTTTGATAACCTGGCAATGGAACTGTGACCTACCATGATCAGGAAGCTATCCTGCTACGATAGACCAGTCCTCGTTGATAAATTATTGCTCCAAAGTCTGGCAGTTCTCATGCAAAGTATCTGGTTTGGCTTGTAAGATGAATATTGTTTGAGGTGAAAAGATGATGGATGGAATGATGGTAATTTGAGAAAAGGGATTAATAACCTGGGAGTTCAGTATGGGAAGGCGCGGCTCAAGTTCCTTCTTGTTTTGTCGGATTGTCTAATTCAGTTTTCTCTGTTTGATTTCTCACTTTCTCTTTGCCAACCTACCTACTTCACGGCTTCACCAACTCAAGCCGAAACCACATAGCCAAGGGTTGGCTATTGATGCCATCCAACCATGTCGAGTAAGTCAAACACCAAATACCGCCTTAGCTTTCAAATTATTACAGAAAGTTTCAGGCGTTAGTCATGCTCCGCTGGCTCTTCTGAACTGACGTCTTTCTAGCAGTGACAGGCGTCGCTGGCCGCAAGAGAGGAGCGGCAGCAGCGACGCATGCTCAACCAAGAATCCCTCTATCTTCCTCAGTCCCAGAAATGTCTTCCGATTCAGACGACTCCGATTCAGACAACTCCGATTCAGACAACTCCGATTCAGACGACTTCGATGCCGGTCAAACCGCCATCGTGGCTACCAGCCAAGAAAACAGCAAATCGAGCGCGACTTCGCTGTGTAAGCCGAAAAGGCCTGTTCCGAACGCAGGCGACAAACACCAAAATACCACCCAAGCTACCAGGGATCAACTTCAGCACCCAATCAAGAGAGAACAATCTATCTCTCAGAAAAAACCCTCATCACAACAGCCTTCTCAAACAGGTCATACCAAGGCCAAAGAGCTTCCCCGAGTGACGGGTAACGACCTCCAAAAGCGCAAACGACAGGCTGAAGACGACTCTGAGCAGGACGTGGGCAAGGATGGCACAGGTCAAGAGGACACAGTTCGGAAGGAAACCCAAGAGATTGACGATGACGACGGTGACGATCTGGATGATCAAATTCAACTGGCAGAGATGCAGTTGGCGCTTCGACAGGCAGAGATGCGACTGGCGATTCTGCGACAGCGAAAGAAGCGAAAGCAGTCGAAACACTAGCAGATATCCTTTTCATAGAGAGGAGGCATGGAACTATTAGTCTTGATCTCGACAGGTGATGCTGATTCTTGAATGCCTGTGCATCTTGTCGATCGCGTCAAGCCACATCGCGGGCAAGCTTCCCATCCAATCATCCACGACATGACCAGCGGGGCGACATCGGCCTGTCATATGCGTTGTTGAGTTGCCGGGACGAACCTTATGATAGCCGCCTTTGTCCTTGGAGCCAGCCACAGACCTGCTTGGACACGCATGTGGCTGGAGGGTGGTCTGCAGGCGCTAGGTCTATTGTCCGGACACTTCAGCGCGGGTCCGGAAAGTATAAAATGGCGGAGTCCGACGACACGCACTCTTGTTTAGTTTAGTTTACCACGCTCCCCGCATCAATTGAATCATTATCGTTTAGACTCTCCACAAGCAAGATCAAATAGACAGAAATGGATTACAATGCGCTCTTCAGAGTTGATGGCATGGTGGCCGTCGTCACCGGCGGAGGCACTGGTATGTCTCTCCGTGCTCATCGTTCAAACCACTGGTGGTACTCACAACGCGTCTTCGAGGCATTGGCCTCATCATGGCTAAGGCTCTCGCCACCCATGGCGCCGCGAAGGTGTACATCCTGGGGCGTCGTCTCAATGTGCTCGAAGACGCCGCCAAGGGCCACCCCAACATGATCCCGCACAAGTGCGATGTCACCTCGAAGGAAGACCTCCAGGCCGCTGTCGACCGCGTCACTAAGGAGGTCGGATATGTCAATCTCGTCGTCGCCAACTCCGGCGTCGTTGGGCCCGCGGTCCGCTACAACCCGTCCCTTTCAGTCTCGGAACTGCGCAAGGTTCTCTTCACCGACTTTTCCATGGGAGACATGACCGAGGTCTTGAATGTCAACGTCACGGCCGCCTTCTTCACCATGTCGGCTTTCCTCGAGCTGCTCGATGCCGGAAACAAGAACGCACTCAAGGGCGGCTTTGGCAAGCCCGACAAGGAGGGAAGCGATGTAGTGGCCATCCAGAGCCAGGTCGTCTTCACCAGCAGCATTTCCGCCTATAGCCGACACTACGCTTCCTCACCACCGTACATGGCAAGCAAAGTCGCAATCATGCACCTCACAAAGCACGCCAGCAGCCAGCTAGGCAGGCTTGGCATCCGCGCCAACGGCCTGGCCCCGGGATGTAAGTCCTCCCGTCATACATAGGGACAGCATATGGGCGTGAAGAAGGCTGCAAAGACTAATTTGATTGAACGTTGTAGTGTTTCCTTCGGACATAGCTGCGGGAATGATTGGTGACCGCAAGCCCGAGAATGAGGCGACTAATGACGAGAGGTTCATTCCTGCCCGAAGGTTTGGCGGGGACGAGGAAATGGCTGGGACTATTTTGTACCTGGCGGGTCGCTCAGGAAGCTACTGTAATGGTTCCATCATGGTTACAGATGGCGGTCGGTTGAGTCTCATGCCCGGCACATACTAGACACCATGATGGGCCTAGAAGAACAGGTTTTCATCCATGGAAATGGGCCACTTACTACGAGTTAGAAGAATAAAAGACTTCTATAGGCTTTCCCGGTGCCGGGCCAGCTGAACCATTCTACGTGGTACAGAGCGAGTCATAGTTAACACGGCTGGACATAACACGCAGATGAATTGGAGTTGGACATGGTTATTGCACAGAGCTGTGCACAAGTACATACAGGCTACTAGCTGTTCGTGAACATGACGAATACTTGAAACCACATCTAATCTTATACAAAGTAGATGCAATGACGCCACAAGAATACCGCTTGTTCTTCGATGTTCCCATTTGGCAAAGCCAGCGTTGCCAATTGTAAGTCCTAAATGGCCAAAGGTGGAAACCTCGGCCTGGCACTTCACTCCTCAGGTAGAGCGAGTCACCACTCATCTGGACTTCTCCTTTTTATCTTCAAATCCTTATAGATAAGTAATAAGATTGTGTATTTAGCAAGCCCATTATTACTACTGTAGCACCTCAAGCTAGTGCGAAGTCCCCAGCTGTCCTAATGAAAGTTCGCAATATGAAGCTTATATAATTAGATCTTATCGTTTAAGAATACTTACTTAAAGGAAACGAACTAAATCCTATTTGAGATATACACAATCGTATAAATGGTAGCTTGTCACTTAAGGATAAACTCCTTCCACTCAGGTCCAGAACCGAAACCTTCTTCAACCGCCGATCTATCAATCCATCCCATTCCTCGCCTTTCAGCAATTGGCCCATCCTGTTCGAGGAGCATCACGAAGTATCTCGGCTGTTGGCTTTCTGAACCAGATTTTGAGAAATGAGCCCCCATCCAGGCACCGGAGAGTAGGGCAAACTCAAATGGCCCCTCAGATTCATGCATTGACGTCTCGTCCAATGCTTCCAGCCGAGTTTCACCAACCACGTTGTCGTATCGAGTCACAATTGACGCTACTCCCGCAAATATATCTTTCATTCGAAGCTTGAAGTTCAATGACAAAGTCCAGAACTGCAACAAGGGATAGTCAAGCCTAGGGAGCAGGTAATGCAAGTTTTCCGTGGGGTATGTTCTGGACACCGAGATTCCGCCTAATAAACCCTCTGGTGGCTGAAATTGCTGTCGTTTCCTGTATCCTTCGAAGTTGGGGTCCTCAAACGGGAAGGACTCGTTTGCCAAGGGGTCCCAGACAAGACTGACGGCGCCTGAGCAACTCCTTTTGTACCACACGATCCACGTCTCTTCCAACAGCCACCTGTTAATGTCATCGAACAGCAACACACCCACAGGTGCGTTCGCTATTCGCCCCCTCCACCCAGCCCATGTATAACTCGGGAATCTCCGGCGCCTACGTAGTGAACTACTCACACCGGTGAATATCACGAACGCGTCAAAAGCGGCAGTCGGGATTCCTTGGAAGAATAGACATTTTGCTTTGTCAGATACTCTTCGAATTATGCCCGCCATCGCACGAAGTACATCGTTCTGGTCCGTCAAGACTCTCTGGGTGTAGTATACGAGCATGGCTGCAAAGTCGCATATTGGTGTCTCCAGGTTTGCCGCAAGAGGAAGCATAGATGACCAAGATTCATCCAGCAATCTATTGCCGTATGGTCGAAATGTGTGATCGTTGAGCTGTTCTGCGTACACATCCTTTCTGCAACGAAAAAAGACCTTATTGTCTATAAAATAGACGATGCGTCGCGCTAATACCTGTTCTTGAAACCTTCATTAAAGACGTTAGTTCAACGGGCATGGGGCTGTGAACATCAGAAAGACGGGGATTGGTCCTTACGTCCAAGCTCTTGTGGAGTAGACCGAACACTTCAAAAGTCTATCGAGAGGAACATATATCCCCATAGATACGTCTTCCACGATTGGAAATGCCGTATGTATCTCAGCCCGGCTTCCTTCCCCGATGCCCGGCAAGCCAGCGTCGGCATTATGTCCGCAGGCGGCCACGATAGTCAACCACGACAACTCATATATCTGGTCCATGACGTTGACACCGCGGTCTAGGTCCGTCGGATCGTTCTGCAACAGGCACAAGGCGTCGATCCAAAGGTATCGCGCTCCGAGCTTCCGGACCAACTCGAACGCGTCCGTAATGGTTCTTGGCAAAGCACTCCACGCCGCTTTGAGGCCTCCACGTCGCAGCAACTGAGATTTATTGGCCGCCGAAAGCCGGACGCTGGGCACTTCGCCCCATACGTAACTGAGGGCGACGTACTGTGGAATTGTCCGCAGCTCCACGAGAAATTCTTCCTGGACATCGATAAGTCGCAAAACATGTAGTCCAGGAAAAGCTGTGGAGAAGTCCTGTGCGATGACGGAGCAATTTTCTCCATGAGAAGCCGAACAAACTGACATCCATTTCGAGAGACGGTCGACATCAAAGACGCTTTCGATCACAGGTTTGAGGTATGCATAGGGAGCAGTGTCTTCGGCCGAAAATGGGACTTGACAGATCCAGTTCTGCAATGTTGCTCCGTCAATGGTAAACCCTCTGCGACCTCCTGGGCCCCTTCTCCTGAATTCCATAACCTCCACGGCTTCTCTCATCGAGAGCGCCTTCTCCTCCTTCGCTACGTCTGTTTGGTACAGAATGCTGAACGCACGAGTGACGAGTTTGCAAAAAGGGCATTTCCTGTTCTGAACTCTCGTACCGGGCCCAAGTAGCCATCCTCCGCCTCTGCTCTTGAATTTCACGTCGTCAATCCCTGCTTTTTGCGCGTCGGGAGTGAGGGGAATCGTGGAGCAGCGCTTGCATAAGGGTTCTAGACGGGGCGTCGAGGGCATCACTTGGGGGCGACGGACATCTCTTTTCCCGTCTTCCACTTTTGCCTGTTGTGTCGGCATGAGTTCGGGGGTGGCTGGACCAGCTTGTTCAACGGTCGACTAGGCCGGGAGGCGGAAAATGGGAGCAATACGGAACAAGTTGCATGGTGTGATGACACAAGCGGGTCCGTAATTTACACTGCTTATCTAAGAACTTGAACCATCAGGCGACACAGTGAAAAGCCACGATCCAGTGTAGCTCCCAGCAGTTGTTGTGGCATGTTATCTAGAAGTTATCAGGATCATACACTCGCAAGATGAGCCTTGATCAGGAGACCAAGGCCCTCTTTTCCCTCAGTGTTGCCTGGTCTTCGTATATACCTGTACTTTGGTAGATGGAAAAGCCGGTCAGCTGTCCACTCTCGGCTGAAGCAGCAGGCGTTCGAGCCAGAACTCTGTGTGTCCGAGCTCACCGATGCCATTCTAGGCTTCGGGGTCCCATTTTCTTTCTCGCTACCCTACCCAACGTCGAGGTTGCGGAGGAAATCGGGGGGAGACCGGTGGCACTGGGGAACAGGGCATGGGATGGGATCAATGGAGAGACTAGGGGATAAAGCTCTATCAAGAACTTTGAACCGAGTGTCCGCAAAAGTCTTTTGCCGTTAAGCAGTATGTAAACGTGGAGAAAAGGGGGAGGAACTCTGGGGAGGCACAGTTATAAGCGGGCAATTCGGCGCGACTCTCAGAAGCCCAGAGAAATAAATGTGGCGAATTTGCGTCTGCTCACCTGTAGCACTGCAGAATCCTCCAGACCCAAGCCGTTGCTCCCCATTTATCTTACTCTTTTTTTCCCATCACAAGACGTTGGAGTCGGTCCGTTGGTTTAAGCGAGGCGGCTCTCCCAGGATAATTCCCACTTGGAATCGGACCGTTCAAACTCCACTCTGGGCTTCCATTCCACCCCGGACCGCGGGGGACCGGGGGGTGTCTGGTGCGTCCAGTTTGGGGCCCCGACGCTCCGCGGCTGGCGGACAACTTCCCGTCGGAGGACCCGGGGAACTTCGTGGAGGTACAGCTACATCGCCGGAAGACCCACGGGGTTTGAGACATTCATGCCTGGCCAGCGCATCGGGCGGAGAAGGAGGGGAGACTGTTGGCAGTTTGGGGACTGGGAGCGATTTGGAGAAGGACATTCGGATCTGGGGAGGCAAAGGAGCAGAGAGCTTACACCGCCGTAAACGCTATGGCAGCGTCAATGGCTGAATGAAGATTCTGCCCACCACATCTTTGTGCATCAGACAATACCGGCACAGTCCGTATCATCGAACCGCACGCGGCGGCGTGTGTCCTCGAGGCAAGAGATCTGGACCGCTCGGTTTCAAGAGTGTTGTCGAAGCGCCTAGAAACCCAGTGCTGCATAACGTATCTTTGTACGGATCCAAGGCTTCGTCGCAGTTCGCAAGGATGGCATTGACTCCATGTCGTGTCTCGTGCCGAGCAATTATCCGTACTCTGGACGCATTACTGACAAGCACAACTGTGCCATCGTTATTGAGGGGGCTTGGAAGGGAACTCGGCAGCCTTGGAAAATCGACCGGCGTGGATTCCGGGTTGCGTTATGCGGCTGGGAGAGTTGGCAGACCGACCAGAGAGACATTCTTCTCCAATGAGGGGAACAGCTCGGACGCGCCGTTGGCTGACTCGCACATGAGGGTCTTGGGATCGTCATCCCTTCTTATTTTGCTTACTTTTTTACTTTCCAACTCTAGCGTTTTCTCCAACACCCGAGATATTGTCGTGCTGCGTTTTGCGTCCGCGCTCTGCCCCCACGTAGCGATTCTGAGAGTCTCGTTGCATTACACCGTAAGATGATCTATAAACGCAGTAGATGAAGGGGGATGTGAGAGTGTATATTCTAGCAAGGCTTTGACTCCGTACCAAGTCTTCTCGGATACCCGCCGGAGCTGGCCTTGGCAACAATTGGTCTTTTTCTTGGCTGCACAACCTATTCCGTGTGCCAACGTTAGCTCACCCCTGCTTTTTCTTCCACCTATGACGCCGGCCAAGCGGCCGATCTCCAAGTCTCACCCAGGATTCACCCAACCAGTGTTGGCCCAGTGAGCCCCATGAACAGTTACATGATGTCTTTTACTCAGGCTACCGGCGGACTCGTCTCCTGTCTTTCGGCCCACCTCAGCTCACAGCCCCATCCCATGATCCCCCGTCCCCCGTTGACAGGCTTATTACATTCCCGCCCTGGTGGAATGTGGGCTGTCCCTTCACCCCCGGATTATCGGCGTGGGATGGATGGTACGGGATGACCATGGATATCGTGTCCATGTATCCGTACGGATACACGCGTTGCTTCCCTCGTTCTTCCCACACCTTATTCCGGTCCTAACCATCTCTTGTACCTTTCCTAGTCCGCGCCCCAGAACCGAGAGAGGTTAGGACCGCGGCCTCTGGGGCAACGTCATAGTAGCGTTCCCCGTCATTACACTTCGGTCGGCAGACTTTGACTTGCAATGTTCCACGGGGCAGCGGTGCGGTACCGTAGGTGGCTGGCGGTATAAAAGCCATCGTGGTGCGTTTGTGAGATTTCTGGAATAAGCCGTTCCCTGAGTCTTCCCCCAGGTCCTCGTCTCACACAACCTCATCTTTAATACGTTCTTGTAGCCAACCTGGATCATTGCGCCACCTGCATGATACCTTGACCATCGACTCTCTCTTCCCTCCCGAAGCAACACCCGAATTCCATAATACCACATCGTCCAAGATCGGCAACGTTCACCGCACACACAACCATGGGGTTGGGCAAACTGTAAGCTGACCACGCTGAGGACTTGTTCGGCCGATAACTGATATCCCGTGTAGGTCAATCCGCATCAATGGCGCCGACTGTGGCGCGGAGGCCCTTCTGCTTGGTGTCATCACCAGCATTGGGGGTTTCCTCTTCGGATACGACACCGGTCAAATCTCGTCCATGCTCCTCTTCACCGACTTCAAGAAACGATTCGCTACTGGTGACATTGGCCCGGACGGCATCCCCCAATGGGTTCCCACTACACAGTCGCTCATGGTCTCGCTCATGAGCATCGGTACCCTCATCGGCGCTCTCTCCGGTGCTTACACGGCCGACTGGTGGGGTAGACGAAGGAGTTTGAGCTTCGGTGTTGGTGTCTTCATCGTCGGGAACATTATTCAGATCACGGCCATGAACTCATGGGTTCACATGATGATGGGTCGCTTCGTCGCCGGTCTCGGCGTGGGCAACCTGTCCATCGGTGTCCCCATGTTCCAGTCCGAGTGCTCTCCACGTGAGATTCGTGGCGCCGTCGTCGCCTCCTACCAGCTTCTCATCACCTTCGGTATCCTGATCTCCAACTTGATCAACTTTGGCGTCCGCAACATCCAAGAGTCCGACGCCTCGTGGCGCATTGTCATCGGCCTTGGTATTGGCTTTTCCCTGCCTCTAGGTCTAGGTATCCTCTTAGTCCCCGAATCTCCCCGCTGGCTTGCCGGTCGCCAGGACTGGGAGGGCGCACGCATGTCCATGGCCCGTCTGCGTGGCCTGAAGGACGACCCCCACTGCGAGCTCGTCGAGAAGGATCTCCAGGAGATGTTCAAGGTTATCGAAGAAGAGTCCAAGACCGGCTACGGCACTTGGCTCGAATGCTTCACCGGATCATCTGGCATCCCCAAGACCGTCTACAGGACGCTGCTCGGAATCTCTCTGCACTTCCTCCAGCAATGGACTGGTGTCAACTTCTTCTTTTACTACGGCGCTACGATTTTCCAGTCCGCTGGCATTCAGGACCCTATCATGATGCAGCTGATTCTCGGAGCTGTCAACGTCGCATGCACATTTTTCGGTCTGTACGCCGTTGAGAAGTACGGTAGGCGATGGCCTCTGTTCATCGGCGCTGTCTGGCAGACCGCATGGCTCACCGTATTTGCCTCCGTCGGCACGGCTATGCCTCCCGAAACCAACAGCACGACTGGAATTGTCATGATTGTCTCTGCCTGCATGTTCATTGCCTCTTTCGCCAGTGTAAGTCTTTGCACCCTTGCGTCCGTCAAGTTTATGAGCTGTCATGCTGACCTGTTCAACAGACATGGGGACCTATGTGTTGGTGCGTTATTGGAGAGACTTTCCCTCTCCGCACCAGAGCGAAGCAGGCGTCTCTTGCTACGGCCGGCAACTGGCTCGGAAACTTTCTCATCTCCTTCCTCACTCCCTACGCAACTGCCGGCATCGGCTACGCTTACGGATTCGTGTTTGCGGGCTGCAACCTGGCTGGTGCCCTGCTTGTCTGGTTCTTCCTCTACGAGACCAAGACTTTGTCCCTCGAGAACGTCGACCGCATGTACAGCGACCCCAGCGTCAAGCCCTACTCTTCCAGCAAGTGGGTGCCTCCAGGCTACATCACCCGAAAGCAGAAAGACAACTCGGCCTTGGAACCTGCCTCGGTGCACACCGAAAACACTGCCTTTGGCGAGAAGACGAGTGATGACGAGAGACCTTTCGCGGAACATCATCAGTCCAACCAGGTGCCATTGGCTAATAACGTATGAATGTTGTATAAGAGACAGGGGTGGAATAGGAAGCATATGGCCTGCTCAGCGTATGGCGTTTAAACACCTGGACATGGTGATACTGGTGTCAATATGGCATACTGCATGCATTAGTCATGATAGTTCAAAAACGAACAAATATATGACCAGTGTTTACTTCTTGCCTTCATCCCGTTTATTATCGCGTCCTGTGTTTCCAGTTTTCGTCGCAGTCGGCAGTGACTCACTTGTGACATTGAATTATCTATAACCCCCTCGATGATGGGTAACCCACGCATTATCGCTTTATTGGAACGATATGCGCTGTATGTCGGCAACTCACAAAGAGCGACAGTACCGAGCATTGGTAAACCCTTGCTTTGCGTAACTATGCTAATCGACGCTCGCTATGCTGCTCTATAGTTCGATACATTTCAAGACGCCTATGAATGCAAGCAGATGATCTTACTGCACCTCGCCCGTACGCATGAAGATATTCGACGGCCTGTCGCGGTGCGCAAACTGTTCATCGACCTCGTACTCGATTTCTGGGCCGTCCTGCTTGAAGCCCAGCTTCGAGTACACGTGTCTACCCATGGTTGACGCCTCAAGTAGTACTTCCAGCTCCCCGCGTCGCTTGGCCTCCTCGAGACCCCACTGCACCAGCTTCTTGGCGATTCCCTTTCCTTGGAACTTGGGATCCACGGCACACATCTCCAGCACGTAGGCCGCCGGCTTGTCCGAGGTCGTCTTCTCGCGGATGACCTCCTCCCGGCGTTTGTGCAGAGACGCCATGCACGCCGCGGCATAGCGCTGCTCGGCCTCGTTACCAGGGAAGACGGCCTCGAGGTTGAGCTCCTTGATCAGGTCCTTCGGGAGCGGGTCGCCGTGGCCATCAACGGCAGACAGTTGCACCCAGATTGCCATGCCTACGGTCACACGCTGACCGGATTGATCGGGGCTCGGGAGGGTGGCCTTGAGGAAGATGGTATTCGGCTCGCCCTTGTTGTTCTTGGTCACGGAGCCGTGCCGCTTGGCCATGGACGAGGCTTGCTTGGCCTGGCCTTCGGGGGTGTCCCAGCCGGGGTTCATGGATATGAAGACGCCATCGTGGACCTGGTGACCGAAGGCGTTACTGACGACCTCGGCGACTTGGGTGAAGTCTTCGGGTTGCGAGATGACCTCGATCTGCACGTCCGAGATGGTTGCCATGGTTGATGAGGGGAACCTGTGAACTAGTTCGAGGTGGGGGTAAACCAACGACGTATTTTTGATTGATTCGTGTCCGTCGAGTGTCTAGATGCTCGGTCTAGGACAGCTAAACGGTATGAGATGCGATCTTGAGATTTAATGACCGATCTGAACAAGTGTCGTCTGATGATAAACGAGTGGGGGTGAAGGAAGGATAACCAGGCCCTGTTCTTATTGGCAATGGCCCACTGAACTCCGCAAATCGGAGACTGCCCGCACCAGAGGAATCATCAATTAAGTAACTTGATACTAGCCCAAAACGTTGAGGATGTGTTTAGACGGCGAGAAGTTGCCAACCCTAACCCTTTTGCTATATTGATTGCGACGAGTGCACCAGAGTGCACAGTGGTTAATTAGACCAGTCAAGCAATTTTACAATCAACTTGGTGTATAAAACTAGGAGGACGAGATTCTTTGTCGCGACAAGGCGTCATAGCTTAGAGTAATTATGCATGTCACACTTATGAAAGTTGAGACCTCGTTTAAAAGCAAACGAGGTCTCCTGATGATATTCACTCTAGATAACCGGCCTCCAATCTTTGGTCGACAAAGCCACTGATTTAGTAGCTACCTATGAACGATATTGCAAGGTGTCAGCTCCCAGTTGGTTTACATTGAGAAATTCGATCAAGACTTAAGCCCGGGAACCGGATGCATCGCCAGTCGAGTAATTATGCCATCGCAGCCAATTGTAGCTCCTATAATATAAATGAGACTGCCAGTCAGTGGTTTGTTTGTATTGATAAACTGAGAAAAGCAGACTCGGCGCGACTTTGTTATGAATAACCTGGCCCCGCGGTTAGTATCGAGCTACCTGCGCTTAATATTGATTAGCAAATTAACCCGCCGGCCATTACACACTTATAGACCTCTGTTTCTTGTGTAGAAGAATAGATAGGCAACACCAGCTAGAGCAGTCTGCAATTCACATCTCGCACTATCTGAGCGTCACACAAGGTCTTGGAGGCAGATGTAACAAAATCTATGTAAACTCATTGATTAGTTTGGAATGCCGCCCGACCTTTCCTCTCTGGTATAGCCTCATCGCGGTCACCAGCTGCTGTGTTCTCCAATCCTTTAGCCCGTCCGATAGTAAATTGCCTGTTCCCGTGCTATCCTCGACTTCTTTCACAGCCGCCACATAGCTTTTCTGGTCTGCAAGCTGCTCTCTCAGTTCGTCAGTCACAGGATCGCCTTGGTCATTGTAATTCCACAGCACATCGATTGCTGGCGGAACCATCAAGAGGGTTAAGGGAGAATCTGCAAACATCTCCCACAGCCCAGCAAAGGATGCCTCCCAGTCAATCAAACCAAGGACACAATACTCATCGTCAACAATGATATTGTTGTGGCCAAAGTCGCCGTGGCAAAGAGGGAATGGGCCGTGGTCGTGAGCTGAGAGTCTAGTAGCAAGGTTGGTAATGGATTTTGGAAAGGATGAGACAGAGGGGATAATCTCGTCAGCATATTGACCAGATGCCGTTCGTAAGTTTTCGTCCGTCATGCCGAACGTGCTCTTGGCCGCCCATGCTTTGAAGAATTCAGTCGCTGTGTTGAAAGGACCGCCAAGACCCCGAATTGGGCCTTGCCGGTACGTGCCGTCCTTGTTTCTCGAAACGATCGTCCCAATCATAGGGAGTTGTACCAGCCTCAATAGCGTGGATTTCAGGGATCGGTATGCTGGTCTTTTGTCGCACAAGGGAAATGGTGTTGTATTCGCAGTTTTCAACCGCCTCTACCGATTCCTCCGAGTTCTCCAAGACATCTAAGGTACCAATAGGAGGCATTCGCAGTCGTGCCACCCATCGCACACCATCGTCAAACTGGATGATTCGGACCATATGGTGGTAGCCAAGGCCAATATCAGGAAGGAGCTGGCAGCTGGACCCATTCCTCATCCTGACTGCGTACTGCAGGAGTGAATTCCAGTTCACAGATGCCGAAAACAACTTGGCTCGTGAACGTATAGGACCGTCTTGTAGAGAATTGTAATACGTCCACCGGTACCTGAAAAGGATTTAGAAGTCTCTAGACAAGATCAGCGTAAGTTAAATTGAAAATAAAGAGTGGAAGTACTTATGAGGCGTGTCATCAGACAAGCTCCTCTTAGTAGCGCTGCTTTCCATTACGTGTCATAATACAGTAGCGCCTTGTTAATGTAATATTTAGGAAAGAGGAAAAAGTTGGTGTTGTAGGAGGAACAGAAAGTAAGGTTAACAAAGTAAGGTTAAGTCTGTCGAAAGGTGGCCAATTTTGTCTAAAGTCCGGCAGTATCTAGCGGTGTCTAGCCGGCTGTGAAAATGCGACAAGGCCATGAACCTCCCCGGAGTGACACTGGAAGCTTGCTTTGTGCTGATTACAGCTTGACCAGCAAGATCTATGCAGCGCCCCGGTCGATATCGGCACCGGCTCAGGATACTACATGTAATGTTTGCGTTAGAAACCCCTTGGAATACTTCACTTCATGACCGCGACACACTGCTTTCAGGTATTGGACTCAGACTACGCCGGCGACAATAAGATCCCTATGTCTGTTTAACCTTCCATCGAGTCCCCCCCGCGGTTTTCCAAGACAAGAGTGTCGTGTACTCCGCCGCCATGGTGGCGTTGCTGGTCATTCACGACGCAGATCAGGTGTCCCCCCTCATGGCTGCGGCTTAACGGGTCGTCAAAGCGTCCAAACACGCAAGTTGCACGAGGCAGCAGGAGAGGGAAAATGTATCCGGATATGCTGAAATGGGCTACTTTAACCGCGCGGTCGTCAGAGGAGCTCGGGTTTGCGCATGGAAGCTACCTATAAAGTCGGAAACAGTGAGCACATACGACTCTACTTGAGATGGTGCGTCGAGTGGGTAGAACAGCAGTTCGATTCCCCCTCTCTCTAAGAGTAAAATGAAAAATAGGCCATGCAGACCTCGTCCCGTGGGCTCATGCGGCTGCCGTTAATAGAGTTTCATTCCGCAGTGTTACGGAGACACGGCCAAATGTACGTAGAAACTCGCGTCCAGCTCGACTGGCGAAAGACGGAGGGGGAGGGGGGAAAAACATAAGAGTACAAGTCGCTCCCGCCAGCTTTCCCATCTACTTCGGGCGCACACACACACACACACACACACACACCACCCCAGGGTCTAGTAGCCCTCCTTCTTGTTCACGAGGTTGGTGAGCCTCTTGCCCTCGCTCAGCTTCTTCAGGTTCAGGTCCAGGATGCCGAGGACGCGGTCCTGGTAGCTCGCCGACATGCCGCTGATGTGGGGCGTGATGAGCAGGTTCTTGGCCTTCCACAGCGGGTGGTCGTCGGGCAGCGGCTCCGGGTCGGTTACGTCGAGGGCGGCGCCGCGGACGGTGCCGTCGTCGAGGGCGGCGATGAGGTCGTCCGTGTTGATGATGGGGCCCCGCGCGATGTTGGAGATGAAGGTGCGCCGCCCGGCGAGGATGGCGAGCTCGGGCGCCGCGAGCAGGTGGCTCGTCTTGTCCGTCAGCGGCGTGGCGACGACGAGCAGGTCGAGGCCGGAGCCGAGGAAGGCGTGCAGGTCGGCCTTGGAGGCGCCCGAGAACCAGGCCGACGGGAACTTGCCCTCCGGGTCGCCGAGGCCCGGCGGCGTGTACGAGTTGTCGCGCCGCGACTCGGGCGTCGGCCGCGGGTGCAGGGTGTAGGCGTGCACCTTGAAGCCGAGGGCCGTGGCGACGCGCGCCGTCTGTCGGCCGATGCTGCCGTAGCCGAGGATGCCTCTTTGTGACGGAACGTGTGAGATGGGGGGGGGGGGTTTGTTTGATCGAGTCAAGGAGTGTAGGGCTTACATTGTGCGGCCGACGGCGTCTTCGACAAGCTCGTTGCCGCGCTGCCAGTGGCCGGCGCGGTAGCTGTCGATGTACTTGGGAACTGGACGCGTGTGTGTCAGTGTGGCTTTCTGGCACCGAGCCTCACACGCTCTCTCATGATTATATGTCTTACGGTGATGCTGGAATGAGAGATATGTTGTGATGATCCACTCCGAGATCTGAGGTCTGCCCCGGCCGACAGTCAGTAAAGATGCCCACACGGCCGGGAACAACAATGGGTAAAAGACGCCCTCACCCGTGAACGCCGTTGGCGGTGCAGAAGCTCACGTCCGTGTCCTGGAACAGGGGGTCCTTGAGGATGTGGTTGGCGCCGGCGCTCTGCAGCTGGACGTACTGCAGCTTGGGGGCCTCGTCGATGGCGGGCAAGGCGCTGCCGGTTAGCAGGATGGTCACGTCCTTCCACTCGTCCGGGTTGAAGCCGGCGCCGGGCTTCTTGTCGGAGAATTCCAGCTTGTGATGCGCGACGGCGAGGTCCGGGTACTCGGACTTCAGCTTATCGATGTACTCGGGCGGCGGCGTCCACGACGAGAGGATGAGGAGCTTGTGGCCCTTGAGGGTTTTGTTCGGCGGCGGGAGGAGCATGACGATTGATTCGAACGGGTGGAAGAATGGAGTGTGGTTGTTGATGTTGATGTTGTTGTTGTTGTTGTTGTTACGGGAGGAAGTCTCGGGAAGGGGGAGAGAGGCAAATACGCTGGTTGAGATATTATGTATGCATGTACGGATATACACACACAAACGCACACCCACACACACACACACACTCGAGTAATGGTGGTGACGATTATCAAGTCGGAAGTACGGGAAGTCTGGGCGGAATTCGGGGGGAGTTCCGTTTCAGGCCTGATGGGATGACATATGCAGCAGGTTTCCTCCCAATCTTTATGGAATTCGTGCTGGGTGGGTGTGGTGTGGGACGCTTTGCGCATCGCGGGGTCGGATGGCGCAACAGGAAGGTCTAAAAGCCGCCGATGCGCGGCCGACGCAGCAGTGTGGGGGTTCCAGTCAATGGTCCCTCCGTCTCGTCAATGGCGTTAATGGCGTGAAAGGGCCAAAAGAGATCAAACCCGGCCCGGTGTCGGCGACCGGCTTGGGATGAAAGGGGGGAGCGTTCCGCCGGACAACGCCTGCCGGGGACTCCGGCCTCTCTCGTTCCTCGCCGTGGGGAGTTTATCCCACACCAGGAGAGTCTGTCTACACTTGTGGTACCGTGGTATCAGCTTGTCTGATCGCTCCGTTCGTACTGACTTGTCGATATATCTCCTATCTTATCTAGGACACCCGCCGTCTGGGATGAAACCCTGCACCTTTATATAACAAAACTTATTGGCGACGCTGCCATCCCTCCCCCCACTCACATCTCTCGGGCCGCTGGCGGGAGGGGGGGGGGGGGGGGGGGTTCATTGTCTAGCTAATCCGTCTACGCTACGGTGCATGTAGGTATGAATTGACTCTTGAGCCGGTCTCGACCTCTGCTCCCGAGTCACTCACACGCATCATCCTTAATGGATCATGAAACAACAGAAGGCGGTGAGCATCGTGGTGAATTCTGCCGGTACAATCGAAGCGCGGGGAGACTCTCTGCTTCCCCACTCGACGACATGAGGCGCGCCCTTTGAGAACCGGTCTGTTTACCGGTCTTGTCTTCATAAATCAGACGCTGTCCAGCCGCTACCAGTGACATGTTTTGGACTCAAAAAACGGCGAAGACATCCTCCGAGTCTCATAATACTTCGAAATGTCATCCTCAGGTCCGACCATCAGACATGCTCGTCGTGAAGGTAAGAATGAATACCGCCAGCGCTACTATGAACCCCTCCCTCTCCCCACGTACCCCTCCAGGCAGGGTCTGCAGCTGGGCCCGGCATGTTCGAGGCTAACGCGCCGCGGGAAGACGTTCCCATCATCCTGAGCCTCATCAGAGAGCTCGCCGAATACGAGCGTGAGCTCGACAGCGTCCAGGCGACGGAGGAGTCCCTCGCCAATACCATCGCCTTCGCCCCCTCCGACCAGACCTCCTACACGCCGGGCCACCCGCAGACCGAACCCACGGCGCCGGGCCGGCCGGCGCGGTGCCTGCTTGTCTTCAACGAGGCCGGCGAGGGCGTCGGCATGGCCCTGTACTTTTACAACTACAGCACCTGGCGCGCCAAGCCGGGCGTCTACCTCGAGGACCTCTACGTACGCCCGTCGGAGCGCAAGAAGGGCCACGGCAAGCGGCTGCTCGTCGAGCTGGCCAAGGAGGTCGTCGCCATGGGCGGCGGCCGGCTCGAGTGGGTCGTGCTCAAGTGGAACGAGCCGAGCATCAAATTCTACGAGTCCATCGGCGCCAAGGCCATGGACGACTGGGTGGGCATGCGCGTCGACGGCGACGCCCTGCCGAAGCTGACGGGGTTGCTTGGGTGATGATGGTGGTGTCGGTGTTGTTTGTTGGTGGTGGTGGTGGGACGTGTCTAATCGAAAGCGATAAAGCAGAATAAACTAGCTTGCCCCTTTCAGTTCTTTCGCCCGTCTACTTGAGGCCTCTTTGGTTTCCCTGTCGCGAGTGGTCGGCTTCAGTCTTTTCCCCGTGGTGTCGACGCCGCGGAAGAGACGTTGGTGGGCGGCGGTGGCCACGGGCAGCTCCGCCTTCTTGGCGCCCCAAACGGGTTTCGCGACGGTCGGCTTCGACTCCTTCTCGGCGGCCGGGGTCTCCATGTACGCGGACGCCAACCACATTCGTTCGTACTCCCGCCGGATCTGTCGTGTGCGGAAGGGTTGTCGGCGAAACGGCGGGCCCCCTGCGTTCTTTGGCTGGTGCTTCGCAAAAGGTACCCTGGCGATGGTTCTGGAGTACGGCCCGTCGTCCCACTGGCCGGTCAACCGTGTGAGCAGCGGACTGCGTGGGCGTTCGACGTCGCGGGCGGGAAGGCGGGTGTGGATCGTCCAGTCCCAGTCCGGCCGAGCGCGGTGTTCCTGGCCGGCGGGCGCTGCGATGCGCCTCTTGGGCGGGAACCGGTACATTTCCTTGGGCGCGTCGCCGGAGGCGAGCATCTTGAGGAAATCCCAACTGCCCCTGTCGATCGGGGGCATGACCCTGTCAGCGGTGAACTTCCACCACTTTCGCACAGCCTTGGTCACCCTCCGCGGCGGCGCAGGGCGGCCCCAGATGTCCTCCTTGGGCAGCTTGTTATTCGGATCGGTAAGCCTGATGGGGCCTCGCGGAAAGCCGATGCTGCTGACGCTGTTCTGGTGGGTCTTCTGGGCCTTGATGTAGGCGCGCAGCTTGGGGATGTCCCAGTTGTCTTGGATGGGGCTGAGTTGTTGGTATGCCCAAGGGGTAGGGTCTTGTCTATCGTAGTTTCGTTTCCAGGGATGGGTTTTGAGCAGCTTCTCCCTCTTCTTCCTGTCCCTTTCCATCTGGTCCATGCGCTCCTGGAGCTGGTCGGGGCCGAGGGGCGGTTCGGGGTCTTTGGCGACGAACAGGGACATGAGCTCCCGACGTTGCTTGCCCAGGCGGGCAAAGACGTGGAACATGAGAGTGCGCAGGCGTTTCTGGTCTCCGTTGGCCGAGGCATGGAGAAAGGGTATCTTCTTCTTCGCGTCGAGGAGGTGCTTCTTTCGGCGGTATTCTTCGTCTCTGCGGGCTTGGGCAGGGTCGGAGGCACGGCGGAGTTTTGCTTGGCTTTCGGCAGCTCTCTGGCGCTCTTTTCGGAAACCGGCTCGTATACGCTGGTCGAGGAAGGGGCGTATTGTGGCAGGGAAGTAGGAGGCGGCTCGGAGGAGATGGCGATAGACATGCAGCGGCTGGACGGGATGCGGTAAGGGGATTCGGGAATAGGGCATCGTGGCGGATTACAGGTACGGGTGCGAGAGCAAGACGCAGCAGGCGATCAGAGGGTTAGAATGGGAGAGAGAGGGTTGTATGTTGTGCGTCATGGCTATCGTGGGCAGAGACGCATGCGCGATGTCGAGCAGGATGCATGCAGACGGCAATGCAGAGATTTGGAGCTTGAAGACGTGGCGCAGAGCAGCGCAGGTTCCTACGATGTAGGTATCTGCTTAGGTACTCCGTATCCGTACTATGTAGATATCCGTGCATAGCGGTAGGTAGGCAGGTAGGGTCTTGGATAGATACGTACCTTGGGCATCACGACGCGTCCTTGCAAGCGTGTCATGAAAGGCAGGTGCATTCTCGTTCTCACTGTGGAAGGAGCAGACTAGGTGGATTTAAAAAGGGGTTTTTTGCTGCTGCCAATTGGCGTTTTGGAACTTCGAATTATCATCATTAACTATCGACCAACGGATCAACGGATCAATCATCAATCAACCAATCAATCATTCAATTCTGTTGCCCCAGCTGCGTGGCCTATTTCTCTCACCTCACAGTAGGTATGGTACGTACCGGCTCAGACCGCAAGGTCAGACACCTTTTCCTGGACTGTGCGTCTCGCTTGGCAAATGGGGAAGCACCAATTGTCTCCCTCTCTCTCACCCTCGCACTCGCGTCCCTTCCCTCAGACAGACGGACAGAGGACGCTCCCTCTGCATCCCATTCATTCCCCCCAGTATCCGTAAATTGAGACGCGACACGACCAAGACACGAAAGCTGCGTCGCCTCGCGAAACCGACACGTCAGGACATACACGCTTTAATTGAAATTCCCATTCGGGTTCAGCGCTCGCTGCGGACCTTTTTTTTCACCCCAACGTTGGCCCCCCCCCCCCCCGGCAACCCAGCTGACCAAAGAAAGACAACGTCGCTGGTCTGCTGTGACCTTTGATATATATCTTTCTCTGCCTGTCAGTCTATCATCTATACTCCGTAATCTGCCTGCCTGTTGTCTGTCTAATATACCCACCCGCAAAGTCCGTATCCTATCCCATTCACGACTTACGGATACTGGACTGCACTCACCCACCTACCCTATCTCCCCTATCCCTCTTAATCTCCGGGGAAGAAAGGAAGAGACGTACTGTTTTGTTTGTATTGTCTTGTCTCACCACACGACCCAAAAGACCCGGCCCTCACTTTGTCAGGATTAGCCGCGCGCCCCCCTCCCTCCCTCACTCATTCACCCACTCAAAGCTTCGGCTACGCATCCCAATCCGTCAATCCATCCATCCATTCGCCTTCTCCTCTCAACTTCTACTTGTCTAGGCACTTTTGCTTTGCTGCTCTGCTGCTGCACCGCACAAAGTAGCTTTAGTCCACATACTCGGCTCCGCATCGCATCGCAGCCGAATAAAGACACACCATAACGACCAAGTCAAAGGTCACGGCTGAACAAGGACGGCCGCTGCGTGCACCCATTTCCCGACTCGACTCAAATCAACTCAACTCTTCGCTCGATCCATCTCTCCGCCCTCGCCCGATACCCTGTCCATCACTTCTCCTCTCGACCATTCCTCCCTTGCGACCCCTCTCCGCATCCCGTCTCTCTCCCATATATACCGAGTATACACACACATATACATATATATACGCCCGTTGTTGCATCCTTGCGCCTCCAGATGTTCTAGCGCTGGCACATGTCTTCGAGCACCCTCACTACCACCCAATCCTCCCACTCCCTCCATTCCCGCCCCAACTTCTCCTCGTCCGCTGCGCAACCGCGTGTCGACCACGGGAGACCCAGTCCCCTTACGGCGATGCCTTCCGCATCGCAATCGCAACCCTCTTCGCAACAATCCTTCACCATGAGCCAGCAATCTCAGCCTGGCTTTCGCGCCTATGGAGGGGACTCGTCCAAGCTCGCCGATGAGGCGCCCCAGATCTACAGCGTAAGTCCTACCTCCTCCTGCATTCCCGCTGCTAGCTTGCTGTCATTTGCTCGCTATGCCAACTCCTCTCCACCCCGTGCCTTTTCTACCCGCAGTCGCATTGACAATGCCACATCTAGGCCGTCTACTCCGGCGTCGACGTTTACGAAATGGAAGTGAGGGGTATTGCCGTTATGCGCAGGCGGCAGGACAGCTGGCTCAATGCGACCCAGATCCTCAAAGTGGCTGGCGTCGAGAAGGCAAAGCGCACAAAGATACTCGAAAAGGAGATCCAGACCGGCGAGCACGAAAAGGTCCAAGGAGGCTACGGCAAATATCAGGGCACCTGGATCAAGTTCGACCGCGGCGTCGAGGTCTGCCGCCAGTACGGCGTCGAGGACATGTTGCGCCCGCTGCTGACGTACGACATGGGCCAGGACGGCGGAGTCGCCGGCCGCGGGGACTTCAACACCCCCACCAAGGAGCAGGCCATGGCCGCCCAGCGGAAGCGCCTCTACAACGCCGGGAACGAGGCGAGGACCAACGGCGCCGCCGGGCTCAACGGCACCTTTTTCAAAAATATCTCGGCCACCGCCTCCCACGCCGTCGCCGCCATCAGCAAGGCCCGCTTCGACTCTCCCGGCCCCCGGAGTCGCAACGGCCCGACGAAGGCCCCCAGCTTCAGCCGCCAAAGCTCCATGCAGAACGGCGACGACTTCCCCGGCAACTCCCAGCAGAGCTTCGCCTCGGACTACGGGAATCAGAACGACTCGGCCTACTCGACCCAGCAGGCGAGCCAGCAGTTCGTCGATGGCCCCGAGCATCCGCGCAAGCGCCAGCGCGTGACCATGACGCCGCAGGACAGTTTCGGTGCATATAGCAACTCGGTGGAAATGTACCAGACCAACTACCCCCCCGGTTCGCCCACGGAACCCAACGAGTCCTTCATTTACTCCCAGGCGAACCCCCCCCCGCATGACGGCTACAGCCCCTTGACCCCGCTGCCCTTCGAGATGTCCCCCGACGCCGAGTCCAAGCGGAGCATGCTGATGAGCCTTTTCATGGACTCGACCACTTCAGATCAGTCCAAGCACGAGATGCTGCGAACCCTGGCCCCCATAGAACTCGACATGCCTATTGACCAGCAAAGCCATACTGCCCTTCACTGGGCTGCCACACTGTCGCGCATGCCTCTGCTGCGTGCTCTGATCGCGGCGGGCGCGAGCCCGTTCCGGGTCAATGCCTCTGGGGAGACGGCTCTGGTCAGGGCCTGCGTCGTGACGAATTCCATGGACCAGGGGCTGTTCCCCGAGCTCCTCGACGTCCTGGGCGGCACCATAGAGATTCGCGACAGCAAGGGACGGACAGTCCTGCATCACATCGCCATGACCAGCGCTGTCAAAGGCAGGAACGCAGCCAGTCGGTATTACCTCGAGAGCCTTCTGGAATGGGTGGTACGGCAGGGCAGCAACCCCAGCGGCCAATCGGCCATTGCCAACGCCGCCGCCGCCGCCGCCGCCGCCGCCACTGGAAAGGGGGACAATGGCAAGGGGGACAACACGCCGGTTAGCTCACAGGCCGCCCAGGCGCAGTCACAGCAGCCGAGGATGGGCATCGCGCGCTTCATGACAGAGATTGTCAACGCGCAGGACCACGCCGGCGACACGGCTCTGAACATCGCTGCGCGGATAGGCAACCGGAGCATCATTTCACAGCTGTTGGAGGTCGGCGCCGATCCCAACATCGCCAACCGTGCCGGTCTCCGGCCTGTGGACTTTGGCATCGGCGGCGATGCCTCAGAAGAGGGCTCCAAGGCCCCCAACGGCGCCAGCCCCGCAGAGGTGAACGGAGACGTCGAGAAGAACGGAGTCGTCAGCAGTGAGCGAGCCAAGGAGAGCAGCCAAGACATAATTTCATGTGAGTTCCAACCCACCCCCTCGAACCAACCCCCTTCGAACCCTTTGGGGGGGGGGTCTTTTCTCTCTTGAAACCAATCTAACAAACGCCAGCCATCACGCATCTTCTCAACGAAGCAAGATCTACGTTCCAGGGCGAAATCAAGACGAAACAGGCCGTCATCGAGTCCCTGCACTCGACGCTCCGTATCACCTCGGCGCAGCTCAGCGAGGCGCGGCGGAACCTCGAGGCGATGCAGGCGACACTGCGGAAACAGCAGTTGGCGCGGCAAAAGGTGTCGAATCTCAGCCACGCGCGCGAGGAGGAGCAGGTGCGGCTCACGCAGGAGCAGAAGCGCGCCGGGCGGACCGACTCACTCTCGTCGTCGTGGGAGACGGAGCTCAGCGCGGCGCTCGAGACGGCGGGCACCAACGGCGAGGGCGGGCTGCTGCCCTCGGCGACGGTCCTCAAAGCGCGGCTCGCCGCCGTATCGGCGCGGCGGGACGTCACACGTAAGATGGCGAGCGCCCTCAAGGGGCGGAGCAAGGACCTCGAGGTCAAGTACCGCCGCGTGGTATCCATGTGCACGGGCGAGCCCGAGGACCAGGTCGACGCCGTCGTTGACGGTCTGCTGCGGGCTGTTGAGAGCGAAAAAGGCGAGCTCGAGGTGGAGCGCGTGAGGCGGTTCCTCGGCGGTGTCGAAGGCGTCGTCCACTGAGTGCCTGTCACGCTTTGATATCCGCGTGCCTCCCTTTCCTCGCGTCTTAACACAAGAGAGAGAGAGAGAGGTACAGAAAGAGAAAGAGAGCGGGAGAGAGGGAGAGAAAAGGGACTTGTCTGGTTCGGATTCCGCTGTATTGTTTCTGGTGTTTTTTTCATCATCATACCCCCCCGCCCACAAGTCAAAAAGACTCGCTCGTGGCGATTGGGCCCACTTGGCCATTAGTATATATCTTTCAAAGAGGACACACACACACACACACGCAGAGAGAGAGAGAGAGAGAGAGAGGAGAGGCATCGTCGAAATATCTCTACTAGTACCCGCGTCGTTTTTGAGCATGCCAAGGGAGGTTGGATTGGTGGCGTTTGGATTGGGCCGTGTGGCTCCGGGCTTCTCTCGGTTGTTTTTCTAAGCATCTGGGACGTGCGTGCGCGGGCAGGATATCTCATGACCATTGCTGTTTTTTTACACACATCATCCCCTTCAAGTTGGGCTTTTCCATCAAGACTTGGGGGAGGAAGAAAAGAAATTAAGAAACCCCCGAATTCGAGGTGGTTGCTCACTCCCATAGAGCGAAATCCGTGCTGCCGTGTCCTGAAATAGAGAAACGTGAAAAATGTAAAAAGAATAAAATTAAAAAGAGATTAAAAAACTAAAGAAAGAAAGGCATGCCGTCAAGACGTTGAACGCTTCGCCTGCCGCCGTGAGGGAAAGCCGGGAATTCCCGCATGTAAATCCCATCATCTCGCCCCCTTATTGTCCTTGAACGCCTTGCAATGCTGCTGCTCCTAGAGTGTTGATACAATTATGGTAGCTGCCTCCCCCCCCTTCCCCTTTCTGCCACTTGCTCATCGCGCCAGGCCGGACGCGTATAGACCCTCCCACCGTTCCTCGACGCCGCCGACGTTCTTCTTTGCTTTTTCGATCTCCCTGTCGAGCTCCTCCACGTTGCGTGTCAGCGCGCTGACCTCCTCGAACCGCCGAGCGTCCCGTGCGTTGTCCACCATCTGCTGCACCATGAAGCGTTGCTCCTCGAGGACCACCAGCCGCTCGCGGGCCTCCTTCTCCTCCGTCTCCAGCGCCGACACGGCGGTGCTGGTCTCGCTGGCCTGGCTCGCCGTTTCCGACTCGGCGAGCTCCTGATTGCGGAGGGGCGACAGGTGCAGGGACGATGACGACCCGTTGATGCTGCCCGACTGGAGCGTCCGGAGGCGGGATGCCTGGGACGACCGAGACCGGAGGATTTGCGGAACAGATTTGAGCGTCAGCATGTGCGTGTGCAGAAATGAGGAGGCGGCTGCGTAGACGGCCTGCTGCAGACGGAGCTGAGTCTTGGATTTCGTCTTCATGTCGCGCAGACGGCGCGCGGCCATGTCGTACTTTGTAAAGGCATCGGTGAGGCGTTTGCGTATTTTGGACGCCTCTTGGATCTGGGCGTGGGTCGGTGGCGGCCTCGAAAGTTCTGACCCGTCCTCGGATTCTGGCTGCAATGCCAACAGGGTCCGCTGGAATATGGGCATAAGCTGGCGAATGCCGCGTTCGAACTGACGAAGCGTCTCGTAGGCGCGTTGGTCTGGAGGCTTGTAGGACAGGGTCGCCGCGAAATCGCGCTTCGAAAATATCGTGTGGTTGCACTCACGGCACATGCGGACGTCGATGCTGAGCTGGCCGGGCTGCGCTGTCGTCGGGGGCTTTTCCGTTGCCGGGTTCGTCGCTGGAACTGTTGAGCTTGGTGCTCCTGATGGCCCCCTAGGATGAGACTCACGATTGGCTATGCTCAAGCCCACTTCACTCGAGCAGCCTGTGAGCGGATCGGCGCAGACCACGCGGCCGCATATCCGGCAGTGGTGTCGTCTAAACGTCCAGGACCCGAACTCTTGCTGGCAGAACGGGCACTGCGTGACGGAAGCGTCGTCTTCCCAGGTCACGACCGACTGCTCCAGCAGCTTCCGTTGGTTCTTTTGGCCGGTTAGCGTGGCTACAGGTGCGAGCAGATTCCCGCCGCCGTTGGCTGTGGCATCTTGGGGCGCGTTCGCAAGCAGCTGCGTCAACTTGGTCAAACGCTTTTCCAGCCTCGCCACTTCGAGGTTCTGCCTCTCGACCCTCTTGCGCCGGATTTCCGTAAAGGCCGACGTGTGGTCAACCAGGACACCGTTGTGGTCGTTGTAGCCATCCCTCGACTTATAGCACGTTTCGCACACTCTGACCCAGTAGCCGCGCACAGGATCGTGCTTTGCGGCCCTCGACAGCCTCATCTGGTACATGGTGTGTTCCTCGCAGAAAAGCCTCCCGCAGTTACGGCAGTTTATGCTCCCGTTGACGGCACCGAGTCCCTTGGGGCACGTAGGATCGGTGCATCGGTCGTTGCTCGTCTGGCGCTGCCAATGGGACCTGGTGATGAGCTCGTCGGGGTCCATGGGGCCTTCTACCAGTTTGGTCACTGTGGGCGCGGCAATGGGCATGGACTCGTTTGATTCGAAGACGTCGAGGCCTCGGAGTTTCTGGTTGATGATGGACAGCGGCTGGAAGCGCTTCGCCTTGAGGACCTGCTTGTCGAACCAGGTGCGGACCTCATCCTGCTCGATCTCGGGCAATTCTTGATGGTTGTCGTCGATGTGTCTGAGAAGGGGGTGTGTCAGAGACTAGAGTTCAGCGTCGGCAAGATGGTCGGCAGTCTTCACCTGTTGAGTTGAAGCAAGGTCAACTGCTCGCGGGCGTCAGCAAAGGTCACGATGACGGGGAAGGCGGCAGGCAGACTGACCATCTCGTCGTCACATATGGGGCAGACCAGCTTGGAGCTCTGGGCGGCAGTGGTCGAGGGCCCGCCGAGGCTGACATTTGAGGCAAGATCCTGGGCAAAGTCGGGCAGGGGGCTCGAGACTGGGGGAGAGGCTGAGGACGAGTTTATGGACAGGGTGCTCTCGGAGGGAGCAAAGGGACTCGGGGTACGTCGATGGCCCTGGACGGCGGGAGGCGTAGGAGGGGCGAGGCCCTTACCGCTGCCCAAGATGCGGCCGCCTCCCAGCTTGCGGCCGGACATGGTGAAAGTGAGACGATAGCTACGAGACCATCAAATAGGGAGGGCGACGATGATCGGCGGGCCAAGTGGGCGGCGGTGAGGACAGACCGGGGGGGCGAGGGCTCGGGGAGAAGGGCAAACCGCGGTGAGGAGGATCGTGAAAGGACGGAGACGGAGGGAGGTGACGGGGGGGGCCTGAACCGCACTCGATGATCGGATCGGATCGGTCGGAGATGGAAGATGCTAGTCCTCCGTACTCTACGAATAGGTGTGCAATGTCGTGGTCGTGGTAATGGTGGTGGTGGTGGTGGTTCGTCCTCTTCTGTGGAAGTTCGTGCTGGGTTGGTTGATTAGCTGGTTGGTTGGTCGAGTTCCAGTTCAGGTTCCAGAGTTGTATGTTCCCGCGCGCAGCCCGGCAGGGCGAATCCCTGCCGGGGAGCACCGACAGCAGCAGCAACAGCGCAGGAACAGGGGCTGGGACAGCAACGTTTTCGGCGGGAGTTGCGGCATTAGACGCTTGGAGGGAGCGCTAAAGTGCCCTCTAGGCGAGAGAGATGGGTAACAAGACCCACTGACTGGGTAGAGGCGGGGCAGCTTCCGTGCCGCCAGATATAGTAGTACATAGCATCTACCCTAATCCCCAAGCTAAACAGAAGTATCTCTTTATTGCGCAGACCGCCATGACATCGTCAGTGCGCCCCTCATCTTGTAGGCTTGTAGGGGTTCCGGCCTTATCGGCCGCGTTTGCTCCTTATCGTCTACCGCTGCAGATAGATACGTACCTGTCTCTACCTCTATCTTTACCTCTCTCGGTGCTCCTCCAAATAAAAAAGTCCGTCATCAACTAGACTTGTGCATCTTCGACCAAACTTCCCCCGTTGTACCACATCATGACCGAAAAAACAAAGACGAACAAGTTCCCCGAGGTCCGGCGTGGCGGGAGTCTCATTCTGGCCTGGCGGATTAAGGACAAGAAGGTCTTGGTTGTCGGTGGCGGCGAGGTATGTAACCGCTGCTTCCATCATCTCCCCTCTCCCCGACTCTGCGACGAGGCTCGCTTCCGATGCTGATCATCTTCCTATCCACAGGTCGCCGCCGGCCGCATTCTCAACTGTCTCGACGCCGACGCCAAAGTTACCGTTGTCTGCCCGGCTTCCGGTCTCAATCCCGAGGTAGCCCACCGAGTCGAGAGCGCCCAAGTCACCCATGTCGATCGCCTCTTCGAACCGACCGATCTCGACGGCGCAGACATGGTTCTCGTCGCTATTGACGACCCCGCCGCCTCCACAACCATTTGGAAGCTGTGCAAGGAACGCAGGATACCCGCCAACATTGCCGACGTGCCTCCGGAATGCGACTTCTACTTCGGCAGCGTCCACCGTGACGGCCCGCTGCAGATCATGGTCAGCACCAACGGCAAGGGTCCCAGGCTGGCCGCTATTATCCGCCGGCACATCGCCAAGTCGCTCCCCAAGAACGCCGGCAACGCCATCGAGGCTATTGGCACCCTACGCGCCAAGTTGCGCAAGATGGCTCCCGATCCGGAGGCGAGCCCCAAGCGGATGGGATGGTGCGTCCCCCCTCCCTGCTCGATGAAAACCCGTCTTGAACCATACTGACAGTTGGCAGGATGATCAAGGTCAGCAACAAATACGACTGGAACGAGTTCTGTGATCTCACCGATGAGGACATGGAGAACCTCCTCAAGTTCTACGAGAGCAATCAGGTTCCCACCATTGACGATCTCCTTTCCATGAGAGCGAACCCCCCCGGCTTCAACGTCAACGATGTGTTTGACGGCTCTTTCGGCTTCTGTGTCGGCGTTTAAGACACGGATCGTTACACCAAGTACAACTGCACATACGGTATCTACAAACGGATATGGATGTTTTTAAGCGGCATTTATCTCGGCGTCAATTCTACTTGGGGGTTCTCTAGATGTTTTTTTCTTTCTTTTTCTTTTTTTTCGTTGGCAGCATCTCAAGGCTAGAAAAGCGGTTCTGTATGATGTATATGAAAAAAAATCCTGGCGCATTATGGCTTGCCCAGACACTTATGATGGGCTTGGGATCGAAAATGAGGAAACACCTGACGCTGATACTGTGTGACGCATCATCAAGCTCCCCAATGTGACTTGCATCCTACTACTCCACCGCGGAAATGCAAAATACCTTGAGCATGCATTCCGAAATCGGGGCTAGGCCGACGGAAGTCAATAGTATACCCTGATACTGGAATCCAGATCGCGAGTGTCATAGATGGCTCTCAATCACGATGCCCCAGTCTCTGCCCCCACACCCTTCATCGGCGACGTATTCATAATGCATGAGGATACCGGCGTATTTGGCCCGAGTGACATTCAATCGCCGGCAATACGGTACCAGCTCCGGGGGGGGGGGGGTAAGTGGCTACTTACGCCGGGGGCCGGTCCCGTCGAGTGCTACTGTCAGCTGGTGCCACTTCCGCTCCCAACTTAGACATTTCCCATCTTCACATCCATCTTTACCTTCGACAATGAACAACCCGCCCTGTTCTGCGCCGCGTCCCATCAAATCGCCCTGTTAATACTCGATCTGACGCGTATTCCTCGCCCAGCAATTCAAACCGACCGTTGTCCACCCTTCTACACTGTCGGCTATAGAACCTTCACGCGTCAAAGTTCCGCCTCAACCACCACACGCTCTTGCGCAAAATCAGCCACATCTTCCAATAACTACCGTCAAATCTGTCGAACTGACCTGCTACGCAAAACACCGCGATGCCTCCGCGCGGTCGCAAACGCGCGTCAGATGTCGATCCCGGACCGCAGCCCGAGAGTCCGTCTCCCTCTTCCCTGGCTGATCGTGAGCCGCCGCCGCCCTTCTTCAACACAACCTTCTCCACCCATCGCGCATCACCCCTCTACGTCGGCGCCAATGCCCTTACCTTTCCCCGCTTACAGACGCTCTCGCAACGCTTGCGCGACACGCTCGTGGGAGACGTCGTGAGAGGCGTGCAAGTAGGTCTGGAAGGTAGCGACAGCTCACTTGGACGCGCCGGGCCCCTCGAGAGGGTCGGCATCCGCTGGGTCGGTCTTGGTGCCCTGCTCGGCGGCGCACTCGATGCAGATGCAGACCTCAGTCAAGACCTAGGCGGGGAAGTGGCGGACAGCAATATGGACCTCATGAGGAGGGGCCTGGTATTCGAAATCAAATACGAGAACGCGCTATGCACAGCTGTGCTGCTGCCGGCACTTTCCGACAAGACAAAGGATACGCGACAGGACGGACTGGCTGCCAACAAACTCGAGATACCTGGATTTCTCGGCAATGACAGCTCGGATGAGGACAACCGCTTTCTGAATCTGCCTTTGCTTCTCTTGCGCATGCCGGGGCCCCTGAAAAGCCTCATCGTGGACTTCCTCTCAAGCACCTTCGACTGCCGCATCAGTTCTATGCGCCTGGGCACAAAAAGCCTCACATCTGCGTGGGAGAGGTGGATCCAAGACGCCGGGCTCCCCTCGCAAGGCCCGTTGGCCAAAGACATGGTCTTGACTTTGGGTTTCTACGTACCACCTCCCGACACCTCCGAGGGAAACGAAGACCAGCAACTAGAAGGGCTAGGGATCAAGTCGATAGATGTCATCATTCCGGCTGAGGAGCTACGGAGGTTCGTCAAAGAAGGCCAGGGTGTCGCAAACCCTGCGGAAACTACCAAGCGGAAACCAGGCAGCCAAGGATACGAGGGCGATCAGAGAAAGAGAAAGCGACTGGCTGGCGGCAAGGCCGACGAGGGTTGGGGATGGATCGAAGAGGGCAACGGCAAAGAGCCGGAGCCGTTTCTGCGCGCCCTGGGTGCCTACTTGGACAAACATCTCGCCCTCAACCTCTTCCATCCTGGGGTGAGGGTCACCAAGATCGCTTGCGGCGGATTCGTGCTCTCTGAGGGACGAGTCAAGGTGTTTCCCCCGCCTGGCAACGACGACGAGGACCAAGTGTACAAACCCATCAAGAGCCTTGTCGGAGACCTCATCGACAGCGCCGTATCCTGAGTTTCTTGGTTAAGAATCAAAAGACGACAATTATGGGCGAGATGCACAATACGAATCTGTCGAATATTCCCAGCCGGATAGGCGACATGACGGCAGAACAGCGAGTTGGGCCACACTCTAGAAGCCCCAACTACACTGTTCCTCGGCCAAGCGGAATACAATACGGTAAATGGACCGCAGGTATTGGCGCAGAAATGGCTGCCTCAATGCCGGTGCGCGATGCCCGTTCAGGAATCGGTCCCTGCTTGGCCGCATGGTTAGACCAGTTATTCGATTGGTGCTTATTTGTCCGGGATTCATCCAGCGATCTGGTCATCTGACACAGCACCTAACCAGTGGGTGAAGCGGGAGATGAGCAAATCCGGTCCACAAGGGACATTCATCTAAACTTCCATCTCTCGCAAACACGGAAGTATAGGCTTAAATGCACACCACAGGGGAGTGATCGATGCCTTGGTGTACATTGCACCAGTCGTTCCCCTGACGTTGTCACAAACATTGGTTCGGCAGCTGGGGAGGCGGGGGAGCATTTACAGGCTCGGATAATTCGCGCGTTCGCAATACTCGGATCCCCGCCTAATACATAGCCAGTCATTGTTGTAAGCCTCTCTTAACGCGGAGCTCGCAATTTATCCTTATCCTTTGACCAAGCCAGCACATTCGGAGAAACTCGTCTGGCTAATGCCGCTGTCGCATTTGGCCCAAAGGACGAACCCGTTCAGCATTCAGCCGGCCGCCGCCCCCCCCCCCCCCCCCCCCCCGAGCACAGACGTAGTAATGTGGAACTTCGCCACTCCAGTATCTTTTATGGTAATAGGTTAAAACTCGATGAGTAGTTGGCACCCACTGAGGAGGCCATCTCGGCGAACGGGGATTAAGTAACAGACAAACTGTCTCCTGTCAGCTCGTACTAGTTGATGCAGTATGCCCAAGAGAAAGTATTACGTATGGATATTACACGACACAACAGAACTATGATCGCCCGAAGCCTTCATGAATAGAAATCTCCGGTTTCCTCTAGGTATTGTTGACGACCCATGGCGGCTTAATCTCATATCAGTAACACTGGGAATGGACGCGCGCGGATGCTACTAGTGCCATGATATTGCAAGGCACCTTGGTTCAGCGTGGTAGGCCCTGGTAAACCCAATTATAACCGAAATAGCCATAGCTTCTATAATATTTATACCACCAGACTAAAGCTCTTCGTGCTCCGCAGTGTATTGTAGTCGGGCTCACTATCTAGGGGACATCAGATTGTAACGCAAGCTGAACCGTTCAACTCCGCCCTACTCTCCTTTTCTTGAGGTTGTACCGTGTAGTCCACGCACATGATCACTAACTAGACGGCCGCGACCCCCCCCCCCCCCCCCCCCCGTGCTTATTCTTCCGCAAACTGGGGACGTTGACGGCTTTGTTGCCAATTTGCCGGTACCTGAACGGGGGACCCTTGGGTTGATCCATGGTACCTTTGTGTGCCATCACGGCCTGTTACCACCGAAGTCCGACTTCCACAGTGGGCTGCGATCCTTGTCTGTATGAGTACGAACGCCTCACTTCGCCTTGAGCAATGTCTAGAGGACGGAAAAACTATGGTCGAGGTGATGTATCGTATGGAGGGATGGATCCGTCATTCGAGGTTGTTCTTGCGTTTCTCCTGTTATGGGTTATAGAACCTCCTCCGCCTTTGCTTGCAAGGCGATTTCCGAACTCATATAAAGGCCGCCCGAGGTTTGGCACAACCCGTCAGTTCTTGGCAGAGGCTTGTTTCTTCAGCGACCAAAGCCAATCCACTTACTCTTTCACGCACTTTTGTCCCATCAGCCAAGCCAACCTCAGCCCCCCCCCCCCCAGTGTCCTCGCCATGAAGTTCTCCATGAGCCTCGTCTGCCTGCTGGCGCCCATCACTGTCCTCGCGGCCCCGCTTGAAGGAGGTCTCGAGCAGCGCCAGGCCGCGCAGAGCGTCGACCGGCTCATCAAGGCCAAGGGCAAGAAGTACTTTGGCACCTGCAGCGACCAGGGCCGGCTGACGAGCGGCAAGAACGCCGCCATCATCAACGCCGACTTTGGCCAGCTCACGCCCGAGAACTCGATGAAGTGGGACCAGATCCAGCCAAACAACGGCCAGTTCAACTGGGCGGGAGCGGACTACCTCGTCAACTTTGCCCAGCAGAACGGCAAGCTAGTCCGCGGCCACACTCTGGTCTGGCACTCCCAGCTCGCCAGTTATGTCCAGAACATCAGGGACAAGGCCACCCTTACCAAGACCATCCAGGACCACATTAGCGCTGTTGTTGGCCGGTACAAGGGCAAGATCTACGCCTGGGTGAGTTTTTGTCTTTTGTTCCCCTGGCCCTCCCGCTTGGGAGGCCCCGCTTGGGATACAGGAGTGCTGCTGCTGCTAGGAGAAGCCCTGTTTTCTGATTATGCTGCGTAGGACGTCGTAAACGAGATCTTTGATGAGAGCGGCAACCTCCGCTCGTCCGTCTTCTCCCAGGTCCTGGGCGAGGACTTTGTCGGCATTGCCTTCCGCGCCGCCCGCGCCGCCGACCCCAACGCCAAGTTGTACATCAACGACTACAACCTTGACCAGGCCAGCTACGCCAAGACGCAGGCTATGGCCCGCAAGGTCAAGCAGTGGATCGGCCAGGGCATCCCCATTGATGGCATTGGTAAGTCTGGCGTCCCTCTGTCCCCCGCTCCTCTCGTTCCCTTCACCTCTTCCATACCGGTTTCATAAGTTTAGAGGGGTGGAGACGGCCAAAGGCTGACAAGTGAAACAGGCTCCCAGGCCCATCTCCAGGCGAACCAGGGCGGCAACGCCCTCGGCGCGCTACAGACGCTCGCAGGCAGCGGCGTCAAGGAGGTCGCCATCACCGAGCTCGACATCGTCGGCGCCAGCTCCAACGACTACTCGGCCGTCACCCGCGCCTGTCTGCAGGTGCCGCAGTGCGTCGGCATCACCGTCTGGGGCGTGCGCGACCCCGACAGCTGGCGCGCGCAGAACAACCCGCTCCTCTTCGACGCCAACTGGAACCCCAAGGCTGCCTACAACGCCGTGGTCTCGGCTCTGCAGTAAAGAGGCCCTGAGGCGGGAAGGAAGCGTGTGCCGTTCCAGGCTCTGTGGTCGGAGCGGCCCTGTGCGGAAAGAAAAAGGGAGGTGTGGCTGATCAAAAAGCCCTTGGGTGCCCCCCCCCATTTGGTGCCCGGGGCTGATTTCTTGGTATATATAACTTCAACACTTTTTATTTTATTTTTATTTTTGGCTTTTGTGCCGTACAATATGACGACGAAATGGAAAACTGATTTGCTTCCTTACGCATTGTGCTTCTCCGACTTTGCCTTGGTTGTCTGACTGTGTGCCTCGGTGATATAAGCCCATTTTCAAAGTGCCCTTCTGGGCAACCCCCGACTCTGTTACCCATCACGCTTCATTCAACACCCTGCGTTTGTGTACTGTCAGTCTAGTGTTGACGTCATTCATGTCCGTCGTCGTTTAAGAGTTCGAACGATGCAAATCCCGCCGCCTGTGCTCGCAAAGCCCGGACTTCTCATCCTACACACACACACACACACACACACACACACACACACACACACACAGACTAATCAATGCCTCGGAGTCGACTCTACGTATTCCTCGAAGCTGCTCAGTTAAGCTGCTTTGTGGATTCCTGTCATGGGGCAGAGCGTTGTTGCGAGACCCCGAGTTTCAGAAAAGCCGTCTCCCTTTTCCTGTCTGGACTTTGACTTATATGCAAATGCGTTTTCAACGGTGGGACAGCGGCCAGAGACCAGGCAGCGTTTGTATCTTGACCTCCCTTCTCATCCTTGCGTGTATGCAATGCAAGCCTTGATGGCCAAACCCAGCGCTTTCCTCTGATAAGACTGCCACGGAGGGGAATTTAGTCGTGTCAATAGCGTGCCACTAGTTTTTTGTCTCGGAGAATCTAGACCCCCGTGTGATGCGAGTATGATTCACATGCTTAGATAGTATACGCTGACCCTAGCGGTCTGCCAAAGGGTAGAATGCTAGCTTATATGTGTCGTCGTCGTGGACCTGGCGTCTAAGCCCAGTATGTTCGAGATCAAATATGTACAAGACGAAACCCGACATGATATCCGCTCTGCCCCTCCCCCACCCACCGCCTTTTACAACCCAAAGAACTTCATGTCGTCAGCGCCCCGGATCGGAACGTTGTGCCCGAGGCCGTTGGCCCAGACACCCGTGAGGTGGTCGCCGAAGACGTCGGTGCGGTAGTTGGCCACGGGCGCGTTCTGGGAGGACGTGAGGGGCTTGTCCGGGTTGTAGCCGAAGACGCCGGACCACTGCTTGATCTCCTCCTTGTAGTTGGCCGAGTTGAGCGTGGCGTCGGCGCTGCCGTGGTAGATCTGCATGCGGGGGCGGGAGCCCGAGTAGCCCGGGTAGGCGTCGTGCACCCACTGCGCCCAGCGCTGCGGCGTGGCGATGGACTTGCCCTGCGAGCAGGTGCTGTTCCAGCCGTTGACCGAGTTGGTGAAGAAGCAGCCGGCGGGGACGCCCATGTAGACGATGCCGGCGGCGAAGAGGTCGGGGTACGTGGCGGCCATGACGTTCTACCGGTTTGTTAGCGGACATTTAAACACAGCACAGCGAGCGGGCGGGCGGCGGCGCTTACCGTCATCATGGCTCCGGACGAGGAGCCCGTCACAAAGACCTTGGCCTTGTTGCCGTTGTACTTGTTCAAGGTGTACTTGACCATGTTGGCGATGGAGTTGCTGTTGCCCCCGCCCTCGTGGGTGAGGGTCGCCCTGGACGAGACGTCCCAGCAGGTGCCGGAGTACGGCGACTCGGGGTAGATGACGATGAAGCCCTTCTGGTCGGCGAGGCCCTTGTAGGGGCTGCCGGTGAAGTACGCCTGGGCCGTTCCGCTGCAGTAGTGGATCGCCACGACGACGGGAGGGTTGGCCGCCAGCTTGTCCGGGACGTAGATGTACATCTTGGCGCCGCTGGGGTTCGAGCCGAAATTGGTGACCTGCTGCAGCGAAGCGGCGCCGGCGCAGACGGCCAGCCCTATGGCGGAGAGGATCGTGCTGAACTTCATGGCTCGCGGTGGTGGTGCCCGGTTGCTGCAGGGCCTTGCTGGTACGAGTTGCTGGTCTCTCTCTCTCTCCCCTGCTTGTCAGAGCTATATCTTGGTTTGACGATAGCTTGGTTGCAAAAGAGACCGGGGATGCTGGCTCTTAGCAACATTTATATATCTTCCCCTCTCGTCATGTTTGAACAATTATTAAAAGACCGTAGGGCTCCTTGTGCAACCCCTCCATCATCTTGTTGCTCTTCCTCCCAGGGTCATGTTGACAAGGAGGGGGACTCCATCATCATCTATTTAGCCGGTTAGCCAAGCCAAGGAGGAAATCACTTCAAGCTTCGTCTAAGCGAATAGGGAAGCGGGAACCTGTTCGTCCGGCTTTCTGAAAAAAGCTTTTTCCCCCTCCTTCGGCACTCACAACTGGCCACCCGCAAGGAAGAGGCCGACGTGTTGTAAGTCGTGGTTGGCGGGGTGCCGCTGTGTAGTGTAACATGATTAAGGCAGACCCTTGCAGCATGCACCCCAGGCCCATGTGCGCCCGATATCGTGGTGTCGCCGATCCATGGCTGGGTAATCTGCTAGGGTAAATCTGCGGCCGATGGCTGATGGATGCCACCAACGGGAGATTTTCCCGCGCCGGTGGAGAGTATAAGGCCGTCTCAGTCCAAGATCGTCTTGGAGAGGGGGGATATCCCTGGATTTGAAGTATTGCATAGATTATCGCGTCCAAAGGATCTGCTCGGGCCTATACACATAATAGGCAGTTGACGGCCGATATGGATGAAGAGCGAATAATCTTTTCTCCACCAATTCCGGCTATCCGATCGACCAGCGCCTCGTCCATGCCGTAAGACCGACTTGGCCGGTCCATACAATTCCTCCTCGTCCCTCCTGTCCTCGTCTTTTCACCACCTCGTATCTTGATCATCCCTTTATCTCTTCATCGTCTTATAAAGCTGTTATGGTGAAAAGAAGAAGAAGAATAATAACAAAAAAGGATTCAAATGTCCTGGGTTATCTCAATACAGAAGAAACCGTATCTTTACCGGGAAAAACTTGCGGTGCGCGCCTATCATGACTCCTTCTAGACGTCCGGCATCCAATAGCCTGGCGACCCGTCGAAATTGGGGAATGTTGCAAAGGCCTGGGGAACGATTGATCAGCTTTTTTTCTCTCTCTCCCGTCCCTTTAGATCTTTTGTAGAAATTGATGTACCGAAGAGTCGAGGTCGAGCCAGTCCGTCGTCTCCCAGCCACTCAAGAGGTTCGTCATACTCTCGAACCCCTGCTGTTGGAAGACTTCGCCCATGTCGGCTGGCGGCGCCGGGTGTCTCGCGCTGTTGTTGTTGTTGTCGTTGTTGTTGTCGTCGTCCATCTGCACCGACTGGGCGCCCCCGCCGCGGTCCGTCTGCTCCGTCGCGTGCCGCTGGTCGCGTCCCACGGGCACGTTGGAATGGTACTTGGCTTCCTGCCGGAGCTCCTCGAGAATGACGCTATATCGGCGACCGGGGCTCTCGGCCGCCGTCGCTTCCGTCAAGTGGTTCTGGCACCGGTCCGCGAGCTCAAAGAGCCCGTTCTCGCCGTCCTTCCGCCCCCGCTGGATCTCCCACACGTACACGACCGCCAACGCGCAAAACGTCACGTACGGTGTCCACCAGAAGGCATGGAACAGGGTTCCGTCGCTGGCCATCCCGTCGACGGTCTCGAGCGCGACCTTGGCGGCATTGATGCACTCGTCGACGCTGTCCTCCAGGGCAGACCCCTGCTTGCTCTGGGAGGCCCCCATCCCCAGGAGGAACGGGCGGTTGGCATGCATGATGGCGTGGCAGTACGCCAGCTTGAGGGCGGTGTTCTGCCGTCGAAACGATGGGATCAGCGACATTGGCCGGACTGTGCCGAGATGGTGCGGCAGCGACTTGCGCCACCGGTGGAGGGCCTGGCCGTATTCATGGGCTGCCATGAGGCGGTCGTGCTTAGGTATGTGCTTGATAGCGTACACCTCGCGCGAGATGCCGTCGATGAGCTGCGCGAGCTTGGCGTGGAAGATGAGACTCTCGACGTGGCAGTCCATCTCGGGCTCGTCCCTCGACCTGCCCTGGGTCGTCATCTCTTCGTCGTTGACGCAGTCGGGGAAGTCCTGGTCGATGTCGTCGTCGTGGTACATCCGGGGGCGGCCAAACACGACGGACAGGTATTTGTCAATGGTGTAGGCCACCCAGAAGGTTCTCTTTCTGCACTGCGAGACGATGTAATCCCTGTCGCCGCTGCCCCTGTTGCGCCCGGATTTCCGATGCAGACCCAGCGCCGAGACGATGGGGAGGATGCTTCCGAAGACATACCAAGCTTGGTTCATACGCGTCGTCTGGAGGAGGTAGAGGCCCTGCAGAATGCGAGACTGTGCAGACTCGAGCTTCGGCAGGCCGACCTCCATCTCTGTCAGGTTCAGGGCCTCGCAGAAGTAGGCGTCGCTGCGCCGCAGATCGGAACTCTGCTCCGACCCAACACCCCGGACCTTGCTTTGCCGCAGCGTGACGATGGCGAGGATCGCCATGACGATGGCGGCCTTGGCGTGCCCTATGTCGCGATGCAGAGGACGGTTGTTCTGCGCGTTCGCAAGCAGTGCTTCGAACCACTCAGAGACGTACCCCTGGTGCAAGCAACGGTATGTCACCACGCAGACGTCGAAGTAGAACCGCATCATTCCCAAGCCCGTGGCCCGGTCAGGCAGAGTGGTGGGGTCGAGGGTCTGCGATTCAAACGGCTTGTCGCCTGCCCTCGTGAGCTTCTGGTGCTGCTCGATGCCGCTGGGCATATGCCCCGGAACGCCGCTGCCGTGAGATCTCTGTGATGAGAGCCGCTTCCAGGCCCGGTGAAGGAACGACAGGCTGGACGTGTTGTCAAAATACTGGCCCTCGATCTCGGCCATCTCAACTTCTGGCGATGCCCTGGATGTCGGCGGAAAGCTGGCGTTCCCCCCGGCATCCGGGTGGACAACCCCTGACTCGGGATGTGAGGGACGGGCAGCGGTCCCCATGGCCAGGCCGGGGAAGGCGGCTCCAGGAGGCAGAAGCTGGAGGGGTGCCTTGGTGGGGAGTGGTCTTCTGTGACTGGTTAGTCTACTAATCCCATGCAGTGCCTCCCGTGTTGTTGCGACGACAAACCTTTGGGCCTCGATGGGAGAGAGCAAGGGTGCCAGTGTCGCTCCGGTTATTGAATGCCGAGGGGTCCCGGTTGCCGGGGGAGGGGTCGGCGGCCTGCCCCGGCGGTAGCTTGCATCATATATGCATGAAAGCCGCTTCCTCGTGCACACATCGCAGGGAATGGTGCCGGAGCATTTCAGCTTCTTGGCCTTGCAGTAATCGCACGCGCGGCTGACTTTATGACTCCTTCGTCGGTTGGCAGACGCTACGGCCGCTGCGGAAGACGACCGGCCGTCATCGGGCGAGCCTTCTGGCAGACTGCGTTTCCTTCGCTCCGAACTGGGTAACGGGAGACTTGACGGCGAGGGATGAGAGATGTTTGATGCAGGAGTGGGTACACCAGGGCCGCCGTCATCCCGGAGACCAGCGTCGGTGGACGCTGTGGGTGCGTCTGCCATCCTATGAAAAGGAACGAGTATCCGAATCCTCCGACGACTGTTTGCTGACAGTTCCACTGAATCAAGTCCGTTTCTCCGGAGTAGGGGAGGGGAAGGGAGGGGAAGGGAGGGGAGGGGAGGGTTCTAGCCCCCACACTGCCCGAATATGCTACGAGGCGCTGCGAAGCCAGCATGTGCTCTTTGCCCAATACCGTCTCTAGCGTTTCCGTATGCGGGTCATAGCCAGGAGTTGTTAAAACCAGAAGACTCAAGTCTGTGGGCGTACATTTGCGCGCGTGGTGTGACTGGAGGCGCAAAACTTGGAGTAAAGGGGGAAAATAGACTCGGAAAAGCAATGCAGGCAGAATAGAGGGGAAAGGGGACCAGGGCGCTGATTATTAAGGGGACCTTCATACAACCCAACCAGTCCAGTTGAGAGCAGCTAACAAACACGCCAACTCCTTGTCCACGCAGAAGTGCCGTTTGGATGCGGGGGAGGGGGTAAAGACAAGTTGGCCAGCCAGTCAGTCACTCGTCCTCCTCGGGAGGCTTAAACTCTCATCTCCCCCCTTATCCCGGCAAGCCCCGGGTTCAGTGTCCTCTTAGCATCACTGCCCCCTCCCTTCATGTGCCCCTCGTTGAAAACTGGAATTCCATACTCGTACCTAGAGACTTGTATATCTACGTGTGAGCCAGATGGCGCTAACCGATCACGCGGTCTCATAACCTTCTTTCTCCTTGGGATTGGGGGACAGCCATGGTGCATACCTACTCACTATTACTAATTTAGCACCTTTGTCCACCTAGTTGACTAGTCTCAGATCCGGAGCATGTGCTTATACACGTACAACCACAACTGCGGGTAGACATACAGGCTGGGCTTTATTTTGCAATAAGCTGCAGACTTGCTTGGCGGCCCTGGCTACGCCACACTTCATCACCAATTATTACATCCAAGCACCGAGCCTTAATCCCTGTCATCTATCTTTGGCATTTGAGACCGTTAATGCAGTCCAAAAGCTTACTAGTTTATGTACCTGCGGCCTGAAGACATGTCTGAACACGCAATTAAATCGGAGGAAGTTTACCCTCCCATGGATGCAGCCCTTGAGGGGTTGTTATGCCCGGCTTACATCGCTACCCAGCTTCACAAGCACTGGACGGGATGGTTGTAGGGTCGATTAATCCTTAAATCCGGCCATCTCCTCTCAACTCCCATTGCTTCTCTACTACGTATACCCCGGGTGACCCAATCCGGTCTATGTCCATTTATGTCCGTTGCTCCTCGTAAGTGAACCGCGTGTTCCAAGGATACGTTGTGGCCGCTCTTCCGAGTCGCGCCGGCCCTTCCGAAATCCCTGCCAGAACCCTAACCGTCACCGCATCTCTCCTTATAAACGTTGATCCTGACCCCTCCAACGTCGGCGTAACGAAACTGAAAATGAAAATATAAATACCTCAGGGTGCCATGTGGAATCAATCCCCTAGTGAACTTTCTACAGTGAGCAATAAGTCACATTGACTCGAGCCGTCTTATAACTGAGAACAGGCCCCCACGACCAACCGAAATTCTGATCGGGACATTTCACGCAATACTCGCCAATCATGTCCCTTGAGGTTTTCCACATGCGTCTCTCGCAATCCGAGAGGATTGTGTGGTTGTTGGAGGTGAGCCGCCGCGGCCCAGTCTGTGCCAGCAGCCGCTAACGAATTACATCAGGAGTTGCAAATCCCCTACAATCTGCACGTCTGCGATCGCGATCCCAATTCTGCTCTCGCGCCCAAGGAGATCAAGGACATGGTGCGTGCCGCAGACGTTCTCACTCCAGGGGTTTATGCCAACTAATCATTGACGTCAGAACCCCGCCGGTACTGCGCCGTATTTCCGCGACACCACGGTTTCACCACCAGTCGAGATCTCAGAATCGGCCGCCACCATCGAGTACATTCTAGCGGTCCACGGCCCCAAGATCGGTTCCGGTGCACCTAGGCTGCGACGGACCCCCGACGACGCCGACTTCGCTCCCTATCTCGAGTGGTTCCATTTCGCTAATGGCACCCTTCAGCCCGCAATTCTCCGCGGCATGACTCTCGTGTTTGCGGGCGCCTCGGAAAGCGGCATCGCTAAGCGAGCAGAGGCCAAAATGCACAGCTGCTTGAAGTTGGTTGACGATCGGTTGGCCAACAACAAATGGCTCGCCGGGCAGAACCTGAGTGCGGCGGACATCATGACCGTCTGCAGCCTCACCACCATGCGCGGTTTCTACCCGCTCGTGGACCTGTCGCAATACAGTAACATCCTGAGGTACTTGAAGGATGTTGCAGAGCGTCCTGCTTATCGCGAGACACTAAAGAAGGCAGAAGATGGGATGGAGCCCATGATTGGGCCCAAGGTTAAGGCTTTCAAGCAGTTTCCACCGTTTAAAGCCATCTACGAGCCACTAGGTTATTAGTGGCTCAATAGATGTAAGCAAATGAAGGCAGGTGAGAAAGAAAGAGTGGAGAAACGCACTACTCTAGCATAGCTGCATTTCCTATTCTAAGCTCTCTTGTTAGTTCGTAATACCACGGAACAACAACACCTTGGGTCAAATAGTAGGGCAAAAAGGCGCCGTCCGCTGTACCTGTAATAACTTAGACATGCCGTAGTCTTGTGTACGAGAATAGAACAGGCAAAAAGTTCAACTCTCTTGACCAGCCTGGGGGTCGAACCCAGAATCTCCTGATGACTCGATGAATCGTAGTCAGACGCCTTGCCATTGGGCCAACCGGCCGTGATGATACAAACGATCCTCCACGGATGTCAATGACGGTTTCGGCTAGTGCGAGAAGGCTTGCAACGCTAGACTGAGAGCAAAATTGCGGATTACATCAAGTGCACACAGGCTGTGTTCTGGACCTCCTAGGGGTGTTTTGAATGTGTTGCACACTCCCCAAGTTGCAATCACTTAGCGGATCTTTCCGGGGCCTATCATCTTTACGCCGTCTTTGTAGTACATTTTGAGCACAAAGCCCATTTGTTTCTTTGTTACGGCAGAAAGACTTCACGCAAGCTGAAATGTTGCCGTGCTCATGACCGTCTTCCGAGAGCCAAGAAAACAAGAAACTCCAAAACCGCTCCCTCAACCATTATGATTCGACAATGACCAGTGAATAGAACAACTCAAATTTCCACTAACTAAATATCGTAGAACATGATCCCTGACTAGATAGCATACTTGAACAATGGGCTCTTCTCTCCCATGCGGTCAAGTTCCTCGTCGGTATACCTCTGCCTAACCTCCTCCTCGCTAATAAGCGCCTTATTCTTGTTGAGCCTATGCAGTAGAACCTCGAGCGTAATGGCAGCAACAATGCCGGCCGAGGCGAATGCGAAAGATGTGCCAAAGCCAGTGGGGTATCTGGGTGCTTCCTTGTCGATGTAGATGTAGCTGCCAATAAGGCCGCCAACGTTACCGACGCAGACCAGGAATCCGATACTGACGGCTCGCTTCGTGGGGCTCGGCGTGTTTGCGACGTTCCAGGCGTTGACTCCCGGCAGAATTGGGTACATGCTGGAAAGGATCGAGTTAGCTTTACGCGACTTCTTGCATTGGCAATAGGCCATCTGACGGAAGTGCGACTTACCCAAAGCAGGCGAGACACACGGCAAAGTAGCAGAGGGCAATGTTGTGCTTGATGTCGGCGGATTTAGCAAACAAGATGCTAAAGGCAACAACAAGGCACAGTTGCGGGCCAACAATGAACGGCATACGCCACGAGTGGCGGTCAGCAAACACGGAGAAGCCATAAGCCGACAGAGCGCCGACCGCATACGGAGGGATCGTCAGGAGCTGGGCGTTGGCCGAGGTGTAGCCCATGTTCTTGATGATTTGGGGCATTGTGAACTTCATGGCGTAGTTGGGCACTGCGTTGGACCAGTTGACCAAGATCAAGAGGTAGATCTTCCAATCCGTCAGCACAGAGATGAACGCCTGCTTGTCGAAGTGGCTGTCCCGGAACTCGTCCGGTCGGACGACCCGCCTCGATTCCTGGCGGAGTATGAGATATCGCTTCTCGTCGTCATCGAGCCATTTTGATAGAGAGGGCGAGTCAATGAGGAAGAAGAAACACGCCACTCCGATAGCGACCGTAGCCAAGCCTTCGAGGATGAAGATCTGGGCCTGTTAGAAGACTTGCACCGGAATGCTGATTTGCTTGGACTCACCCATCTCCAACCCTCATAGCCGCCGACACCGTCCATCCTGGCAATTCCAAAGGCCAACAGCCCTGAGAAACCTCCTCCAGACGCCGCGGAAGTGTACAAAAGAGCAATTCTAGTTTGTGTTTCATTGGGGAGATACCATTTTGAGATGATGAGGATAGCACCGGGGAGGAAACCTGCTCTGCGCGACCACGTTAGCATCTCTCTGCAAGTCGTTGCATCTTTTCACGTCTTTATACTTACTCGAAGAGTCCGAGGAAGATCCGAGCCGCGACCAGGCCACCATAATTTTGAACGACGCCATTGCACGTCATAACGATGCCCCAGCACGTAACGATGCCGCCAATATACAGTGATGGTCTCTGGAAGAGATGAAGAACCATGTTACTCGGGACTTCGGCTAAAACAAAAGGGATGAAGAAGACAGAGACAGCAACATTGTATTGCACGCCGGTCATACCGAGACTGCCGAGCAGTCCCTCGATCTTGGCGTTGCCGATGTTTGTTTTGTCAAGGTAGGCCATCAGGTAGAGAAGCACCAACATCGGGATGAGACGGTACTAGTGACAGCAGAGTTAGCTGATGTGCATTCTTGCAACGACCGTGCATAGGCAGTTGACGGGATGGTCCAAGGGTTCGAGGATACGTACATCGACCTTTCTGACAGCCTTCTTCTTCTTCTCCTCGGGCAAGTTGGCGAGGAACTCAACATCTTCGGGCCTCATGCCGCCACGGATCTGACACTCTTCATGCCGGATGGCCTCCTTATCAGGGGAGACATTCTCGATGTCGGAGCGATCAGAAGAAGTCCGCGTAACGGCCATCTTGTCTGGCTACTGATGCGAACGACGACGTTGAACAGATGTGTGCAAGTTTTATGGACGACAGCCCGAAGTGGCGAGGTATCCTGGACGAGGCAGTATAGGTTCCAGAGATGGGAAATCCTCGCGGCTCGTCTTTGTAGTTAAAGGGCGCGCAACCGATGACTTCTCATCAGAATAGACGTGGGCACGTTTTCTGGGGAATGGGATCCGCCAGCAAATTCCCCAGCTGAATCTGGAGTTGCGGGGGCAAGTGTATAAACAAATCTGGGGTAACACACTTGGCACTGGGGATGGAACAGCCCGTTAGCGCAAAGCCACAAGGCGGTCTTATGACCAATGGCCCTCCATGCTACCGGACTACGACCGGAAATTGTTCAACCCATGAGGGCCGCTTTGTATCGCTTCCAAGTGATTCAATATCTTGGAACAACCGGATATAATGGAAATGTCAACGAGCTGGTATATCGAGGACGCAGTTGAACTGGTTGGTGTGGTGGTACGACTCTCTATGTACGCTATGCATCATGCTCCCGGACTATAGCCAATATGGCACAACCAATGCATGGGGATGAAATTGCAGCCCTGTGGTTCCTGGCTCTCGTGGCCCGCTTTCGGCTGGCCGGTTATGTACCTATTGGTCAAGTGTTCCCCCTCATTGGGGTAGTATGTTTAAGTAGACTTGGCCTGCACATCAAACGCAGTTCCGGAATCAGCCCGGAAAAGGGAGTCCGGATGGCGTCCGGAAAAGAGAAACTACATTTCCAGACAGCCGAGAGCGTGCGGAGACTGCGTGAAGTTCGCCACTAGGCATTGCACTTAACGATACCCTCCATGAATGTCTTGGAGAAGCTGAGGCTCTCCGGAGCTCATGGCCGCGATTCGGCCCTTTGTTAGACGCGAGGTCACTGCGACGAGGGGTCGAGTCGAGAGTTCATTGTATTATAAAACAGGTCATGGCGAGACCACACATATCGATCTTTCTTCACCTTCACCTCAACCAACACATTCAATCATTACAATCTACAGAGGCTTTCCATACTCTTCATACCTTTTACCTTTCATTACAATACCATCTCTCACACATACACAAACATGGGTTCCAACGTCGGCCTTGACCTCCGCGGTCTCACCCCCGCCCCCATCACCCCCTTCAACAAAGACGGCAGTGTAGACTACGACGCCATCCAGCGCCTCGGCTCCTGGCTCGGTAGCATCGCCGGCGTCACCGGCTTGGTTGTTCTCGGCCACGCCGGCGAGGGCACCTTCCTGACGCAAGAAGAGCAGATCTCCGTCATCAAGGCCTTCGTCAAGTCGACCAACAACCGTATCCCCGTCATTGCGGGTATCACAGGCGAGGGAACCGAGGTCGCCGCCCTCGAGGCCAAGCGCGCCCGTGAGGCCGGCGCCGCGGCTGGCCTGCTGTACCCTTCGCACGGCTGGCTCCGGTTCGGCTACCAGCCCGGTGCCCCGCAGGACCGCTACAAGAGAGTTTACGAGGTCAGCGGCCTGCCCCTCATCCTCTTCCAGTACCCCGACAACACCAAGGCGACGTACAACCTCCAGACCCTCCTCGACATCTCGGCACTGCCGGGTGTCTTTGCCATGAAGAACGGTGTCCGCAACATGAGGCGCTGGGACACTGAAATTCCCGTCATCCGCAAGGAGCGCCCCGATCTCCAGATCCTCACCTGCCACGACGAGTACCTCCTGCACACCGCCTTCGATGTAGACGGCATGCTCGTTGGATACGGCAACATCGCCCCCGAGCTGCTGATTGAGTTGATCAAGGCCGGCAAGGCAAAGGATTACCCCAAGGCGAGGGCGATCCACGACAAGCTGCTGCCCGTGACCAAGGCCGTCTACCACAGGGGATCGCACATGGAGGGCACCGTTGCCTTGAAGCACGCGCTGGTTGCAAGGGGGATTCTGGAGCACGCCACCGTCCGGTCACCTCTGCTTCCCTTGGAGAACGGTGCGGAGGAGGAGATTTTCTCCGCCGTGTCGGCCGCTGCTCTTTCGCGTGTGAAATAAATGCTACCTTTTTTTCTTCATTCTTTTGTACATAGACGACGAATATCATGATATAATATGAGCGGAAGGATACCATTCAGACATATCAGAATAAGACTTCCAAATGACTTCATCACTTTTCCCGTGGCATTTCCTCTGCAAGTGAAACTATTTCCAGTCTTCATTTTGCGGTGTCCCCTTGTTTACTTGTGATTCATGCGCAAGTATTCCGATTTCCAAGATTTCAAGTGATTCCAAAGGCCGGTATGACATCTTCAACTTCAATGACTACGGTGTTTAGGAGGTGGCGAACCGTTTCATCCAAACCTTCAGCAGCAATCCAGATGTCTCTTGCATCGCTCCTCCTGGATCATGAGGAAGACTTTCAAAATGGTGGTGGTCTATTTATCCCTACGCCGCCAAGCCACAGGTAGGTCGATAACCGCGTAGTAAGATACCTTTAAGCGCCTCTTCAAGGACCTTCGAACCTAAGTAACCCTCAAAAGACGAGCTAAGCGCATATCCTGATGACCAGGGTCTGGACTCGCGCCGGAAATCCAAACCAAGGCCCGGATAAACCTAGCCGCAGTTCACTGTGGACGACTGTGGATGTACTCTGTCCAGGCACACTGGGTAGACGAGGGGCGCTTGCTGAAGGACTCTGACAACTCAACAAAACCCAGCCACCTACATGAAACCTGCAGCAAGCATGCTGATGCTGTCCTCCCGTTGGAGGATCCGCCCCCGCACGCGACGCGGAGGGTGGCCCCCGACAAGGTTGTCGCCAACGAAGACCTGGTGAAGCGACAAGAGGGCGTGGATACGACGGGTGGGCTTTTTGGCTTACAACCAGGAATTCGCATGCTCCGTTTCTGCGCGGCCTCGGTACCCATTCTTCGCGACAACCGGACACTGCAAACCGGTGGAAGAACAGCTAGAAGCCTTAATTTATCTTGCTCAAAGATACTTTAATCGTTATCCCGTCACTTGTTGGTTGTTGTCATCAGTTAGAGCACACAGCAGGGCACGCAAGAATACGAATAGGAAAGGCTTATTCCTCTAGAAGTAGCAATGTGAAGAAAGACTCCTATATATACATGAGTGATGCGAGTAATGTATGACGCACCACGTGATATAGCACCTGACAGACCGTTTGACAGGTGCTGTATGAAGCTATTGTGACAGTTGTTCTCTCGGATAGCTCTTCTGGCTGTCTCAGAAGCCAAAACAGTGATACGATCCAGGGTTGAAGCAGTGTAAGGACTCACTCGACGAAATAGTCATACGACTTCTTTCAAAACGATAACAAGATGCCCTAGCTACAGTAAACGTATAGGTATATGGATCATCGTACTTGCTTGCGCAGCACTCGTCACAGGCGGTGTGGCGTTACTGCCACGCCGGCCGCTTTCTCACACCAGCTTCATCCTAATATAGTATAAGACTATTGTCACCTGACATGGCCTCGAGCTGTAAATATCACTTAGGTACTGAACACAAGTCACTTTCAACCTAGCGATTCTCATACATATTAACAAGGCGTAGCGGAACTAGGTTCCCAACGCCATTGATCATACACAACGCCGGCTGCCCGAGGTATTCACCTCTCGAAATGCTTTAAAAACGGCCTGCGAAGGAACGTTCACCCCAATGATGATAGGAGAAAGCCACGCTTTCGAATTACTAATACTCTCCCTGATAGGGTAGCAAATATTGATTGCCGGGGCAGGCGGTAATGAAATCGGTCAGCGAAACAGCAGGGGAGAGGGCGGTGAGCCTTGAGAAGACAGACTTTAGGACTGGAACGAAAGAGAGAGCTCACGCGCGCGCGAGAGAGGGAAGAAAGAAGAGAGAGTGAGTGAGAGAGAGAGAGGGTGAGAGAGAACATCCGTGCGGCGGCTAGCGCCGTACTGTGTCCCGCCCCCGGCCTAGCGCGCCCCGCTCGGCCGGCCATCCATTCGGATCGGGTCCGACGCTCCATCTTTCCTTGCCCATATTCGGCGAACAGGTGCAATCGTTGGCCGACGCTACTGGAATCCAACAAGATGATGGCTTACTCCTCAGTACATGGTGTTACAAATATTATCTGGGCAGGGCATTCCCACGACATTGTGCAATTGACGCGCGCGCGCGGGGAGGGGGACATCACATCACATCAGCAATGCGCTGTAGCTGTAAGACCACGTCCACCGCCCCGTTGATAATGTGATGTGATGTGATGTGCTGTGCTATGCTCACTCTGATTCCCTCCACTGCCCCGAGAAGGGCCCGGCCTCGATGCGACCCTCGAGAGGAGAGCGGCAAGGACCGAAGGCTATTAACTGGGTCGGTCCCAGGATGGTCTCCCGCCCCCCAAACGCGAGTCCTCTGGGCTGGAGCTCTTCGGCTCAAGCCTCAGGGACAGAGACAGACCCTGAGCCTAGCAAAGTTTTGGAAAATGGCCGGAGGGAAAATCGAAAGCACCCGTCCTTTCACAGCGTACGCGCTATTACCCTACGCTAGTGCAGTAGCACCCGCCGCGTCGTCGCCTTGACCCGGGGGTGCCTGTCGGACCCCTGTGCGTGCCGTGTACGGTATTCCCTCCACATCGATACTTGGGTTGGGTAGGTATTCTGCAGACTGCAGACGCGCCGGACACTGGTCCAACCTACCTGCAGGTACACTTCGCAACTTGATCTCGTACGGTATGTTATGTATGCGGATGGATACTCGTCAGGTACACCCTTTCTTTGCCTTGGTGTCTTACCCCCCAACCCCCCAACCCCCCAAAAAGCAATAATGGTGTGAAGTCTCTCTCCAGGGTAATCTCGCTTGTCAAACATGGTCGCCACTGGACAATCCGAGCGTTCTTTCGTCTGAAACATTGGATTCGATTAGGGTCCTAATGGTCCAAGTCTAGAGGTGTGGAGGAGAGAGAGCACGAGAGTATCCGTACCTGGTGTACGGATACCACCACTCCGTAGAGAGGCGGAAAACAAAAAACCAACAACCGAGCCGCAACGCAACCGTCAAAGCCCGCATCGTTGGCGTCCGGCCGGAGCACGCGATGTCAGGTTAGAAGATGAAAGAAATAGAAACAACACATGTATCCGTACACCCCCCTCAATCCTCCACAATCCTCCGCCTTTGTGACGTTTAAAATGAAAAGTATTGATTGCCTCCCCCTTGCCGCACCTTCGCCGTCTGGCTCTCTTCTCGTAGTGTACATCTCTTTCTCCTTCACCTGCTTGCCATTGGTTCTGCTCAAATACTCTCGCACTTCCGCACTCCCCCACGGCATCCCCGTGCCCGCTCCTTGACCATCGCCGCTTACCTCCCCCTCCCCCTTCTCCCTCCCTTTAAAAAAGGCGACGGCTTCTTCTCATTTTCTCTTTCGGAGCTTTCGTGTCTGACCATTCTCGACCAGCGAACAATCTTGCGCCCGGAAGAAAAAAAAAAGGCAAAAACCATCGCCACCCCCCACAGTCCGACCGTTGTAAACCCGCAAAGATGGTCCAGAACGTCGTCATCTTGGGCTCTGGCTACGCCGGTCTCGGCATCGCCCACAAGCTGCTCAAGTACACCCAACCCAAGGTCAAGGACCTCAAGGTCACCATCGTCTCGCCCTCGACGCACCTGTACTGGAACTGCGCCGCCGTGCGCGCCATCATCCCCGGCGAGTTCTCCGACGACGTCCTCTTCAACGAGATCAAGCCCGGCTTCGAGAAGTATCCCGCCGACGCCTTCGAGTTCGTCCTCGGCAAGGCCATCGGCCTCGACCCCGCCGCCAACCTCGTCGAGATCGAGACCAACGAGGGCCCCAAGTCCATCTCTTACACCCAGCTCGTCATCGCCACGGGCTCCGGGCTCGCAAGCGGTCTCCCGTTCAAGAACATCGGCTCCCACGAGGAGACCGTCTCGGCCCTGCACAACCTCCAGGCCGAGGTCAAGGCCGCCAACTCCATCATCATCTCGGGCGCCGGTACCACGGGCGTCGAGACGGCCGGCGAGCTGGGCCACGCCTACGGCTCCTCGAAGCAAATCACCCTCATCGTCGAGGGCGAAGCGCCGCTCCCCGGCCTCCTGCCGCAGCTCGGGAAGATCGCCGCCAAGAGCCTGTCGGAGCTCAAGGTGAAGCTCATCACCAATGCCCGCGTCACCGAGGCCAACACCACCGAGCCCCTCAAGTCCGTCAAGCTGTCCAACGGCGAGACCCTGACGGCGGACGTCTACCTGCCCCTCTTCGGCGTCCGGCCCAACACCACCTTCGTCCCGGAGCACCTCCTCGACGACAAGGGCAGCATCAAGCTCAAGCACGACCTGCGCGTCGAGGGCCTCACCAACGTCTGGGGCGTCGGCGACGTCGGCAACCTCGAGGCCAAGCAGCTCATGCGCGCCGAGGGCCAGGCCCTGCACCTCGCCGACAACCTCGACGCCGTCCTCACCGGCAACGAAGCCAAGGTCAAGGACCTCAAGCTCACGCTGAAGCCCCAGGTCTTCGTCACCATCGGCAAGAAGAAGGCGACGGGCCAGTTCAACACCATGAAGCTCCCCGGCTTCATCGTCAGCGCCGCCAAGGCCAAGACCTTCTTCACCGAAAAGGGTCCCGGCTTGGTCGCGGGCAAGAACATTGCGAGGGCGTCCATCTAGAGAAGTCGCGACGACGAGGGACGGGTGGTCTTTTTTTTTTTTTTTTTTTGTCGAGGTGATTTGTGATGGGCTTGTTTTCAGCTTTTGATATCCCGGATTGCTTGCTTCTTTTCTAGCTTAAACAATAGGTGTGCGAGCACACGAAAGTTGTAATTAATGGTCCTATACCCTAATCAAACACTGGCGCGCTTTTTCTTTGTTTGTTTGCGGTCTCTGCCGCCTTTCAGTGATTGTAATCAGCGAATCCTCCCGAGGCCTGGCATTATCAATCATGTAACTATTTCCATTCATGTATGATTACCATTCTCTAATCAAACCTTGCGCCAGAACCTTGTGTCATAGGAAACGACGATACTTCAAGGGCTGAAAACTCTCAAAGTATCTTCAGTGTCGGTTTTTATCATCGGTTTAATACTTGATGTCTTCCTGTGTGGACAACTATGGGATCTCCCATTTTGGCCCTGTTTCAATCTTTGCTTTTGTGATGAACCGCAGCGTCTGGTCATTTGAGAGTAAAGTAGTTGTACTATTAAGAATTCATGTACGGAGGGTTACGGTGTTAGGTTAGGGTGTATGATAGCATTAGGGACAGGGTGAGGGACAGGATGAGGGACAGGATAAGTGACAAGATGAGGGACAAGATAAGAGACAGGATAAGAGACAGGGTGAGGGACAGGATGGGGGACAGGGTGAGGGACAGGATAAGGGATAGTGTCGTGATATAAGGCGTAATTGCGCGGTAGAAATTGCGGTTCTGCTTTTGTCATCACAGATAGCATGAGGGATAGGATGGACTCATAACACTAATTGGATTATAACACAACGATGATCCCATTCCCTCCTGTCAAACCGAGAACTTTTCCTCCACCCCAAAATCGGAGAATCCATGACCACCGGGTATTACATGCTAACGTACTTTCGTTCCTTCTTCTTGCCCATATTTGCGGAAGATGATGCACTGGGCGAGGAGGCTGTCGGGGCGCTTGACTTGGGAGGTCCCTGGAGAACCTGGGCGTTCGACAATCTCGTGCTCGCTTTTTCTTCCACCTGGCGAATGAAATCGCCGGGAAGAGTCGCAGAACTGTCAAGGCAATCGAAGCTCTTGGCGAGATAAACCCTCTTGAACTCTTGCCAAAGCTTTCCCTCGGTCGAGGACAAGTCTTGGGTTGGTCGAGGGAAGTAGGGGTCGTTCTCCCAGAAAGCACTCACGGCCTTTTCAACTCCAAGGGGAGTCGGGGCCATGTGTTTGCACTGGTTGAAGTCCAGTAGCCAAACGCTCACTGCACGGCGGAGAAAGTTCAGGTTGGGACATCCGTCCGGCGTTCTGTTCCAAGTAGTGATCCTCTTGCCCGCCAAATCGATGGAGCTAAGTTCGGCTGCGCTGATGCGACGCTCAGGCGAGCTTCCGAGAACGAACTCAACATCGTATGCGTCGCGTTGCGCGGACCAGTGCATGATAGCTAGGGCTTCCGCCATCGGTCGGACGAATTGGATCGGGTCGATGCCAAGATGGTCCATCTTGTCCAGTGTGAGTTCGAAGTTGCGCAGGGTGAATGTACCTTCAGTTCTCTGGTTGGCTCTTCTGACGCCAAGGTAGAGTCGCACAAGACAACTCTTGTTCAGAGGGTTGGAAGCAGCGTGTGCCTTCTGGTCCGGAGGACAGAAGACTTCCACTAAAGCTTGTCTGATGACTCTTGGAAGAGGCATGATACGCTCCATGACCAGAATGTCATCGGGCAGCGACTTAAAGCCTGTTTTGTTGTTGACCTCACGCCGGTGGGCGACCATCCAGTCCGCAATGTCTTTCGCGAGAACATAGTAGGACGGTCGTGGGACGCAGAATGAAGTGTTGTTCTTGGCTGCCTCCCATATCTTGACGTGGGCAACAAAATCATTCCACAACTCGGCGTCCTTCTTGGGTTTACCAGCCTTGATTGCCCGACCGCTGCTAGGAAGGTCGTAAACCATCGCGCAGAAGCCCTCGCCGATGATTTCGAGAGGAAAATCTTTGTCCGTCGCCTCCTGTTGACGAATGGCAAAGGAAGATTTGGTGCTGAGGATCGAGTTCACCGATAGGTAACGCTGCAGGGCGACGGTCGGATTGACGTTCTCCGAGACTTCGACAATGTTTAGGGACGTGACGAACTCCTCGGCCAAGGCAGCGTCCTCGGCCATGGAAGGTGTCATGGAAGTGCCTGACTCATTAGTACGATTGGCTTGTCGATGGCTCGCCATGTTGTTCTTTGGAGAAGGTTGCTGGTAGAAGAAGGGAATTTGTTGATAATCGGGGGCTTGGCTGATTAGAGAAGATGCGAAAAGAGAAGAGCAGGCTGGGGATGGAAAAGAGGTTTTCTTTTCCCTTGGTTGGTTGACGAAAACAGTAGGTATGGATGGGTGCGTCCCTGCCTTTTGTCAATGAAGTTGGAGAAATGCTGCTGCTTGGCTGGGTTATATACCAAGAAGGCAGGAAGGTAACGGAGAAAGGAAGGTACCGGAGAAAGGAAGGCAACAGAGAAAGGCTTCAGTCAGAGAAAGGAAGGTGACGGAGAAAAGCACAACTCACTCAGTCCAGTGTTTGATTGGATGATTATGTAGAAATACCAGGCAAGTGCAAACTTTGGTCCGAACTGTCGTCCGAACCAGAACAAACTTGGAGAATGCTCGAGTTGGTACTGTGAGAACCCTTTTGGACTCTTCCTCTCTAGGCACCTGACAAGAAGAGAAGCCTGTTCCCTGGTCAGATGGTTGCGTTAGGCGCTCCTGGCTTGATGATGCTGAGAAACTCCATAGCCTAAGTGTTGGGACCAGAACAATTCGATATTTTCAACATCAAGGTACATACCATCATAACATCCTGTGACGTAAAGATTCCAATGGCAGCGTGGCGCAATAACACTAGGCATCAGGCTAGAGTCACAGTTCAACAACAGGTCACCATACCACCACAGTCCTCAGTGATTATTCTAACCGCCCATTCCATACGTAACACTCGACAGGACCTACTATTTAAGCCCACTAACTTGTCAGTCGCCACACACGCACTATTCGCAGACGCAAGCCTGGAACACATTACAGTCTACAACTACATAGACAAGCGACAGACTATCCAGCGAGGCACTGACTTTTTCTTCCGTAGGCTCCGGTTGGTTGGTGGCCCGGGATCCTTTTTACTTGGTTGTGCTACCAATTGTCAAGGTATGGTGGTGTGTATGTAGTTGATTGTCTATCTCTGTTGCTAGTATGGAGTAGTGGCTGCTTTTCTGTAGCTTATGGGCTTAAGTAACACTAAGCGTGCAAGTGCCGTAACAGTAGAAGATTTTTCCTCAGGTCTACCAAACGCAGTATGATCTCTTGCTCCTCAGCCGTGCCCCAACACCATATGACAAACGGTACGGCCAGCCATTGACGAAGATAATATAGACAAGTAAGGTATTGAATCATGATATACCCATGACACCAAGCAACCTTGAACATCAGGAAGTCCGGATCTGGACCAAGACGGGGACATGGAGAATGACCGTCGGCAACTCTTGGATAAAAGCAAGAGCGTTAATAGAACGTTGTTTACTACGAGCCAGGATATTGAATTGGGAAACCGAGATGCGGTAGGACCAAAGCAATTGCTAATACGGTTGTTCTGGTGCAGGATCAGACACAGAATGGCGTTGGGAAGGGACGACACCGGAGAAGAGAGATGTAAGTGCCTACCTACCTAAGGTATCCGTACCTACCTAGAGAGACATCGTGAGTGGGTACGTACCCGCCCACCAGCCCCGGAACCTTGACGGCATCTTATCATCACGTGAGCTACATAGTACTTTGGTAATCGCGGCCCTATCGTTGGTCCGTAAGCTAACCACCACCACCCACATCGCCTAATTCACCGCCCCGCCCCCGCCCCTAGCGGGGCTGAGCTGAGCTGACAGCTCATCGCGACACACACAGACGCCGACGGCAGCTCGAACCTAAATCAACCTTGGTCGAAATCAGGGGAACCAGTCCACTTACACTATCATCACTATCCCATCATCGCTACTACTTGATTTGCCCCAACTGCATTTGTACATACTTCCGAACCGCCTTCTTCCTCCTTCTCCTCCTCTTCATACCCGCTCCCCCCCCCCCCCCCCCCACCCCTCTCCCCTTTGCCGGTATGCCTAAGAATACACCGGCTCCAGATGAGCCCGTCGTCACCTTCAGTTCGGGCTCCCAAGAACCGGTTGCTCTGCGTCTTCTCCACCTGAATGATGTCTACCATCTGGAACCCTCCAGTGCTGAGCCGGTAGGCGGTGTTGCACGCTTCGTCACCGCCGTCAACGAGTACCGTAGCCATGACCGCTTCCAGGGACAGCCCGAGCTAGTAACTCTATTCTCAGGCGATGTCTTTAACCCCAGTCTTGAAAGCTCCGTCACAAAAGGTATCACCTCACATGCCAACATGCACTGATTCGCCAGCATCATGACACTGACGCCCATTAGGCGAGCACATGGTTCCCGTTCTGAACAAGATCGGCGTTGACTGCACGTGCGTCGGTGTAAGTTGAGCCGCTACGAATCATGTCTCCTTGCCGCCATCTTTTAGCCTGACGCGTCCATGCTAGAATCATGACTTTGACTTTGGCGTCAAGCAGTTTGAAAGTCTGACCGCAAAATGCAACTTTCCCTGGCTGCTTGCTAACGTCCTGGACCCGGCTCTCGGGGAAAACGTGCCACTCGGAAATGCGAAGCATACACACATGCTCACAACATCCAATGGCATCAAGATCGGCCTCGTCGGCCTGGGCGAGAGGGAGTGGCTGGAGACCATCAACAGCTTGCCGCCCAACATCATCTACAAATCCGCCAGCGAGACCGCCAAGGAGCTCGTCCCACAACTTCGCGCCCAGGGAGCCGACATCGTCATCTGCCTCAGCCATCAGCGTGAGCCGAACGACAACAAGCTCGCCGAGAAGACGGACGGCCTCTTTGACATCATTCTCGGTGGCCATGACCACTATTACGGCCACAGTTTCATCAACGGCACCCACGTGCTGCGGTCCGGCTCCGACTTCAAGCAGCTGAGCTACATCGAGGTCCGGAAGAAGCCCGACAGCTCCGGCAAGTGGGACTTTGACATCTTGCGACGCGACATCGTCTCGTCCATTGCCGAGGACCAGGAGACGCTGAAGCTGACGGAGGATCTGACCTCGAAACTGAAGCAGAGCCTGGCCAAGTCTGTCGGCTGGACCGCATCCCCCTTGGATGCGCGCTTCACGACCGTCAGAATGAAGGAGAGCAACATGGGCAACTTTGTCTGCGATGTCATGAGACACTACCACAACGCAGACTGCGCCCTGATGGCTGCCGGAACAATCCGTGGTGACCAGATCTACCCGCCGGGTGCGATCAGGGTTAGAGACATCACCAACTGCTTCCCCTTTGAGGACCCCGTCATATTCATTCGGGTGACTGGCAAGCAGCTGTGGGATGCTTTGGAGAACGGTGTCTCCCAGTATCCTGCCCAAGAAGGTTAGTAAGTCGGCAAGGCCAAGCCATAACCCACTTGCTGACAGGACAGGCCGCTTCCCTCAAGTATCCAACATCGAATACACTTTCGATCCCAGCAAGCCGCCTAGCTCGCGCATCGTATCGGCCAGCGTTGGAGGCGAGCCCATGGATTTCGAAAGGAAATACACTCTCGCAACCCGAGGCTACATGGGCCGAGGAAAGGGTACGACTCGAGACCACGCGCATTCTGCAACATTTGCTGACAATCATAGACGGTTACACCAGTCTTCTGGTCGAACCGGAAGGCGGCACCGCCGAGGAGATCGTCTGCGAAGAGAACGGCATTCTCATCTCCGCCATGCTGCGGCAGTACTTCATGAGTCTCAAGACCGTCGGCCGATGGAAGAACCTCAGCGAAAACTGGCTCGACGTCGCTGAGAAGTGCCACAGCCCCGTCGAACCCCGAAAGATGTGGGAGACGCCTGCCGCGACGGGCACCTCGGACCCCCAGCCCGAGACCACGTCCAGGTCGTGGGCCGAATGGATGATCAAGCGTCATATGCTGAACACCAAACCCCCAAAAGACGACGAGTCCGACGATTCCGACGAAGAGGTGGACACGGTTGCGCAGATCGACACCGAGATACTCATTATGCGTAAGTTCTTTGCCAGGTGGGCCAACAAGGCCGGCGTCAAGGCCGAGGTGTGTGATTCCCTGCGGGAGGGCGAGTTCTCCGTGGACTGGACCCGGGTCATTGCACCTGTTCTAGAGGGCCGCATCAAAATGATCAGTTAGATAGACGCACATAAAAGCATATATACTAGAGTCATGTCATTGGAGCAGCGTCCTCACCAACGAGCCCGGAAAATCATATGGCACCCTCCGTGAGCACACGTCAAACACCCGTCCGCGAAGCGCAAAAAAAGCAACCAATCAAGACCAGCCGCATCCGAGTTTTCTCCAATCAAAAACAACAGTTCTGTCGAATCGGGATAAAAGAAGAGTTTGCACAAACCTTATCAAACTTGCATTTTTTGCGTCGGCATGGCGATGATATATTTCCATGCGTTGGTTTATACCCATATCCATAGGTAGTTCTTCCGTATAGTCAGTCACCAGCAGTGGCCTTGGGCGTTATGAAAATATTCAAGATCCAGTCGTGTCCTGCGATGAAGGTCGTGGTTTCTAAGCACATGTTCTTGTATACTATTAATTTCCATGAGGCTTGAATCGTATATTTAGCCGAAAGTGACACTCCCCCACGGAAGCTGAACGGCGTCACATCAACGTTGGGCCGGGCGTGCAAAGGTTTGACTTTGAAGATCGATTTGCCCCGACTTTCGATCTAACCAATCTTACTGGGGATAAGCATAAGTCAATGCGACATTTGGGAGGAAACGTTCCCGGGGTCCCACGGGTCCATGGCACCAACTACAAGACAACAGTCGATCAGAGAGCCGAAGTTCTCTATGCCACCAGTGGCAAGGGCGTAGCTATCGTCGTCAACAACACTGGCCCTGGATCTATTCCAGAGGACAGTGAGAAGAAAATTCTAGAAAAATCGATGATTATAGGGGCGTTGCTGTTGTCTCGAAGTTGCATTATTATCAGGCCTTGAACGACTTTCCTGACGAATGAAAGGTGAGTCTACGACCCGTCATCGACCGAGTCTTCCCCTTCCCGGGCTCAAAGGCGGCTTTTGAGTACTTGAGTTCCGGGAAACACGTTGGCAAAGTTCTCATTAAAGTGCAATGTTGCTTGTGTTTAAGAAGACGGTACAATGCTTCCTGTTTGATGCAGTCACCTCTTGTTGCGACGACGGGCATCGCCAGCTATGGCCGATAAGGAGCTCGTCTCCGATACGTATACTTGAGGACAACCTCAGTTTCCCGAACTAATAGTCACCCTCTGCCCCTGGGTCATTACCCAGGTGACACATTCACTTTTCTGGTCTGAATCAAGCTCCTGAGCCGCGGAGAATGGGTCATAGTTGCGCTGCCAAAGTACTCTTAATAGTACGGATAAGATAATGTGAGTTCTTAGTGGGGCGTCGCAGCAACCTGAAGACTATGCATCCCTTACGTTGCTTCTGAGTGCTGGCTGGAAGCGTCTCCCGAGATGTCATCTTCTCTGTCTTACCTGTCCTAAGACATGTGTGTCTTTCTACGTGTCAGTTTTCCAAGTGTGCTTTTCTGAAGATTGACAGGTGACAACATTCTGTAAACACTGTACCCGTATGATCTTCAGGGGAGAGTGAAATGTTCCGGAATACCTGTACCCATGTGCATTCAACACTAGGGTCGGTAATGTCTGGGCAGGCGACTCACAACTGGTATATATGATAAATGAGCGGCTTTGAGCCCCAGGCGGCTCAATCACGGAGTACCCACCCACCGTGATCACGGTAATTTGGTGGTCCAAGCTTGTGGGAATGCATTCCCGGTCCTGGTAGTGCGTGCAGTAACGGTGTGGGCGAGCTAGCTGGGGGCGGGGAGCACCACGGTCCATCCCATTGAACCGCCCTATGTTAGTACAAACCCTCTTTTTCCTCCATCCTGGACGAGTAAACTTAGTGGCTGACCATTCGAGACTCGATGTTGATGGCGTTCATGATTGAAACCGCGAGATAAGTAAGGTTGACTGGCTCATCGTCAGCCTGAGATCCACAACCAAGTAGGTTTCAAGGCGAAGAAGGATAATAAAAGCCACAAAGAGCATCATGCACTACCGGTCTTGTGTCCTCGCTGTCATCTGGGCAGCGGCAGCACTCGCAGCCCTCAATGAAACATGTTACGGTTCCGAGGGAAGACCTGGTTGGAGCTTTCCATCCCAAATCTGCTGGTCTTTTACTGATATTGCGAACGGGTGTCTGCATAACCATGAGCACTTGCTCCTCGAACGGTGGCACGACTATTGACGGCGCATACCCCGCCGATGCATACAATGCCAAGTACTGCCCCAAATTACCTTGTAGCAGTGGCGGCAACTGTCGCTGGTCAAGCGATTGCGCCGGCACAGTTGCTTCGGAGCACTGTCCGGGTCCGAGTGGGTTCAAGTGCCGATCTTCGTCAGCCAGCGGCTCCGGCGGCTACGACGTTCCTTTAATCCCACCCGTCGGTACTCGCGCGGCCCTTCCCCGGTAGGGTCCGAGTGTAAGTACCATGTACAGCATCATTAACTTACAGGTTTCGGGCTGGCTGAAAATACAGGGACCGACTATCTCTGGCAAAGAGACAGCGGAATGTATTAAGTAAAAGAGGAACGAGTCTAATATGAAAAATATTAGCTGGGGCCCGGATCTGATACCCCTAAGACTCCGTGAAGTCTTGGTTGAGCTGGCGTACAATGGAAGATCGAGGCGACCTCACATGTAGGATAGGGGTCAAAGTGAGGTTTACTTCGGCAGCATGTTGGTAGCAATCAGGCTTTGCTTCCGATTGGTAGTTCAATATAACTACCCCTATTTTATAAACCCTAAGAATGTTGCCATTGACCCGGACCTCTACTGTCACAACGAATGAGACAGATCTACTTCAGGGGCATAAGAGGCTGACTTAAGCCGGAAAGCAACGTTTGATACCCCGCCCAATCATGTATTCCGGAATAGCGTTGAAAAAGCCGTGCCTTGCCCAAGTTGCCCTTGTTGGTTTGCCAGAAAATTGTAGTACGTGTGTAGATACTTAGGCACCCGGAAGAGCACCAGAAACTAGGTTCGAGGTGTCAGGCGCCGGGGGGGGGGGGGTGATTTATCATCCGAAGGACACGTAAAAGGGGAGTTTTTAGTCATTCTAGGATGGAAGAAAGGTAGATATGAATAATCGGCACAATTGACCCTAGCTACGCTATTAGTTGGCTCCTTTACTCGGTGCGATCCTAGCCTCTAACGTGAGGCTTGTGAGGCAATCTCTAATCAACTACAATCATGTATGTACCTCTTTTTCGTACACTACTTCAATTGCCGAAATGAACGCCCAGTGATAAGATCGATGATAGTGTCCGCAATCCGACATCGCGCATATGGGAAACACCCCACTCTCGCAATGCCGAACCCAGGTAACTGGAATCTAGTCCTTGACGTTTGTTCAAACTGCGGTTCTTCTTCTCCTTTGGAACTCATCTTCGTCAAAGAGTGGAGAGGGAGGTACTCAAAGTGGACAGACAGGCATAGTATGGCCCATGTAACCTGTGGAGGTAGGAGCAAGGATCATTGTATTAGGATTAGCAAAGGATTTGGTAACCTCCTGTAATAAAAGTTTTGAACATGGGTCAACAGAGAACCGTTTCTAGTATACTATGTACTCCGTACATCTTTGATCTTCACAACACAGTAGTGGACTAGACCGGGATATACCGGATTTATCTTACGAACTTGCAGTGATCGTTGGTATACCTACCGTTTCCGTAGGCCGGCATTTCGGCAGAACACCTCCAACTTATGGCTGGAGAGATGTTTACGAGGCTCACCGAGTCATCTTGCCCTAACAGAAGCAGAAAGAAATCCTTGTTTTTGGGCTTGGCAGAAATATCCGCATCCGAGGTCCATGGAAGACAACGGCAATGTAGTTTATCAGGCCATTGTAGATCATCCCAATAAAGAACCAGTTGGGGAACACGTAGAATCTGACCAAATAAATTTACGAATGTTGTCAATCATCATGAAGGGTCCCAGTAAATTCGCATTTCTCCTTGTGAACCCCATTCGACGTGCTACTACGTGCAGCAGGGATTGCGGAACATTCCATTCTAGTCTGCAGATTTCACTTTGTCTTCTTTGCTTTTAGTTTACGGGTTATCTATGTTTAGGGAGACTTATAATAGCTAGGGATCCTCCAACCAGTTTCCCCCCCCCCAAACTCGTCTACCATACTTCATCGCCTCGACTTTCTTCTAGGAACAGCCGCGGCAGAGGTGTCTCATCACATCATGAGGTTCTCAAGATACGCACTGACGGCAATGGCCGTGCTCTCGGGTGTCATGTCGGCTGCAGACCAAGCCCCTGCGGCAGCCCAATCGCCAGCACAGGTTGCCATGCAGATGTTTCCGAAATGTGCAGTAAGTATACCCCAGTTTGGGTTTTCCTTCGTGCTGTGCTAATCCTCATGTCTCCAGCTGTTTTGCCTCGCAAAAATCATCCCAAAGTCGGCTTGTTCACAAACAGACGTACCCTGTTTGTGTACCAACGTGCCACTCAACACGCAGTTAGCAGGATGTATCATGCAGTCGTGCACTACATACGAGGGACTGAGTAAGTACAGCTGCAGACGATCTGATATCCTCAATAGGCTAATAGATCATGTATAGTGTCAAAAAACGCGTCAATGACGATGTGTGGTGCACCGGTTCGCAATGAGACTGCCAAGCCTCTTCTGATCGGAGTGATCGGGGGAGCCATCACATTCTTTATTTTCGGGCTCCGGATGTGCGCTGGTCTACCTGTTGGTGGTAGGCCCTGGGGGTGGGATGACTTCACAATTGTCATCGCCATGGCACTCGCCATACCTCCCACCGTATTTGCTGTAACCCGTGAGATAATTACCTGATCCGATCTGTGCTTTTCAGCATCTAACAAAAATGCAGTGTCAAACAACGGACTCGGCAAAGACATGTGGACTCTACCCCAGCAGCAGATTGAGAACGTCCTTTACGTAAGGCTGCCGCATAGACTTGAGCTTTGTGCGCCGCTAATACCTTGCAGTACTATTACTTGGGAGAGCTATTCTATTTTGCGGCACTGACTGCAACCAAGTTGAGCATTCTTTTCTTTATACTTCGTGTTTTCGGGATGGACCAGAAATTCCGGCCGTTCGTTTACGGAGCAATGGCTCTCTGCCTTGCATACGGAATCGCCTTCATTACCTGCACGGCACTGCAGTGTTCGCCTATCAGCTACTCCTGGGAGCAAATCGACAGTAAAAAAGTCGGAAAATGCAACGACATTCATCTCCAAGGGTGGATGTCAGCTATCTGCAACATCGTCATCGACATCATCATCTTGGTTCTTCCCCTAAAGAAGCTAGCTGGGCTTCAGATGAAGCTCAAGAAGAAGCTCATGATTATGTTCATGTTCTCTCTGGGAATCTTGTAAGGTTCACCTTGACAAGACGTCAAACCCCCTCTTCCCCATGTCCGCTAACCGAGTATCTCAGTGTAACCATTGTCAGTGTAATTCGTCTCAGGTCCCTCATCCTCTTTGCCAACTCGCAGAACATCACTTGGGACTATACCGAGGCAGCCTGGTGGAGCACCGTCGAAATTGATGTCGGTATCATCTGCGCTTGTCTACCTTCGCTGCGCTCTCTTTTCATTGCATTGGGCGTAAAGAAACTTGGCTCGACCAATGGCAACTCACATGGTCACTCGAGTGGTAAAAGGTTAGCTGGAATAAAACCCGGGACGAACAAGAGCGGAATGAGCTCTACGGCGGAGAAGTCGGCCAAAAGCGCCCCACGGCAAGGCGATGAAAGAGACTTCATCCCACTGGTCGACGTGGACAATAGCAAGTCGGACTTCGGCGAATCGCTTCACAATGTTCACAGTACCGTGTCAGCCTCATCGTTGACTGCCGGTGCAGGGAAGAATACCCAGTTATAGAGGCGGATCGTGACCATGAAATAATTCGGTTTGACATGCGACCAGGGGGTGTCAATCTTTGAAAAGTACCGTTGCTTTAGGACTTAATAACTATTAAGTTTCACATAGTATTACGTCACAATAGCTTCGCTCAGCACCTGTTAGCTGGATTGCTATATGCTATAATATCGCGTGGCGTTTGACTTATTACTTACATCACTTACCTGTATATATAGAATCTTTTCTTTACATCTCTGTTATTATAAGAGTCAGCTTTTCTTAATTATATTCTTATATGCCCTGCTATATGCTCTAACTTATGACATATTAATTAACTAATATTTTTTCTTACTCCCTATACATACCGCTTTCACTTTACACTATTAAGATTAAATATAACTAAGGTCTTAAAGTATATCTAGAGCTGTCTGTAATAGTAGTCGTATAGCTCCTGCGTCATAAATCTTGTTATTTAGGCCATACTCTTGCAATAAGACAACCAACTGCCTATAGGTTTATTCTAGAGTACGCAAAGCTAACCGCACTAGGCCACACCGTCTGCGCTAAGCTTCTTATACTTATACATCCGCCCAGTCGTAGGACGGCCACAATGTTATTACAAGCCAAGGATATATGAAGGTCTTATCTCCAAGGTGGGCCGCTCGATGCCTCAGCTCTAACTGGAACAAAGGCTTCAATAATCAAAAAGACCTATTTCCTAGTCTGTCTACTTACTAATTAACTAATAAGCCTTCTGAAGATACCGCGCTTCGGAAAGCAGATGCACCATTATGATAGTCAGGGTCAAGTTTTGCAATCCTAGACTGCCCCGCTTAGCATGGCCGGACAGGCTAGGCGCAATCCCTGAAGAGCCACCCAGAAACTTGGTAAACCCCTCCCAAAAAGCGGTGTTCCTCGTCTAGCTACCCCTCCATCCAAAAAAGCAGTGGTAAGAGACCGATTTAGACATCACCGTCGTGGAGGTGGTGAGAGTGTGAGGATGAGATTAGTCGTGTTGTTACAAAATCATGGCAATAAGCCTGCATTGTGATATAGGAAGGCACAATACAGTGGGAGTTTTGAATGCCAGAATTTTTAAACGCTATCTACTGGGTAGCTACTGTTTCGTGGCCATCCATGCCTCCATACTAAATCTCCCGACATGGGTATCTTATTCCACTCTATACGGCAAACTAGGGAGTCTCTCCCCGAAACCAATTTCCATCAAGAACCTACCTCCCTTCATCTTCAATATCAAGCAAGCCGGTCTTCTCGATTCTCAATTCGCCGTTAGTGAGCCAGGGTTAGTATTGAGGGTTTGTCTTACGTAATATACCATTGATCGCCAGAGGATCTATCTGTATGTTGAAGATGGCCAGCCAGCCTCGGCTTCTGGATATTGCCGCGTATATGGAAGCGTGTCGCCGGTTGTCGATCACTACCAAATGTGCCGGATACAACAGCATGTAGGGGGCCGGGTAACCAAGCATGTCTGTCAACACTGTTTGTGCCTGGCCTGCCTTTTCTTCAGAAAGTGTTACTTCTCAGGCAGGGCACTAGTAGTTGCCAAAAACTATACTGTCCCCAACTTTGCCCAAACACCGCTACAGAGAAGAATGTTTCTTACTTTGGGGCTGGGCTCCAAAAGGACTCCCAATCCAGTAGCGACATCAGTCGGAAAGAGGTGAGATAGGTTATCAGGGGAAATCTTTGAAGTTTTTCATAGTGGCTGGTCACCTGTGATGGCACGCACGATGTGCGTCTGGCGATTTGAAAGGCGAGTCGTTATTTTCTGGGCGGGGCAAATACACAGCGGCTAGAGTATGGAGGGAGACGGCTGGATTCCAAGTATCTCGAGCCGTGCCAACCCAACTGAACCTTCTTCTAACTTTCGGAAGTATTGCCTTCTTGGGAAAAGAATGCAGACGCAGCTTGAGAACCCAAAGAACTCATCATTCCTCTTTAGGCAAGCAATTCTAGAAAGTGGATGTTTTACACTCGGACTACGGAGTGATTATGACGAAGTTCTTCCCCGGCACGGGTTCTAGTGAATATCTCCTTTCGGCCTGCAGATCGCTGGCACTCGGGTGGGGGGGAGAAAAAGAAGAAAAAGAAAAAGAAAAAAAAAAGCCCGGTCACTCCCACACCCACTACGGTAATTTAGAACGGCCATTATCTTTTACAGCCGAGTGCCAGCGAGCCGCTTCTGAAAGCTGTTGTGACAATTCTCTAAGGTGTTTAACAAGTTCCTGCCTCTGGACTTTGATACCATTCAAGTAGAACATCCCCCATTTTCCCCAATGCCCCTCCTGAGAAAGGCCCATGATAATGATATGAAGCTCTGGTAAGATTTTTTCCTAGAATCACCGGGGTTTTCTTCTTTTTCTTCAACCCTTCTAACTTCTTCTTGCCCTCAGTCCCTTCTAGCCAGGTCAAGATTGCTTGTCTGACCCGCAATGCGGTGGAGACAGTCCTTGGTGGACGGGACTGCGTAGGTACTGAAGTACGATGTACACTCCACCGCGTTCCGTCCCATGGCCATGGTTCTTCCACCTTGCCATCGACGGATCTGTCATATCTCATCATGTCAGTCTAGCATGATACCCCCGCATGGTACTCTAGACAGGTTGCTTAATAGTTAAGACTCCTGGTACATAATAGTGGACTAGGGTCGTTGCACACCTCAATTTCCTCAACTCCAGCTGCTACCCACAACCCGCACTGATTGTGGGCGCTGATGAATACGACGAAGACAAGCCTTGCTGATCGACAAGACAAACTGGGAAATCCTCATGATTATCGCCCCTTGTTAGCCCCGACTGTTCGAATGATATCCACCTGGTGTCCTGGGATCTACAAACGCTGCGATGGCAGTCGCCTCTACCTTTGGCTGCTTGATGTATTTCAGCGAAGCCATTTAACTAGCACGCCACTTTGCGATTCGCTTCGATATCTCATCACCTATCCAGCGTTTCCCGCTGTGCCACTCCTTTATCCAAAATAACACCACTTCATCCTGTGTGTGTCTAGTCGTTCTCTCAGTTTTCAGAAGAAAGATTCAGTTGCCAATCATTAGCGTTGCCGTCTGCTTCGATCGCCCACATTCGCTCACACACTGGCTTACTTCACTTGTTGGAACTCATCCATCAAGCTTAATTCATAATGAAGCTTCTAAACTCTGTCGCTATTCTAGCGACGAGCGCATCTGCGTAAGTAAATTAGAGCACGTTACCAGAATTGCCAGCCAACTAGTTTCCAGGTTCACCAGCTGGAGGGCGCCAGTCGTTCCTCAACAGCCATCCGCCGAGTTGCCCCCTAACGGCTACACTTATTCTTCTTCTGGCCCGAAAGCCAACTCTACCTACGAGTACATTGTCGTAGGAAGCGGTCCTGGAGGAGCGCCGCTTGCTGCTCGCTTGGCTTTGGCCGGCCACAGTGTGCTGCTTATCGATGCCGGTCAGTCGCGAGCCATGGTTCTAGCTCATGAACCCCACTAACAAACATCAGGCGAGGACCACGGAGCCGATCCAGTCGTTCAGGTCCCAGCTGTGCATCCCTTCAGCAGTGACCATGTCCCCATTGCGTGGAGTTTCTTTGTCGACCACTATGCGAACGACACCCAGGCGCGCCGGGACACTAAGATGACCTACTTGACGCCAGAGGGTGACTATTATGTCGGACTTGACCCCCCGGCAGGCTCCGTCAAGAAGGGCATTCTATACCCGCGTACCGGCGCCCTGGGAGGCTGCTCTCAGCATAATGCCTTGGTGACTATCAAGCCTACCAGAAAGGACTGGAGCTACATCGCCTCCATCACTGGCGACGACTCCTGGGCTCCGGATGTGATGGACAGGTACTTCGAAAAGCTCGAGGCTGCCCGTTACCTGCCCAGCAGCGTTGTCGGTCACGGTCTCAACGGGTGGCTGCAGACCCGTGTCACTCCGGTGACGCTGATCGCCGAGGATCTCAAGGTCGCTTCTTTGGTCGTTGCTGCTGCCACTTCCATGGGTAAATCACTGGTTGGAAAGCTTTTGGGCACTGTAACTGGCCTGCTGGAGGTAAGTTTGCTAACAGCACAATAAGTGGACTCTCACTCACATTCTCAGATCCTGACTCTGGACATCAACAACCCTTCGCCCGAGCGAGACAACGCCGAGCTCATCTACCAGATTCCTCTTTCCATGGACGAGAACTACTCACGAAGCTCCCCTCGTGGATTTGTACTCGATGTTGCCCGCGCCACTAACAAGGACGGATCGAAGAAGTACAAGCTTGACATCGCTCTGAACACCCTCGTCACCAAGGTCAACTTTGACACCACCGGCTCCAAGCCCAAAGCTACTGGCGTTGACTATCTGGTCGGAAAGAGCTTGTACCGCGCTGACCCCCGCGCAACAAACGACGACAACGGAATTCCCGGTACCGTTTTTGCCAGCCGTGAGGTCATCGTGTCCGGTGGTGCCTTCAACACGCCGCAGATCCTGAAGCTGAGCGGCGTCGGCCCCGCTGAGGAGCTGAAGTCATTTGGCATCCCCGTGGTGAAGGATCTCCCTGGTGTTGGCGGTAACATGCAGGACCGTTATGAGGTCGGTATTGTCGGCAAGGCCCCGACAGAGTTCGCCCTTCTCAAGAAGTGCAAGTTCCTGAACGGCACTGACCCCTGCTATAACGACTGGAAGAACAACATTGGAGGACCCCTCAAGGGCAGTTACACTACCAACGGTATCGCTTTCGGCTACATCAAGCACTCTTCCGTGGCTGAAGACGAGCCTGATCTGTTCCTCGGTGGCGTTCCTGCGTACTTCAACGGCTACTTCCCCAGCTACTCCCTTCACGCCACGCAAGATCTGAGTATCTGGACCTGGTTGACTCTCAAGGCCCGCTCTCGCAACAATGCTGGGACCGTGAACCTCACCAGTGCCAACCCCCGCGACACCCCCAAGATCACCTTCCACAGTCTTGGCGAGGGTATAGGTGGAGACAAGGATCTTCAGGCCGTTTACGAGGGCATGAAGTACGGCATTCAGGCTTTCAAGAACCTCATTCCCCTCGATGGCAGCTTCGAACGGATCTGGCCGCCTGCCGAGATGACTTCGGAGGAGGACCTGAAGCAGTTCGCCCGCGATGAGGCATGGGGTCACCACGCCTCCTGCACCGCTCCTATCGGCGCCGATGACGACCCGATGGCCGTGTTGGACTCCAAGTTCCGTGTCAGAGGCGTTGACGGCCTTCGTGTTGTGGACGCATCCATCTTCCCCAAGATTCCCGGAATGTACATCGTCGCTGCCATCTACCAAGCAAGCGAGAAGGCTGCTGATGTTATCATCGAGGCTGCGAAAACGAGTGCATAATTAAATTGCCGGGCAAGTCAAGTCAAAGTAGTAGCACGAGCCATACCTAAGCCAAAAAGCCTGCTTCAGATGTAGTACCATTCTAATCAGATCCTGTATTATAAAATCCTTCAGAATATAATTCATACTTCTCAATCATATTCTGATGAGAAGAAATGTACCTAAACAATGCTGCCAGACGTTTCTGGAAGTCGGCTGTCTTTGCATCTGCCTCTGGAACAGCCGGACGAGGCACATCCAGATAACGTGCAACGAAGCTAACTGCGCGAGTTCGCACTTGAACACAGCGCCTGGTGAAACAATAGTATAAACGAACAGCAACTAATTAACGGCCGTGAATCTCCAGTCCGAGGGTGGCATATTTCCAACAAGAAGCCAGGTGAGTGCTTTTTAGCTTTCACTAACGGTCCTAAAGCAGTAATAAATCTTCCAGCAATAGCACAGATCTCATTAAGGTTTACATGACACGTGACCCCTAGCTGGATACCTCGCAAGAGATATTGCAAGGGGGCTCCTCCGTGCGGCCCATGCCTACCCATGCTTGCCCACGCCGTTACATCCGCTTGAAAATGGCCCCACGAGCAAAGTGCTCGGAGAGGGGTAAGAAAAATAAATACGGACAGAGAAGAGTCGGTGTGTGCGTGGCCTTTGATACGATGATCCAAGCTCTCACACCAGCGCACTCACAATAGCCCCAAACATGTCTGAGACCGAGAACATGGCGAGTACTTCTCCGGCAGCTGTGGCTTCTGAAGCCGTTGCTGCTCCAGACTCAACCGTCACTACTGGTGGTTCCACCACAGAAAACGTCGATGGTGACCTCATTACCGCCGAGGAGGTAGGGTTTTGTGAACAGGAATCGTTGTCCACCTTCATGCTAACGGCCAGCAAAGTTCATATTAGACGATAATATCTCGCTTGCTGAGGTGAGTGATACTCTGTTGTAATCTCTTCCGATATAGATATTCACCCGCCGGCCTGTAGTCAGATACTGCGTTGTCGAGCACAAGCGTGACGAGCTCGGTCTACGATTACCGAGTGGAAAACGGACGGACTTATCACAAGTACAAGGACGGCAGTAAGATCATGCATTCCGTCGTCTCTATTGTGACGTCGATTTCTCACCGACTGCACTAGAATACTATATTCCCAATGATGAGAGAGAAAATGACAGACTTGATATGAGTTCTCCCAAGCTTGCCCAACAGGCCCAGGGCGCTGATGCGTGACAGACCTGCAACACAACATGGTGATTCGATCTTGCGGCGGTCAACTAGGAACTGCTCCACCGAACGCGCCTGGCGCAAAGGTCGGGCGGGTACTCGATCTTGGGACGGGCTCTGGTATTTGGGCCATTGACTTCGGGGACGAGCATCCCGAGGCTGATGTAAGAGACACCAGTTTGATTCCTCTAAAAACCCGCATTGTAGATTTGGTCCCTCATACTTACCATATGCGCTTAGGTACTGGGCATTGATTTGTCGCCAAGCCAGCCTGAGTTGTAGGAACCTTCCGCAATAGATGGTCAGACTTGAAGAGAGACTGACAAACACTTAGCGTGCCTCCTAACGTCCGGTTTGAAATCGACGACGTCGAAGAGTCCTGGACATTCTCGGTCCCCTTTGACTATATCCACAGCAGAGGAATGACCTCGAGCATTGGTAACTGGGATAAATACCTCCAACAAGCCTATGAGTTAGTACCCATTCGTTGCTTTTGTGCATCATAGATCTCTCACACCTTACCCTTCAGCCATCTCAGCCCTGGTGGGTACGTCGAGCTCATTGAGATGAACCCCAAACCCCTCTGCGACGACGACACTCTCCCGGAGGGCTCACCTCTTGTCAAAAGCGTTCAAATGCTGGAGGAGGCAGCAACCATCTTTGGCCGACCCTTTGTGGACATCCATAGTCTCAAGGAAAAGATGATACAGATCGGGTTCGAAGACGTCCACATGCAGCGCTTCAAATGGCCTACGAATGGGTGGCCTAAAGACAGACACTACAAGGAACTCGGCATCTGGAACTATGAGAACTTTGCAATGAACTGGGAAGCATTCGTGATGGCCCCCTTGACCAGAGCCCTCGGTTGGTCAAAGGAAGAGGTGCTCATACACGTTATGGAAGTTCGCAAGGATCTCGGGAACCGAAACATCCATGCGTACTTTTCTCTGTAAGTGAAAAACTCGTACTTGCCCACGTTGAGCCACCTTTGCTAACGAACGTTAGCTGGTCTATCTGGGGTAGAAAGCCCATGAAAGCTCCCGCGTCATCAGCAACCTGAAAGCCCCCCCAAAGGGCCAGGTTTGGAACTGGCAAGAATGGGATCAAATTGGGCAAAGCGAGAATATGAAGAAGATAGGGTCAGTATTGGTTTACTTGACTGTCCCGATTAACCTTAGACCAAGAAGTACGCTGCAGTTTGAATCAGACGAGAAGGATTGCACTGTTTATCCCTTTTCGAGTAGTACCCTCCAAAGGTATCCTCCTGGCCTTTTACCGCCCGTAGAACGGCTTCTATGGTGGCCAAACTGTCCTTCTTGGGTCACAATACCTCAAATACCAACCCACACGTCTTCTTATTTTGAATCGCTGCGTAGATGACCCTTGCGATATCAGCTGCAAGAATGATGCCGGCACGGATCCTTTTATTGGTATCACAGAAGACCTAGGTTAGTGGAGGGAGTGACGAATAGTTGGGCTACCGGGGATATTCTCAGTTATGCATGAAGAAAATTAAGCTTCCGTGGGGGTGAGATATCCGCTGTCCAAGGGGGTCACGTGGTTGCAGATGGTGGGCCGTATCAGAGACAAGCCAAGCCCCCCACTAATATCAGCAATAGCTGGCGATGCCCGATATCGCAACACCTCTCCGTAAGCCGGTTCTTGACTCAAACCGCCGTCAGTCTTGAACAGGGCAAGTATGCATGCTGCGAATAGCGCTGTCCCTCGGTTTACGGTTTTGGCGGAGTTGCAGTCTGAATGGGGTTGATGACCTTGATCTACGTATGCAAGGGCACCTCCCTTTATCCTTTATTCTGTTCCTGTAACATGCGCTCGACCCGAATGATGCAGACCTTTTTAACGCGATAACTCCTCACGAAACCTTTTTTCTTTTTTCTTTTTTCATCTTAAAAAGGCTATAGCTCCACCTTGTGTGGTTCGTCTCATGATCAGGACCCCTCTCTCGGCTCTCCAAAGAGAACTATCAGTCTGGGGCGCTACCGGAGTCGCCGGCATCCCCTCCCTTGACCGCACATTTGGGATTTCTCACTGCTGACTCTTCGAGTACATCGTGATTTACTAGGTTCCTTATCAGTTTGAGAAATTAGCATTGCATATTATGGTCGCAGGAGGCCCAAATCGCTTCGCTAGATCCCCTTATTCATCGCCAACATTCAGATTCCCTTCAGCTTGGGCATGCTATTATCACTGCCCCACCTGCAGCTGTGCCGCCTCACAGGGCCGCGCGGCAAACTTGGCAGTTGTAATTCTGACAGCATTTGATCAGCAAGATGATGTGCGTGGTACTGTTCCAAGCAAAGGACATTCACTTCATTAGTCCCGCAGATGTGATATATCGTAACGGTTGTAATAAGTTGAACTCTTGATGATCAGTCCGTACCAACGGGGTGACCGGGACTGAACTACTGGTGCTAGCCCTACTTACATTCTTTAAGGCTGCCGCGGTCTCCAATCACCAACTGTGGGATCTATGTGGGATCCAGATAATTCCAGTACTGACTCTTACCTTAACGTGCGCTTGACTAGTATGAGACACCTGGGGTTTTGGGGTTCGGCTAAAGCCGAAAGTAGTAATAGAAATGTATTCAAATCTCGAAAATGAAGTGTTGCTGTTCCTTGTTACAAGTTTCGTTTCAAAACCTCCTTGACTACTTTAATTGTAGATGATCGATCCAGTCGACCGGTTTCAATAACGATATCGAACCGTAAGGCTTCAGTGACCCTCCCAAGTGTATTATACACTGATACGTCTTTACACACCTAGGATATGTAGTCTTTTCTGTAATGATTGATATAAATATATATATAGATATAAACGAAAAAAGTAACCGCGCCCCATGCTATTTGGATCAACACTCTCTGCAGCAATCATTCTCTCATTTCCCCACGTTCTTTGCTGCCTTGTCGAGTTGTCAACTTTCACTCAAACTCTTGTCACTCTTTTGCACTTATACTATTTATGAAGATGCGGGTCTCTAAGCGTTCCCTATTCGTTTGCTGCATCAGTGGTGTCTCTCTTGTTGCCGCTCTTCCTTCGTCACTGGGCGTTACTTTCACTGGCGTCAGATCTGTCAGCGAGCGACAGGCACCCAAGCCGGAGGTATGCGCCTACTGATACAAACATTCCTCTCTCAGAATATGCCTTGCTAACGGCAAAAGAAGATTATTCAGCGCCAGCCTGCTGCTGCACAGGTCTCAGCTCCCCCTCCCAACGCGCAAGTCCCTCCGTCCGAAAGCGCCGCGTTAGTCGACGGTCAAGCAGTTACAAAGCGTTCTGCCTCGAAGAGACAGGATGATTCTCAATCGGGACAGTTTGGTGTTGTTCCAGTGACACAGGACCCAGGCGCTCAGGCCCCGCTCCCTCCCACCAACTTGGGTCCTGGAAGTACATCTCAAGGGCTCATTGGGGCTGTCATTGCTATCATGTTTCTTACAGCCGATGCTATTGACAGATCCAAATCGTTCAAAGAAGTGAGAGCCCTCCAGCACAATTATTGGCGTTCATCTGTTTCGTACAAAAGCATAGGCTCGCGAGGCATTTACTCAACAACAACCAGACTTAATGTGGCAGCGCAACCCCGATTACAACAAGTTTCCTGCTGCTGCGTGCTATGGTTTGGGCTACCGTCTAGCGAACCCAGATGGCTTTGCTGGATTGGTACAAGTAAACATTACAGGGCCGGGCGACTTAGAGACGCAAGTGTTCCTTGAGAACATACAGTTGTGTTTTTGGCAATGCTAACCATTTGGCGTTTTAGCTATGATTGCATGTACCTCGAGGCCCCAAATCAGTTCTTCACTGACAGCGACGGGGGCTCAATCAACGTAAGTAGTACACAATTTCCCCAACCTTTTCAACAGGCAGTTTGACTAAGAAGGAATGGCTTGGCATTTCCTACGACCCGAACCGTTGCTCCTTTGATAAGGAAACGGCTGATCTTACTTGTACCTAAGCGTGCTTCTGCATTTGCGGATGATATATAAGCCACAAATACTGCCCACGTAACTAACGGTATCGTTTTGTTACGTGACAAATGAGGACTGTATTCTTTTTGTGCTGCAAAGCATATTTTTGACTCGTCCACCAACGCAGCGCCTTGTCCGCAGCCTGCCGCTGTATTGCGTGATGATCGACGCCGGCCAAGTCCAGCTGCATCTGCTATGCAGCGCGACCAGCCGTACGACGGGCAACCACTTTGCTGCCCCCTGTAGAGAAGACCAGTTCAAGTCAGCCCTGCGTTCCGTCAGGCACCGGAGCGTACTGACCCGGGGTGACTTGGCTCCGTGATTACTTGCAGCTGAGGAGCTGAAGTTCCGAAGAAGCAACTCTTCGACTCCAGACCCCAGACCACGACGCCACCATCCCTCCCTCCAACATCACTGGACAACCATTGAATCACAATGTTTAATATCGTGGGCAAGCTGCAGGAACAGTTAGCACCATCGATGCGCAGCACACCAGCGGCATGATCGATTGGACGCCACGCTGATGTTTGCTGGCAAGTTCATCCTCCACTCACTATGCAAGCTGAGTTGCTTCAAATAGTGAAAGAAATAAAGCAGAAAGCCCAATTTGAAGCGGCGGCTTCACGATTGAGACGGGGGGGACTGCTGGGTCAACGCATCCTCTGAGAAGCGCAACCAACTCATCTATGCTCTCTCCTTTCAGCACATCCCACCTGCTTGCTTCGTCGCCAGTATGCTCAAGACACTTCTCGTCCTAGCCCTCTCGGCCACGGCCCTTGCGGCTGACGCCTTCTTCGTCTTCAACAAGCGACAGACAGTCCCGATCTCGTGCAGTGATTCCGGCCTCAAGGTGTGCGGCGACGGCTGCATCCCCCTGACGTACACGTGCTGCCCAGACCAGCAGGGCGGGTGCCCCTTGAGCTCGACGTGCTGGCTCGGCACCAACGGCGCGTACGGGTGTTGCCCGATCGGCCGGCGCTGCACGGGTCCGGGCGGGGTCGATACGCTGCCCGGGAGCACGTTGACCTCCACCATCTTCTTCACAGAGTCGGTGCCGGACGACGAGACTTCCACGTCCTTCTTGGTCTCGACGTCCACATCAGTGTTCACATTCACTTCCGAGGTAGAGAACACCTCAACAGAGACTCCATTCCTACCGAAGTCGACCACTTCCACATCCGTTGCGCCAATCACCAACACCCAAACGCTGTCGCTTGTAGCACCCACGTCTATTTCGAGAGTTACACCAACTGAGGCACCCCCGGTGACGGCCAACGGCGCAAGCAGCCGCAGCGGACCACTCCTCCAGGCGGTAGCAGCCGGTGCTGTGGCGTTACTCGCGATATGATGTGGGTGGTGGGACAGGATACAGAGTAAGGATCGGGAGGAGTTGACGAGTGGTCGTCGGAGGCTTCTGCGGGAGCATCTAAGTCAGGAAAGGGAAACCGGAAGACGATTTAAAGGTAGCACCATGTGTCATGCACAGTGTTCTGCGGGTTGTAGGGGCAAGTTGCATAGCGAAGACGTAATAGAACCGAGTCTGTCAGGTTGTTCCTCGCCTACCCCATTATTGGCGGTCCCTCGAGACCCGCAAATGAGGTGATTTGGCCCAGATATGCCTCGTGCTTGCTCTCATAATCTGGGGCATGGGGGCTGTCTGTGAGTGGCATGCTTCTTCGTGGGGAAGGCGTAGTATACTAATGTGTAAGAAGTGGACGACACGTGGAAAGTCCTAGGACCAAGACGCCCATCCGACTCAAGTCTGGGCTTGGAGATAGGTTGATACCTCCCAAGGTACCTAAGTCTTACGAGATGATAGGGTTGTACGGCCACGAGTCCAAGAAGTCTCTGTATTCGGCATCGGGATCGGGACGGCCCACCGAAGAGGCGCTAGTGAGAGGTAGTTGACATCGGAGAGGGATTCCGCCGCCCTGACCCGATGTGCCTCGATGCGGGGGAATGGCAAGTTTGGACCCTCTACCGGTCTGTTGTGCGAAGAACTAAAGACCAAACAACAGGGAGTGGCGCGTACCGAGATGAGTTGTATCAGCACCCCTCGCAGCTCCCCCGGTCACATCTGATAAGGATCCAAGTTTTGGCTGTTTTGAAGAGATGGATTGGCCTGTGTCGGCAAACTCTAGATTGAAAAAAGCGGATAGCTGATGTTTATCTCGTGTCGAATGAGCCCATTCTAACCGAAAGCACGGCTCAGCACAGTACAGCACACATATCGCTCTCACGCGACGGACACGCGATGTGGACGTTGTACCTAGTGCGGCGACCACAGCTTTGATCACGGTACGGACAGTATGGTTTGGAGCCATGGTTCCAATCGACATAAGCCAATCAGAGGATGGACAGGCTTCCCCGGGACGGATAGCCCATCCTGCGTGCTTGTATCGTTCAAAATTCAAGGGACTCTGGAGAGGATGAAAAATTTACGTGATGGTTTGGATGTTTGTTTGGCTCGGGCGCATCTGAGATTTAGAGCCCCATATTTTGCAGCCACGTGATATGGGGTCCGGCACTGTCTGTCAGTACGTACCTAAGTCGCCTACGCTTCCGTACCTTGGTAGGTACCCAAGTGTCCTGGTACCTTCCTTCATGCTGGCAGTACGGATACCTGAAGCGGAAAGAACCAATACATACACGGTACATTCAACTTACGTAAGACGCTCTCGGGTGAGTTTCTGGACGTGGGGCACGGCATATCCATCTGCGGTCCATCCAACAACTATTAATTCAATACAGACGTAATAACAATGACATAAAAAAGAAACATCATGTAGGTACGCGCGCCCTTGTTCTTTCTACAGTGCTGACATCTATCAATCTTATCGTGGCCGCAGCTTCTCTCGGTCAATCATCCCGAACATGCCATGCGCTTCTTCACGGCTTAAGCTATTCATTCGTACACACTTACTTGTACATCCCAATGTCTGGGCATTCGATTTATCACGCCTGGATTCCCCGAATGTGTGGCCGAGTGTGGATGCCGTGGAGCTCGGCGTCCCACTCATGCTGGTCCGCCAAGTAGATAAGCCTTCTGTCCGAGTCTTCTACCCCATGGGCTCGGTGGCTCGCCACGAAAGCGTTACGATACAGAAACACTGATGGACTGCTCGCTTTCCCCAACAGCCTTGGCACTTTTCCCCCCATGCCGAGAGGGGGGAAGGGTAAGCTTTGGCCAGCCTCTCTGCGACAGTCAGCCAGTGCCGGCCTCCAACAATGCTTCACTCGCACAGTCGCGGTGCGACAGTGTGCCATCAATACGTCACGTCGGGCGCACTCAAGCAATGCGCTCCTCCTGTCGCTGCAGATCCCAGGTCTACTTCGGAGAGTCCCTGGCTACACAGTACACGACTGGGGAAGAGACGGGAGACTAAGAGTTTCGGGGTAGGGGGAGAGTACGGAGGAGCGTTCCGTTGGTTTGGAGGCCTTGGAGCCAAGGTACATCTGCAACCTCCCGACTGGGCGACAGATGGGAAGCTTTCGCCAATGCCTTGTCGCCCAGCCTCCATATTACTACCACCATCCTCCGTCCTTTCGATCTGAACTTGCTTGGCCTCTTGTTTCTCTCTCTCTCCCCCCTTCTCCCTCGCCCTCTTATTCTAGAATCATTCCGTGGTTGCGCCGGCCACACCGACAAGTCTATCTTAGCGCGACGGCAGGGAAGAGAGAAGAGAAAAAAAAAAAAAAACAGAGGTGCCCACCTTGACGGATACTAATACGCTGTCGATCTCGCCCGCACACAGCTAGCTCTCTGTCTCTTGCCTCTTCGTTCACTCTTGAAAATCGAGTCGGCGACTCTATCTTGACTTCATAGTCGTGGCCATGGACAAAGACGAGAGAGGCGGCGGTCCATTGACCGACGTCGAGTCCAAGCACGCTGGCGAAACCTTCCCCCGCGATGTCAACTTTGCGACACTCAGCGGCGACGCGAACGACCTTGTCAACCAGCATGACCAGCTGCAGCGAGGCCTCAAGAGCCGACACATTCAATTCCTGGCTTTGGGTGGCGCGTGAGTGGCCCTTCTTCGCCCCCCTGTTAGTCCTCAATCGGTTCGACGTTTGGAAGGGGAGAAGAAAAGAAAAAAAAAAGACGAGAAAGGAACGGGAAAGGAAGCCCGACTGACACTCCGTCGCAGCATCGGAACCGGCCTCTTCGTCGGCTCAGGCAGCATACTCTCCACCGTCGGCCCCGCGCCGCTTTTCATGGGCTACCTGTCCATGATGATGGTCGTCTGGAACATCATGAACAACCTCGGCGAGATGGCCACCTACCTCCCGCTCAAGGGCATCTCGATCCCCTACTTTGTCGAGCGCTTCGTCGAGCCCAGCCTGGCCTTCGCCGCCGGCTGGAACTACTGGTACGCCTACGCCATGCTTGTCGGCGCCGAGGCCTCGGCCGGCGCCATCCTCCTCGACTACTGGCAGAGCCCCGTCCCCCCGGCCGTCTGGATCACCATCATCCTGCTCGTCACCCTCGCCCTCAACATCTTCGCCGTCGAGATCTTTGGCGAGGCCGAGTTCTGGTTCGCCAGCATCAAGCTCATTACGATCCTGGGCCTCATCCTCGTGAGTTTCGTCATCATTCTCGGCGGCGCCCCCGACGAGGGCCGCATCGGCTTCCTCTACTGGTACGATCCCGGCGCCATCAAGCCCTACCTCGTTGGCGGCGACACCGGCAGGTTCCTGGCCTACTGGACCGGCTTCGTCCGCGCCGGCTTCGCCTTCATCACCTCACCCGAGCTCATCGCCCTCGCGGCCGGCGAGACCGTCGCCCCCCGCCGAAACATCCCCAAGGCCGCCAGCCGCTTCGTCTGGCGCCTCGCCATCTTCTACGGCCTCGGCTCCCTCATGATCGGCGCCATCACCCCGTCCGATGACCCGAGGCTCCTCACCCCCACCTCCAACGCCGCCGCCTCGCCCTGGGTCATCGGCATCCAGCGCGCCGGCATCGGCGGCCTCAACCACGTCATCAACGCCGCCATCCTCACCAGTGCCTGGTCGGCCGGCAACGCCTTCCTCTACTCGGGCAGCCGTATCCTCTACAGCCTGGCCCTCAACAAGCAGGCCCCCCACTTCTTCACCCGCACCACGAAACGTGGCGTCCCCTACACCGCCGTCCTCGGCACCTGGTCCATCTCCCTGCTCTCCTACCTCACCGTCAGCAGCGGCACCTCGACCGTCTTCACTTGGTTCATGAACATCAGCACCATCTCCGGCTTCATCGCCTGGATCGTCGTCATGGTCACCTACCTCCGCTTCCGCAAGGCCATGATCTACCACAACATGATGCACCGCCTGCCCTTCCGCACGCCTCTGCAGCCCTACTTCACCTGGTTCATCCTCGGCCTCCTCGTCATCCTCACCATCACCAACGGCTTTCAGGTCTTCTTCCCCGGCCACTGGAGCGTCTCGGACTTCCTGGCCGCCTACATCACTCTGCCCATCTTCCTCGTGCTCTACGTCGGGCACAAGGTCTGGTTCCGCACGCCCTTGGCGCGCAGCGTCGCCGACGTGGACGTCACCACCGGCGTTGCCGAGATGGAGGCCATGGCGGAGCTCGACGAGGAGCCGATCCCGAAGAACATGCTGCAGAAGGCGTGGTTCTGGATCGCGTAGGCTTTCCGTCCAAGAGACACGAGATGGGAGACGCAGTTGGGAGATTTTATAATTCAAAGATCTAAGACTTGAAAATAGAAGAACGCATTTCGCATATACGCATTGCCTTATCATGATGGTGATAACACTAGGATGGCCGACTCGCCTTGCCCTCACGCAGCTCAAGCGCTGTCGCCGGCCGCCCATCGATTGTTCATGGTGCCTATTGGGGTCGCTCTCGTCAGCGACGCGGCCACTCGGAATGTAAGCTTCGCGGTACTCGCCTGCTCTCCTGGTGGTGGTCTCGACGACCTGGCCCTGTTCGTTGACGTGGTAGGTCTTGCCCTCGTGGGTGGTTAGCGCCTCGACGGCCTTCACGACGGGGGGCTTGAGCAGGTTCTTGAGCTTGCCGAAGCGGGACTCTGGGTCGGTCGGCGGCTTGGCCCGGGGCATCTCCTTGACGACGCGCGTGGTGACGTAGTGGTAGTCGTCGGTCGGGGCCGGTTGACGGTCGGTGCCGCGGAGGGGCTGCGAGGAGCCGGCGTCGTCGGCGTTGCGGACGAGCGGGTGGAGCGAGTTGGCGTCGGAGCCGACGATGGTGTCTTGGCTAAAGACGGAGGGACTGTAGTCCTTGTCGGCCCCCTGGGGCTCTTGGTTGGCGCTCATGGTGTTCTCGTCTTCTTCCTTTGGGCGTCTGCAGACAATTCAGGAGTCGTGATATGTTGGAGAGACAGAGATCCGGCATCATATCAGATGCATTGCTCAGGAAAGAGGGAAGAGCCCGTGCGATATACACAAGATGCCAAGGCGCGGCTTCCCAGGGCTCGCATCACGAGGCATTCTCTGGCAGACCTTGGTTGACGCCTGTAAGCTCAGGTGACACCGACAGCTACCTAATGGTGATATATTGGTCCAGTAAAGCACGCTTGGTTGGGAGCAGTATATAAAGCTCCGTCGCCAATGGGCCCTGGTCAGTGGCGCGCGCAACCCCCCCCCCGGGGAAGAAAGCCTCGGGGTCATCAATGAAAGCAGCTGCACTCTTGATTCGTGTTCCGGTAGGGGTGATACCTCTTCCCTTTGTGGCCGGGCGTTTGGCGGGCGGAGAATGCGGCACAGCAACCGGAGAGGGATGGTCAGGTCAGGCGGCATACAGCAGGCAGTTAGGTATTGGGCGTAAGCCTTATTCGAGCATTGAACGCGTGAGTTGTATCGTGCATGATTCTCTGCTCACTGTTCCCTACCTACCCATCTAGGTACATGATATTTTGTTCCAAGTCCTGTGCCCATTGTTCAGAACTGCTTATTCTCGTGGCTTGTTCTCCAGAGTGAGGTAAAATACAGCTGCCTTCGCCAACAACAGCTCGTTAGTAATACTCGACCCGCATGAGAGTGCACCCAATGAGAAACACAAGGCATATCGCAGACCATCTTCCGTATTCCACAATTAAACGCTGTAATGGGAAAGCTTATCGGTATCAGCCCCCGCGGAATGTTAGGCAGTATCACCTTGCCATCAACAGCCCCCTCACGCCGCCGGGAGCGATCAGACAAGCTGATAATGCCCCCCCCTTGACAACCCGAGAGTACCGTGCGCGCTGGCCTGTGCAGGCTTGAGTTAACAATAGATACAGTTATAGCCAATAGATAAGGGTATAGATAGAGGGAAAAGTAGAAATAGAGGCAAAAAACAGAGGCAAAAGGGATAGTCTTGGCCTATCCTAACCCAGAGCGTAGCAGAGGAAGCAGGGTGGGATAGACTATTCTAACCCTCCCTAGCGGAGCCGTTGTAAAATTACCTAAAGGAAAAGTCGGAAAAAATCAGAAAAGGTTAGGAAAGGCTACAATTAAACTAATATAATAGCCTTTAGATTATTAGGAGCACTACTTACTGCTAGACTATGTGGAGCGAGAAGAACAAAAATTCTGGGTTTTTCTGAACCTATAGACCCTTCTGACGTGTATGTGCGTATCTATTGGTTAGAACCCTATCACCTACTCCACTGTCAGGTTAACCCTATCGGTTATTATGCACGGTACTCTCGGGTTGTCAGGGGGGCAAGCAAAGCGACAATTGTCCCGAATGCCACAATAGTGACAATACAGACGCGAAGCCGCTGGACTGTTTACAGTACAAGATCGATCGCTGCCTCTAGGCAATCGATCGGGACAGAAGCGCCCTCAGGGCTCGCGTTTCATCAAAACAGAGGAGCAAAACTCACCCAGGCAAAACAACACCAACAAAGACACCTTGGGTCGGCACGCGAAACTTTGCGGTCCTGTTCAAGGCACGGCTCCAAGGCGACCACTCGTACGCAATAGTACAGGGTGACAGGGGTAAGTAAAATACCCCTATGATGTTACCCCCCATAACCGACATCATGATAGAGGGGGAATATTCACCAAAAGTGAAGTTCTGCAGTAGGGGGGTGGACGTTAGTTACCTAACCGGGGTATTTAACTTCGGCCTGGTACCATTGTACAATAGCACAGTAAGAAAACACAGTACAAGTGCCGTTACACACTAATATCCAGCACAATACAGAATGCCACAGTAGCATTGAATCTGATAACTGAACCCTCTCAGAACCAGCTTTCGGTGATAGTTCCTCCATCCGATATACCTAGTGCCCAGTTGACTGTTGCTGTGGTTTTCTTGCCATTCATTCTACGGGGTAGCCATCACGCAGCTGGCCTTGTGTGCTTTGACATCCCAAGTTGCGAAACAACATTGTACTGTCCGCAACGCGTTTCGTGCGTGCCATTGTCATTGCCATCCCAACTACCAAGGTTAGAACAATACCCATCACCTTCCATTCACCTCATCGCCTGATGTAACTAGTCACCTACCTACCCGCTTGAAAAAACGGCCAGTCACATCTGGTTCCAAGTGCGCCAAGCCATTATTGGCGAGTGAGACGCGAGGTCGTCCTGCCTCGACCGGTATTGTTTGGTTTCGGGCCCCCCGGAGGTCCTCAGCTCCACACTGCCGGCCCGGGTCCGTCAATTCACAACCACCATTCCCCGGCTCTTCCTTATTGCCTGGCCGGTTGATATAAATTGTGCCCGCTGCATCTCATTGCAACTGAGCCGGGTGCTTTTCTGCCTGGCTTCTTTCTGTTCCTTGGCTTATCTACTTAAACCTCTTCTTCCTCCTTTCTTTTTCCTCTTTTTCCTTCCTTTTTCCCATCATCTCCTCAACCACCTTTTCTTTTCCCCCTTTCTTTTCTTTCTTTTTCTCATTCACACCTCCTCTATCCATCACTGTAAGTGTTGTTGTCTGCCCTGTATTCATTGTTAGTGCTAACAGGACGACGACGACGACGACGACGACGACGACGACAGAAACAACAGAAACATGGCCTCGAACAACAAAGTCCCCCGCCTGCCCCACGGCCGCGCGCCGGCCGACTATTTCAACTTCGTCAAGGCCAGGGTGCTTATGCCCCTTGGCCGGCTCGCCTCCACCGCGGTTGAAGAGACCGACCCCCGTGTGGTCGAGAAGGTCCAAGAGGTCATGGTCTTCCTGAAGTACGTTAAGAGCTGCCGCGCCGCCTACCCGACCGCCGCCCCCCGCGAGCTCTTCAACGCCAGATACCCTCTCAAGATGTGTCTGTCCATGATCTTCAACCCCTCTCCCGCCGCCGCCAAGAAGCAGTACCTCGATGCGAAGGCCAAGTCCCGCGCGAAGTCGCTCCACGAGTGGGCTGGCCGAGTCGAGGACGCCACGCGCATCGCCAACGAGCAGGCTGCTCTTCAAAGAGCCCAGGTCATGGCTGAAATTCAGGCCAATCCTATGAAGCCGAACGGCAGTCTGAGACCCCCCACCAACCACCCCATCTGGGGACGCACCGGCATCATGCACGGACTCGCTCTCCGGCCCGGTGATCGATATACCGTCGTACTCGACCCGCACTGCGCCGACGAAAAGCGCCCCGCCAACGTCCACGGCCATAACGGCCTCCAAGTCGGCGACTGGTTCCCGTCGCAGTTGTCGGCGCTCTTCCACGGCGCTCACGGCCACTCGAACGCCGGCATCTACTTCCAGGGCGAGGAGGGCGCCTTCTCCGTCATCGTGGCCGGCGCGTACAAGGACCTCGACGTCGACTCGGGCGAGACTGTCCTCTACTCCGGATCCAACGCCCACGAGAGCAACGACAGGGATAACATCCTGCCCAGCACCGAGGCAACCAAGGCTCTGGCCACCAACTGGGTCTCCGGCAAGCCCGTCCGCGTCCTCCGCAAGGCGCACAAGGACTCCGAGTGGGCCCCTTCACACGGGTACCGCTACGACGGCCTCTACGAGGTCGTCGAGAAGATCTTCGCGCACAACGACAACAACGGCATGTTCGAGCAGTTCGAGCTGCGGCGCCTCGACGGACAGCCTCCTCTCGAGAGCTTGAAGAACATCCCCAGCCAGCGCCAGGTCCGCGACCTCATCAAGTCCAAGGAGCGCTACTAAAGTCGAAGCCGAACGATGCCCAGCCCTCCCCGCCCCGTACATTCGCACCGAGGAACGCGCAGCATTTTCCAAGATGGAGCGAGTTCGATTTGAAGACGAGCAGAGGGTTCTAGGCATTCAGACAGAGAGAGAGACACACAAAGATTGAATAATTCCTGGGGTTCGGTAACGCTAGCAGGAAACACGAAAGGAAACGGCGTGCTTGGTGGAAGAAATATCTCTACATCGATGACTGCGACGATGAAAGGCCGGATAAGCCTAACGAAGATATGATTTGACGTCAGAATCGCAGAGGGTTCGGTGGGAAATTGGAATTATTTGCTCTCTGCATTCCAGCTGCTCGAGGAAACGGATGGTTATTCGCAGGTTTTGACCAGGAATGTTTGACATGCTTCGGGACATTGTCGTTACCGATGAACTGTCCACCAGAAGCTGGCAATACGGTTGGGAGGTGTTGTTACAGAAAGTCGAGGCATTGAGCCTCATCGGAATGGGAATCGAAATACTTACTACTGAGATGAGACGCCTTCCCATGACCATCGTTCTCCCTGCCTTGAGAAAGTGACATCTGTTCGTTGGCGTCCATGACTTGCTCGTAGAAAAACACTCGTGATTTTTAAATGCAGTTTCAAGTTTACGCTCTATTAGTTAAGTCTTTCCGCTATTGAATCCATCGCTACACATAGCGGTGCAGTGAAAACCCACGAAAAATCTACCGAGTAAATGTCAGTCATCACAGCGAACCGCCTCTGTTGTGGAACCATAGCCTCGCCTCGTCGATGCCCACGGCCCCTACAATCAGGATCCTCCCGAACGCGTCCACGTCATCGGCGCCGGCGTCCTTCAGAACGTTGCCGAAACCCTCCCTGGTAACGACGAAGTGCCGCTTCTCCCCCCAGGCCACGGCGAAGGCGACAACGTCCGGGGCCCCCCACAGATGCGCCGACAGAGTCCACGACAGGCCGATGAAGTGGCTCCCCTGGCAGTCGACGGTCATCTTGCCGACGAGGACGTTGTAGGCGGCGAGGAGGAAGCTGGTGAAGAACATGGTCCGCCGGGCCGATTCCTGGAAGATCCATTCCTGCCAGGTCTCTTTCGTCGGGCAGGCGGGGCGGTCCTCCGCCGGGCCGGTCTCCGGCCGTCCGCGCTCCCATTTCACAAAGGGCGTGAGGGCCAGCATGGCGCCGTCGAGAGCGGGAAGAGCCTGCTGCGCGGAGGCGCGGAGGGAGATGTCGCCGTCGAAGAGGCGGATGATCTGGTAGAGTAGCGCGGCCTGGAGGCGTGCGAGTATGCTGAGACGGTCTCTGGGTGTGGGAGAGGAGAGCAGCTCGTGAGCTCTGGCTTGAATGGTCCGCAGGACGAAGCGAGAGTTGCTTGGGTTCTTGGCGATGTACAGTGCGCAGCAAGCTTGAGCGTCTGTGTCGCGATGGTAAGCAGAAGTTTCATTGGTGAGCGAGGCGGTCTTCGAGGGGAACTTCACCTTGCATCTCTCTCGGCATGTGAGCCCGGTACAAGTATGGGTGGCTCCAAGGGGCCTGGTTCTCCAAGACGATGGATGCGGGAACATTTTTCATCTCATCGAGGGCGTATTGGAGGCGGCTGGATATCATCTCCTCCAACGAGCCATCCGCCGCGAGATCCTGGCTTGGTAACAGCATTTGTTCGGGGCTCGAGGTGGGAGACGAGAGAGACGAAGGTCCGTCAATAAGAACGTCGGGGGCCAAGAAGTCGTGGAAGTCCGTGTACAGACCAATGCCGTCAAGGCCATCCATGTCCAGCTGGAGAAGATCCGCGTCTTGCTGCCATGGTGCGAGAGAATTGTCAGGACATGTTGCGGGTGTCTCGGTCAAACTCTCCAGATCTTCTTGCGGCGCGGGTGTTTCGATGAGCTTGGGGGCAGTCTGCCTCTTGGATCTGGACGTTGGCGGCGGGGTGGGATAAACGCAGTCGATATTCCGCCGCGAGCACCGCAGGCACGCCGCTTGGCCGTGATCGCACCGGCGCTTGGCTTTGGTGCAGGCAAGACACGTCTTCCGTCGAGGCGGGGGGTTCGCCCGTTCCAGAAAGGAATTGGACATGGCGCACGCAACTCGAATACTCTCGTCTCGCAGACACGCGCTCCCGGATTGGCTTACCCGTACCGAGTCTCAAAGTTATGTGCCTTTTTCTTCTTCTTTTTTTTCACCCTTTTCCCTTTTTGCGGAAACATCGACAAGGAGCAGGGCGGACCAGGGAAGATACGACGCTGGAAATGGGCGCCAACGGATATTGTCACAACACGCCATTGACGGCGGCTCTTGGGCTTACTTAATCCGCAGATGGCGGGATTCCGCCAATGTTTTCCCACCACCAACGTTTCATTGGCATTAATCGCAATTCTATCAGTCCAAATCTATACTCTAGGTAGGGTGAGTTGCATACACACACAAGATGACCTGATTCATACTGTCTATGGCGTCGGCAGCGCCGAACAATCATGATCCGGAGCAAGCGACCCGGCAGGGCATCAAGTGAGAGAAGGGCAGAGTCAAGGAGGCATACGGCCAACTTGCACAGGAACCCCTTGTTCGGGAAATCCCATTCACTTTCAAATATGCGAACCCGGGGAGCGTTCAGACAGATCAAATGATCGGTTGAGTGCTTTCCTGCCTTGTCTTCGACTGCCGCTGGCTTCCCTACCCGATGTTGAAATCGAGATTCTCTCCATTCACCTCCCTCCCCCAGCTTGCCAAACCCTCGCTCAAGGCCTCGGTCAAGGCAGCATCGTACCTCATCCCGCTCTCCGCCCAGGCCAGCCGGCCCGCCCTCCACGTCAACCACTTCTCCGCGAGAACCCCCTCCGGCGCCCTCAATAGGCCGACAGCCACGTTCAGCAGCCTCTCGCCGTTCCCGAGCCTCCGCCCCCCGCCGCTGGCGAAGTGAGCCATCACCGTCGCGCCGCACGTCCCACAGAACGAGCGTAGCACGCCTTCAGAGGACGCGAACGACTTGGGCGTGCCGATGCCGAGGTCCTCCGGGACCGGGGGCGAGATGCGGGATTCCGGCACAAAGGCCCAGCCGACAGCGTGCGCGCCGGTCTGCAGGCGGCAGTCGTCACAGACGTCGAGGCAGGCCATCCACTTGGTCCGGTCGGCGGGGGAGAGCCACTTGCTGTAGGCTTCGTCGCCGTCGGCCGTGGCGGCGCTGCCGGGACGGGAAATGGTGAACGAGACGCCGCCGCAGTGGCACTGCGCCCGGAGGACCTCTTCGCCGTCGATGACGACTTCCCTTCCAGGCATCGCGGCCTCGGTTCCGACCGTTTCTTTGGGGTTCCAGACCCTCATGTCGCCGCCTGCGATGCGCGGAAGCCAGTTGTGCAGCCCTCCTCCGGGGGCCGAAGCGGTATTGACGTGGGTACGGATGTCCCATACCGCGGGCACATCATCCTTGTTCGCGTCGAATATACACGCGGAGATGACCCAGTCGTCGTCTTCGATGCCAATGTCTCCAATGTGACAGCTACAGGTGCTGCAGAAATACCGTGTACTGGAGGCGTTTGCATGACGGTATGCCGTCAGCGACGAGAGGGACGACGGGGCGACAAAGTCCGGGGCGACCCCTGACGGGAGAGGCGCGTGGAAGATGCAGAGGTACCGTGAGTATAGCGGCAGATGCTGCAGTGGCAGAGGTGGACTTTGAGGGGGATGGCGGATGCGGGGAGAGTGAGGGTGAAGTGGACGGCTGTGCAGTAACACTGTGCGGTAAGCGTCTTCATCTCGGCTTGCGAGCCAGCAATCTGGTCTTGGCCCATGGCGGCGCAGATGATGTTTTGTTGTCTGGGAAAGCGTTGCGTTGTTGGAGTGGGCAAAAGACGGTATGATGCTGAGTCAAAAGGGAGATCATGGCCAAAGGCTGGAGAGAACGGGTGCCGGGTATTATGCTGCTCTTTATTTGAGACTAGTCTTTTTGATACATTTTATTTTATTTTATTTTACTCTTATTTTTAGTGTCAAGATAACGGATGGCATGGCATCAAAAGAAGGGCGCCGCGTTGTCGGCTTGCATGGGAGCGGGGTTTAGCTGCGAATAGGCTACGCCAAGCTCATTTCTTGTGGATTAACAAAACCCGGCAGTCTGGCAGGGTATAAATTGCAAAACTTAACGGAACTACCAAGAGCAAGGGTATCACGTAATGCTATGATTCTACTGCGGTCTGCACCGTAACCTTAAGCTGTGTTCTTTTTGAGCTCCTTGGCCTTGGCCGCCTTGCGCCACTTCATACCCCAGTGCATGACGGCGAACAAGGCCGGGCTGAAAACAACGTACAAGAGACCCAAGAAAGTGAAGGCCCAGCCCACACCCATGCCATCGATCATGGGAATAATTGCCGCACTTGCGGCCGCGCCCAGCAAACACCTGGTCAAGTTGTTCGCCGCCGTCGCAGTTCCAGCCTTGCCCGGGTGGATATCGATGATGAGGGTGTTGGTGGTGTTGTTGAAGCCGATCATGCCTACTCCGAAGAGGAAGAGCAGCACGCAAGGGACAGCCGCAGGGGCCCGGAGATGGAGAGCCCAGCCCCAAATCAAAAGGAGTATTGAACTCACAAACAGCAGCGGCAAAGCAATCTCCAGGCGGACCTTCTCAATGGGGAAGTCGGTCAGGTCTTGTTGGCGAGACTTGTCCAAAGGGATGCCCAGCCTCTTGCAGTGCCGACGATAGTTCCAGTTGATCAGCGGCCCGACAACGAAAGCAGCAACGACAGACCCACCGGCCAAGGGCAGATACATGAGACCGATTTTCAGAGTGTCGAAGCCGTATATCGCCTCGAACTGGGTCGGCATGGAGGTGGCAATGGCGTAGAACCCGGCAAAGACAATGGCGCTGAAACCGAGAAGGAGGCCAAGCTCTCGCTCGAAGAGCAGGAGAAGCGACCCGAAGGGGTTCAGCTTGAATTTCAGAGCAGGCTTGGAAGTGCTCGAAGCCCCCGTCGTGGACCTCATCATCGGGGCTCCGGTCCCCCTCCTGGCCCGGAAGTGGTCTTTGAGCAGCTGGTAACCGGTGCGATACAGCCGGGGCGGCCGAAGGGATCCGTCGTCGACGATCAACCGGCACGTCTCCGGGAAGAACAGCAGCTGGAGGACAAAGTAGACGCCGGCTAAGATGGCGAGGAACCAGAAGATGGACCTCCAGCCGAGATATTGGGTAAAGACGCCACCAAGGACTGGACCCAAGGCAGGGGCCAACACAATAGGGACTACGGTGAGTCCAACGTACTGCCCTCTCTCGGCAGAAGTGACGGTATCTGCCACAACTGCCGAGGCCAGGGCGACGGTGCTGCTAGAGCCCGCCGACTGTAGACAGCGGACGATGAGAAGAGAGGCGTAGTTCTGAGAGAGGGCCAGACCGATATTTGCTGCAATGTAAACAACAAAGCAGATGACATATGCGGGTCGACGACCGCTGTGGTCGGCCAAGGAGCCGATGAACATGGGGATAACGCCCTGGAAAATCATATAAGTCGTCACGGTAAGATTTATGTCCGAGTTGGAGACGTGGAACTCGTCGGCCAGTACCGTCAGCGCCGGGAGGTATATCTGGGCGGTGAAGGGCGAGAAGAAGGCGGCCAGGCAGGCTCCTAGGACAATGGCTCGTTTTTCCCATTTCGTGTAGATAGAGTAGGGTGGCGGTTGCTTTGGCTGCGGTGGCGGCACCGCAGCTTCTTCATCTATCGTCTGTGATTTTTCCAATGGCGCAGGACTCGTAGGGCGAGACATTGTGGGCAAGTATATGACGCTTCAACCTGGGGAAGTGCGCTGGCGTTGTGTGTTGGGTTGTGAGCAACAACAGAACACCAGGATGAGAGGGGGGTCGAGATAAATAGGCATCTCGGTAAGGACTGGCTGAAAGTGAGTAGAAGAATCAGAATCTCAGAAGCAGTCCGTCTCCAGCTAGGTATTACGTCGTAGGACGCTGCGGGCGAAGGAAAATGGATCATGGCGGTTAGTCGGAGACGCTGCTTCGTACTACTATGGGGTTGGTGTGTGTGTGTGTGTCGGTGCCGGTTCGGCGTTTTCTATAAACCACCTTCATGGTGAGAAGCGACCTTGTGGACCTTCTGGAGACTGCTGTTTTGAATAATGGTATGTATCACTTCGTTAATGCCCAAAATAATAAAACCGGACTTAGGAAAGCGGCTCCGAAGGAATCGAAAAAATGGGCTGGAGCGAGTAAAGTCCGAGCATGATATCAGCGTTACCATGGCCCCCAGCAAGCATCATGGGCCCGTAGTCGGCGGCGTGTATGTCGACTAGCTTGGGGGTGCATTTTTGGGGGTCGTTGGAGTGGCAGAAGCCGCCGTCATGAAAGACACCAATGAGTGTGTGGGCATTTCGAGGGAGAAAACAAGCAAAAAGGCGAAGTTGAGGTAGATGAGAAGGGAAGTCTATCATCGAATGTACAAAGTACGGATAAGGAATTACCCACTGTACGAGGCAAGTACCGTCTTGGCTTCAGGACAGTGAACAGGGACTATCACACTGTAATGAACACGGTGCGGCGGATCGAGAAGGCGGTAACGTGTGTGTTCTTGGAGAAGCCACCTGTACGGAGTATCCGTAGTGTGTGTCCACTGAGGTATCCGTAGAGTGGCTGAAAAGGTACGTATTGGTAGTATGTATCTAGAGCTCCAGCACAGCATGTCCTGAGCTTCAAGCCCAAAGACCGTGGGACCCTGCATTCACCCGAATTGTGCATTTCAACATTCTCGATACCTCACCCACCTCTTCTATACCACGCCGTCCTCGAACAACCCCGGTCCATCCTGCCGTGCCTTCGACCGCGATACCGATGCCGGTCCTCTGCTCTCAATCCAAAAGAAATCCCCAAACATGGTTGGCCACACACACTGCCCGAGCGTTGCACTGCAAGTTGCGCCCCTCCTAACAAATAGTCGCAGAACGTCCAGTACAACTCGGCCCTGCGCCAGAGCAAGGCCATCCGCAACGACCTCGAAAAGCTATCCTCCGCCGCCGCCCAGCCCGCCGCCCTGACCCCCGCCGAGATCGGCAACGTGTCCGCGTCCCTCGCCTCCTTCTCCAAGACGATCGACGAATACAACAGCCTTGCCCGCCAGGAGCTCGTCAAGAAGAAGCAGGAAGAGGCTTACGAACGCGTCAAGCGCTTCCGCGACGACCTGTCCGACTTCAGGTCCCAGGTCGAATCCCTTAAGAAGGCCCGCGAGGATGCCGTACACAGCACCAACCGCAGCGAGCTGCTGGGCCGCCGCGCCTACGCCACATCCACCCCCGAGAACCCCTACGCCAACGTCGGCAAGCCGTCTTCCTCGGCCTTCCACAGCCGCGGCGCCCCCACCGGTGGCCATGCCGGCTCCGGGCTAAGCATGGGCGGCAACGATGTCACGAGGGAGCAGCACGCGCTGCGCGAGCAGAACTTCTTCGCCAACACCAACTCGGCCCTCGACGAGTACATCGCGAGGGGCCAGGCCGTGCTGGGTGACCTGGGCACCCAGCGCGAGATGCTCAAGAACACCCAAAAGAGGCTGTACTCGGTCGGCAACACCCTGGGCATCTCGGGCGACACTATCCGCATGATCGAACGCCGCGCCAAGGAGGACAAGTGGATATTTTGGGCATGCGTCATCGTCTTCTTTCTCTTCTGCTGGGCCTGCATACACTTCTTACGGTGACAGGCGGGCGGGAGGGAGGGAGGGGGAAGGTGCCATCGGACGAGTTTGGGCTGGGCTGGGAACAGGATGATAACGAAGTTGGGAAAGAAAAAATGTTCAGGAGCATGGCGTTTTTGTGTTTCTTGTTTTAAGGAGTCGGGCGGCTGCAGTCTGTATGTATGCGCCGTGGAATTTCCTCGAGCATCGCATCGCATCGCATCAAGAAGGGAAGAGGTAGCCCCGTGTATAACAAGCGACAGTCGAGTTTGGTTCTATTCGATGCCCGCAAGGGCAATAGTGAAAAGCACCGTGCTCGTCGTCTCGATCTCAACCACTTCCGTCTCGGGTAGCACGTGGTTGCTGGTGCTGACGTGGCCCCCGAACTTGGTCTCCCAGTTCTCGACGTCCCATTCGAGACCCTTGGTGGTGATGTGGCTGGTACCCCCAATGGGAAGGATGCCGACGTGCTTGCCAAAAACATCGTCGCCGCCCTCGCGGACCCGGATGCTGTGGCGGCCGGGCTTCAGGAGGAACGTCAGGCTTTGGCCCGACACGAGGTACAGCTTGCCCTGGGCGTAGTCGGGCCCCGGCTGGAAGAGGTACAGATGGTGCACCTGGCTGAGACCCTGGTCGACGCGGCCGCCCAGCCCACCGAGGGCGACAATGTCAGTGTTTGGCCCGTGGTTCGAGCGGATCCACGAGACGGCCTTGCCAAAGTCTGTCGAATACTGGTCGGGGTCGTGTATCACCTCGGCCGGCTTCTCCAGCTTCGTGTAGTAGTCCCTGACGGACGGGCGGAGGGAGTCCAAGTCACCGATGATGACATCGAGGTTGGTCTGCGGGTGTCAGATTACAATACGATATTCAGACCAAAGGGGCAGCAAAGGACTAACTAATGGTGGATGAGAGCGGGCTTCAGCCGTCTCGCTCATATCGTGCAATCTGTTGGCTCCGCCATCCGCTGCGACTCGCGTGAGAGCTGCAACGAAGAGGGGGACGAGGGTCAGCTGAGATCCAAATCTGTGCGCAGGTTGCCCGTACCGTTGGTCCATAGCGAGTCAAAGACGGAAGTCTGCTTCACGGGCTGGTTGAGCACAATGAGCGCGAAATCGGCGGGGCCGGGATATTCTGGCGTCTTGTCGCGAAGAAGCGCTACGGGGTGCCACTCAAAGCTTGGCGGCGACATCTCGAGATTTCTCGGCGCGCAAACCTATGCAAGATACCAGGGAAACAAAAGTCCAATGCAAATCAGCTAGATACAGACTACCTTTTTTTGTTTTCTTCTTCTTTTTCTTTCTAGGAATACGCTTTACCAGATCCAAGGGAACAGATGCGCCAAGGGTAGCTCGGGTATGGGTCAAAATCTCACATACGAAATCAGCGGGAATATGTCGTTTATCACCGACATCCGTAGTACATGTGATGCATACGATGCGTCGTTGTCATCAGACCAAAACTAGGAATATCTCGCAGAAGTGGTACAACATGGATGACTTGCGACCAATGACGCGCTGATTTTGGCGACTCTGCCCCCCCCCCCCCAGTGGGCGTCTCTCTTTTTTTTTTTTTTTTTTCGCCCTTTCGCATCGACCGACCGACCGATCGGCCGGACCTGCGTCAGCGATGAATGGCGGGAATGCGCCGCTAAAACCTCGGCGCAACCCGTCATTCGAAGCGAAGCTTCAATTTTCTTCTGGATTCGGATTACCAACCCCAAGCTCCGTTTACTCCCGCCCACGCCGTGAACGCGCCAGAACTTTCTGCCATCCCCGTGATTTTCCCCTTTGTCTTCGTGCTCCCCGTTTGGTCTTTTCTTCCTCTTTTGGTTTCGGCTTTTTCTCTGTCATATACACACATCACCCCCCGACATGTATCGCAGCGCCGTCCGGTCGACGCCCCGCGCCCTGAGTGCCGCCCGTCAGTCGGCAATCCGCACTGCCCCTCGACGATTCGCCTCGACGACACCCGCCGACAAGCCCCGGTCATGGAAGGGCTCGGCATTGAGATGGGGTCTTGCCGCCGGCGCCGTTTACTGGTATAACACTAGCCCGGTCTTCGCAGAGGAGCCTCTCCGTATGTTTCTTGCAAAGGGGGGAGATAGGAGCAACAAGCAGCGTTGCGGACTGCTGACCATGGGGTTGCATTGCTAACAAAACTCGGCGACAGCCCGAACGATCCCGGCCCCGTCCCAATTCTCTGACTCTGACCTTACCACTGTCGATGCCATTGTCGAAGAGAAGCGCAAGCGAGCCATCGCGAAGGCCGAGGAAGCCAAGCCCGCGCCTGCCGCCGCCCCCGTACCGACGGAATCGAGCGAGAAGACGCAGGAGGCGCTCGAGGGCGAGCCCGCGCCCGGCTCCCCCGAGGCTCTGGAGGCCGAGGCCGACCAGCAAGGTGCATTCAACCCTGAGACGGGCGAGATCAACTGGGATTGCCCGTGCCTCGGCGGCATGGCGGATGGCCCCTGCGGTGAGGAATTCAAGGCTGCCTTCAGCTGCTTCGTCTACTCCAAGGAGGAGCCCAAGGGCATGGACTGCATCGAGAAGTTCCAGTATGTCTACGAACGAACTAATATCCAACCTACGGGCATGGGAGCTAATTGTGATGTAGGGGAATGCAAACGTGCTTCCGTAAATACCCCGAGGTCTACGGCGCCGAGCTGGCCGACGACGACGAGTACCAAGAGGGCGCCGAAGACGCCCGGCCTGCGCTCGATGCCAACACCGACGCAACTGTTGCGCCGCCCGCCACTTCCGCCAACGAGAAGAAGGAGACCAAGGCTGAGATCAAGGGCGTGTCGGAGGAGAAGAAGCCTGCGGCCAAGTCGGACGCCGAGAAGCAGGACGAGGAAGTCAAGCAGATGCCCAAGCCAGAGCCCGTCGACCTCAGCCAGCCCAACAGCCCGGCGACGGACGCCACCGCCGCCAACAACAACATCTAGAGAGCGAAGCAGCGTCGCTTCTGTTCTGTTCTTGTTTTTTTTTTCTGTCTTGATAGAATTCATCTGTTGTGTAGAAGTACACGGGAAAGGGATGTGGTGCACCGCGTAAAAAAAGGGCGGCTAATGACACCATGACAGGGAAATTTCGGGCCATATCTCATGTACCATAATCGTGTACAAAGTGTACCAGTACGAAGAAAGCAAAAGAATAGACATCCACTTCTCCAAGCATTATTGCTGTGTCCTGTTTTTGGTTCGCTTGTTTGTTTTTGTTGTTTTCTTTTTTTTTGGTCTTGCTTGGTCCATCATCTTTTTCTTTGTTTTGACCACGTCGCAAATCATTTTGGTATCGCCTGGCAACATGAGATTGACTCCCTCCGCAAGACGCATGAGCATTAAAAACAAATATCGGATTTCGTTAGCGACAGCTCATCCAGGACCCATTGCCCCCATCCCATGGGATCTGGCGCATACCATCGTTCCTGGCAACTGTCCGGGTCCTCCCCCGGTGCTAGCGACCGAACGCCCCCACATCTGGAGGGATTCACCCGCCTCTCATTGGCTTGCTGGTCGACGTGCTCCAAGCTCCCGAGCCGCATACGTCATACGTCATTGGTCTCTTGGTCCAGTCGCGCCAACCAAGATCAAGGAAAGCTCGAGGGGGGGGAATGGTCAAACCACCTGACGACGTTTCTGCTGCTTGGTGCTAGTTGGGTTAGGTAGTGTACCTTGGGTAGTTTCCCCCCCTTCCCCTTCCCTTTTTTTCCTTTCCTTCCGGTTCCTTCCTTCACATGACAACATCCTCTTAAAAGGAACCACCCGCCATTTCATTCTATTCCACGTCATTTGTCGATCTGCCACACCTCTTTCTCCCCTTCCCACCTGCACATTCACACCTCATACACACATACATACCACCTTGAAGCTCTTGCTTGTTGCACTTGCCTTCTCTCCCACTCTCGCCTTGGACACTTGTAACCTCAAGCCTAAAACCTCCCTTTCATCTATATATCACAAGTAAGTGTCAACAAGTTACGTCATCATTAGTATACGCCGTTACTGATTACACTACAGTGGCTTCCTACGCCGACATGGCCGCCAAGGGCCCCAAACAAACTCCTGAGGAGGTACGTTCACTGGTCGCGTGATTCCACGGCACTCCAAAGACTACTTCTCTCCATGCATCGCAACACATAAACCCTAAAGGAAAAGCAATGCTGACCCCGTCACCCCTCGTTCTCAGGCCGCTGCTCCCCAGCCACCTGAAATCGCCGTCGAGTCCGTCGAGTCCCTCTCCACCGCGTCCCTCGTCGACGTCGACATGCCCAGCGTGCACACGGTCCCCCACGACTTCATGGACCAGGATGTCAAGACCTCCACCCAGGCCGCCCGCATCGAGCGCGAGGAAGAGGAGCAGAAGGCCCGCGCCGAGGCCGACCTGGCCAAGAAGAAGGCCGCCAGCAAGGCTCGCAAGGCCGACTCGTGGCTGAAGCGCCAGTTCTCCTCCCTCAGCGACGGCAGCGCCTCTGCCCTCGCCATCTCCAACCTCGTCGGCGTCGTCGGCCTCAGCACATTCCTCGGCTACAAGGCCTGGGGTCTGTACGACCGCGGTCGCCTGTCGTGGCAGAACGTCGGCCTGGGAGTCGGCATCCTGGGCGTCGTCGGCCTCGCCGAGGGCATCTTTGGAAGGTAATGGGCATCTCCCCGTCCCCGCAAAACCTCTTGGGGGCTGGTTTACCACGCCTGCTAACTCCCTGTGCAGCTACCTCTACAAGACCAAGGGCAAGAAATGAGAGACAAGCGCGTCGGGCGACGACGGCTTGGATTCTGTCTTCTTCTAATGACATGGTACTCTTCTTTTCTTTGGCATGTAGCGCGGATTGTTGGCATTGGCGGCGAGGTTGGCGAATAGCGTCTTGATGAGCACGACGCGGAACACCTCTTTCTGCTATGCAATATGTGTATGTACTTGGCGTTCGGGGCGAATACGGAAATCACAAATCTCCTCATACCAACAACAACCACAATCGCGATTTGTCTTTCTTTCTTTCCCTTCGATCCCGAACCGAAAACAAATACGCCGTCTGCTTGGATGACTTGCTTTCTAGGCTCACCACAGCTTGACTACATCATGGCCAGGGCGACCTGCACCGCCTGGTCGTGACGCTGCGTTCGGTTCCGGACCTGGATTACATCACGGCGGTATCGACAAATAGACCTTCTTGAATATACCTACTACCTAGCAAACCGACCGGCGCGCGCGCCCATCTTCCTCCCGATCGATTAAACAGCACTCTCTGCTGGGTCGTTTTTCCGATGTTTGTTGGGAATATAGTATCGTCGAAGAAAAAAAAATCGTACAGACCAAAAAGAAAAGAAGAAAAAAAAGTGGGTTTCGCCAAAGCTAAACATCCCCAAGTCGCTATGCCGTTTGGTTGCTAACTCCTTTCAACCCGGTGAGAATCCCTCCAGATCGGACACCTTTGAACGCCCACGCCACTTCCGCTTATCCAGCCTTCAGTAGTTTCGAGCCCGCTTCCCAAAAGAGCCTTTGATCCCACAGCCTAACCTTGCCTTTTAGTCCCGTTGCCCGCTTGCCCACGAGTACACACACGATAGTTCGTTGTTACACCGAAACGCCGTCTTCGCTGCCGCCACGAGTTCTGCGTCGTCCGCTTGCGCACAGGTTATGCGTTGCGGCTGTTGTTGTGCAACTCTCTCAGCCTCTTGACCCAGTGCTTGCGTAATGCCGGCGACATCTTGCAAAATATCATGGCCTTATTGTCGTCCGCCAGGGCCTTCTCTGCAATCTTGAGCTGAAGGTCCATGTCTTCGTCAGAAAAGTCGCGGAAGAAAATGTCAATGGCCTGCTCGGGCCACTTTGGTGGGCTCCGGCCGCGGAGGGCGTCGGCTATTCTGATGAGGCCGTCCTCCATCAGCTGCTTACCGGCAGACGCCATGGACGACGACGACGCGTCATTGCCGTGGTTGGAAGATGCGCCAGATCCCGATGCCTGTGCGGGGTTTGTGTAGCCCGATATGCGTCGGCGCTTCTCCGCCGGCTGTGTCGGTGGCCCCATGGGAGCCGTCGGTGCCTTGCCGCCGGCGTCGGATGTCGGGGCCTGCTGCGGGAATCGTTTCCGTCCAGTGGCTGTCTCCTCTGGCGGCGTCAATGCGCTCGTACCCGCGATGTGCGTTCTCGGCGGAATCGCGGTGGATGTGGGTCTCTGCTGTGGCTGTTGCTGCTGTTGCTGTTGCGGCTGCGCTTGCTTCTGGGGTATCATTGGTTGCTGTACTTGCGCTACAGGAGATTGGCTAACTGATCCCCGAGGCTGCGCCTGTTGGTTAGTGCCCGATTGCGAAGGGGGTTGATAAGGCGGCTCAACCTGAAGATCGAGGACGGCGGTGCCCGGCATATCCGGATCTTCGGATCCCTGGATCACGTCCGGCCCCTTTCGCTTCGGCTTCATGATGCGCTTCGGGGCGCCGCCGGATCCGACCACGTCCGGATACAAGACCTCCATGAACTGCTCATGGTCGAACGGCCGACCTCGCAATGCGCGCGACAACGGCTCTTTCTGCGGCAAAGAGTTAGCGACAAAGCTGCAGAACCAGAAACGCGAGAGTAGGTGGGGAAAGGCGGCGGAGAGGCGGGGCGTTGGGGACGCGCGCCGCGTCAACGAACCTCGATATGCGCTTTCCAGGCCTCCTCGGACGCGGTGACGGTGCGGGTGGTCGGGTTATAGAGGAATTCGGGGTCCTCGCGCAGGCCACGCCACAGACGGAACTTTTTGCGGGCATTATCCGACTTGTTCACGAGATGGCTTTTCGTGGGATAGGCGCCGTGTTTCTCGCGAAGGGCCGTGGCGGCACGGTCCCAGGCGTCAGCCTTGAAAGAATGGTTTTCGCGCAGGCCTAGCTGGACAGAATCGCAGAGAGATCGGAAGAAGGTGGCTTCGTAGGCGGGCGTCCAACTAAATCGCGGTGCGCGCTTGTCGCGGTCACCGCCGGCACTGCCAGGTTGGCCATCTGGGCCGGTAAACTCATCGTCTGACATTGAGTGGTTTTGGGGGGGCCAGCGGGGTTGAGGGCGAAAGAAGCAAGCGGCAGGCCAAAGGAAGGAGGATAATGGCTATCCCGCAAAGGGTTAGGGATTCCACTGCAGGACGAACACACAACGGGTTCGCGGCGGGATGGACGGCGGATATGCAGCAATGCCTTGGACCCCCCCTACAGGAGTCGCGATAGCTCCCGCCGGGTTTGGGGAAGGAAGGGAACAAGAGCCACGGGCGATGTCTGATGCTGATCTGACGATGGGGGTTGAGCAAGCAAATGCAAAGAGAGGCGCACGCAGCTCTGATGGACGGGATGGATGGGGGCGTGCAGGGCGGAGGATTGGTGGGTGGGCGTGTGACCCGACGAGGGACGTCGGTCGGGTTTGCGCGGGAAGCGAACGGTTGCGCGCGAGGGAAAGAAATCAAAGCAAGCAAGCAGCGAACGGGCTGCCTTTCTGAGGCTGGCTGCGGATTCGCTCGCTTACTTGGTTGCTTTGCATGCGTGCGTGCGTGTGTGCGTGTACGAGTCGTCGTCGTCGGGGTGCGCGGGTGCGCTCGCACGTCTTTCTCTCTGTGGTAAATCAGCGAGGCTGGCGGCTGGAGCTGAAGCTGAGAAGGGCGGGGCAGCCAAAAATGACTTGACTGGAAACGAGTCGGGCGCAAGTCACGTTGTCTCTACGAGTCCGAAGGGGGGTGAAATGGAGAGACAGACTGCCACGAGCGGTGGTGGTGGTGATTGTGGTGTTGGGGGGGGCGGACCGGGGAGCTGGACTGGCCTGGGCGGGACTGGGCCTGTTGTCTCTCATTGGGTTTAGGTTGGCGACGTTGGTTGGTCACGCCTCTCCTTCCCTTCCCCGAGTCGGGGTCCAGCCCACAGCGTCAGAGGCCAGTCATTACTACTTAGCCACCTAAGGCAGACTGGGTGAAAAGATAGAGACTACCGGTACTATTGTAATAGGTACCTAAGACAGGCGCCCACGGATGCTCCTCCCACTCAGCAAGACGGTTTCTATTGGCTGCTGAACGTGCGTTCCCGCTCGAGTCCACCTTAAGGTCTTGGACGGGCCGGGGTCACGTGGGATCACCTGAGTTGTCTCTTTCCTATTTGAGGCCCGTCACCTCACCTCCACTACCTTTGTCATCATATCCTTACCTGGCTTAGCTTACTGGGCAGATAATGCACTAATACCTCAGGTTCAAATGTGCTTAGTAACGCCAACGGCAACACCTCCCCCGGATTTTCCCTCTCCATTCCCACGGCATTTCCTATTGCCTCTTCCGAAACCATCCACCCGCTCTCTCACAACTACTCCCACCACCACCACCGTGCACACCTTCTTCAACATCCGGCTTGGCAGAAACACCAAAGGCTTTGTTTGTCTGGCCGAACCATCAAACTTATCTGATGGAGTCGGTGTCTTTTTTCTTCTCTCTTTTCTTCTCCTTTTTTTCTGTTTCCCTGCTTAGTCATTGATTCTGCTTGTTCATGTGAGCGGGCGTCTCTGTCTGCGGGCTGAGTTTCCTCTCTTTTTCCCACTTTATTAGCTACTCCCTCCCCCGTAAGTCAAGCTTTTTGCGCCATGTTTGCCCAGACCCGAAAAAAGGGCAGGCGCCTCTGACAATATTTGCGACGTCGCTTCTTTCGAATGCTCTGTTTATAACTCTCTCTCTCTCTCTCTGTCGTCACCAGTACGTTAAGTTGACTACACCACCTCGGAAATAGCATTCCCGTCTCACATGTCCTCCCCCTTCTACACGAGAAAAAAGCCAATCTGATATCCTTGGGCTACGAACCCCTCACGATACTTTCGAGCGCAACAGAAGGTGGTCGACATGAGCGAGGGCCGATGCCTGCCACCACACGGCAAGCTGCAGACCCTAACTAAACTAGTCGGCATCCATCCCTCCCTCTCGAATACCTTGGATCGCAGATGGACTTATCTGCCATCACCGGCCAAGCTGCCCAGGACGATACTCAAATTGCCCGCAAGCAGACCCTTACGACTTCGTCTGCGAGGTAAGTAAACTACACAGTGTACGCTGTCGTTTAAAGCGGCATTCGTTGGCAACCGGCGAGCGCATTCTTCAAACCCACCGCACATTAACACTGCTCAACAACACCATGGCCCCCCGTTGTGACATTTCGAGTCCTAACCTCGAGTTCCGCCCCGCCCCCTTTTTTTTTTAATGCTTCCAGATTGGCTTTTAAAGTTGCATCTTCAAATATGACAACTTTCCATGTTCCCGAGGCATGCGTTCCGTTCAGATGATGGCAGGCGTGCGCTCCTCCCTCTGGTCCCTGAGTCTACCTAGGTGCTCAGAGGCACAGGCTCAGGCGCAAAGGTAAAATATGGTTGTTTTCATCTCGTGTCGTCCGCGGGGCTCGTGGAGGCCTTCTGTAGCGTGTTGAGCCAACTTGACTTGCCTCACATAGACCTATCCGTCTACCATTTTCAGCGCACGCACGGCGCATCGACGAAAGGCTATATATATATATATATGTATGTATATGTATAAATGTGTATGATATGGCATCCGGCCCAAGTAAAAGCTCTCTGTCGTGTATCCAATGCGCACCCCCCCCTACTACAGAACCTCTCTGTTGGCGTATATTCCCCCGTCATATTGATGTCAGCTATGGGAGGGGGTTACTTGCCCCTCCCTGCCACCTTGTGTGTTTATACATTTATCAAACTCTCAAGGCTGTTTGTGTTTGGATGGCTCGTGTGCATGCATGCAGCCATATATCCTGGATGCCTCCCACTCCAGTCTCTTTTGTGTTTTCCCAGGGGAGGGTGCTGCGATTGGCACCAACTTCCCTGAGACGGCGAGGTGATTTACCTGAAGCGAGTGCATCACCAATTGTCGCCACCAGGTCGGAGGACGGAAACAAATCGGGGCAGAGATCAGCTCCGGGCCATGTCATATGTTTCTTGCCAGGGAGCAAACAGCACTGCAGACCGTGCAACGAGGACCGGACTGTCTGCGCCCCATGCCGTTATGTGATGTGTGCCCGGGGTAAGCCTTCGGAATGGCCAGGCCCTGCGGCGCAATGTAGGTATACCAAACTACATGGCTACCTAGTTTATCAAGTCTACTGGTATACGGATACTGGATAGCAAGTATCTGTACTCTACTGGACACCTAATTCGGTACAATACAGTACACTACTAGTGTACCTCGTACACTACGCCAGACACATGTGCCGTTCGGGCTAAAGGCCCGCTCGGAGCTTTCTTTACTGGCATCACCGTTGCTCGACGCTGTCTCAGAATGTTCGGTGGGTCGTTTCAGGGCCTGGCGGGCTGACCACTTGGAGACGTCCACCAGCGAGGGTGGCCTTCCCTCCGAGGGAGAGGGGGGATGGCCTTTCCTCTCAGTGCCTCCTCCTCCCCACCATCACGACAACAACCGCAACGATTACCACCACCCTTTCGAGCCCAACGGACCAGTAGCCGCTAACAGATATGAGCCTGGCCTGGAACAATCCTTACCGCCATCGACCGATTGGGTCTCGCTGTGCAGCGAGGGTGAACTCGACTCCGGCCTGGAACACATCTTGCTTGCACATGGCTTAGCAGCGCCGTTTACCCGACACATACGCCACATTCTCTCCCCGTAATCTCCTGAGCTAAGCTGTCGGGTCTCTCAGGAAGCCGTGGTCGGAAAGGAACCACAAACCAATCAATCTAGATGAAGGGAATCGGCCTTGCAACAGGAGCTCTCCCGTTCCGGATTGATGCACGCAGTGGAAGGCTAATCGCTCGGTAGTGACACGGGCGGGACCGACGACGGCTGCCTCCCTCTGTTGGGAGCCCGAGTTCCGCAAACAATGTCGGTTTTGGCTTCAGCAAGGCCACTTGTTTCTCCTTCGTCTGGTATCCTGAAATAATCGTGTTCGGTGTTCCTCTTTCGCAACACTCGAAGCTTAGCACGCCAAGCACCTAGGTAGCATCAAGGCCCATAGGGCAGATCGCCCTTGGCAGAAAGTCTTGGGTTTTTCTTGGCCTGCACAACGCCAGCCAAGCGATGTGATGCTTCGCTAGCGGCCGGGAAAACAGCCCATGGGGATCGCTGAAACGCCGAGCAGAAACAACATCGCCGACGCCGACTCCCCTACTATTAGGCAGTTTACAACGGAAAGGGGGTAGAGAGAGAGGCCCCATTGATGACACTACCTACCTACCCGGATTATCCATCTTCTTGAACACGCTTTCTACATGGTACATGGAGATATGCTCGGTCTTCTCCGTCGTCCCTCCCGCACGCTCGACCCCGGTCCCCTGCTGATGCTGAGGCTACCCCGGTTCGAGGGTGCTAGGTATTTATTGTTCTTCGCAGCCATGGAACTGTTCACCATTACTCCGTACCCCGTTTCCTTTCCAACTTGGCTAGGGCCAGGGCAACGGCGGTCCGGCGGGACACTGGGTTCGATCGAGGCCAAGAATAGCACCAATGCTGCTGCTGCTTCCTCCGATGCTCGTCGGATAATCCGCCATTGTCCTTCCCCGTGCCAGTATCCGTACTTTGTCTGATAATGAAAGCACTGCACAAAGTCGACGTTGGCGCGCCGGGGAGGGAGTAAGCCTCTCGCACCCAGCTTTCATCTGGCCAAACATTTGGGAGGGCCTGTGGAGAAAGGGGGACGGAGACCAATCTAACTGGCACCTCGTCTAAATGCTTAGCCAGGCAGTTCACTGGGTCTATCGTGCGCCTTTTGTCCTATATAGGAACGTCCCCGATCGACTCCCTTCGAGGGAGAAGTACTGGACAACAATGTCTGGCCACCCACTTGCACCAGGAATGGACAGAATGCAACCGACCGGCAAGCTGTTCCGGCATCCTAGCATCTCTCGGCGGCATGCGAAATCGCCTCTCCCGTGCATTTACCTACACTAGTTTCCGACACCTCTGGCAGGCTGCGCCCGTCTAGGTACTAGGTAGTGTAGCTCCGAGCAATCGACCCCCGGGGGGCAGTGACAAGCTCAACGCTAGGGAGATTGACAACGCAAGCGCCTTGCCCGTTCGCCTTCTCATCAGCGTCACATCAGCATCTTAACCGCCGCATCTCTTGTATTGTGGAAAAGACTGGGATCAAGTCGACAACCTGGTTTGCCCACGTACTTACGTTTAGATGGCTCGATGGGTACTACGTACGTGAATACGTGGTGAGATGGATGATGCCTCAGGATAAAGGCTCGCCAGTTTCTCATACCTAGTCCTCGAGACTTTTACATCCGAATCCTGAGATCCCTTGGCTCTCTCTCTCTCTCTCTCTCTCTCTCTCTCTCTCTCTCTCTCTCTCTCTCTCTCTCTCAGACCTCTCTTCCCTCAACTCACGGGACCTGCGTCACGTACAACAAGAAAGCAAGAGGTCAAGAACGTACATAGTAGAGCCGCCACGCACCCCATTGATCCATCCACACGCACTCTGAGCCACCCCCTTCCCCTTCTCCTCAGTACCTACGTGTACGCGCTGGCCTACCAAGCACCCATCGCCCGATATCCTTGCTTTGGATCACTCCTTGGCTGAATGTGGGGTAAGGGGACTCCCTGCTTGCGACCGTTCTTCGGTCAACGTATTCGCACCACTCCAAAACATGCTACCAGGTCCACTTCGTTGCCGCAACTCGCGTCTTGGAATCCCGACTGGCGGGAGAATGGGCTTTCCCCTTGCTCTCTTCAGCCCAAGTGGTGCATACTATGTAGGCAATCATGGTTCGACCGGTTCGATGATTGATCCGTGCATCCCAGGGTTGGCCCCCGGCTTGGCATGGACGCGCACGCTCCTTGCTCAGCGGGACATTCTGTGACCAGGGCATCACAACTTGAGACTTGACCCGCCTGCACCCTCCAAGCATCGACGCGCACGACGTCGTCGTCCCATTGTTTCTGCAACATGTATGACCCTCGTAATCTGAACACCCATGGTGGTGGCCATCTCTTGGGTGTCTTTGCTTTTAAACATTAACTCGGCTTGTCCTCCTTCTTTCCGCCCTTCTTACCCTCTTCTTGACCATCCTCTGCTTCTTCTCCTTCCACCCGTCACCAGTTTCCTCTCCTTCACGACGAGTGTTTTCTTTTTCTTTTTTCTTTCTTACCTTTGAGGGCTCCTGGTGATAGTCCCTCGTCCGTCTTTCGTTCTCGGTTAATAAGCCTCCTGGTGTGGCCTATTCTTCGAATCCCCTTTCTTGTCTCTTGATTGCCCATCTGGTGGCGGACAGCATCACACGTTCAGAATGGAGTCGGTTTCATTGCGGTCCCTTTGCCTGTACGGCCTGTTGGCGACCTTCGCCGACGCTTCCCCGGTCGAGAAGCGCTCCAACATCCAGAAGCGAGGACACTTCGTCGTCCCCAGAGTGCCTAATGAGAACTTCAAGGGCCACGATGGCACGAGACAACTGATCAAGGCGTACCGCAAGTTCAGCATGCCCATGCCCCCGGGTCTGCTCGACGCCATTGCCGCCCAGGCAGCCAAGAACCCAGAACCCGTCAAGGCCGAGAGCGTCCAGGCCGGGGGCTTCAAGGCCTTCGCCGCGAACGACTCCACCGCCGCCGCCGGCGCTCCCGAGACCGGAACCACCACCGCCACCCCGATCCGCAACGACGTCGAGTACATCTCGCCCATCAAGATCGGCGGCCAGACGATCAACGTCGACTTCGACAGCGGCTCCTCCGACCTCTGGGTCTTCACCTCCATGCTCGACGCCCAGGCCCAGACCGGTCATGAGCTGTACGACCCCACCAAGAGCCAGACCGCCAAGATGCTCCAGGGGCAGCAGTTCAACATTCGGTACGGTGACGGCTCCGGCGCCCAGGGCGTCGTCGGAACCGACGTCGTCGACATTGGCGGTGCCGTCGTCCAGAACCAGGCCATCGAAATGGCGACCGCCGTCTCCCAGCAGTTCATCGAGGACACCTCCAACAACGGTCTCATGGGTCTCGCCTTCTCCAAGCTCAACACCGTCAAGCCCAACATTCAGAAGACCTTCTTCGACAACGTCATGTCCAGCCTCGCCGAGCCCGTCTTCACCGCCGACCTCCGCAAGAAGACCGTCGGCGCCTACGAGTTCGGTCGCATCGACAACACCAAGTTCACCGGCCAGATGAACTGGGCCCCCATCAACACCACCAGCGGCTTCTGGCAGTTCTCCAGCGAGAAGTTCGCCGTTGGCGACGGCAAGGTCCAGACCGGCCTCGTCGGTGGCCAGGCCATTGCCGACACCGGTACCACTCTCCTCCTCGCCAACCCCACCATGGTCCAGGCCTACTACGAGCAGGTCCAGGGCGCCAAGAATGACCAGACCGTCGGCGGCATTACCTTCCCTTGCAACGCCAGCCTCCCCGATCTGATGATGGATATTGGCGGTGCCTTCATGGCCCGCGTCAAGGGTAGCGACATCAACTTCGCCCAGGTTGACCAGCAGAGTAAGCCCACCCTAACCGTCCCCTTCCGTTTCTTTATACCTACAGGAGCCCATCACTAACATGCATCTAGCTTGCTTCGGCGGTCTCCAGGCCACCACCTCCAACCTCCAGATCTACGGTGACATCCTGTTCAAGTCGCAGTTCGTCGCTTTCAACGGCGGCAACAACTCCATTGGCATGGCAGAGCACGTCGTCAGCAGCCAGAATGCTGGCGTGGCGGTCGGAACTGGGTCTGGCGCAGCGGCGTAAGCATTGACACCGTGCGGCGGCTTCATTCTTTTTTCATTGGTATTAAGATTTATTTGTGTTCGTGACTAGGTTCAACAATATGAACAGCGACAGCTCGTCGTCCGGAAGCGACAGGTCGATCAGGACCGCCATGGGAGGATTAATGGTCGTTTTGCTGTCCGCTGTGGTCATTGGCGCCTGAGACGGACTAGGCAAGGACGCAGGCCCTTTGTAATTTTCTTCACATCTGAACGAACCGGGACCTAGGTGGTGAATCTCATCCCTACTTAGATATCCCTTCAGCTCTCTAGCCGGCATAGTAAATGAAACGCATTGTGGTCTAAACAGTACATAATACTCCCCTAGTGATGGCGGTCCTCCATCCATGACTCATTTGGTCCCCTCTTCGGCTTTGGCCTTGTATTCCTGTTTCCTAACTCGCTGACAAAGTTCCTTCATCGTGTTGCCAAGCCACTCAAAGTCTTTCTCGTCCAGGAAAACCTGCGCACTGACCCTCATGTACCAGCGGCCCTGGTGCCAGAACAAGGCAACGAAGGTGAGGTATTCGTTCACCAGTGCCTTCAGCATCCAGTTGACGACGACGGAAGCCTCCTTCTCCGGCACCGTCACCGTGCCGTCCGGGGCAACCGACATGGCCTCCACGTCTGCGGCGCCCGTGACGATCGGCAGCGCGACGTTGACCATGGCGCACTTGGTCAGCGTCTCGGACTTGTTGTCCAGGATGAAGGTGCCCAGCGCGGCAGCGACCTTCTTGCCGCCCTCCTTGGCCAGCGTCCAGAGGTACTCGAAGATCTTGTCCTCTCCGCCGATGCTCTTGCGCCACTCGATGGCGTGCTTGACGCACAGGTACGGGGCATTGTCGAGGGTGCCCACGAAGTTGAAGGCCCTCACGAAAGGGGACTCGTCGGCCGCCGGGAACGGGTTGTGACGCCGCACCCCGGAACGGGCCACGTAGCCGTGGGACGTCGGCACCGTCGAGGCTATGAGGTGCTGGTTCCGCTCGGGGACGTAGAACACGGCGCACGCGCGCGGGACGTGAAGCCACTTGTGGCAGTTGGACACGAAGAAGTCCGGGTCCGTGGCGGCGAGGTCCAGGGGCACCATCCCCACGCCCTGGGCGCCGTCGATGACGCTCATGATGCCCAGCTCGCGGCAGGCGGCGGTCACGGCCTGGTAGGGGAACGCGATCCCCGGCAGGCTGGAGACGACGTCGAAGAGGCAGACCTTGGGGCGCTTGCCCTCGGCGCGGCTTTTGGCGACGGTTTCGTGAAAGAGGGCAACGATCTCGTCATCCTCGAGGGGGTACGCGAGGGTGATGCCGCGGGAGGAGACGAGGCCGGCGCTGATATCAACGACATAGTCGATGATGTTGCCGCAGCCGCCGTAGACGGTGGAGAAGTAGAGGATCTCGTCGAGGCCGTCAGGGTTCCAGGTTAGGTTGCGGAGAACTGTGTTGATGCCGACGGTAGCGTTGGAGACGAAGACGGTGCAGGAGAGGGGTGCGTTGAGGACTTCTGCTATAGCCTGGCGGGATTCGTTGAGTCGGTCAATGTAGGTCCAGCGGATGAAGGGGTCAGGCCGTGCTTCGGCCTGGTCCTGGTAGGAGCGGAGGACGGCTTGGATGTGACGAGGAATAGTGCCGAAGGACCCTGGGAGGTTTCGTTAGCTGAGACCATGCGAAGAGGTGCTTCGAGGGCGAGGGGTGGCGAGTGGTTGACACTGAGGCCGTACCATTGTTCATGTTACGATAAGCCGGGTCGATGAGGAATTCCTTCAGCATGGCCTTCCCAAATGGAGGCGAGCCGAGCTGAAGCTGGCTCGTTTCTTTGACGAGGTCGCCCATGATGCCAATTGGTCCTGAGTGGTAATGATGATACCCGTCACGTTGGGATCAGTGAACAAAAATAAGCCTTTTCCGCGTGGGTAGTGAGTCAATTGGCTAACGATGGATAGAGTTCATATCGGCGGGCTTCTTGCATCGCTATATACGCCGCCTTTATACAAATATCGACAGCATCCATAAGTCTTCAGCTTGAACGACCTGAGTCACCGTTGAGATTGGTAATCGTGTCGTTCTGAACGATATCGACCAGGTCCACTTCCGCACTCCTCGCGGCCGGGGGCACGGGTCCAGAACGGGGGGGTGAACCGCTGCGAGCCGCCAAGCATGTTCCGCGCAGGGCGCGCGGCCCGCACCAACTGACTTTTGAGCTTAGTGAAGGCCGGTTGGATGGTATTATCGCACCGCCGGGTGTGGCCGACTGGATCTGGGTGGGCCACTAACAGAGCTTCGAACCAATGCAAGTCTGCATATCTGAACAATTAGAAGGAAATTGGTTGGTGGCTCATTGAAGGAAATTGGTTGGTGGCTCATTGAATGAAGCTTCGTGATAAGCATCTGATACCGAAGGTCGGGCACTGAAGTGGTTCCCTTGAGATAAACGCTCGGGCGAGAGACAAACGGAGCTTTGCTTCAGTAACCCGGCTGATAAGGAGCATCAAGGCTTGGCGAGAAAACACCGGCCTTGGTCACTGATCTCGGATCCACCGAGAGCAGCCGGTGACTCAGAAAGATCCTGAAGCGGGTGGGAAAGTGGGCTGCTGAGACATGGTTGTAAGACTGCAAATTTAAACCTTGTATTGAGTTGAGTATGAGACATGATACTTTTACTGTATTTCTGTGATTGTGTATGGTTAATATTGTGTACCTATGCGGCCCTACGGGGGACTGCCTTGAGTAGGAGGAGCCTTGTTAAGACTGCAAATAAACTTGACTGTAATTATAAGCAAATGTTGTTGGCACAGAGTGTTCCCAAAGATGGTTGCAAAGGATAGATTGTAAGGATTGGTTGACTAGGTTAGGTCGAGATGTTGAGATTCTCCGTTACGCTAACAGTACTTAGAGTTCAACTCTGAAATGAGCCAGAAACGGGCATTGTTGCGTTGAGTCTGTGACTCTCCGTTTCCGTTAGGCTAACGGTACTTAGAGTCCGACTCTGGAATAAATCAGAAACGGAGATGGTGGTGGACATAACTCTGAAAGATGGATTCTGAGGATTAGTTGACTAGGCTAGTCGAGATTTAGATTCTCCGCTACGCTAACGGTATCCGTACTTAGCATTCCGACTCTGGAATAAGTCAGAAACGGAGATAGCAGCGGGCATAGCTAGTTCCCCATCTCTGACGGTAGAATCCGGCCGAGACACTAGCCCCACAGCCGTGTCACAGCCCAGACACAGGGTTGGTGCCCGCGCTCTTGACGGTCCACTATATAAGCCACTATTCCGCCTCCAGCATGCAACAAACTCAAAACGGAGATGTTGGCGAACATAGCTCAGTTGGGAGAGCGTCAGACTGAAGTCAACTTCAATCACTTAATCTGAAGGTCGTGTGTTCGATCCACACTGGTCGCATCTTTAACTTTTGCCCTTTTGCCATGACTTTCAGATCCATCAATTTGGATACTGCAGTAGTTGGTTGGTATATGTATGTAGTAAGTAAGTAAGTAGATAATTGATTTATGAATAATCTATGCGTATCCTTTGTCGCTCCCTTTCGTGCGCGCTGATTCCTTCATTTGCTTGGTTTCGTTTAGATCATTGCCGGGCCACCCAGGTTGCTAAAAAGAGTGCATACACACTTTAACCTACCCACACCAAGTGCTCCCTTTCCCTACCTACTACCCCTATGAATAGGACCATAAAAGTCCAAATATTGCCGTACAAATAAGCGATTTTAAATTCTTATGGCAATATCTATCAGTACTATGTTGTTTTGCACTCTCTTAATATAGTCTCTTTAAGTCGCTAGGGCGCTTGATCTACCTACTTGTTAACAGTCTCTTGCCGTAACTTTTGCCCCTAAGCCTCTAAAGCAGCTAAAATAAAGTGTGCAGTTCTTTTTGCAACCCGGGTGCCGGCCTGTTCCGACTCTCTTCCCCTTCCGCGTTGCGCGGTGCCTGTTCCTCCAGCCATGTGCCTGTTGAATGTTACTTCAGTGCAACCAACGTGTTGTTGTAACTCTGCATATTCCGCATCCCTGTTTCCTTCCTTGCATTCGGTCCGTAGGAACTTAGACCTGGGATCGCACAGGGGAGGGGGGATTCAGGGCAGTGCGCAACCTACGATCGATCGGCATTGGAGCATTGGAGGGAGAAACGTGGAGGTAGTTCTCCGGGCCAGGTTCCAGGTTAGCCAGGCCCAAGCCAATGCTCGCCGTTGTCGTCTTGTGAGAATCACGCATAAGCCAAATGTCGCACAACAGAAGAAGAAGAGGAACAGGAACGCATGGCAGCCAGGCTAAGAAGAACAAGCAGCTAGACACGACACCTTCGCGACGATGCCGTCAGCGTTCGTCAGGGTGTTCAGGATGAGTTCATCCTATCCTCGTCTTCCCCTTCGGAACGGTTGGGACCAATCTCCGCCATTGCCGTCCCCCGGAATCAAGTAACCGGCATGCCGACGCGGGGTTGCAAGGGCGCCGGCGTACATTGATGCGGTGTAATTTCATCACGTCATCTTAACCAAGCCCAAAGGCCTACAAAGTTCGGCCCGGTTAGATTTTCACCCGCACCCTCTCTGTACAGCCGCCTGTTCACAATTGGACAACGGCCGACGATTGTCCGAGACACATGCTCTTGGCCTCTGGTCTCTCCGCACTGCAACCTCCCCTTTCCCCTCACTGCACCGGTACCTCCCCGCCAAATCCTCGGCTCCCAAGAGATCGAGTGTAACCAAGCGGCAGCGTCAATGTCACATGAGAACCAGGCACACACTCTCTGGAGAAATGACGATCTTGATCCTGATCCCCCTTTCGAGCCGGAGGTTGCAGACCGCTTACATTAGAGACTGGGGGAGCTCCTCCCATAGTACTGTCTGTGACAGGGGCAAGCTCTTTAAGCAGCCGAGTATTAATCGCTCATCGCGTGAAGGGGGTTGTCAATACCAAGCCGCCGGATACTACCACCGAGCGGCCCAATAATCAGATTACTTGACTTAGCCGTTGCCCTTAATGACAGAGCCAAGAAATGTAGGCCGGGTCGCAGTATATTCCAACCCAACCAGTGGTTGCCGAAGCCAGACGTGTCCCTGCAGCTGGGCATGATATCATAAGACATCCAGACCTCAATGAGTTTCCAATTGAAGCCACCGGATGGACAGTCTCCCTCCCCCTCGGCAGCTTGGCTCGAATCCCGGTGGAGCCCAAGCAAGTTGAATGGAACAGATCCTCACTGCTCAAGCGGGGAGAGCAGAGGAAGCCCAAGCTCGTGGTGCTTCAGGCCTACACGTGGAAGTATAAAGAGGAGGACGCAGGAACCACACCCGGGACCAGTAGTATAACGCTCCTCGCTACCTTCCAGCGTCACCCTTCTCGATAACCACCAATCCCACAATGCATCTCTCCAAGATCGCATTCTTCGCCGCGGCGACGACCCTCGCCGCCGCGCAGGACTCGGCGAGCCCGCGCCGCTCCCCGGAATGGGACGCCGCCTACGCCAAGGCCAATGCGGCGCTGTCCCGCGTCTCCCTGGACGAGAAGATTGGCATCGTCTCGGGCATCGGCTGGAACAACGGCCCCTGCGTCGGCAACACGTCCCCGGCCTCGTCCATCAGCTACCCCTCCCTCTGTCTCCAGGACGGCCCCCTCGGCGTCCGCTACGCCCGTAGCGTCACGGCCTTCGTGCCCGGCATCCAGGCCGCGGCCACGTGGGACCTCGACCTGATCCGCGAGCGCGGCGTGTTGAAGGCCACAGAAGCCAAGGGCGTCGGCGTGCACGTCATGCTCGGCCCGGCATGCGGCGCTCTCGGCAAGATCCCCAGCGCCGGTAGAAACTGGGAAGGTTTCGGCCCCGACCCATACCTGATGGGCATCGCCACCAAAGAGACGATCGAGGGCATGCAGTCCGCGGGCGTCCAGGCGACGGCGAAGCACTACATCGCCAACGAGCAGGAGCTCAACCGCGAGACCATCTCGAGCAACGTCGGCGACCGCGCCCTGCACGAGCTGTATCTCTGGCCGTTTGCAGAGGCGGTCAAGGCCAACGTTGCCTCGGCCATGTGCTCGTATAACAAGGTGAACGGCACGTGGGCGTGCGAGAACGACGTGGTGATGAACAAGCTGCTCAAGCAGGAGCTCGGGTTCCCGGGGTACATCATGACGGACTGGTTCGCCACGACGGGCACGGTCAGCGGCGCCAACTCGGGCCTCGACATGATGATGCCCGGCTCCAACTTCAACAATGAGCCGTGGTCGGTGTGGTGGGGCCCGCAGCTCAAGACGGCGGTGCAGAACGGCCAGGTCTCGCAGGCGACGCTCGACGACAAGGTCCGCAGGATCCTCGCGGCGTGGTACCTCGTCGGCCAGGACCGGGGATCGTACCCGCCCGTCAACCTTGCCGCCGACGTGCAGGGCAACCACAAGCAGAACGTGCGCGCGACGGCGCGCGACGGCATCGTGCTCCTCAAGAACGACAACGCCATCCTGCCCTTGAAGAAGCCGGGCAAGATCGCCGTCATCGGCTCCTCGTCCGTCAACAACCCGGCCGGCATCAACGCCTGCGTCGACCGCGGCTGCAACACGGGCACCCTCGGGATGGGGTGGGGGTCGGGCACGGTCGACTACCCTTACCTCGTGGCGCCTCTGGACGCGATGCGGCAGCGCGCGGCGCAGGACGGCACGCAGGTGTCGGCAAGCAGCAACGACAACGCGCAGCAAGGCGCCGCGGCGGCATCGGGCGCTGACGCAGCTTTCGTCTTCATCACGGCCAACTCGGGCGAGGGCTACATCACCGTCGACGGCAACCCCGGCGACCGCAACAACCTGGACCCGTGGCACAACGGCAACGAGCTCGTGCGCGCCGTGGCCGCGGCCAACCAGAACGTCGTCGTCGTCGTCCACAGCACGGGGCCCATCATCCTCGAGACCATTCTCGCGCAGCCGGGCGTCAAGGCCGTGGTCTGGGCCGGGCTGGGGTCGCAGGAGACGGGCAACGCGCTCGTCGACGTGCTCTGGGGCGCGACGAACCCGAACGGCAAGCTGCCGTACACTATCGGCAAGACCGCCGCCGACTACGGCACCTCCGTCTCCCGGGGCGGCCAAGACGACTTTGCCGAGGGCATCTTCATCGACTACCGCCACTTTGACCAGGCCGGCATCGAGCCTCGGTACGAGTTTGGTTTTGGACTGTGTAAGTGGACTCCTCCACCCATGCCCCCCCAACCCGTTCTTCCTAGCGCATACACGACTCTTCGCCTGAGAAAACGGTACTGACGAACGCTCAGCATACACCAACTACACCTACTCCGGCATCAGCGTGACCTCGACCGCCACGCCAGGGCCCGCGGTCGGGGAGGTGGTCCCGGGCGGCCGCGCGGACCTCTTCGACGTGGTGGCCACCGTGACAGCGACCGTCAAGAACACAGGCGCCGTGGCCGGCGCCGAGGTGGCGCAGCTATACATCACGCTCCCGTCGGGCGCGGCCGTGTCGCCGCCGAAGCAGCTCCGCGGCTTCGAAAAGCTCCGGCTTGCCGCCGGGGAGTCGGCCACGGCAACGTTCAACCTGAGGCGCAAGGACCTGAGCTACTGGGATGTCCCGAGCCAGAACTGGATCCTGCCGAAGGGGTCCTTTAGGGTGCGGGTCGGGGCCTCGAGCAGGAACCTTGCGCTGGAGGGTGGCTTGGTTGTGTCTTAGTGGTTTTCATGATTTCGAGGCCATCGGATAATTGGGGGAGGAGGAAGAGGAGGAGTGAAATGAGTGTAAATTATGAAAATGACAGACATGTAGAATGAGACCCGGATTGTTCCTCACTTGAGGCGTTGCATCACCACGTGAGCCAGCTGTTCAACCGGTCCGTTCCCCATGCCAGTTTGAATGCCGCGCATTCAGCCCGGCGGAAGACGACGCTAGCCGGAAGCGCGAACTCGAGAACGACATCGGAGCGCCGTCATACCGCCAGGTTCGGAGCAGCTTCGCGGTCGGATATATGGATCTCTCCGAATGCCGGGTGGCGGAGCAAACGCCCTGTGATGCGACCATCCTTGTTCATAACACCGAGGGCCGGATCAAGGCTTGCGCCCGGGAAACCTAGAACATGTTTCCATTCGTTCTAGAAGAAACAACAGGCAGCAGCGCCTCGCCACCTACGCTTGGGTAGATGCAGACCAGACCAGGGTGATGCCTGTTCATTGATCGAGTGGCAATGGAGGAAACTTGGGGCGAGAGGGGGCCGTGTCTTTTGTCATCTCGGCATGGAAAACTGAGTTGGTAGGCCAGTGGGGAAGCGCAACATGGGCGAGGCGCGGTTCGGGGGCATTACGTTCCCAAAATGACGTGATCCGAGGTGCGAAACAACGGTGGAGAAGTGAGTTTTGTGAGGAGGCTCCTGTACTGACGATGAGAATCAGGATTGATGAACAAGCCTCTTACCAATCTTAGGCGAGACCACCTAGAGTCGAAGTGGAGCGGTGAACGGCAGTCGGGATGAGACGCAGGCAGGGCGAGGATGAGTAGAGCACCAAGAAGAAGAAGAAGAAGAAGAAGAAGAAGAAGGAGGAGGAGGAGGAGGAGGAGGAGGAGGAGGAGAAGCATTCCTTGCGGTAGAGCCTCACTGGCGGTAATGGGTTGGCAAAAGTGACCGCCCGCACCGGGACTGGCCGAGTCGTAGTATCGATGCCGAAGAGCCGAAGCACTCGATGGAAAGTGGGTATCACGTGGGCGGGGGCGCGGAGTGGGGCTTGGCGCACCGCCTCTCCCATTCCACCCGGACCCGGACCCTTTCTTCTTTCCAAGCCTCAACTTCGGAGCTGTGTCGAAAATGTGTAGTGTAGTGTATCTGTATCTGTATACCCAACGCTGATTAAGCCTGCATGCATGGAAGCCTTGGTCCGCGCATCTCCCCCGCCGACTGCGCCTAGCACGCGACTCGTCGCATCGGCACCCGGGGAGGGGAGGAGGGCCGCATACGGCACTTACTGCGCCGCCTTGCGGGAAACGACGCTACCTACAGCCACTCGACTAACGGCCCTCTCCCGTCTCATCTACATATCACAAAGATAGACGTCCACCTACTCCCTACCGTGTTTGGTTCTGGCAAAAAAAAAAAAAAAAAAAAAAAAAGAGGGGAAACACACAGGAGCAGACATGCAACGATGACGAAGGGAGGCAACATCAGACGTCCCCCCGTCCAGATGAGAAGAGGGGAAAAAACAAGAAACCCCGTGACGGGAAGGCTTGAGGCCTCGGTATCATGACCGCCTGTCTCGGTACTAGTCCCCGTTCGAGGCACGAACAGGTCCCCTCCCAGTCCTGCTGAGAAAGCCATAAGGGCGGGCAGAGTGACTCTTTGCCCAGACAAAGACACCTCAGCATGTGTGTTTGTAATGTCGCCACGGTGTTCGGCATACGTGTAAACATGAACTCTTTCCTGCCCACCAGGCGGTTCATAATGATGATTTTGAAAAAAAAGGATGCATACTACCCCAGTCAGCCAAGAGAGGGGATGGGGAACCCCTTGGCGACCAGAATACGGCTACTCGGGTTCCAACCCGTCCCGCTGTCCAGAAGATCGGGGCTGGTTTTGTTCTGCTGGTAGATACCTGTGCCATGAGGCAGGAATGTGGAGGACGACCGTGAAAGGATGGACGCGGGACGGCGAGGATGGGGGGGTACGTGTCCATAGGCCATCTTACGCAATAAGCATCCCCCCAATTCCACACCCACCAATGACTTCGCCCCCCTCAGCGTGCTGGCGCCGGGATCCCATAATGCTCCCCTCCCCCCCAGGAGAAGCTTTTAGGTTCTTCCCGGTTCAGTCATGCCTTGACTTGCGTATGTGCCTGCTTTGGCTCCTTCAGCTAGGACTGTCTGCAGACATCCTGGGACGATGGGGATTTTTACTTAAGAGGTCCGGTGCCCGTTCGCCTTTAATGTGCATTTCTTTCCATTTCACCTTTCCTTCATCTTACAAATCCATCACCACAACATACGCAAGGAACGAAACAAATCTCAGGCACAGACACAATACATCTATAAACGGGACCAAACAACCCAGACCAGACCACACCAGTGAGAAAAAAGAGAGAAGAAAAAAAAAAAAGACACACACACAAACACAAACACACACAACCAACCTCCAAATGTCAGCACAAGACTACTACGGCGGCTCCCGCCCAAACACGCACACCCCGGGCGGCTCCCGCTCCGCCAGCGCAGAACGACCCCGCCCCGGCCACCATTCCCACTCGCACTCCCCCCACCACCGCTCCCGCTCCAGCGGCCCACCGCCACCCGCCGGCGCCGACGCCCAGTTCGGCGAGGACGGCGAGCGCGGCCTCGTCTCCACAATCGGCGGCGGCGCCGCCGGAGGCTACGCCGGTAAGAAGTTCCTCGGCGGAAAGCTCGGCGCCGTCGCGGGCGCCGTCGCCGGCGCAGTCGCCGCCAACAAGCTCGAGAACCGGCTCAGCGATGCAAGGGCCACCACTCGCACCAGGGGGAACACCAACCAGGGGGGTACTACGCCCGGTGGGGCCTTGGTCTGGTGAAGTTGTGATTACATTAGCCTCTATTCTTTCTTATGTTGTTACGCCGTTTGGGCTCTGACCCGGCCGAAAGCCCGTTATTTTGGACCCCCCCATCTGCGATACTTAACGTATTAAACTTTGGAGCGCATTAGACCTCCATCATAATACGTACCCTTTCTGATAAAGTCTTCATAATTAACTCGCGGACTTTTGTAGCTTCTACGAGGTGGCGTTTCCTGAGCAACAGGTCTGGCCGTTGCCTTCGGGACCATGATTACGATCGCGTTCGCTAAGCTCTTGATGTACGATAAGGTTAGGGCACCATGTACGTGGCCGGTGCATTGGGGACACCCGCCACCGTAACCCTAAGCACCGTTCTACCCTTTAAACCACCACAGCCACAGCCACCACCACGGACACCACCACTACGGCCCTCCCCGCCCGCACGCGCCGCACTTTGGGCCCCCGCACCTCGGCGGTAGCCACCATTCCTCCGGCCCCTTTGGCGGTCTCGTCGGCTCGTTCATGGGCGGTGGCAAGCCCGGCGGCGGCCACTTCGGGAGCCATTTCGGCGGCAGTCACCGCGGGCACCACGGCCACCACGGGCATCATGGCCACCACGGCTGGTAGGGCCTTTTTTTCTTGGACGGAGGAGTGGAACAAATCAAACTTTTTTTTTTTTTTTAAAAAAATATGGTTTCTATTTTATTTCATCTTCTTGATTCCGTATGTGGTTGACAACTGGCGTTATGGGACGGACGGGCGGTATCCGCGGTAGTGGTCTTGAATTTGCTGTTTCACTCCATCAATACATATATACACCTGCTTCGGCTTTCGGCCAAGCCCGCGCGATTATTGGTTTCGCGAACTAGGTTGACTTGTTTGGGACGGATACAGGTAGCTTTGTGTTATCACGGCTCTATTAAAATGCAAGAGCGTCGCAAGACGCGTGTAAATCACACTTTTGATTTTCAAGTTTCCATCCTCAAACCGAAGCGGCTGCGATGTGCCATGCAATATCTTGATATATGATGCTACTGCTGTAGCTTCTGCCATGCAATGCAATGCAATTGAATCCCTTCATGAGAACCCCAATATTCAACACCGGTCGAGGCTCATGGCCCTTGCCCCCAATGCTCCTGAACAAACCCGACCGTGGTGGGAGGACGGGTTAGAGTAAAATATATATAAAAAAAGATGCCTTTGTAAGATTAGTAACCCCGCCCCTTTGGATGAACTTCGCCAAGTGTGCGGCTATATACGCGTCCCAGAGGAGAGGCAAAAAAAAAAGAGAAAAAGTCGTCATCATCATTGCGTTCGTCTGATGGCCCAACGGGGGGGGGGGGCCTCGTAAGACAGGACGCGGCTCCACGCAATTCGAACAGATAGGCTGCAAAAGCCCCCCCACGGGCCGTCGTGCCGCCCCGCCCAGCCATTAGACGCCAACGGTACTCTCTGGCCGATTCCTCGGCGGGATCTGAATTTCGTCGTCGTCATCTGAGCTGTCTCCGGCTTGAGCAGCCTGGTCAATCATCCGCTCAATGTCGGCATCCGCCAAGCGTGGCCGCGGCCGCGAGGTGCTGCCGAGAGCCGCCGGCAGAGAGAGTTGCGGACGGAGGGCACTGGGGCCGGAGCCGGCCGAAAAGCTGGCGCTGCCGTTGATACGCCTCCTTGTCGGGCCGCGCGACTGAGGCGAGTCAATGTCAATGTCCATGTCGCTCACCGCCGTCATGGCTCCGGGACTCTTCTCGAAGCCGACGCGTTTCTGCGGCATGGGCCGCTGCGACGGCAGGCTTTTTCGGGGTTGGGATCCCGGCAAGGCGTGGCGGCCCGGCATGTTGGATGCTGCCATGGCGGACGAGTACGTGTTCTTCATGTTGGCCGAGTTTCCGGGGCTGCTCATGAAGAGGAGGGATTCGATGGCGTCCTGCTCCCTAACGTTTTGGTGAGGTGAGAAGAGGACGGGGTCCAGGAGCGGAGTCCGGCCTAACCTCTGATTTGGCGTTGCACCGTGGTTCTGCTGGCCGGGGGTGTGCGGCGACGCGCTGTGGGAGTGGGAGAGGAGGGTCGGTGTATATCGGGGATTTGAATTGCGACGAGGGTTGTGCATGGGCCTCGAGGGCTGGATGGGAGCCGGCGGTGCGAGGGCGGGAGGGTTTTGAGAGGGGGCGGGTGGAGAGGTTGAGCTGTAGGCAGACCTTTGTCCCTCTTTCCAGAAGGACTCGTATGTTGCGGGACTTGGGTTGGAGCTTGCCGTGGTGGCAGCGCTGGTGGGAGCATAGCGAGCCATGTTGGCGCGCGGGCTGGCCGACGGCTCGTGGCGGCCGTGCAGGGTGGAATGGCTCGATGTGGGAGAGGCGGCTTGGGAGGCCATGGACTCGACCTCGTCTATCGAATGGGACTGCCAGCCGTGGTTCACCTTGAGCATTGCATACGACAGACGCGTCTTGAGGTCGGTTGACCACTGTGGTTGTCAGTGGCTGTGAAGGACGGATTGGGGCGGAAATGGTGACTTACATCGCCAACGCTGCTGGCTGTTGTGGAGGCCATGCTCACAGTACTCGTGTTCCTGGAGTGACGGATACGGACGGGGGATGTGTCGTCCTTGAGGGCACCGTCGGCCATGCGTTTGCGCGCCGTCGCCATGACATTATCCTCGGCCAACTTGTCCTGGGCAGCTGCGATGTGCGACAGCTGGAGTAATTGCGACTCTTGGCTGGAGGAGTGGCCGTTGGCGTTTCCTCCCGGCATGTCGCCCTGGCTGGCGGGCGGCGTGAAGACGCTGGCAGACTCGGTGGACAGACTTGAATCCTGCGAAGGAATGAAAGGGACGGGTTTTTGGACAGCGGAAGAGCCGTCCTGGGACGAGACAGTCGGTGCAATTGGTGTATTCGTCGTCGGTCGGGCATCTATTGTACGGAAGGAATTTTTTTGTTGTTGATGCTGATGTTGCTGCTGCTGCTTCTGCATGACGGGCTGGGAGGGTTGTCGGTAAATGTTGTGGGCGTGATGATGGTTTTGGTCGTGGATATGGGGGTGATGATGGTGGTGGTGGTGGTGGTGGTTCGGAGTCGCGTCGGTCGAGGCTGGTACGGCGTGGGGGGTGGGAAGCGCGTCGGTGGAAACGGTGTTCTGCAAGACATGGCTCGCGGGCTTATCGGACAGCAGTGTCGCATCGTGCAAGGTCGCAGGCGAGTGCATTTTGAAGCGTTGGTGGTCGGGGTCGCGCATGTAGCCCTGCCGAGGCGGGATCGAGGCAGAGTCCATGGCGGACAGAATAGGACATGCGGCGACTTTGGCCGTGTGCTGCGCAATAAACACGAGGCGTCAGGCGAATGGGCGGATCTAGCCGAGAGACGTGTACGAGTGTTGGCGAACGGGCGTGTCTCTGGAGGACACGGATAAGGATGATGGGCAGCCAAGGAGATTGTGTGCGTGTTTGTGTGTGTGTGTGTGTGTGTGTATGAGTGAGTGAGCGAGTGAGGTAGTATGAGAGAGAGAGACAGAGAGAGGGGGGGGAGGGGACGGTTCGGTCGTCGAGGGTGGAGGCGTGACCGAGGTGAGTGTAGAGTGCAATGTTGAGCGACGCAGACAAGATGGAGTCGGTCGGGCGTGCGATGTGGTGGTAGCGGTGGTTGTGTCAGTGACGAGAAGGAGCCCAGCAGCGCGGTTATGGGTTGCACAGCACACCACAGCACACACAGCACAGCACAGGAGACTGGTCGCGGAGTCAGTCAGTCAGTCAGTTAGTTAACTGCCCGTGTCAGCAGCAGGGGGGGGGGGGGAGTGAGTGCCTAAAGTACCGTACCATCCGTGTACGAAGGAATATGTATTATCTGTTCTCGGGCGTAGCAGGGGCGTTTTACGCGGGTTTGAGTCGCGTCTATTCCCTTTCTTTCTTTTTTTCTTTCTTCCTTTCTTTCTTTTTCCCGGTTGGGGTTCTCATCTTTTATTTCGTTTCTGCCTGTCGTTCGCAAGGTAAACATTCCATTTCCCTGATGCGATGCGATGCGACGCGCTGATGTCTCGGCTGGCCTGTCTCGCAGCGGCTTCTCCACTGCCACCCACAATGGCTACTGAGCTCCCCCCCCCCTTGCAAGTCGCCCACGACCCCTAAAACCTCGCAATATGGCCCTTGCTCTATAGCGTCCTGCACCCAAGAAAAATAACTGGAAAAAAAAATGACAGCGCTCGACACGCCCCGGCCTTCCGCATCATCTGACTCAGCAGGTCGAAGACACGAAGTCACATGATATGTATCCATGTACCCATGTACCCAAGTACCTAACCAACTACCTACTTGCTACCCACGTCTAGTGTACGTTCCCTTTTTACACCAAAAGGGGCCACGCAGCCGCCCTCGCATCATGGTCCCGTCCCTCAATGTCGCTCAAGGTCACCATGCAACGGGGGCCATCATGTTTGCTTTTTATTTTTATTTTTTTTACTGTCGTTGCTTGAATTGCTCTTCCGGGTCGTGTCTTGACTCGTGATTGGGTCGCCCGCTTCTGACCCCTGGTGCGATCCGAGTGCCCTGCATCGTCGGGGGATCGCCTTGCTGCCCAAGTCAACCCGTGAACTGAGCACAGGATGCCAGAGAGCCAGCCCGCCCTTCTCCGTCCTAACATATCTGAAGTCTCATGTGCCCCGCCATTGCGAGTCCGTGTCTCTTTCAAGTCGTCGCGTATCCTCTGAATCCCGCTCTCATCATTGTCGTGTCCCCGGCCACGTCGTTCATGCAGTCCACCATATGCGCCTCTAGAATGCATCCCCCCCCCCCCCCCGTCTCACAATGCCTTGCTCTCTGGGTATCCTATAGACTTGATCAACCGCACTCTGGCTCGTCCGCCGTCGTCGAGTGCCCGCGCGCTCCGCCGTCCAGGATTACCGCCTCGTTGTCCACCAAGTCGTCCTGCACTCTTCTCCACTGCGCCTTCCTGTCCTTGCGACCCTCGAGTTGCGCTCCCTTCCCCTTGGCATCCCACACCGGCTTGATCAACCCTCCCAGTAACGGGTTGTGACTGAACGCGCCGCCGCCGCCGCTCTGCTGTCGACTGCTGACGTAGTCGTTCTCTTTGTAGTCCTCGTGAACCACGACGTCTTCTTCCTCCGGCGTCATCGGCCGCTCTACCGCTGCCATCTTCCTTACCACCTTGCCGCCCACGACGTCGATGCTGACCACCTGCCGTCGCTTCTCATACTCTGGTCGCGCGTTCCATTCCATCTCGCGAAGAATCTTTTGTTGTCGTTTGAGCTCCCTGGCTCTGTCCTCGGGCGTCGACCACATGTTGCCCCCGCTGCCGGCCATGGCTCCACTGACGTCGAAATCGGCCGCCTCGTCCCGCACCGTCGTCCGCTTCGCGTTCTGAGCCTGAAAGTTCAACAACTTGTCGCGGTGCTCCCGTGCCTTGGCTTCGGCCTCGGACATCTTGTTCTGGCTGAACGGCGCCGGCTTCTTGCTGACCTCGGCGCGCTTGTGAGCCTCCCGATCAGCCGCCATGCGCTCGCGTCCCCTCTCGAGCTTGAGCTCCCTGATCATGCCCTGCACATCGTCCGAGGACAGGAGAGGTGTGCCGCAAAAGGTGCATGGGCCGAGACCCTCCTTGACGCAGATGACCTTGCCGCAGGACTGGCAGTTCGGCGCCGCCGTCTGGAGCGGGTGCCGCGTGGCCACGCAGTTGCATCTCCTCGCCTTGGGGTCGTCGCCCATGGTGGGGTTTGTCGTCAGCTCCAAAGACCGAATCGCCGCGTCCAGATCGTTCAGGGCCGTCGATGCGCCTGCCATGGGGGTGCCCCCGGCGATCGAGACCTTTGTGGGTTTGGCCGTTGGCTTCGGCGTCGACCATCTCGAAACGGGATTCGATTTGGGTTTGACCTTGTCGGATATCAGGTAGCCCGCGGCCGTTCTCTGCTGCTGTTGCGGAGGGGGAGCAGGCGTTGCGCTCTTCAACGACTGTTTGAAGTTTGAGGATGCGCCCCCGCTGCTTTCCGCCGCAGGCTGACTCGGCTTCTTTCCGCCATAGAATTCCTCCTGCTGGTCCTTCTTGCTGTAGCTCGCTCCCGGGGGAGGTGCGGCGTCGATCTGTCTTGGAGCCGGGGTGTGTAGATTGGATTGCTTCTTCTTTTTCTGGCCGCGCCATGTCTTGGGAGCCGGCGCCGGGGCGCTGGTGCTGCTCGACGTAGGTGTCGGTGTCGGTGCTGTGGGTTTTGTGTCTTGTCTTCGCGAATTGAACGAGGAAATGAAATCGACGGCTTGAGGAGAGTCGCCTAGCAGGTCATTGAAATGCTCTGCAGCTTCCGTCTTGGAGAGGGTGGTCGCGTAGTCGAGCATCTGCTTCAGCTCTTCCTCGGGAAGAGGGAGCAGACGGGATAATTGCGCCAAAGACATATCTTGTGCTCTGCCGTCGCTTCGTGGTGGTTCGTGGCGGATGTCAGTTGGGGGCGACGAGGAGGAAAATGTAGGTAGTTGGCGGCGGCGGCGGCGGAATGATGATGAAATGGAATAGGAAAGTGTCTCGTATCTTTTTCGAGCTGACGTTCCCTAAGCTAGCGCCACAGCCCCCCCCCGCGATGGCGGGACTTCTAGTGTGGTCACCGCTGTCACCGCTGTGGCTAGGTATCTGCGTCAAGCCCCGCCAACGCCGAAAGAGTCACTCGGCGTGCGTTGCCAGATGCTGTTGACCATCCATGTCGCACCTATACGGGTAAGGCACGGCCTCGATTCACAAATGCAGACAGTGCAATTTCAGAAGATCCAAGACTTTGATGTTTTTACTCATTATCGAGCGTTGAATATGCGCTACCACAGAAATGCTAGCGTAGGTACGGATAGGTAGACTAGACTACCTACCTACTTCATTCATCCTAGATGTTCATCGCAAACGCACGCACCTCGCGATGACGGAAAACTTGGTGGGGCAGCTTCTTGTACGACTCGCGGATCTCCGTCTTGCATGGCGAACCGGGAGGTGCCAGTCGGAGGCGGAAGGAGGTCGGTTAACAGGGGTGGGCCGAGCAGACGGGCCATGAGGTCATGAGTCGGGGCCGGCAGCGGAGGACCCAGATGGACATTGGAAAAGTTGCCGATGGGCGCCGCCATGCATCCTTGGGTGAGACAGAGAGACAGAGAGACAGACAGACAGACAGACGGCTTAGCTTGGCTTCTTCGGCGTGTCGAACCAGTGACTGGAGCAGCTGGGGCTAGCATTCGCCATGCCCCGCTGTGGATTGCGCCCGTCTCCAGTAGGAGGAGGAGGGCATCGCATAAAGCAGCATCGGTGCTCAACGACAGCGTAGCATGTTCTCCGACGGATGCTGGGAGACCCCGGGGGGGAAGATGGCCCATGGTCGAAGCCAGCCCGCCTGTGGAGACCCCGTCCGCCCAAGGCGGGTTTGAGGGAGGAGTAGCATACGTCGTCACGCAAGAAGATGCGTCGATGCACATTGCCTCGGGTCGAGGGAAGGATACGCACTCAAGGAAGCCAATGGCGTTGGTACATTGCCGCAGCAAGCACGTGCCGCCGTCCCTCCATCCGGAGGACTAGTGTACATAGTACGGTAGAGTTGGGCAACGGACAATCACGAGGAAAAAAAGAAGAAAAAAAGAAAAAGAAAAAAAAAAGATGCAACAGAGCGAACAGACTGTTTGCGGTACGTACCATCTCCGGCGAATCCCCGCGGTGTCCCGGTACCGAGCGGCGCTAGTCCCGGAACGGAGCTAGGCTCTGATGCCCCTGGTGCAAACTTGCAGGCGTCTCGGCTGTCATCGTGATCAGTCGATGAATGAATGCCTGTTCGAGGGCCAGTGAGAGAGCGAGTGCAGCCTTAGGATCAGCCTTCATATTCCACTCTGATGGGGTGTGTGTCGTGTCCCCAACGGAAGTGAGAGTGTCGGGCCAGCGAGGTTCCAGCGCTCCACAGCAAACCCGTCCCATCTTTATTTTTATTTTTTATTTTTTCCCTCGCCCTCTCGGTGTTATTGCTCACTCGCTCACCAAGCCATTGCCGCGCTGCCGCAAGTGTCCACAGACCAACATGGCCGCACGCGCGCGCATCTTCCATTCCCGGCTCCAGCTTGTCCGCGCCCTTCCGCTGCTGCCAACTTATTTCGCGCGCCTCTAAAATTCTTAACCTCCATCCATCCTCCTTCCCTTCCCTTCTTTCCACCAACCCACCAACCTTCCAACCCACCCAATTGTGTTCCATCTACCACACATACCCTCCGTCGCAAACATGTCTTTCGTCCAGCGCCGCATGTTCTCCGCCTCGGCGAGAAGCGTACGTCTCTATGCCTTCCTCCCCTTCCCTTAACCCTCTAGTTGGCCCGCGCAACAAGCTCCGGTGCCAGCATTTCTTTTGACTTCTGCAATCAAACCCCCCACCCCTCGGTACATCCGAACAAAAGCCGACCTCGGCGAACATTGGGGTGGAGGAGAGACAGAGGGAAAGTGAGAGAAAAAAAAAGAGATCAAGAGCTCGAGCTCCATGATGCAACGTCAACAAAAGACAACATCAACGCTACACGGAAAAAGGAACACGAATCACAGCTGACACGATGCATCCTATAGCTCTCCAAGGTCACCGTCCTCGGTGCCGCCGGTGGCATTGGCCAGCCCCTCTCCCTGCTCATGAAGCTCAGCCCTAGAGTCACTGAGCTCGCCCTCTACGACATCCGCGGAGGCCCTGGTGCGTCCGCAACTCCATCCCATCTTTGACCCCCATCCGTTCGGCAAAAAAAAAAAACTAACTCTGCTCCAGGCGTCGCCGCCGACATCTCCCACGTCAACACCAAGTCCTCCGTCAAGGGCTACGACCCCACCGCCACCGGCCTCGCCAGCGCCCTCAAGGGCGCCGAGGTCGTCCTCATCCCCGCCGGCGTCCCCCGCAAGCCCGGCATGACCCGCGACGACCTCTTCAACACAAACGCCTCCATCGTCCGCGACCTCGCCAAGGCCTGCGCTGAGTCGTGCCCCGACGCCAACATCCTCGTCATCTCCAACCCCGTCAACTCCACCGTCCCCATCGTCTCCGAGGTCTTCAAGGCCCGCGGCGTCTACAACCCCAAGCGCCTCTTCGGCGTCACCACCCTCGACGTCGTCCGCGCCTCCCGCTTCGTCTCCGAGATCAAGGACACCGACCCCAAGGACGAGAACATCACCGTCGTCGGCGGCCACTCGGGCGTCACCATCGTCCCCCTCTTCTCCCAGAGCAACCACCCCGAGCTGAGCTCCAACGCCGAGCTCGTCAACCGCGTCCAGTTCGGCGGTGACGAGGTCGTCAAGGCCAAGGACGGCGCCGGCTCCGCCACCCTCTCCATGGCCTTCGCCGGCGCCCGCATGGCCGAGTCCCTCCTCCGCGCCTCCCAGGGCGAGAAGGGCATCGTCGAGCCCACCTTTGTCGACTCCCCCCTCTACAAGGACCAGGGCATCGAGTTCTTCTCCTCCAAGGTCGAGCTCGGCCCCAACGGTGTTGAGAAGATCCTGCCCATCGGCAAGGTCGACGCCGTCGAGGAGAAGCTCCTCGAGGCCTGCTTCGCCGACCTCAAGAAGAACATCGCCAAGGGTGTTGCCTTCGTCGCCCAGAACCCCCCCAAATAAGCGCATCGTCACTGTTCTCCCTTGACCAGGCTCCCCATCAGTATGGGGGCCATCTTGTTGTAGTAGATGGACATGGTTGAGTAGGGTTGAAAACAACAATAAAACCGAAACGCAAATCTCTCCCGGCCCAACCTCGACGCCCAACCGCGTTTCGGGTGTACGGCCGGAAGGGGAAACGACCGGGTAGACGCGGAGGCGCAAAAAGTCGTGCTTTCCTACCTGCGGCATCGACTTTAGTTAGGTCTGCCTCTGTACCATAAATTTCAAACGCTCTTGACTTCAATATTTGGCGCATCCTTGTGAGCCCGTTTTGCATTATTCATGTCATGTTTGATACTGGACTACTTGATGCATGAAACGCAAGTGTAGGTTTTTGTTCTTGTTTTTTGTTTTTGTTGATATTCATGACGAGTCAAAAGGGGGAAGAAGGAAGTGGCCTTGCCTTGACATTCCTGAACTGTGAAGCATATGTCAAATTCGAAACATCACCCAACCTTGACATGCATCCATGGCCAACACGTTCAAGCCAGCCGATCGCAGAGCACAACTGCTGCTAGGCGTCACATTCCCTATACCCGCATTCAATTACGAAAACCTCCCCCCGGGAATATTGCCCTTTGAGCAGGTGGAATCTCAGTAATCCACTTGGTTTGTATGTGCAGGTTTTCAATTGTTCAACTGCTATCATACATCGATCGTATCTTCACACCGTCTAACATGCAGCTTCTTCCGTTGGAAACAACATGATTGGTCTATCGCCTGACAATTACTGCCTCCGGCCCTGTCTCCACGCCTCGAGCTGCTGGCGGCGTTCCTCCACCTTGCGCTCGAACTCGGCCACCTTTTCCAGGCGCTTCTGCTCCTCCTCCTCATCCTTCTTCTTCTGCTCCGCCTCCTTGCGGATCCGCTCGCGCTCCAGCTGCTCGGGTCTGCGGGCGGCGATGTCGCGCGGGCGGTAGTCGGAGAAGAGGTGCTTGAGGACGACCTCGATCACCCAGCAGGCGGCATAGTCCATGACCATGATGCCCGTCATCGTCATCTTGAACTCATCGGTGAAGGGGACCAGCTTCATCTGCTCGTTGATCTCGGGGATGAACTCCATCGAGCAGGAGAAGGCCAGGGCAGAGACTCCGACAATGCCGTAGAACATACCCTTGTTCTCGCGGAGACCTTCACGGAACGGGCGCCCTTGGTAGTTGATGGCGAATGTGCTGATCTGCTGGATGAGCTGGAGCAGGTAAACAGCGCTGTTGAGCAGACTGGGGGCGAACTCGGCCTCGAGGTCAACGTCGCCAGAGCGGCTACGTGTTTGTTAGCATATTTCTAGGTGGGATTCTTTTTACTTTTCTTCTTCTTCTTTTTTTTTCTTTTTTTTGGAAAAAAGCGGAGTAGGACTTACGGCTCAAGTCTGTCGCAGAAGCGGGCAATGTAAATCAGGGTAACAACGTGGACGGCAAACTGTCCCAGAATCGAACCGATGATGTAGAAGTTGAAGATGTTGGGCTGAGGACGCTCCTTGGACAGACCCTCAACAACCCGGGCGCGTGAGATGGACAGGAAGCAGACGCTCATCAGGATACCGCTAATTGTGTACTGGCCGTCACCGAACTTGATACCCTCGAGGTACAGGACACTCAGGCTGTAGGCGCTGATGAGACAGTTGAGTGCGAGAATCTTGTAGGTCTGAATGGTCGCAACAAGCGTGCAGCGGCCCTGGCGGATGATGTTCGGGACAGCAATGACGTTGCGCAGCTTGCTTGTGAAAGGGGCGGCAACGGAGGCATCACCAAGCTTTAGGGTGGGGGGCTCATCGTCGCCCATCTCGTTCTCCATCATGCTCGAGGTCATTTTGTCGGCGAAGCTAGCCGCGTTTGCAGCAGCCTTGGCCTGACGAGCAGCCTTGGGGTCATTGTTGAGAAGCTGCTGGGCACCGGGGGAAGTGACGGTCTCGATGGCGCTGATGCCGTTGGCCTTGAGCCATTCGTCAGGGGTGACGTTCTTCTTCTGCGCCTCCCGCTCGACAGCCTTGTTGAAGTGGGGGTTGCTGGGACCAGGAGGATACAGGTGGGCAATCATGACGGGGACGGGGGGTGCTGGCTGGTTGAATCGCTTCATCAGGTCGACCTGCTTCTGGTAGATCTCCTTCATTTTGGTGTTGCGGGAGTGCTCGGCAATGCGAGTGAGATCCTCTTGAGTGCCGTTGAGAAGGGCTATGCCAATGTGAGCTTGCTTGAGAGCGCCGACGTCGTTGGTTCCATCACCGGCCATCAGAGTGTAGTAGCCCATGTCTCGGAGACCAACAAGGATATCCTCCTTTTGCTTGGGCGAGACACGCGCGTAGACCCAGGTGTGACGGAGAATCTGTTTCCAGCCAACCTGGTCCTTGAACTTGGCAAGGGCGTAGCCGGTAACACAGAGGTCGTTGTTCTCAATGATCTTGGCGTCTAGGGGCTTGGTGGCATCAACCGGGATGACTGTCTTCTCGTCGACGCTGCGCCAGACGAGCTTGTCACCCCCCTCATTGTCTTCAGGGGCGTCCAGGATCAAGACGTCGCGGTCTACGATCTCGACATCTCTGGCGACGTACACGGCGGTGAGAGGGTTGTCTCCGGTAATCATAACAACGCGGTGGCTGCTCTCGTTGAGCATCTGCACAGCCTGCTTGGCATCTTCCTTCAGGGGGCAGGACAGGACGAGGAATCCAGCAAAGGTGAGTCCAGACTCGACATTCTCACGCTTCAGCTCGTTGATCTTGCTGCCCCCAAGCTCATTGTCAACAGTAAGCTGCTTGTAAGCGAGAGCGAGAACGCGAGAGCCACGGCGGGTGAAGTACTTGTACGTCTCTTCGTAGTCTGTCGGGACGGAAGACAGCCTCTTCATGATGGTTTCGGGAGCGCCCTTGACACCGACAAAGGTACCGCGAATCCTGTTGCCCTGCTTGTCTGCACCGTTGACAGTCGCGACGGCACTCTGTCTCTTGAGGGCGGAGGAAAACTGGAAGCGGCGCTTGATCTGAACGGTTCCGCTAATGCCAGTAGTAGCAGCCGTGGTAGGCTTGCTGGCGAGGGTGTCATTTCTTCCAAGAGTCCAGCCAAGAGATGTCAGTGTAGCCTTCTCCATGGGGTCGCCAACAACCTCGCCCTCGTCAAGCTTGACAAGAGCATGAGCAGTGGCAAGAACCAAAGTTGTGTCCAGACGGATCTCGTTGACCGGCGTCATCTGCGAGTGGGCACCATCCGTTTCACGGGGAGTGTCCGTACCAGCGGCTTGGCCCAGTCCCAAACCGGCAATGCCCTCGACAACCAAGTCCTCGCCGGTCAGGGTACCGGTCTTGTCGAAGCAGGCGACATCAACGCGACCAGCGAAGGGGATGCGGAACGGCTCGGTGCAAAAGATGGCGTACTTGGCCAGGGCAGCCAAGCTAGTGTTGACCGCAAGACTAAGTTCCATGGGCAGCTCGGGGGGAACAACACTGGTGACGATCAAGACGCAGTCAAGCAGGAGCTTGGAGCGCTTGCGGTCCTTCTTGACACCCTCGTCCCAGACGTACCATGAAGCAGCGATGGCGAAAATCAAGAGGAACAGAATGAAGAGCAGGGCCTCGACGTTGTTGGCAGATACACGCTCGGTAGAGTAGATCATGGTGCGGACCAAGCTGCCCTGAGACGTCTCGAAGCCGGTCTTCTGGACGATGGCCATGGCGCCGTTGTCAGGAGGAGGGGGGACACCGGAGGCCAGCTTGGGCTTCTCCTCGTCAGGGTTGCCGTGAGTAATCTGCAGGACCTTGGTGCCACCCCAGAGGAAGGCGTTCTTGTCGAGACCCTCGGGCTCGAGCGCGGCGTCAGCGGGGCGGAGTTGGATGGAATCCTTCAGAAGAGGGGTACTCTCGCCAGAGAGCATGGCCTCGTTCACGATGGCAGTTCCCTCGACGAGCAACATATCGCAGGCGACGCCGCTGTCTTCCTTGGTGCGTCCAACAGAGACGAGGTCACCGGGCAGGAGCTGATCGCTCATGATCTCGGTCCACTTGCCCAGGCGGTATACGTAGACTTCGTACGGCTTGATGCTCATTCCGCGGAACTCCATGAGGGTGCGCTGGCGCTGCCAGACGACGGTGCTCTCGAAGGCGACCAGCATAAAGAGGGTAAAGAGCGAGTAGTACCAGTATTCGTCCAGCATCCAGAGACCGACACAGAAGATCTGGAAGACAAAGAAGGGCGCGACGGCGTGCTCCTTGAAAAGCTCGGTGAAGGTGGGGACGGGAATATCAAAGGCATTGGGGCCGTAGTGCTCCTCGATCCTCTTGAGCTCGTCCTGGGTTGTGATGCCCCTGGACTGCTGGTAGCGTCCGATCTTGGGCTTCGGCTCGGCATCGATATCGTAGGCGAGGGTTCGGAAGCACTTGTCCTCGGGGTAGTAGATGAAACGTCGCTTCTGGAAATAGAATGAGGTGTTGACCTTGCCGGCGACCTGCGTGATGTTAGAGGCTGGATTACAAGAGGGAGTTGAAGGGGGTGGTATTGGCGCGCTCCGGCGTCGGGCTGGCTCACCTTGTCGCGAACGATTTTGCAGATATCGGCAGAGCCGGCATTGGCCACGGGGATAACCTTGACCAGCTCAGCCTCTTCAACTGAGGTGGCGCGAGTGGCAGTGAAGAGGGCCTGGAGGTTGACGCTCCAGTGGGTGGTCAACCAGGCGAGGGACTGGAGGGTGACGATAGAACCGATCCACACAAAGGTCCATTCCTCGGATGCGATGTGCTTCTCATAAAGCTCGGGGGTGAGATAGTAGCGCAGGAAGATGGGCCAGAGAATGGCAAAGGGCCATACGTAGGCGTGGAGGTAGATTGGGAGAGGCTTCCACAGCTCGGCGACCTTGATCTGGGGATTATCCACAAGGGGCGCCATGGTGGGCGATCGCGGTTGCGCGCGGGACCGACCGATCAAGCGACTGTGGGCGGCGGAGCTGTGATGAAGGGAGACGGAGGAGTGTCGTTGGCCTGGCTAGGTCCCTCTTTGCATCGACGGTGATTTTTTCCGATGCGGATGGGAAACCCAAAAAAGATAGAAAAAAATAGAGAGAGATAGATGGAGAATCGCGCAAGGTTGAAGTGACCCGTGGCAGGAAGAGAGGGCGGGCTGCTGATGTGGGGTCTCCCCTTCTCTCTTTCCCACGTTGTTGCCGGAGAATACACGGGGAGAGGCGAATAAGAAAAAGACAGCAGAAGCAGGCCGAAGGAATTCGATACGAACAAAGCTAAACGAATATCTGTCCAAACTGCACCCGACCGAATCTTTTCTTCCTCTTCCTTTTTCTTTTTTTCTTCTTTTTCTTCTTCTCTCTCTCTTTCCGTCTGTCTCTCTTCGTCTCACGATGGCAAATTGGGCGACAGGCCACTCCCAGTGGGACCACAGGGCTCCCATCCGTTACTTACTTCTTAGGTACCTTGGCAGGCGGGTGACAAAAAAAGAGGCACTCACAAAAGTGCAGGGCCCATTTCAGGTACCTATGCTCTACAATTTAGGATATGCAAGTAGTCTTTAGTAATCTAGCCCAGTAACATTTAGTTGATTCCTTAGGCACAAGTCACCTTAAGTCAACTTTACTGAGTGCCTCTTTTTTTGTCACCCGCTTGCTTGGCTCCAGGCCCCTACCGCGATAGTGAGCACCCTCACTATTTGCAATCGGACTTGGACACCTAAGAGGAGTACATAGGTAGGTTGTTCCGTGCCGGTATCTCTTTGTACATGCAATGCATGCATGCATGCTTACATAACGCGTACGGCATGACACATCCCACCGATAAGGATTCCCCTTCCTTTCTTCACTTCTTTGCTTTCAGCGACATCTACTAATACATCTTGCGACTTAATGTATGGAGTGTCTCTGTATTTCAAGCCGAGCTTGGATATCTTTGGTATATATATATAGGAAAAATATCTTGTTAAACGTCTGGGCGGTAATCGGCATCTTCCTCTGTATATTTTCAGAACCCGCATTCCGAGTACGCCCTTTTCTTGTTACCCATCGTCGTCCGTCAGCCAATAGATGCCGTTGTGATGGCATCTATTGAGCCAGAACCTATGCACTCTCTACCCCCTACTCTCCGATCGCGCCCACGATGGCGCTTCTCCGGTTGGCCCGCCCAGTCGGCCAGTCCTCGTACGTGGGCTGGGCAGACGGCTTTGGCGGCTTGATGTATTGCGAGATGCGCTTCGAGACGCTTCCTTGGCGTCCCAGGCCTCTCGTGGCATCTGCATCGTCGCCACTGGAGCCGTATGTGCCGGTTAGCGGCCCGTAGAAATCCGACATCATGCTCGCCCGCTTGTCAACCGTGTACTGCGCACTGTTCCGCTTGTTGTTCCGGTTCGCCGCTGCATTCACGGCACTGGTTCCTATCAGAGAAGGGTCGACAGGACGGACGGGGTTCCAGGGGTTGTCGCTATAACCATAATGACCGGACCGGCGAGCAAGGTTGCGCCACATCTGGGCCTGACGCTCGCGCTCTGCCACTTCTGCTTCTGCCAAGAATCGTTCAAAGTCTGTCATCTGCCTGGCGGCAGCTTGTTTGACAGGGCCGTCTTGTCGAGTTTGATGAGTATGGTCGTGAGAAGATGTGACACCGGGCGCCACTGCAGAGACCATTTGCTGAGGCATCTGGCTGGGAGGGTCGATTGGTGCTTCCGTCTCGGCCGGGGAAGCTGACCTGGGTGGCGTAAGTTCTCTCGCGTGGGGATCGGAAATGAGGCTGAAGCTGTGCCGACGGGAAGATATTGAGCGAGAGGGACCCTTCAGAATGGGTGCCTTCATGTTGGAAGCTGAAGTGTTTGCATTAGTCTGTAACAGATTGAGCTGATGCTGCCATGGGTTGCGAGTCTTAGCCACCGCTTCGGCCTCTCTCCTCTTGAGGATTTCGAGGCGACGGTGCAATTCCATAGGAGACGGCGCCTCGTACTTGGACATGGACAGGTCCCTCGCCATGTGCTTGTCGATCGTCGCACTCGCTAGCGCCCGTTGCCTCGGCTGGGTCTCTGACTCGCCCACTCGTGTATCGGCAGTCGTTGGGCGTAGGTCATTCACCTGGTCGTCGCCAACGATGAGACTTTGGCGGTTGAGGCGGGGGTTAATGGTACGCGAAAAGTCCACCGCCGCGTGTTTTGGTACATAGACCGTTGGAGGCACTGATGGCACTGATGGCAACGGCGGTGCCTCGGTCTTGGCCACCTGGTGATCGTCGTCAAAGTCGTTGGCGCCGGGTCTCGACCAGAAACGCTTACCAAAGCTGCGTTTGGGCCGCAGTTTCGGTTGCGTGGTCGAGGACGGCGCCGGCTGCTGCGAAGGTCGCAAGTGGGAATGGGACTTGGACTTCTGAGCGGTGGCCGTTTGGGTCATGGCTACGGACGCTTGCCGGGGTTTTGCCACTTGTCGTAGGAATCGCGGTACAGACGACTTTGACGTTGTTTGCGCGTCCGAGACGGTTTCACTCCTGGGAGCACTGCTTGGTGCGTCAAGTGTCCTGTGTGCTGACGGGTTCAGCGGAAGAGACTGTGGCTGCATCTGGTAATGTTCCGTGGTCTCATTCATCACCGGGACGGGGTCAGTCGAGCTTCTATTTTGGTCGTCGACTCCGGAGGGTTCATTCGAATTGTCGCCGATGCTGGCGGAACTCCCCCGCTTCTTATCGTTCTCGGTGTCCCTCTCCTTGGGAGCCGGCCGCCGTCGGACCAAGCGGCCAAACAGCCCTGTCCCTTCTGTTGCAGGCTGTCCAGCGCTTGACGACGTAGTGCCTTTGGCCAACGCTGCAACTTTAACTCCGGGGGCAGTCGAGGGACGCCGTATGGTCGGTGGCAGCTGCAGCTGCGAGTCCTCGTCCAACCCTGGCAGCGGTGCAACGACGTGACCGTTGTCGATGTCACCCTGGTTCTGGGGATTGTTGACAAGGGTTGACGTCGCGCGAAGGGTGTTCTGGGGATTGTGGAGTTGGGGACGACGTCGTATCGACGGTTGCATCGGCATCTGCATCTGCATGGGTGGTTGCTGCTGCTGACGAGAGGGCGGCGGGGTCGGTTCAGCTTGAGCCGCCGGCGTGGACTTCTTGTTGATGTTATATGAACTAAGACGTCGACTGAGGACTCGGTTGAGCACGTTCTTGACCCCTGCCGAAGGCTGTTCCTCGCCTTCCTGCTGCTTTTTGGAAGTTGAACAAGAAGGCGCAGCGCCGTAAGATGCGCTCGCAGCCGCTATCATTGAAGACGGCCTCGGTCTCAATCTAGCAATGAGAGCAGGAGGTGGCGGGATAGAAGTAGTAGTAGTCAGAGGAGGAGGAGGAGGAGGAGGAGGAGGAGGAGCAGCAGCCGTTTCGGCCGTTTCGACGTGTTTTGGCAACCGGTGTGAGTCCTTTGTTGGCTTCTCTGTTAGGCTCCGGTTCTGGCCTTTCAGCTCTCCTGGTTCGTTCTCCTGGTCTTTCCGGGTTATCAGTACATTTGCATCTGACCGCCAGCTCCACCGATGCTTAGACAACCGGCGCGATGAGACACTGGAGGCACCGGGCTGCAGCTTTTGGTCGGCTGGCTTGTTGACCTTGCCAAGTGCGTCAGGAGGGCGGACGGGAGGTTGTTGGCTCGTCACCGCAGACCATGACCATCGATTGGACTTGATCATCTTATATATATCGACTGGTTTCTCGCCGTGGTGTTTTTGTTTCGTCAATTTTGCAGAACCCGACAGCCCCCCCAGACCCTTTGCAGGCGTCCAATCCCGGCACCACCCAAGCCCTGACAGCTCAGCAAAAAGAGCGGTCTTGCCGAGGTGATGGTTGCGCAGCTGACCCGAATGCGCCAGCTAGCTTGCCGGAATAACAGTTTTGGGGGGCTCAGCTAATAGAGCTATGGCCGAATGCTCGGTATGGAGACAACGAATCAGAATAAAGACGAGAGGCGTGTAAGCAGGTAATTCGGCATGCAAAGATGGAATGACTGAGAGGAAGAGACCGTCCAGGGACATGCATTTGGTCCCGAAGGCGGACATGGGACAACATTTGACGAAACGCGAAGGCCAGGAAATCCAGAAATAGGGTCTCCAGGAGACTCAGTTTGAACAAGTACTTTGCAGGTATTGCCCATCACACCCACCACATAAGCCGCTCACCGTCTCCCGCATTCCCGGTGGGTCGTAACTAACTCTTCTGGTACCTGGTAATTCAAAACAGTCTAAAGGAGAGCAGCATGCTCACTAGGTAACGAAGACGAGCCCCGTGATCCTTTAGCTTTGACGTACCTTTTGAAGCGCACCAGGAGAAGACTCCGATGAGTAAGACGTATTACCGAATTGTCCGGGTGGCTGGATTCCGTAGCATAGGTGGAATTGGAGACTAGTGCAGGCAAAGTCAGACACTGCCGCCAGTGCCTGCGAGCCCAAGCGGCACTCGGCGCCGGCAGCAAACGAGAGCTTCAAGGGCCCTAGCACCGAGTCAAGTCAAAGTGGTCATTAGCGTCTTCAGGAGTAGTGTCACAATCCTAATGCGGACTTTGCAAATATCACGGCGGTAGTATGGTTGCCAGGGGCGAGTTAGAGAACTGCGGAGGGCGGGCCCGAGACGTCATCGGAGGTGCCTCTCGAGCATCTCCTTCCACATCCTGCACTCGCGCTCGGACAGGTTACCAACGCCTCTCACGATATGGCAGGCTGCGCGGGTTGGATCGAGATAGATGCCCGTCAGAACCCCCTCTCCGATGAAACGTCGGAGGACTGCAGCAGTTGATATGGATGTTGCTGTTTGTAGTAGCCGGACGGCAGCTTACACCAGTGAGACCCGCGCATGGGGATATGGTCGACCGCCCTGCCGTCGATCCCGTCGTATTACCTATTTTGGTAGTTTAATTTGAACTGGTTTGCGTCGAGGCAGGACTCGTGTGGAGTTTGTTCAGTCAGCGTGCCGATCATACAAGGGAAACCCTGATCGCCGATTGACTATTAGTAGCAGGGCAGCAAACGCGGGGCTCAACAAGCGGTAGGTGGTTTGGTGGTATGTGGTGGGAGCACGCTACCACCTATTTCCTTTGTTACGCGAGGCGAGACGTTCCGGAACAACTACCTACCTAGGTATCGCTGACCGTTGAACGCGTTTCTTTGTTTTCCAAAGGTCACATGAACTGATTAGTACCGAACTAGCAGTACAGCAACCGCACAGGAGTCGAGGGCTCCTTGGATACCGACAAGACTGGTTAGCTAGGAACCAACACAAAGGGCCCTGTCCTGGCATGACCAGGGCAGAGACATATTGCCGTATCTCGAATCATGTCGTGGAAATTCAGGAGACCCGGAAGCAAGTGCGGACAATGACACCATCATCCAAGACGTGTCGCGGCGTACGGCCACACGGCACAAAGTGATACTTGTTGTCTGCCACCGCCAACGGGGTGTCTGGGTGAATTGGGACTTTTCAAAGAGGCGGGGTGGAGGCGCAAAAAGGGGTAGGGCTTGATGAGTGCCTATCCTTACAAGCAAAGCAACGATGCCGGTACAGATGGACAAGGTGAAGATTGGGAAATGAAGGAAGTTTGAATGAGTTAAGCTCATGCCCAGGGCGTACCGGTGGTCCGTGGTCTTGGACATGTTGGAGCTAGGTAGGTATTGGCCCCTCCTTCCCCATTCTCTCACCCCAGCAGCCTGCGTGTGTCGGCAGGGGTCATCAAGATTGTCCTTCCCTGCCTAAACTGGGATGGAACCACCTTTTGTTTGTTTCCTTTTCTGTCAGCGACCTGGGCCGGGAACGAAGAGAGAAATAACGTAGGTACACGTGTATATCTGTACAAAGTGCAAGTACGGAGTAGCTCGCCTCTTACCTAGGTAGCCGGCCCACTGGTAGGTACCTAGGTATCTGTAGGTAGTAAGGAAAAAAAGAAGGAAGGAAGCAAGTTTGCGTGCGCACGGCCGGCAGGCATGGTGGCGGTGTTCTGGGTGAAGTTGGGGCCACAGGGCGTTCCTTCCTCACCTTGCCTGCCTGCCTGCCTGCGCGCACCGGAACCACACCTGAGGTACCTACAATAGGTACGTATCCAAGGCGGCCCCTTTGAAGGTCGCACAACTACCTATGTACCTACACAATGACGCTCATCGTGCCGTGGGGGGACTGACTGGCTTAACCGTTATTGCCAGCCCAGAACCAGAATACCAACATCACATCAAAACCCATCACCTCGGGCACAGCGCTCGAAAAATCATGTCTCCTCATTCGTTGCTTTTCCATTCAAGCTGCATGTGCAGCGACGCAGATTGCTGTCATGCCCTTGGCCTCTAGTAACCCTAACTTGGCGGGGTCTTGTCTATTGGTAACCCCTTCCTGTGGCCTGTTCTCTTTTGCGCCGACTGAGGGACGCGACAATATCTGTCAGTCGGGGTTCGACCGCCACCCTTTGGCCTCATTCTGACCACAGGCTCCACGTTTGACCTCGTGCCAATTGCGCCGCCAACAAAAAGGCCTTGGTGACGACACCCTCGGAATCAAGAGACGGCATCTAAGGGGTCATACAGAATCCCTCGCTCGTTACCAAGTACTTTTGCACTCCACAAGCCATCGCTCCTGAACTAGGCGTACCAAATCGCACTATTGACAGTCAGCATGCTGCCTGGAATCCTTTTGGTCAAGCCTGCAGAGCATCCAACGATGGCAGGTAGCTTCAGTCATGAGAAAACGCCACGCGCAATATTTGCACAGAGCCCTGCTCGCACACCCGCACTTACTACGCCTTGAGGGCAGATCAGGATTGTCTACGTTTCGAAATAACTCGCTCTGTATGCATGTACAGGACACGGCCTCGGGGCTGAGATGTGTCAGCCCGCACCTCGACCAAAGCCCAGGTAGTCGCTCGACCACAGCTATATGGCTCGTCTTATCTACATGCCAGTTCCACGGCCGCAACTTTGGTTTCACGGACGCTATCGCCCGTATATGTTGTCAAAAAACTTTCAACCAGGTGACTGTTCTTGTAGTCCGGGCCCTCGCCAGCGACTGTTGTTTCCCGGTGTGCTCGCCCGCACCTTATCAGTATTGTGCCGAGGCATCGGCAGCAACGCACCTTGCGACGACCACCATGACTGCAAGACTGCCACCCAGAAAAGGCCCGGCGGCTCCCGGCCTGGTCCTTGTTCTCCGCTCCCCTCATAGGACCTCGTCAGACTGTCGTTTCGTAGCAACAAAACTGGCGACCATCGCGCCACGGACTATGGACGACTCTACCTAGGCGACCGCACGCACTCTGGGTGGGACCCTTGTAGCTTACACTTGCCCAATAGCCCTTGAAAAGACAAACAATCCTTCTCTCGCTGGAGAACTAACCAAGAAAATGGAGGTCAAGGAAGAATAAACGACGCCTGAGCTGCACGCCGTGTTGACGTGTTTTCAAGCTGACGCTCAGCCCGGCTGTGTCCTCTACGTGGCCATGCCATGCTGGCAGTTAGCTCTCCACGAGACTGACGCCGTGGTGTCCACAGCTTACCTGGTTGATTCGCTTGGGTCCGTTGATAGGTAAGTGAAAGGGGAGGCGCTTGGGGACGGCAAGAGGGTGCGCTCTCGTAGGCGACGGAATGGAGCCCACTGGCTAGACCTATGCAGGGCTTCCGTCTCGCTTTCTGATGTTGTTCTCAAAGCGGCAGAACAAAAACGTCACGGTATGCGCCTGCATGTCAGGGTCTTGCGAGGAATCATTATTCGTTGCGGCTAGAATGCGCCTCCCGGGGCTGCATTCCATCTATCGGGTTACCCTCCACCGCCTCTATCCTAGAAAAACACCCGGCGCTGTTAAGGCCCTGTGCATCAAATTATCCCCTCTTCAGCCCCTGCAGCGCCGTAGCTGCGTCCGTCTCTTTTTTGGTCTGATTCCTCCTTGTTGGCAACTCGAACCTGAGGTTCTGAGATTGGGTCCACCCAGGTGGCTGTGACAGTTGATACAAGAGGCTATCTGTCAGGTAGAACGGGTTGGTCACCGTCGGGTCGGCGCGAGCCCGCGAGTTGGGCGACATGACTGAAAGAGGGCCTGCGGGGGAATGAATGGGCTCCAAGGGCTGCAGCTTGACCGGCGTTGCAGCAGCTTGTTCCTTCGTTCTAAGGGGTGCCAGCGTGAGCGAGTCCATTGATGCCCGCTTGATGTCGGAAAGGATCTTGGGCGAGACGGGCGAGACGACGACTGCCCGGTTCTTGATCGCCGGCTTCTTGACCTTCTGCGGGTTCGGTCTGGGAAGAGCCTTGGCGGCATGAATCGGCCGAGGCAGGCCAGGCACAAACACCTCCTCACCGTCGATTGTCTTCCGTTTCCGGGTCCGGGGATTCAGCTTGACAGCCGCAAGGATCGAGTTTTCTTCGGTCCCCAACATAGTTACGTCTCTCGCGACGCCATCCGCGTCACGGAATGGTTGTAGCTGTTGAAACTCTTGTTTCACTAGAGCCATGCTCGGCCCCAACCTCAAATTCGTGGCATCGTGCGGAGTGCTGGGATCCGATGGCTGTGGTAGAGCAGCCGGGGCAGATTTTCTGGCTCGTCTGGGTTTTACCTTTTCAACCCTGCGGTTTACAGGAGAAGATGGCGATCTCGAGGCACTACCAGTAATTCGGCGGAGCTCCGCCATAACCTTCAACATGACATACGCCGCATTGGTCGTGTCATCGCGAACAGCCATCGGTCGACGCGGCGCCGCCTTGGGTGCGGCAATCTTGGGAGCCTCGCCTTCTTGCTTCTCGGGTTGCCTGTGTACGGATTCAATCTTGACCGGTTCGTCTGTCTTGTCTGGATCAGGCATTGCCTTGGGGAGGGGAGTTCGTATCGTTGCGACAGCAGAAGACTTCTCCGACTTTATTGCCATTTCCGGCTGTGATGTCTTTAAAGCGTTCTCTCCCGACTTCGATGACTCCGATCTTGGTTTTGGTCCCTCCTCTGCGATGCCCTGCCGCTTCTTAGGTTTGTCGCTGCTTTCCTTCTTTTTCTTAGGGAGCTTTGTGCCTGGCGGCAGCCAAAGCAAAGGAATTCTTTCCTTCAAATTGGATACCCACGCGTCGCAGTCCCACTGAACCCAGTAGTCGATAATTTCTCCCCATGAACTCTCTGGAGGCTTGGTGTAATTGACAAAGACCACTTTACCGCCTCTGCTGTGAATGGTCTTGGCGAATTCCCTAACAAGAACTTTGAGGCCGTGAACCCTCAGAGAGGTGCCGAGGATGAGAAGAAGGTCGGGCGAAAGTCCGAGATCGTGTGTGATAATTGGAGAAATGAGATGGGCGCTGGGGTGTTCCTCGCCGTAGAGCACAATGTCCGGTCTCAGTTTACCCACACCCAGCGCTCTTTTGCCCCTTTCCTGTCTTGCAGCGGTCGCTCCGGCGCAGTATGGGCATTCGGGCTGTCGGCCGGACATGGTCTCGTACGCTCTTCCATCTTCATCCCAGTCGCAAATCTTTCCGCAGAGGAAGCAACGTAGAGATTCCAGAGACCCGTGCAGAAATACACACTCCACACCATTGGGCTTTCGGTCAAGTCTCGGTTGGCCTTGGGACTCGGCCGAAGGAGTGGGGTCGGCCGATTCGTTGCCCTCAGCACTGTCAACTCCCTCTGGTTCGTCAACTTCTTTCTTCTCTTCCGGCTCTGGTGCGGTTGAGGTAGTTTCGCTGACAGTCGAGGAGGTCGCTAATGCTGTCGTAGCCAACACCGCCCCGACAGACTTTCTCGAAAAACGGCCTCTGTGCCCTGGGCCTTCCTGAAGTGATGTCGATAAGCCAACCTTTTCTTCAATCTGGTCAATGTTTTGCGTGTAGCAGCGGACCAATTTTCCACGGTTGCGGAGGTGACCAATGAAATGGTGTGATTCTGTTGGTGCAACGTCCTTCACTTTTTGACGAAGGGTGGTGGCAAATGTGTAGAAGACTGCTGTTCGCAGCGGATCGGCCCAGATCGAGGCGTCGAATAAATCCCTGCCTTTGATGTTGGGTAATGTTGACTTGCTGAACTGAGATGATGGAGGGGTTTCGTCTGTTTCGGAAGACGCCGCGCTGCTCGCAACACTCGAGGTTTGTCCGCTTGTCGATGGCTCTTCCTCGAAGGGGTCGAATAAGACAGGTGGAGGCGATGACAGCGGGGATGAGCTGAACGCCAGCCCTGGCTGCCCAAGATTCGGCTGTGAGACACAGGCGATATCTCTTCGGCGCGTCGGTGTTTGCGGGAATATACTAGGTGGTGATGATAGAGGCGAAGAACTGAAGAGGAACCTCGTGGCCTTTGGCGTGACGTGATTTGCAGCCTGTGCTATTGGTCTCGGGGCTGAGTCAGTCGTCTGATGAGCTTCCCCCGGCTGCAACGCTGCCCTGGAACGAGTTCGTCTTGGCTCGATTGGTATCAAAGTGGATGCATGTTTGCGTTCAGCTGCCCGTACAGTATCCATAGGAGGCGTCAGCAAAGACCTCTTTCGCAGCACGGCAGAGCGCGCCTGATAAGCGTTGGCTCTTGGTCGAGCGTCTGGGCTTGCAGAATGGCCACGCCTCCGCAGACCCCGGCGGGCTGATCTTTCGTCTTCAGCCGAGCCGCTTTGCACATCGATTAGACTCGAATGCGAAGCTGTACATGGGCCTTTCTGGGGGCTCTTGACAGGTGGCAGGGACGTGGCTCTCTTGGTGGATCGAGTCGACATGGTGTTGGCTTCTATACGTCTGTTTTCAGAATCCTCTGTAACACCAGACTCATTTGCGATATTGCCGTCCACCGTTGATTCCCTTGTCCTCGCTCTCGTGATCGGACCGCTAGGTCTGGCGTCAATTGAGTGGGGGGTCGATGAGTCTCGCGCATTCGACCGAGGACTCTTGGCCTCTTCGGAGCTGGACGCGTCTTGCTCTTCAATAGCCTGAGAGTCGTCGCTAAGGCAGATGCCTGAATCCTCGAAAGACAGCCTCCGCCGCTTTGTGGGTGGCTCTCGCTCGTCGCGGTTCGTATTGAGCGATGCAGAGCATCTCGGTTCTAACACATGCTCTCGGCTCGCGGCGTCGAATTGAGCCTGGATCAAGGAGTAGAGCCCATTTTCACTGCGGAAGTCCTGTACCGTCATTAACACGAGTTCCAAGGGCAGCGACACCACGAGTGCTTACGGGAATGCCAGAGTTGGTACTGATGCCAGCGCCGGTGATGACGACAACCTTGCGGGCTTTGAGAAGAGACTCGGCAACGGCTTGGAGAAGAGCATCCTCGGCAGGGGTGACCTGGGTAGTAGGCATTCTGGACGCGTCCTAAGTTCGGCCCATTGGACTGGTTCCGTGCGAAGTGTCGATTGCCAACCGCTGATTCCCCTCTGTGCGTTTCGAGGCGCGTGTTGGCAATGGCTCGCAATCCGGCGTGTTTGTAAACGCGAGGGTCGGCGTGCGGGCAGTAGCTGCGATTAGCCCTCGCCAACGACAACAATTCAAGGGGACCTTCTTGCCGCGATGCGCCTCCCACGGAGCGCCTTAGTCGTAGGGTGACGGGGGTCTGCGACCGCAGCCCTTGCTTCCCAATCGAGAGGAAGGTTGGGGAGATGGGGCCAAGCTATTTCCTTCAGAGCTTCGCTGAGAGCTAGCTACAGACAGCTTCTGGATTTTTTGAGGTCGGCAAATGGTTAGTCATACGGTTGATGTTGTAACTTGGTTGTCGGTCTGCGACACGTAGGTGAAGGTGGTTGGAGGTGGCCCAGACGCAGGCGTAGACGCAGACGCAGACGCGGTGGGCCGAAACTGGCAGACCGGGGTTCGCGCTGCCAGGGTCTGTCTGGTCAACCAAGCTCGCAGTCAGTCAATTCGGACCAGATAAAGCACAAAGGTCCTAGGTCACAATGACTCTTTGAGATATCGTCTGGCAGGTTGAGTTGAGGCTAAGAGGCCAAGAATGGTGGTTTGAAGCTGTGGCAAGGCGACGGAAGGTTCAAGGCCTAAGCTTGACGTTGAACAGACAGACGCGTCTCAGAAGAGAAGGTACTCGGGAGGCCCAAAGCTCACAAGCTTGACGGAGGGGCGACCATTGAGTATCGAGTGCAGAGGGGAAATAAAAGTGATACGTGTGACATAAGCAAGAGAGAATGGCGCCGTGTTCGACAGGAAGTGACTGGCGATGTTGACGGAGGGTTGTCGGAGGTTCCTTGTGCATCGGATGTTGTTGTTGAACCGCGACTGCCCCGGATCCAGAACTGTGGGTATCCGTAGATAAGTTACCTAGGCCGCTAAAATCCGCCCTACCTTAGCACCTTAGCTACCTAAGTACGGAGTATAGTGATGGAAAGATCAACAGAGTCCCACTTCCGATAGCCGATAACGATAACGATAGCGATAGCGACGCCATACGGGCCGATAAGGAACCTGAAGACAGGGATTAAGCTTCACAGTGCAGTTATGTCGGATTTAAACACGGTCCCGAGGCTCTCGAATTAGAGTAATGTCAGACGAGACGCGACAAGAAACACAGTGCCAAAGCTTCTGGTGGCCCAAGTTGCTTGTCGTCTCGCCACTCTTCAGAAATGGTCAAATCCAACGCCCATGTGTAGCCTCTGATCACAACAACTCAACACTGAGGACGGGACGGCCAACATGACGCAACCATCACCGACGCTTGGTTCATGGCCTGACCACAGGCCGCGGCTGGCGCCTGTAATGCCACCGAGGCGTCCGACCCCCCTCCAAACCTTGGATTCACGTCAACAGAGCAAAAAGAGACTTTGAGGCGCAACATCAGCCTCTATCGGACTAGTAACCAAGCATAAGCTTCGCCGAGCTGTTGCCTCCCAGCCACTTTGACCTCTTGAGGCTCGGCCATGAAGGACAGCAACGTCTGTTCCTACTACATACACACATGTATGCAACTAGTAGGTAGGCAGTGAACACCATATGGCGACAGTTTTCTGTCAGCACCGGACTTGAAGTGTGTTGGAGCTCCCGCCCCATATGTACCGTCTCCGGATCACCCACCGCCGCAACAGGTCCAACGGCTTGGCCCAACTTCAAAGGCTGCATCTCCAAGGCTAGCCGCCTTCTAGAACGCCAACGTTTGAATAGCGGGGGAGCGAGTCGACTGCCGGAACCCATCATCAATGCGCAAACCCGTTGACTTATGTAGGGCAATAAACCTGCGGCATGAGATGAAGCCGGTGACAACTTGGGATGCACTCTGCTATCTTGACAGACAGATGGAGACCATGGCACCAACCACGCTGCTGCAAGGACCCCCCCCCTTCCTTTAAAATCATCTGAACTCGTCGTGTTCCACACCCGCTTCGGTCAGTACCGGCGCATCCATCGTCATTCGTCACTGAGACGGCGCCGTTTGATCTATCTACCTTACTTCCACTCCCCTGTGTCAGGCCACTTCATGGTCGCCCGTTGGCCCGTTGTATTTCACGTCAACCCAGAGCCGGGACCCATGAACACCCCAGTCCGAGGGTTACTTTCCACAGCTGGTACCTAGGTGGACTACCTAATTTAAATTTTGGTCTATGTGCCCTTCCTGTTCGGGCCTTCTAATCCAGGGCGCCCGGTGGTGAGGCTCCTCTCAAACCACGACTCATCCCGCCCCCGAAGCCAAAAGAAACGACGCACCAGCCTCAGACTGCTGCCAAGAACAAACGAGGCGCCGTTGATCGGTGTATCCCATAATATCCCCGGAACCTAGAGGCAACCATGTGGTTAGAAATACACACATAAGATGACAATGCCGTCGTGTCTTAACTTTATATTAGTGCCATATCCATGCCCCTAAGTCCCTGAATTGCAGGCTTTCTTTCTTGATCACCTTTTTTCTTTTCACTCTTTTCTCTTCTCCAGGCTGGCCCAACTTTGACATTTCCATCATGCAGTACTCCAAGTCTCTCACTCTCTCGCTCGTCGCGGGGGCATTTGCCCAGTCATGTAATTTACAATTTGACTGTCGAGTCCCAGTCGGAACTGAGGTCGAAGAATTCGATGTCACCAATCCTCTATTCAATTCCAAAGCCGTAATAGGCGCAGGCTTGACTTTCAGCCGTGTCCTCCAAGCGTCTGACGGAGCTAGTTCGCCCTTTGATGGCAACGAAAACATTGCCCTCGCGGTCGCCATCAAGTAAGACGAGATTGAATAGTTCCGCGTGTTTCTCAACAGGCTGACCCCTTCTTTCAGTGACCAGTCTATTTTCGACGGCCAGACGAGCTTCCGACGTACCGAGCTGATTCCGTCCAGCAACGTGGGAGTAGACGCATCCACTCTCGGGATCAAGACCCTCCATTTCAGTGTTCAGAAGGATGAGCAGCGGCCCCTTAACCTCTCGCATGAATACCAATTGGTGTTCCTCGAGAGCAATGACTTGACCACCAACCAAATTGTTCTTAAGACCGGGACCATCTTGGGTGGTGTCGCCAATGTAGACCCGGATACCCTGACGCTCTTCGGAAACGTCAACACCAAGCCGGCGCCACCCGTCCTTTTCAGCACCCCCTTTACTGAATATACCATCCACAACTTTGCCGTCACTATGGACTTCAACACAAAGTAAGGCTTCTATCCTCACGAGTTTCCACCTCACAACACTGACATTGATACCCTCGCCAGCACAGTCCAGGTATTTTACTCTACCGATGACAATGATTTGGAGGCACAGGGCGCCGCTCAGCCCAACATCATCGTCGGCCAAGGACAGTACCATTTCGGTCTTCTGAAGAAGCCCGTCGGTGGCGTGGGTGATATAACCAAGAACGGCTTCCAGCCCTCGGGTATCGACGAGGCTGTTCTCTACAGCGGTATCTTCCAGGAGGACAGTGTGGAGGGTTGCATCAGCCTGGCACCGTAAATGACGCACACTTGTACAGATAACAATTATCCCAGACCCTTGCAGAGCGAGGGCTTTTACTCTGCACATAAGCATGGGAAGAAAACAGTAATGTCAGTAAGCGTTCTGTACATCGTAATACTCAATAGCTGGTTACTTGGTGCGAGGGGTGGTGATGTTATTGATTGTGTGCGGTGTGGCCGTCAATATCATAGCATGTGCCCTTTCGTCACTGACACTTCTCCCTCGATTCACCCCGTATGTCAATGTAAATATATTTCTAAGAGGGTACCTGACCAGATGAATGGCCAAGCAGTCAATGTATTGGCGTACAGTGCTTCGTGGGGAGAAAGACTGGTCTCCGTGGATGCTCCGCATCCCAGAAATATCATTGGAAAAGAATTATTGCTTGCTGTTAGTCGAATTGTCACACAAGTAATGGCTAATTGTCATGACAAGCTGGGAGTTATATTAGATGATATAGTGCTGTTTCGTAAGGTCATTCAGAATTTGACAAGAGCTGAAATGGAGCATATGCCGTTTGAAACTGGGAGCCAGCAGGCCTGCCAGATTTTACTACGATCATCCGCCGCCTCAATCCTCATGGTGGCTCACGGCGGTAACCTTCTCTTGGCGGTTGGCGACCTCCTCCAACTGCGGACGCAGTGAATCGGCGGCCTCTTGCGAGAAGTGGCGAGCACCAACGCCGTGCTCAAACAGCAAGTCGAGCTCCGAGTACGTGAGACCGAAAGGCTCCGGCAAGCGGAAGAAGGTCCAAACCAGGAACAACACCGTGATTCCGGCCCAGAAAAAGCCACCTCTTGCGCCCCAGTTCCAGTCATTCTTGCCGACAATTCTGGGCTGAATTGCGTTGACGATGAAGCCCCCCGAGTTATAGAACGCGCGAGAGAGAGCAACGGTCTTGACACGAAGGCGAGTAGACGGCATCTCCGCAACGAGGGTGTAGCACGCGGGACCGACGCTGAGCTGGAACGCGAACAGCATGATGATGATGAGGGCTCCCACGGCCCACGATCTCGCAGGAAGGCCGGCCTTATCTTGGGGAATGCCAATGCAGCCGATGATAACCAGGACCACAAACATGGTCGACAGGCCGGCCAGGTACAGCGTGCGACGGCCGACATGCGTCATGATGTACCAGGCAATGATACAGCCGATGAGGCCGATGCAGTTCTGCACTAGACCCATAGTGAAGCCGTTCGCGGGGCTGAGGCCCGCGTTAATCATAAACTGGGTTCCATAGCCCATGAAAGGGACGCCGCAAAAAGACTGCGTCATCCAGACCATGCAGGCGATCTCGGTGCGGCGGAGATCGACGCCGCGGAAGCAGTCCCAGTAGTGCGCGCCGGAACTGACTTCGATCTCGAACTGATTCGTCACACGCATCATCTCGACATGGGCGTCGAGGTCGAACTCGATGCCGGCCTTCGGGGAGGTCAGGCTACGAACGGATTCTTTGGCCTCCTCGAGGCGGTTTTTGCGGACGAGCCACCAGGGACTCTCGGGGGCCAAGAGCGTGCCGATGATAATCGGGATCGGCCAGACCCATTGAATAGCAAAGGCTGACTAAGATGTTAGAGTTTGGCACGCATTTAGACACTCTGGATGTACATCGTAGGTCATCATGTGCTATATCGCGTGACATCATACACATGGGCCCCATATGTATAATATCATGTGACATATCACATGACTGTACCGCGCCTCAGCACATTGGAGCTCTTCGTGACTTTTTCACAGGACGTTACTCACGGATACGGTATCCCCATTCACTGTCAATTTGCAGCAGCCCACGAAGCATGCCACTGCTGATAAGCTGACCAATAACCCAGCACATGTTGCTATGAAAGTCAGCTGCTGGGGGCTCTGCATCGCGCAAATCTACTCACACCCATGAGGTCATGTAACCTCTCAAAGACATGGGACAGATGTCGGCCGCGTAGGTGACGGCAAGAGTCTGAAATATGCCCCATGGAATTCCCTGGATGAGACTACCAGCCAGAAACATGGGTAGGCCGTTGGAGAAGAAGGGAATGAAGACGGCGCCGATCATGGCGACCATGGAGACAACCATAGTCTTCTTGTAGCCGATCCATTCGGTAATGAAGCCATTGACGATGAGGCCAATGATGGAACCGACCTGGGTACCGTTGTTGATGATGGTTTGCCAGCGGGCGGATACCAGTGGGTCTCCGTTCTCATCAACCTCGTCGCCGTATTTCTTCATAAATGCCGGGAAGACGAAGAAGTTGCTCATCAAGTTGGTGTCGTAACCCTGGGATTCAGTCAGCGCCATTGGACGACGGGATCAGGGACGCGGGAGACACCATACCTCCATGATAATGGCAAGGGAGATGATGAACGAGAAGAGGATCGCCTTGGGCCAGAAACGAAAGGAGTCTCGGACGCTCATCTGGCGCTCGTTCTGCATGGCTGTGATGGTCTCGCCTTGTTCATTGTGGTGGCTGACGGTTGGAACCGCCTCCACGCCCACGGCCTTGTCTTGCGCCATGGTGAAGAAAGTCTCAGAAAGGATATAGCCAAAAGGAGCAAACGACTACGGGCGAGGTCATTCCCATATTTCCTGGGCAACAATGGGACATAAGGCCGACTTTATAGAAAGGCGAAGACGGGGGTAGAGAGATTCACCACCCCTGTAACCTGGCGAGAACCTCAAAGAGAACAAACCATTCTTCTGGTACGACTTACCGAGGCAAAGCGGAGAAGCCATCGTACCATCATTGGTAGTCCGGGGAGGGGGGGCGGGGGCAAGCATGACATTACCTACAGCAACGATAGGGTTTGAGAACCAACGCCGGACACACATCAAGTCAGACAAACTTTGAGAGGGTCCCATGGGGAAATCTCCAGGTCTTGGGACGATGATCGGTCGAGACTTCTGGGGGACCCAGGAGACGCTGTAATTCGTCCAACGATTGTGGCTGTCACAGTGCAGATGGGGTAGGGCCGGGGTGAAGGGCAGTATTCCGCCTCCTTTCCGCCGCTTTTTCCCGATCTGTCTTCCATGGCCGGCCAGGCGAGGGCCCGTGTGGCTGGCCGAAGCCAACTGGACGGGGCAACCACGGCATGGTGAAATACCTTCACCCAACCCCTGGCCCTCTCGTCTCTGCCAGTGAGATTACCTAGTCCTTTTTGGTGTCTCGTTTTCCTCTGCTACAGTACGGTTTGCAACCGGCCCCCATCCGTTCCTACATTTTTCTCCATTTGCACAGACTAAAGTGCCTCTCGGTCTTCAGTCCGAGAGACGTCTGACGAACCCCCCTTGGCATGCGGAAACCCTCGGCTTGCGCTGCGTGCCGGTACATTACCTCTTTTCCCTTTCTGGTTTTTTCTTTCTTTTCCGCTGGCGTTGCGAGTCAGCCCGTAACCTGACACCCTTCTTTGCAGTGCCCGCCGGCGCAAATGCCAAATCCAGGACGGCCTTGTCGACTGCGTATATTGTAGCGAGAGAGGGATCAAATGCAATCAGAGGCCCCCGGAAGGCGGCTATTATGAACAGCTAGAGAATCAGCGTAAACAGCGCCAGGAAGAGCAAGCTCGATTAGGGGGGCCGCCATTGCATCATGGACACGCGAGTGCGTTACCGCCCAGCTGTCACACCGGTAGCTGGTGTGGCCGATGTGAGACCACTCCGCATGCCGCGTTACCTAGCTTGCCGGTCCGTCTGGACTTGGTGAGACTCTACTTCGACTACATCCATGACCAGTTCCACTCCCTCTTCCATCGGCCAAGCTTCATCGAGGATGCACTCGGCGACCGAGTCCCACACGGGATTCTATATGGCATTTGTGCCCTATCTGCTAGGTGTGTCTTCCTACGAGGCTACCAACGCTGGTGGGTATTTTTTTGAGAGAGACCGCCAGCTAACTCAATTCTAGGTTCTATACAGACCCGGCTTTGGCAGACGTTGACCCCCGAGACCGAGCACAGGGGTACTTGCAAGCTGCAGAGGGGTTCCTAAACCTCCGCGACGTGTCACTGACTACGATACAGTTATGCGTGTTGATAGGAGCCGCCTGGACTGCCGACGGCAATGGGGAAGCAGAGAACATGTATTACGGCGTTGCATGTAGAGCGGCGTTACTGCTAGATCTCCCCAATAGGCCAGCGACCACGCTGCTGGAACGGGAGATCAACATACGGGGTAAGCCTGGGTCACCTTCATCCGCTGTGCCAAGTTTAGCATCCGCAAAGCTTGCATCTGCAAGGCACATGAACCAAACTAACAGGTCCCTTCCCCAGTCTGGTGGTCACTCTGCATGATTGACGTCTGGTCGTCCACCGCGGTGAAGCTGCCCAAGCTGCTGCCGGCGAGATCTGACATCCCCCTGCCCATGGACGATCTACCGTTCCTCTCGTTGGACCGCAGCGGTGCATCCCGGACCACAGCGGATGCGGGTGCGACCTTGTCGAGCCAGAGCTCGCAGCACCTCTCGCAGATGGTGCGGCTCAATCGGATCCTGCTCGACATCAACGACTTTAACCAGCGATGTGTGGCCGAGAACCCGGACTGGGACGCCCTCGGGCACGGCGTCGACGCGCTCCACGCGAGGATGGAGGGCTGGCTCGACGCGCTGCCGGAGAACATGCGCGATACCCCCGAGAACTTTGCGTGGTTCGCCGCCCGCGGCCTCGGTAGGACATTCGCGGCTGTGTACCTGGGGTATTACCACTTTGGCCAGCTCCTGTACTACCAGTTCTTGTACGGCGCAGGCACGACGACGGCCATCAACCCCACGGCGTCGGTGTCCGTCGCCCGTCGGAACACGTACGCGACCCGGTGCAAGGAGCACGCGGCCAGGCTGTGCGACATGGTCTACCGCACGCAGACGACTGCGGGGGCGGACGTAAGGTACACGATGGCGGCACACGTGTTGGTGATTGCGTCGACGGTGCAGATCCATACGCTCTTGTTCAGCGGCGACGAGGTAGATATTGGCTTGGCGAGACGGCGTCTCGAGAGGAACTTTGAGATGCTTCTGCAGCTGCGCTGTTACTGGCCGACGGTTGACCGAGCCATCAGCAGACTAAGGGCTTTCCACAAGACGGCGCGGAACAGCATCGACACAAGCTTTGTGCTGGACCGCTGGATGCTGCGGTTCTTGGTTGAGTTTACGGAGCCGATGGAGGAGAAGGAGGCCACAATAGGCCGGCACGGGGATGGTGACGAGATGGAGTCCTTGTGGGCAATGGAGGGGCCCCGGTGAGGGGTTGTGCGGTGAAAGCTGGGGGAACCAAATCTGGGCTCTTGGCCCGTTGCATGAGGCAAACCCCAGTCGAACTGAGTGGGTTCGAGAGGCTGATAAGTTTCTTCTCTTGCATGTGACAAGTTGGCCCGGTCGGCAGAGACCAGACAGGACTAGATAGAAGCGGTTTATCTTCGTGGCATGGATTGCCAGTCGGGTCCTGTCCCGAGAATTATACCGGCTAGTCAAAGATCTCCTGTCAAAGTACAGAATATGGGTTTTCACCTTCCCAGCAACGGGTTTCCTTTCGGCACGATCAAGTCCGGCAATGTCTCTTTTCGTAATTATTGTAACATTGTGAGATTCCGAGTCCAGTCTTCATCTAACCAGTTGACTACGGATGCGACTGCATGAGTCGGTTACGTTTGATGCGGAGAAGGGCGGCGGGAAACTCCACGACTTTTCCGCCCCCTGTCATGCGACCTCACCGTCTGATTCTGCCCCTCTGCCCCTCACTTGGCAATGGGCATTATGTTAATTAGTTGAAGTAGGTGAGAAGACACGATATGTGCAGGAACCCTGGAAAGTCGCGATGAGGGGCTGAGAGGATCCGTTATACCACATTTTCTTGCTGCCTTGGACCGTATAAAAGTCGGGTCCCAGCGGCATTGACTTCTTGTCTAGTTGTCAAAGACTGAAACAGGACTCATTGCAGTTTCTACAACTGGTTTAGAAAAAAATACAAAATGGTTTACAGATCACTGGGCCTTGTGGCCGCAATCGCATCCGCAGGACGGGTGGCGGCTCTCAACAACGGCTTGGCCATCACGCCCCCAATGGGCTGGGTAAGTTATGACAGTCTCTCCATAGAGATCAAGCTCTCTGTCAGACTTTCAAGTTCTTCCGACTGATGTGAACAAGAACAATTGGAACGCCTTCGCGTGCGACGTCTCGGAAGATCTCATACTCAGCACCTCGGAGCGCGTCATCAGCCTGGGTCTGCGCGACCTAGGGTACGACCATGTCGTGCTGGACGACTGCTGGCAGGACGAGAACGGCCGCGATGCCCAGGGCAAGATCCATCCCAACCTTGCAAAATTTCCCAACGGCCTGAAGCACGTCTCGGATCAGTTGCACGCTCAGGGACTTAAGTACGGGATGTACTCCAGTGCCGGCGAGATGACGTGCGCGAGATTCGGTGAGTTATCCCGGTAGACATTCGGTCCTCGGCGTTTGCCCTCATATCGAGCAGAAAGACAAGGAAGTGCTGACACCCCCCCTCAGCTGGCTCGCTCGATCACGAAAAGGAGGACGCCGAGAACTTCGCCTCTTGGGGCGTAGATTTTCTCAAGTATGATAACTGCTACCATATGGGAAGAATGGGCACGCCGAAGATCTCCTTTGACCGGTTCAAGGTCATGGCCGACGCGTTGAACGCGACAGGGCGGCCTATCGCCCTCAACCTCTGCAATTGGGGTGAAGACTACGTCCACACAGTACGCGCCTTCCCATCTCCGTCTTCCATAAATCTACGATGGGACGCATGAACTGACAAACCTAGTGGGGAATGTCCATCGCCCACGCCTGGCGTATGTCGGGCGACATCTACGACTCCTTCACCCGCCCCGATGACCTGTGCAGCTGCACCACTGCAGCGGACCCTTTCTGCGTCGCCCCAGGAACACACTGTTCCGTTCTCTTCATCCTTAACCGCGTCGCTGCCTTCGCTGACCGCAGCATCCCTGGAGGTTGGAACGACCTTGACATGCTCGAGGTCGGTCAGGGCGGCATGACGGACGAGGAGTACAAGGCGCACTTTGCCCTCTGGGCCGCCCTAAAGTCCCCTCTGATGCTCGGCAACGACCTGCGGGACATGCCCGCCGAGGCATTGAGCATTGTCAACAACCCGGCCATCATCGCCCTCAACCAAGACCCGCACGGCCGCAGCGTGCTGCGGGTGCGGAGGGACGTCGGCGGGGTACTGACGCCGGACGAGTACGGCGTCGCGGAGACGCAGGTGTGGAGCGGACGATTGGAGAACGGCGACCAGGCCGTCATCTTCCTCAACGCGGCGGGCGCCGAAGTCGAGATGGAGTCGTCGCTGGCCGAGATCTTCGTTTCGGACGGCCCCGGCGGCGCGGCGCCGCAGGTCAAGTCCAAGTGGGCTATCCACGACCTCTGGGCCGACAGGATGTCGACGGAGATGGCCGAGTCGCTGTTCGCCGCTGACAGTCACGGATCGAGGGTCAAGATCCTCCAGAAGGCTAACTGGTACAACGCCACGGAGATCCCTTACGCCGTTGGCTTGGAGAAGGAGGACCCGAGACTGTTTGGCAGGAAGGTTGGCGAGGTGGAGGCCAAGGGCGTGTTGAAGACCAAAGTCCCTAGCCACGCGGCCAAGGTCTTCCGCCTGAGGAGAATTGCGACGCCCGGTGATGGTTTCAAAACTAAGAGCCACGACCGCACTCAAAGGGTTGTCAAGGAGGAGCTGTGAACGAGCGTACCGCCGCGTGGTGGCAGAACAAGTATCCGGATACTCAGGTACTAAGGCTATAGAAAGGGTGACAGGTATATTGAGGAGATCACGCGTACAATGAAAATGATTGACTGTCAACTATGCGTTATAGCTCCCAAGTCTACGGCATCAAAACTTGGATGACATCGATTGAGGTAGACTGGAGATGCGATATCGTGGTTATGTTAGAGGCCATGAGCACGATCATTTTGCAATAATGTCTATAAAGAATACATCAGGCAATCTTGTTCTTCTGAGCGGATACCGAACATAACGACAGTTCAAGGAGACTTGCCATCTCATGTTACATATAATATTGCTAACTCAACAGACACATATACAGCAACAGCAGCAGCAAGAATGCAAAAGAGCCCCAAAACGTAATTATGGAATTCTCGTTCGTAGCCAGTGTTATCTGCTCCAAGCACACATAAACTATCTAAAAATCGCTTTAGCGTAATCAAATTCAAGTTTCATGGCGCCGAGGACAACAGTCACCAGGTTAGGTAAAATAGCACCGGATCTGGGTCCCATAGGATAGTCTTCATAGCTCATCGACGCCGGGCTCGGACCGACGCGGAGTGATCCAACACAAGACTCACGGCTCCGCTGCCGTGAGACAAGAGGCTTGATACGCTCAAACCGCCTCCTAAGCCCATCATCGAGGTACCCGACGACACATGCCCGGCCACCCGAGACCACAGAAGCCTACACGACTTGCCGCCTCGAAGGGGGGTCTGCCCAGAGCGCGCCACCGATCGAGCCTGACGACGGAACCGACCTCACCCTGTAACCTCGCGACCCGCCCGCTCACCGAGTCCAGCGTCCTGATTAAAGAAGGAAGACGCGAGGGGAAGCACAGCCGGGCTGGGCGAGCACGAATCCTGCCGAGATCTCCAGCGGCATATCTCGTCCCTGGCCCAGCTTGACCGAGAGGCTCACCGTGGGACAGGACTGGAGCTCTTTCGCCCCCCCCCTTGAACAAAACAACATCACAACTCGGCTATCAGATCATGCGGTGTCTTAGACTAAGTGATCCTGAATGGCTCTTGATCTCGTGGTCCGGGGAGCTTCTCTGTCCGTCGCCTCGAAAGGTACCAGATCATAGATGAACGAGGCGCCCTCCCGTCGACGCGATATAGACTATAGACTGGCAAGCGCACCCCTCAGACACCGCCCCCCCCTGGTGATCGAAGCGATCGGATCGGCTGGAGACCATAGGAGGACCAGAAAAGGATTGACATCACAGGGACAGATCGTCTGTGGCCATGAAACGCAAGAGGAACAGCATTGAGTGCTGGCTACATTCATCATTAGGGGTTACGACGAAGTTTCATCGATAGAGCGTCGTTAATTCATTCCTATAGTGGAGGACACGGTATGCTACCGAAGCACTTATTCTGCATCAATATCATTGTCGGCGCAACTGCGCATGACCTGATTGCATGTCACCACAAACTGACGTGGTGGCGACAGGTATTGAGGGCCTCGCCTCCACCTACCAACAGCCAGACGCCGCTATTTAATATTGGAGATTGCTTCGCCAAATGGCCCACAGGGATTGGAATTGACCACTCCGACGGAAGCCTAAAAACGCAAGAGGCGCGAGGGGACTGCCAGAAGGGGTTGCTGCAGCACCATCTTCCCGATACGCCCCTATCTGTCCCTCTCTGGCCCACGAGTTGGACAAAAATAAACCACGATCTGAGAGCTGTCTTGGATCTACCCCCTTGTTTAGGACAATTCTCGGGCGTATCCGTAGGAAAGAAAAGAGGGACATCGTGAAGAAGAAACCAGGGGCGGGGAAGGAGAGCATATTTAACTGTCACCGCGAAGGCACAGCAGACGCCTCAGTCCTCCCTCCCCCTTCGGGGCTTGCATCTTGGATGACAACGAGGGGCTGGGCCAATGGAGGACCTTCACGAGCGAGACCTGCATGGGGGGGGGGGGGGGGGAGTGGGTTTCGTTCTTGTTTTTTTGATGGCATGTCTGGCCAAGAGATTGGGTGGCAGCGCGCCGCGGGCGAGGAGTGCCCGCCACTGTTGGCCATGCCGTTTCCACTGTCCACCGACAGAAAAAGGGAAGAGAAGGGAAAAGAGACGTTTTACGCGGCGGTGAAAAGTGCTACACTCGCGTGGATAAGCGGTACGAGACGCGGTTGTGAGCCGCGAAAGGTTGTGCGGTTTGGGATTGAGTAGGTAGCAGGGCCATGCAAGGGTGTCGTCAGACTCGTATCTTCTCTTTAGAGAACATCCCCTCCCCCATCTCGTCTCAGCCGACTGCCTGGGACCGGTCCGTTCGCTACGCAGAGGTAGTTCTCCCATCGAATGTGGTTCCACATATCCCCAGTGAAGGAAACTAAGAAAAAGGAGTGAGGCGCGCATCAACCCCCAGGGCCGCTCGGCCTCTGTTCGTAAGACATGTCGAAGTTGGTAAGAACGCGTCGATCTCGGTGTACACGGTCCCCCGTTAGGTGTCATCGTCCCCCCTCCCCCGGAAGGGGGAGGATGGATGATGCCGAGCTCGGATTGCGCCTCACCGTGGTATGTCGATGAGGGAGGGCTCAGGGACGAGCGGGGAGGGGGATGATTTGGTCGGCGACCAGACAGACATCTATCTGAAGAGCGGCGCGCCTCGCAGGCTGGCTGTGGCGGGATCTCTGCCTGAGGATAATGCGGATCCTTTCCCGTGCCGCAGCCCGTCTGTCCCCCATCGTCGGGAAGTGAAGCGGTGGGTATTCGTATAGTTGGGATGCCGGCTGGAAAGCCAGATCTACGGCGAACTTTGTGTTGAGGCGAGCAGGCGAAAAGCGCGGCAAACCCAAGGAACGCATGTTTAAGGCACCCTGCATCATCTGATGGCTGCTCGTTGCCAAAGACGATGCAGCTATCCCACCATTTTCTCTCTCCCATTCTCTCTGCCACAGCTCTTGTCGGTGTACGGAGACGTGCATGTGCATTTAGCATTTAGGGGATGGCCTTGATGCGAAGAGTATTAGCTCTTGTACCGAAGCTAGTGAGCCTCTGCTTACCCACCTCGAGTGCAACGGTGGTGAGCTGGGAGTTTTTCTTCCCTCTCCCCCCCCAGAACCCTAGCCCTCCCAGCTCTATAGCCTAGGTATACACACGTCCTAGGCAGATGGGACCTGGGGGCAGCTGTAAGACAATGATATGCTTGAAGTCGATCTCTAGAGCGGTGTCTGCCCCCCCCCCCCCCCCCCCCCCGAAGCAAGATCCGCCCGCCCTCCTTCGCAACTTCGAAACCGAGCACATCGTTCTGTTCATCCGAACGGGTCCAGCAATAGGTGTGCCAAGAACAAAACAGGCCACCGAGTCCCCCGCGAGCTCAGTCCTGGGATACACCCTCGAGGGTAGCAACAAAAGGGCGAAGCGCGTCAGGGGGGGGATCCAAAACTGACCTGGGCGGCTAGCCCGGGCGATCATTAATCTGCCCACGTGGTTGCAAATCAAACGTGAACCGGTGAGGTTGATGAGCTTTCCGGCACCGAGTGGGTGATGAGGGAGTCACCCCAGAGGGGGGAACACCGGTTGAGATTGCGAGCGGCACCTCCATGGGTCGAGCCAAGCCATTCGATTCGCGAGCCAGGTATGGACAATGTGCACACAAGGACTGCGCTGATGGCCGGGATCCCCCAAGATCTGGGATCACAATAGGCCGCGGCGTCCCATGTCGTTCAAGATATCGCAATCAGTCGCACCATCCGTGGCTAACTGCGTCCAGTTCAATATGTCATTCCGTGCAAGCGCTGCGGCTGCCCGTGGCACCCTGACCGGTGTCAGTAGGCAGGGTACGTAGGTGCCTCGTCGCCGGAACCTCAACTTCGCAAGAATATGGTTGCGTCCAACACAACAACAGGTGGCCGGTTAGCACAATAGATCAAGGCTCTTCGGGAAACAGATGCTTGCGACTTGTAGCGTTGCCACAAATGAGTGGTGGTCAGTACGGAGCACCCAGATCAGGCTCTCTCTCGCGAGATATATGCCGAAGGCTCCACGTTCGATTAATAGCCCGGAGCTTCCCTCCCCTCACCAAAAACCCATGTTAGTCCCCGTACCGCCGAGCGCCACGAAACGCCCTTGTTTCTTATTCCGATAACCCCCCAATCCCAGGTTATTTGGAAGGCCTATGCTTGGCATATTGGGACATGAACGCGAAACACCATGATAGGCCCAGCGTTCTGCACAAGGTTGTTTCGGCAAGACGAAAAAAAAAAGACAAGGAAAAAGAGAGAGACCATGGGTCGCCGCTGTCACACTGCCTGGGCCGGGTTGAGGGACGAAGGTCGGGACTCTGCGACTTTCTGCGTGCCATTTACATGGTTGCCGCCCATATACCTTTTTGCCTGTTGCTGATTCGTCAGTTGGCTGGAGACGCCTTGCTGCAGGATCGAGGGAAGCCCCGAGATGAGGTATGTTGGCGGCTTCCCACAGAGCTCTCACGGAATCATATGGTGCGACGAGTGTCATTTTGCGTGCCACGCTGCCGTGTCACAAACATGGAGACCACTACGACGTCCCCGGCACCCAGTGTATCACCGCGAGTCCCGGTGGTGGACGCAGCCCAGCGGATGATGGATAGCCAACGTGTCTCGAGCGCAGAGGTCGATGACCTTGGCGGGGCTTTAGAGCCAATTCGTAATATCTTGTAAACAGTAGCTAGCTACGATAGCGACTGGACATTGGGTTGGAAACTAGTGGGCCGTTTCTGTACATTGCATATGCTGCGAACAAGTGAATATCTTGCCACGGTATCTCGGCGCATCAGCGTAGCGAAACAGAGGCTATTCTATTCGTCTGGCCATGAACCCACCACGAACGGGCCAGGTAAGCTCATTCAGAAGGACGGTTCTGGGAGAGAACGACAGCGCACATGGTCTCGTTGTCATCAAACCTCTCACCCGGCGCCGTGTCGCGGGGGAGGCGACGGCCACAGTCCGTTGGCCTGTGACCTTTCTCATG